TCTACCTACCCTACATATGATGTGATTGCTGCTATAATTCAGCAACGACTGACTGATTCAAATCCCTCGTTTAATTACTAGAGGACAGTTTGATAATCATCGGCGGCCTTTTTTTTCTTTTTCTTGGTCCAAGGTATCCCCGCTATGCGACGTTCCGAGGTGGTTGTCCCAAGTTGGTTCTCTCGCAACTCGTTGACTATCAGCTGCCATGACGCCGAGCAACCAATCGGCCGAGCATCTGTCTCGGTACAGACTTCCAAAGTCGCAGCCGTGCATACGACATGACCAGTTACTATTCATTCACTCTGCTGAAACTGATTCTGCCCACGCAGATGAGAACCGACAGCTGCCGCCCCCGGGCGGTTCCTCAGACATGTCGTAGATGCTCGGGATATCTGGACCTGGTCCTTGGACTAATGTGATGGTGCAACCGTTTCTGGGTAATTAATTCTAGCTGAGTGTCGCATCGCACTGTCTGACACCTTGCCGAAAGCTTCTTTCTGGGGAGACGAGAAACAAAGTATATTCGCAAGGCAGCAAGACCCCTCTCTCCCCGCATGTTGCCACCATGCAACAAGTCCACGTAGTGCACGCAACACGTGTTGATGAGCCCTCGTATTGAAGATTAGCTTTTACCCCCATGCTCGTTGCTCATCTGCCTACACTTGCTGGCATGCTACTAGTAGTTGTCACTCATCTGGCTAGACGATGTACCAGTAGGAGCTTGACACGAGAGAACAACGTGATCCGTTAGGATTGCATACGTCCAGACAAGTCATAAACCGCCTGTTAATTATGAACAAAGATGAAAGTCAGACCATGACCCGCAACCTAGTTTGCGTTCCCTCAGTGATTCCGCAAGGTATTCATGGACATTCCTATCCCATCCGGACCTCCGCCACATCGACACATGAACCAGCAAAGTTCATACTCCGTAGCCACGTATATCGGCTGCGACTATACATAAGAATACTTTCTGCCGCGAGAAAACATCACTCACGTCATGCGGAGTTGCGACTCCATGCGCTGATAGTTGGCGGTGCAGTTATTGGTCACTGCAACCCCAGAGGTGGTCGGTCTTCTTGGACGCGGCAAGCACCAGCTGCAGTTTTCCATCGACTCTCAATACGAATAACTTTCCGACTCAACAGGAACTTCCTACAGTAACTAGTCCTGCTCATCACTTTCCACATCCGCCCCTGGGGGCTCTCGGTCGAGCCCGTACAAAGGTTCATCTCAACTTTCCTTCCTTTCTTTTGGCATCAAAGCGCCGCCGTGGTTCAAGACAATACAGAGGTACTCCGTACTTTCCTGTCAGATATGCACCACCGGACCTCAGCCAAGTGGACGCCTCTTTTGGCGCCAGGAATGCCAATGTCTCACCCCGGCCCTCCCACACGATAGAAAAGGTGGTCAGTGTGACAAGGCAAGGGCCCGCCAAATCCCTCATGACACTTTGTGATTTGCAAATCCGCCGTATACAGCTCCAATCGCTGCCCGTAGGGGGGCGGGGACCTTTACCCGCACTGGCAGCCCAACGATTTGCCTCCGGCGAGCCCAGCATCTCTTGCGGCAGCAAAGAGGGCTTTGTGACACCATCTCCCACCGAAATCAGCCTTTCAGACCCTGTTCTTCGATGGGGGCTTTTTGTGTCTCACGCACACACTCACCTTGCTGGCCCCCCCCCCCATGGTCCGTCCCGTCATTCTGGTAACCAAAACGCAAAGGTATTCGGTACAACCACACATGGATCTAGACTCTCGTACGCATGGGCCGGTTGAATGTAAGTGATTCAGCAAATACAAATCAGAGACTCGACCGTTGATAGCTGTTTTCAAATGAGAAAAGTGCGAGAACCGATGCCGATCTGTTGCTGGCTCACAACCCTCCCCCCTCACAACATCTTTTCCGCTGCAAGTGACTGGTCGGTGCTGTCCAGGGTACAAAATATTATTTATTTTTATTATATAATACTTAGCAAGAAAACACAACATATGGGCATCAATTCTGAGGCCATTTCGAGGAAAAGGCTCTATAATCGGCTTCGCTATGACCCATACCACCAGGCAGGCTTCTGCATGATATCACACCTTTCGGCGCCAGATTGAGTCCGGTCAAGGTGAGGCGCGCCGCGTAGCCACTATACTGCCATGAAGCTAGAGCTCTTTGTCCAATAAACTAGACGGGAAAAGAAAAAGTCGCCGTCATATTTTGCCCGAAAAGTGACGAGGAGAGGCTCTCAGCCGGACCAGGTCCAGCGACTTCCGCCAACTGCTCTCTTTCTCGCCACCCTGACTGGATTTCGTGCATCAGGTCGCGACTCTCATTTCCTTCTTTGTAGAAGTTGGGCCGCCGTCTTAAAAGGCAAGGGGGGGGGACACGACGCCAGTCTACTGGCTGAGATGGTGGAAAAACTGAGACATCCCCACGGTCATGGCTTGTGGTAGAGGCAAGCCTCGGAGGGAAGCTCGGGCTCTTAGCCCATTTGGTGCTAAAAAACAAAAGCCTCTGGGGTGACCAGATCTTGTTGTGTGTCCGTATTGACAGAGTCTTTGATACGGACGATGCAACATGACCCCATCACCTCCTCCAAGCAAGCTGGAAAAGGGAAGGCTTGACGGCAGCTAGGGCAGTGCGGAAGCACCCGCGTCAGTTTCCTCCTCGTTAGTGGGGATCTTAAGAATCATCATTTCCTCGTAGTTATGTTTTCTCGCAAAGTTAGTGCGGTAACGCAGCCTCGTGCCCTCGTCCCATGTCGCTGTTGCTATCCGTCCGACAAACTGCGGACAGATGCAGTACCCGCGAGGGGTATGTCGACATAAGTTTGTGATATCTGTGGTATCTGTGATATCTGTGATATCTGTGATGTTAGAATGTGATAGGGTTCTACTGCTAATCAAAGTTCCATTCGGACCTTTAGGTGCTGACGGACTGGTGGGCAGGCAGTCCGGCCGTGTTAGATGACTACCTAGACGGAAGACGAGTTTTAGAAAGTTTGTTTTTATTCATCCTGATAATTTCACTTAATGGTAGTATTTTCCATTGTAGTGTGGGTTCAGCCTGAAAGCTCGAAGTGATGCGAGATTCAGACAGCGAAGTCGAATCGTAGAGATATAGTGTAAATCTATATGGACCCTAGCCTAGAGCCTGTAGGTTAGGAGAGACCGTTCCATAACGACCAGCCGCGAGCTTCAAGGACACCTTTGTCTAATGTTTGTGGCGTACCAACATAGAAATGCCGTTGATATTCAATAAACGAAGATGTCGATTTTTTTTTAAACGTACACTCCAGTGCAGGAAACTCAGTGATTTGTTTAGTTGTCTACAGTCACGAGTGTCGTGGTATCCAGTGCTCCCCAGAGAGCTGTTGATATCCGTAGTTGCTGCGCATATACGAGAATATGTCAGCCTGGCCTAATCAGTGATACTTTCGAGCTTGTGTCGCGCTTCGAAACGCTTTCCATATATCTGTTCAGTAGTTGTCTCGAAACTTGCGTTCTATCGAATCAGGGACCAGTCTTTGTATAGACGTCTTTTGCTTCTCTCTCAAGTTTCACGCGGCTCTGCGCACCCAGACGTAAACACACTCACAAGACTGAGCGGAATCAATAAAAAACCCTATGTACTGAATGTTTCTTCGAGTATACTATCGAAATGCACTCATTCTGGTCTTCAGGAACCCAAAAATAGGAAGCAATGTATCGCCAGACGACGGGGAAGATCCCCGCCTCGCTGGTCTTGTCATCATCAGTTCTGCAGATTGGTTCGTCGCCGAGGACAAATCTTCGAAGAATCAGAAGACTACCATTTGACCAATCCAATATTCTCGATGTTGTTTTGAATATACCTTGGCGGACGATGGACGTGCAGCCGGAGCCCATGTTATTGCCTCGAGTGAATCAGCTCCTCCTATGCTGTGTCAGTCATGGATTGCAGGACTCTGCATTTGCCTTTCCAGTAGACCCTTAGATTGTAGTCTTCGGCCATGTCCTGTTCTTCTTTGAGTCAGGCCTTGCAAGTATGGGAATTACCTGATTTGGCGCCGGTTTGCTGGAAAGGATGCCTCGGCTGCTCCTGTCCCAGGCTCGAGGCCGATAAACACGCAGATCTGTTCTCCGAGTAGATCCATACTTGATACTTTGTGCAAAGGTATCGCAATATCCTGATATTGTGCTACGTTATCATGGTTCAGCTCGTGCCTGCCTGCCCTGCCGATCTGCGGTGTCACCCAAGTGCATGCATTCCCGTACACCCCATCTTCGCGGGGGAGCGACCGAAACGGCTGGGCTGCCTCGGTAATTGAGAAGTCTTGTCCGACGGAACGGCGTCACCGAGCATATGCAAAACGCTGTGCTACTCAAGCAAGCTCGTGAACAATGTCCAATCTCGGCGCCTATGCGGACATCGGAACGTGGCGGAGTATCGGAGCATGGCACAGCATGTATGTTCGAAACGCTGGCAATGGGAACTTCTGTTTTCTGTCTTCTTGGCGGCGAAAGACTATCGCTCATTTATTGGAAATGAATAGCTTCGGAAGGATTGGCTTATGTGGCGGAGGCTTGTCACGCACATGCAAGCCCGCGTCGTCAGCAGTGAGGGGGGCTGAGAGATGCTGACCGACTGGTAATTGCGACGAATATTGAATAAATCCAAGAGTTGAATCCGAATGAAATATACATAATAAATATACACAAATGGAACAGGGATGGCATGGTTCGGTCTGCCAGACCGGCTTTTCCTCTTTTCTCACCTAATGGGCACCAGTGTAAACTCTAAGTAATCTCTCCAGACCACATAGGAATGGCTCATCAGGGTTCTTACCGATGTCAAAGTCAACCGCATGGAGATATAGACATGCCTCTATAGTATGCCCACATATATCTCAAGATGAATCCGGCTGCGGGGTAAGCTAAGTTCGGGAGAAGCCACCAGCGCTACCACGCATTCTTGATGCGCGCGATGTAGAGAATTGTGTATAAAATGTGGCTTCTGTCTCGCTTTCATCGTGCACATTGCTCTTCCGTCCCAGAAGATCTGAAAAATCTACGCCGTGTATGCCCATATCCAGAAATATACAACCCTTCATGTCTACCGAGCAGCAACCAACCGAGGCTGCGCAGCCCACCGGCGCTGAGCATTTCGACGCGCTCGCCGATGCATACGAGTGCTCGACCGGCGGCAGCACGCGCGCCATCGCGCGCCGCGTGCTGCAGCTCGAGGCTCTCCATGGCCTCTTTGCCGCGCCGTGCGACGCCGTCGTCCTGGACAATGCGTGCGGCACGGCCATTGTAGCCGAAGAAATCATTGCGCGGTGCCGGCAGAGCGGCGGCAGCGACGCCGCCATTCCCGTCATCCACGCCGTCGATCCCGTCGAAAAGATGGTGGCCCTGTCGGCCGCCAAGTTTGCGTCGCTCGGCGTCGCCGGCCGCTGCGCGGCGGCCGTCATGCCCGGGGAGACACTCCGCTTCGCGGACGGCACCTTTTCGCACAGCATCACCAACATGGGCCTCATGTTTTACGACGACGCCGCGGCGGGCGCGCGCGAGATTTGTCGCACGCTCAAGCCCGGCGGTGTCGCCGTCGTGACGACGTGGGCGCGCCTCGGCTTCATGACGGACATCTTCATCCCGGCGCAGAAGAAGGCGCGACCAGGCGCCGAGATCAACAGGCTTCCGATTGAGCCCCGATGGTTCGACCCCGTGCAAGTCGAAGAGTGTTTGCGCAAGGACGGCGGATTCGCAAAGGTGCGGGTTGAGCTGCATGATGCGCATTATTCGGCGCCCACCAAAGATGCCTTCTGCGACCAGCTGCTGGGGCTGTTTGGTGCCTTCTACCAGGCTTGGCCTTGGACGGAGGAGGAAAAGACCGCCTTCAGAGATGCTGTTCGAGAGATCACTCCAAATGTCCTGGTGCCTTGTACGCATATTGATGGGAGCAGTGGATTTGGTGTGCCGGTATCCGCCATTATTGCCATTTGTGAGAGGTAGGTGATATGAAGAGGGCAATGAGAACGAGAAGTTACGTCCATTTACTCAGCTCAACAACGTATGGCAGCACGTGACTGGCCACAAGTAGTGACACCGAGAAATTCAACTTTTATGCATTCCGTGAATATACTTGCATCTGTTTCACTAGTGCACTCGGTTCTGTCAGCCCGAGCAATATATACTGCAATGTTGCTTCCTCGCAGATGGTCTTGTGCATAATCACAAGGTACCGTCTTTAATAATTTTGAGGGAGTCCAGCTGCCAATATCCGTGGCCACCGCGTCTTATAATCTCGCCGGCCTGCGAAAAAAAAGAATCCACTCTCAAGGCGACTGGCCGAAGAAGTAGCTTTCCGACGTAGTATTGCGTAGCTGCCAAGCGCTGTAGTGACTGATGAAAGCTCAGTAGCACGTGGTGAGCCACTCTAATATCGTCTGGGCCGGAGGCTACTATGAATAAGTGAATCATGAAGTTTCCACACAAAATAAGTTGGGACCGTCCCACTGATTGCGTGTTAGCAACGTCTATCATGATCTGAAATGAAGGGAAACAACTTACGACGGCCCCAGAAGCCCTGCAAATCACCCTCTGTGACTTCGTCCATAAATGTCGCGAAGAGTTGCATTTCGTACACCGCCTCGTTAAAGTTTCGACGCAGGCTCGAATTGGGGTCGGCTCGGGCTTCTTTCGTGGCAGGAGAAAGAACAGCTCGGAGTAGTAAAACTTTGGCGGCGTGATACATCAAGTGCAGCGGGCCTAAGCGAATGGATTAATTCATGCAACTTTTGCGCACTATAGCAGAACAAGGGAAACATACAGTTATTATGAATAGCGGGCGCTGAATTGATCCGTCGCGTGGACAAGCACTGGGGAAGCAGACTGGGCCATTGGCGGAGTTTTTCCCTCTGAACTGCTAGAGTGTGAAGCAGATGGTCGGACCCAGGGGCGTATCTTGCACCTGGATTTACAAGACTAATCAAAATGTCAGCTAGTTTTAGTGATGGTGTGCAGGAAGATGAACTCACAAGCTGCAGTCGATAATGTCGCGTACAATCCTTGTTATGCGAACCATCTCCAAGAACCGATGACCAACAGCTACATGAAATACCGAGGAATCTGGATCAACCATGTGCTTCAAATCTTCGGGCACATCTTCATCAAAGCGAACGTCTTCAATGTCAGGTGGCGTCGTGTTGAAGGATTCACGATATATATGAGGCGGGTTACCATGACAGATCGAGGTCCAGCAATCAGTCATGTAGATAGCCCACCACAGCTTCTTGCGAAGCCTCTTCTCCCACGGCTCTATGTTCCAGTTTCCAGGGTCTTGGTGCAGGCCACTCATCTGCGCGTTGGAGACTGCTTGGGCAGCGAGGATCCAGATACTGGGGGTTTCCACCGTGTCGGTCCAAGGCGGGGCCATGTGAATCAAAAGCAGACATGCCTGCAAGTTGGCTAGATTTGGGTTCTCGAGCTCACAACGTAGAGAGCTCTGTGCTTGCGAATGCAGCTCGTGCTGCTCCCAGGGACAAGGGCCCTTCAGCGATGGATCTCTGTTCCAGAACACTGTGGCTAATGCGTAAACGGCGCCACGAAGCGATGCCGGAATCTTTTCTTTGGCGGAATTGTAGAGACGGAGGAAGCGCACCTTGGAGACAACAGGGTACACCGGGTGAACGTATTTAAAGTATAGTCGGACGAGATTGGGCCCATATGGATAGACTCTCGACTCAATAGCGAGAGAAGCCTCTCGTTTTGGGCGGTTGGTATACTCGGGCACTTCATTTTCTAGTAGCAAAAAATGAACCGGGGGGTCGCTTGACCGTGAACTGCCTGGGTAAACTTGTAGGTAGTCGGCGTCGATCTCGTCGATCTCACTGACGATCATGTAGCGGAAGGAGTCAAGGATGTGAGTGTCTTGTTCTGCGGCAGGTCCCATATAGTTGGCAGTCTTGTTCACATTGTCTTCGAGGGTATGAATGCGCCCTGGGCCATTGGTAGGCCATATCCCCATGCCCTCGGTGCTGCCCTTGGTAAATGTAGCGATAGTGCTAGGAGGAGGGAGCGTGACTGCACTGGCGCGATCCTTGTCACTGAAAGGGGGAGGAAGTGTCACTTTTGAGGAGGAAGAATGGGGGCTGCCTTGAGTTGGGGTCCGAACTGAGGACAGGTGTGAGTGGCCGTTGGCCGGAGAGAAGGTATGGTGAGAGGAGCTAGGACTGTCTTGTGAGGGCGTAGGCCACGACGTCACAGGTGGGCGCGAGGCGCCGTTGGGGAAGAGATCGGGGCGAGCAAGCCGGATCGAGTCTGCCGGAGATGAGACGGAAAGTGAATGGGGTGACGCCGCATCTGGTGATGCGCAGTCATCATCTGCGGTGACACCATTGTCTTTGTCGGCAAGTGTGCCGGAAGACAGACAAGGGATGCCTCGTGTCTCACAGAATCGACCTGCATAGACAAGCTATATTAGCCGAATGCAAAAATATGAGAGAGACCGTCAAAGCGATGTGTTGCGGGCGACGGCAAGACACATGAGGCGAGTAGACTTACATGGTGGCTGATCGGTGATGACGCAAGCCGTCTTACGGCGGCGGCATGCATCACAGGGGCGATTCTTTCGACTCCTGCGTTCGCGAGCCTGGCCAAAGCTGCTCTGGATGGTGAACTTGCGGCGGCGCGCTATGCTTGCTGAGGCTGCATCGGTCGGCCCAGCTTCGGGGGTCTCGGCGGGAGGACTGTGCATGTTCGGGTGGTTTGCAGCCGAAACAAGAGCGTACCAGTATGACGGGGACGGGCGGAACCCCGGACAAGGCAGCCGGTAGTGCGGTAGAAATGGCAATCGGCCAACAAGATTTGGGCCGAGGATCGAAAGGGCGTGGTGCAGTTGAGGCGGCCGAGCGTGAAGGAGGCCAAGATGCAACGTCGAGGGGAGAAGAAAAAGTTGGCCGAAGGATGAGGAGTGGAGGCTAGAGAGGAGGAAGGATGAGGCGGGCTTGACTTGTGTGGCTTGACTGGCTAACGTACGAGGTGGTTGTGGTGGGCACACTAGCAACTAGCAAGGAAATACCTAGGTAGGTGCCTAGGTAGTTCGTTTCCTGCGTAGGCTGACACCGAACCTATAGCTATTAACAGCTTAGCGGATTGAACTAACTAACTGGTAGTTGAAGAACCAAGGTAGTAGTAATAAACGCTGAAGATGTACGCGAGCGAGACGCCAGCAGCCAGCAGCCGATGCACAGTCGACTTGGTGCCACAAAGCGAGAATTTTCAACCCCCATTTGTAGCCGCCTTGAAAATGGAAAATGGACCATCTGGTTCAAGGTACAAGGCGCGTAGCTGCTTTGTCAGCATTTGTGGCTTTATCCGTGGACCCTGGAAGCAACGGCATGACTGCTGTAATCCGCCCGTTTTAACGGCCTCGCCGCCTGCAGCAACGCTAAGCTGGACCGGACCCTCAACACTGGAGGCCATGTAGGTACCTCCGGCGGTACCTATCCGCCTGCTTGTACAGAGCACCAGTTTCGCGTTTGCACAGTTCAACACCACGATGGAATAGCCATAATTCATCACAAAAAAGCACAAGATGAACAATGCTGAAAGTAAATGGCGGACCAGAAACTCGTCGATACCCAGTACTTTGATCTGCAGATTGATTCCCGAAATAACCACTTTCTCCATCCTGTGGCGGCGTCGGCGACCACTTGTGGATACGGCCATCAATGTCCAAGAGTTGGCCGACGATGCTACACCGACAGCCTGCTGCAGCGCAATCTCCACTGCTACCATGATAATTCCTGGTCCTCGACTGATTTACGAAATGAACGTCAATGCTATTATTACTCAATGATGAAATGCGGAGGAGACACTGTGTCGACTCTATGGTTCTGCGTTCCTTCGTTCCCGACTTTGCCTGATACTCTTCACGAACACTCCCGCAAAAGTGACACATCACGTGTTCAGGTAATACAGCGAGGGGGTACGCATCGCTGATATTTCGTCCGACTCCCGACGGATTGGCTGATGCCTCTTTTCTCCATTCCCGTTTTCAGACTTCCCCGGAGGCAGTCCGTCTTCGCATCTCACCAGCATCTGTTACCGCTGCCGACTCCGTTGCTTGACCTTCTGGCCGTCTCTCCCCCGGCCTTTTATGCTCTTGCCCGACACTCGCAGCTACCATTCGCCCAGATTCGGATAAGCTGACATCCCATCGGTCGCTGTAGTACCGTTGCACATCTGCAGCTGGCATCTCATTCTTGACAAACTCATCCACGGCCCGCGCAGGGAACGCCGCGTGCAGCGCCACGAATACGAGCCCGCTCGAGAAGAACCCATATACATAGTTTGTCATATACAGCTCACGGATACTGTCTGGCACGTTGACTGCGCTGTTGACCGAGGCCACAAATCCTGGCAAACACGGGCCAACTCCAATAGCCCACTGCTCGACATACGTTAGCTGCTATCCTTCGGATCCCAAAGCTCGGCAGAACACTTACGGATATCGGCGCTCTCCAATTTACGCCGTTGTTGTACCAGTATTTACTCGATGGGTCGCCACGGAACAAGTCATCGACATCCAATTTCCGCCGATGTACGATATAATAGCCCGCCACCATAATGCCTGTCATGGGTGCCAAAAAAACACCATACCCAGACATGACCGAGATGAAAATGGTTGCCGTGTCAACCATGCGCCATGGATTCACAATGGGGCTTATGATCGCTGTGATGTAGGCACCACGGCGGATATTGAGGAATCGCGGGAAGACGGCCGCCAAGTCAATGCCTCCTGCCAGAGCATTGCCGAGGACATTACTTCCCAGCTGGGAAAAAGTCAATGCCAGTCCCGAAAAGAAGACGCCAGCGCGAGCTCCCGGTGTTGGATTCTTGCGGACAACCCGCGCCAAGAGACCTGGAAGAAACCAGTGCTCCTTTCCAAGGCGATCTTGTGTGGCAGCGACCACCAAAATACCAATGATGGAAGTGCCGATACTATAGATCGGGTATGCGATGATTTGGCCCCATTTCGCATCTCGCGGCGAGCGGGCCAGGCGTGTATAATCGTTCTGGTTGAGAATTCCAGCCGCGATCGAGCCGATGGTCGCGACGATGCCCGAGACCATCACCCACGCAGTGCTGTTGGGCCCACTAGGAGGGTTCGGCTTGTCTTCTGTAATTGTGCTTCCGAATCCGCTCGGTCCCATGGTCGTCAGAGCCCAGATTAACAGCGCGATGTAGAAGACGAGCGCGACCAGGGATGTGCTGTTCAAGAACCACTGCAGTCGATGTGGCCGAATCCAAATGAATGGAAGACTGATGACGCAAAAAATAACGTACGATATGAATCGCGCCGTCGTCAGGTGTGCACGGCCTGGCATGGTATTGCGTATGTGTTGATCGACTCGGGGGTCCAACGCGAGGACTATCAGATGGAAGCACTGTCCACCAGTCCATGCCTGAGACGCGTACCTATTACACGAGGTCAGTAACCCAGTCCCTATTCGCGAACATGAAGGAGGCTCACCAAACTGTTGCATGTGGGTTAGCGAACACGAGTTACACTGCAGAGCAGGAACCCAACATACCTATAGAAAGAAATATGCGGTTCCAGATGGTGAATTGGGAACCCCACATGCCCCAGACCGATCGACTAATGACGGGAAATCCGACTGCATCAAAGTTAGTATTTGACATTCAGACTCTAGGCTGCGAAAATGCTCACCATGATATCGAGATCCCGCAGCGGAATTGGCGAGAACTGCAGCCAGGGCTATAAGGTTTCCGACGACAATGCCTGAGTTGCATTAGGTTAAGATCTGATTGGGCACGGCTTGCGACAAACGAAAACGTACAAATCACGGCCTGCCACCAAGAGAGGCCTAACGGAATGAGTGCACTCCCGGTAATGAACGTCGTCGTGTTACAGTTAATGACAAGCCCTAGAATAAAACGAGTTAGTAACAGACGGTGAGAGCGCTGCTGAATTTTGCGAATTTCGTACAAAAATCGTGAAAGGATCTGAGGTTCCATGTCCGCCTTTCCTTCTCCACGGGTCGGACATCGTCGTTCTTGGGAGGGTTGCAGTCAGAGGATTTGCCATCACCGAGGCGTTCACAAAGCAAGACTTACAATCCACTGGGACACCGAAGACAGTTCAGCAAAAGTCATGAGTGAGGATAATCGCTCTGTGAAGCGACGAGGGCGGCATGGCTCCTCCTCGGAGTGGTTAGTGGGCGACATGGCTGGCAACGTCTCAGTTTATCAAGGCCGCGGCTGGTTTCTTGCTCGCCTTGGCGACACACCAAAAAGAAAGCGACAGCAAACACGGCAGCGACTTGGGTGTGGACTTTCTGCGAGGATCTTTTTTTTCCTGCAGTGTGGTTGAGGGTTGCACTATCGGGGCGAACTTATGCCGATCGGTCCTCAGCGTCGCCAACTTCTCCAAGCCATGTGACAGTGTGAGGCGAGAGTTTGGAGACTCAATCGGCTGCTTTGTAATGGCTGGCTGAGTTTTCTTGACGTGAAGAACGCAGCAGTCTGCACCACGAGTTGCGATGATGCACCTAATATGTTGGACTCTTTGAACCGAAGAAAGAGCGAGCTAGAATTGCAGACCTGAGGGCAATCTCCACCCACCAAGCCAATTCATTGGGCTTGGACGGCCGCGTGGGCGCGCCAGGGACGCTGGCCAGCTGGCATTTGGATTGGCTATGGCACCTGAATTGGCTGCGTGAGCAACGGTTTGAGATGGGTCTGGATTCAAGCTAACCTCTAACCATGGCTGATCTCCCCACCACTACGTTTCGGTCGCCAATATTGGCGCTCTCACTTTGGGCCGCAGGGGTGGCGCAGGCGTGCGGCTTGACTCACGAACCAAGGCATCTAGCGCTCGTCGCGTTGATGAAGATGTGGCAAATGAGGTCTCAATTTCACTTCTTGAAGCTGTGACAGTTCTACGGATGAATAGTTGCCTTAAATTTCTTGCACAAGGACTGGTGAGAGACTTTCCTAGCACCTCATTGCTGTTTCTTCGCCGACAATTCTTGTGTTGTCCTTTTGCGCTGTAGCTACGAATCTGAAATTCTCCTAGACTAACTAGTAATAATAGGAGAGCCTATGGCATTTTTGCAATTTCCCGTGAGTAATTCGCCAGGGGTGGGTAGGGGGGTCTTTTCAGAGACGGTTGCAAAAAGTTATACATAAATGAATACATTAAACAAAAAGAGAAAACGAAGAAAACTGAACAAGTTAAAGCCGGACTTGAATATCGCCTCGAGGTCTCACGATCTCGTTAGAAACCTGGAGTCACGATCTGACGTTGCCAATTTGTGCCCGTTAACAGCTGCGCCTCCTACGCTTCCTACGTCTTTCAATTATGCGTCCTCCGTTTGCACCTAAATTAGCAATTACCTGGTCTCACCGCAGGATCCAACTGATAATACTTCATCTTCGCGTGCGGTGTCTTCACTAGTTATTGGACAAATGCGACGGTAAGCGACGAAGGGCGACACACACATACAAATTAGAGACAAGCCTCTCGGTAGCATAAAAATTCATGTGAATATACGCACTTATTATTAAGCTGGTGATTACCAAGCCGAAACGGCGCCCCGGCTCTCGTTAACACTTCGGTGGGCGCGGCTGAGGTGACGAATCGATTGTGTGCTAGCCACTAACCACCTAGGTAGTTACCATACCGGCCTCATATTGTATGTAGGCATCAACGCAGCTTTTAAGTATCAATCTCAAACTGAGATACTTCGAACTTGATGTCATGTGTTTGTTCTTCTCACATTGTATCGTGCTCGGCTTGAATCTCGTGTGCATCGCCAATCTAGCCTCAGCAGGATCACAGTCGGCGCTAACGCCATCGCCGATATTGACAGCGCAATTCACGGAGCGCCACGCTTGGTAATTATCACGGCCGCGCCCTTGCGTGCTCCGAAATCGCATGAGCTTAGAAATCGATCGTGCATTTCGCATCGTCCATGACAAGATTGCGAGCGGCACCGAGCCCCGTCCTCAGCTGAGGCTCCGAAGCCGAGCTTTTTGCAGGCGTTAAAGGCGGTGTTGACGGTTTAGAGCTAGCCCCGCTCAATCCGAAGCCGAAGCCGAAAGGCCAATAGGGCTGCGAAAGAAACGGGTGACTCGAATTCATCGAAGTGCTAAGCCGAGACAAGCAAGGGATTAACGATCGCTTACCGAGTGAGTCGAATTGTTGCCAAAGGGCGTGTGGCCGGGCAGGCAATGCGGACGGCCGCGGGGGATGGTGACAAAATAGGAAGATATATAAAGCGCGGGCTTTCCCTGATGAAGTTGGAATTGGACCAAGACAATCCATCCAATCTATTCATTGAATTGAGCAGCAAAAGACCTGTTTACCACTGCAAAGTTGTCGCGACATACACTCTATTCGCTGTCCCCAGGACACACACAACCTCACAAAACACACCATGCCGTTCTTCAAAAAGTCAAAGACGGCCAACCTGGCCAACCTTGGGTCAACGTCCTCCGAAGTCACCCTCGTCGAGCCCTCTGCCTACCAAACAGCGAGCAAGGGCAAGACGCCGGCAACCAAGCCCACGCATCCCAAGCAGACACCCAGGCCATCGGAGAGGGACAAGTGGAATACTATGGAAGCTAGGTTAGGTGAGAAGGTTCTTAAAAAAACGAGGAAGTTGCACTTTGGCTAACACTTCATCTGCAGCGTACATTATAAACAAGTGAGAGACGGGGAGCGGTTTGGGCGGATGATGTTGTAGACGAGATACCCAGACATGAAATCACGATGCACGTGCGTTTTGCAATTTTGCTTTCACTTTTGTTTGTTCCAATGAAACTTCAATGCCACAAATTTCTTTACCTCTTTACAATGTTATTTCCAGGATCTGATAATGCGACATGTCCATGCGGGCGGCCCAAATTCCACATTCACTCCACAAGCTGCCACACTCGGAGTCCGCCGGCCATGAGCAAGCTCGGCAAGTCAATTCAGGCTCTAATACTGTCTAGCGCGCAAAGACACCTGTCGCAGTTGTCCCAAAATCTCCCAAGTAGAAATTGCGAAAAAGAGACAACCTAGTGCGGCCAGGCTTTGTTACACTCCCCAGGGTCCATGCTGACAAAGTCACGTGGAACATACTTACCGACACCAAGTCCGCCCCCAAACGCGGGAGTGAGATGACGAAGCCATGAGACGGCTGCGAGGCTTGCTGATGGCGCCACTCCCGTTTGAACCATCTCATGGCCAAGCGGTGCCTCTAAGTCTGACCTGAGGATTCTTTCTCGTTGCCTGCTATCATTGGAAACGAAAATCATCAATCGTGCTCATTGGGTTGTCACGCCCCCTCCCTCCGTCGAGAACCCCTCGCAAAGAGGCGTATCGAGTTGCAGGTTGGTCCCCGAGATGAAATCGCCCGGCAAGCCGTCCGCGGCGGGCATCGTCTTTGTGCAGGAGGATCCGACGACAATCCAGCGCTTAAGAAAATGGGCACCCAAGACCAAGACTGGATGCAAGACCTGTCGGTTCGTTGACACCCAGTCGTGCCGGCGCATACGCCGGTCATATCCTTCCGGGATGCTCATTATTTGCCCACAGTATCCGGCGAGTAAAATGCGACGAGGGCAGACCATTCTGCAAGAAATGTACGTCGTCTCAAACCCGCTCGGCTGCGGATGAAATCTCACACCGATACCTCCAGGCATCACAACAGGTCGCACATGCGACGGCTATGAGGCGGCGGCTGCCGCCACCCCCGGATCACCACCGACCATGTCAACAGACCAGCTAATGCGGCTGCTGGACCAGCCGGCGCACGCCTCGGGCCCCATCTACGGCGGCTCGAGCCGCGCCGAAAAGGCAGCCTTTTACCGCTTCTACAACCTAACGGTCAAGCAGGTGGCCGGCAAGACGGACACGCTGTTTTGGAAGATTAATCTGCCGCAGCTGTCCCAGGCGCAGCCGGTGTTGTGGCACGCCTCGCTCGCGCTCTCGGCCATGCAGCTGCGCGAGACCATCCCCGACCGGACGGCCGTCGCGCACCAGGCGCGCCAGGACCACTTCCAGTTTGCGCTGAGCCAGTACAGCAAGTCGATTGCGCAACTCGTTGCGCTTTCGGGCAAGACGGACATGACGGGCCAGGACCAAGAGGCGGTGCTGACTGCCTGCATCGTGCTCAGCTGCTTCTGCCTGATGCAGCTCGAGAACCGCGACGCCCTCATCCACTCGCTATACGGGCTCAAGCTCACCCGCCAGTGGAAGTTTGCCAAGCGCGCGACCAACCCGCAACTGTCCGAGAGCGCCCGCTCCACCGCCGACTACCTGACCGCCATGATGAAGTATTTCGAGATGAATTTCATGGAGCAGGCGACGGAGCCTCCGACGGAGGAGGAGGCGGCTCTCCTGCCGCCCCGCGTGCTCACCATTGCGCGCCTCCCTATTGCGCGCCACCAGGTGGCCGACGATGCCGAGTGTCCGCTCACAATCCGCCTGTGGTGCGTCAAGGGCCAGGTCGACTTGCACCTGCGCTTCGTCGAGGACCGGCAGATTCCCAAGGATGAGTTCATGGCGCAGCTAGAGACGGTGATTATCCTAGCGCAGGACATTATCCGCGACGTCAACGCGACGTCCACGCAGGACCAGGAGTGCACGCTCGCCGCCACGTTTGGCGCCGTGCCGTTTGCGCCGCAGCTCGTGCAGCCGCCCATACGCTGCTCCGACCGCCACCGACTGCAGACAGCCACGGTACTCGTCACGGGTGGCGCTTGGCCCTCGGACATTGGCTACTTTGATACGACGGTCCTTGGATCCAAGTTTGAGCGCGGCGCGCTGGTGCCCTACGGATCGCTGGTCTGGGACGACCGCATCGCCGCGGCCGGGTGCGACTGCGGCGTCGACGACATTCGGCTGTGCCACGAGCACGCTACGCCCAAGATTAAGCAGGACTTTATGCGCGAGGAGGGTATCAAGACCCTCTTCAAGGATTTGGGTGAGGTCATCCGACGCTGGCCGGTGCACATGGTTACCATGAGCTGGTAACATAACAGACTGGACAAGGTACACACGATTTTACGACATATACAAATATATATACTCAGGATACCACTACAATTTAAATGACGATAGTTTACGGGAAGTCTAACGATCCACGATTCAATTTTATTCAGTGAACGAGGTAGAAGTGAATGACTAGAGAAGCAGAGGTACGATATGGAGCAAAATCTCCTGTCTCGTCTTCATTGTGTTGACCAACTGCTTTAGAGCTCGTTCTCCTTCTTGCGGATGTCAAAGACCTTGAGGGCCTCTTCGGCGGCCTTGACGCCAGAGAGGGCCATGGCACCAAAGGTAGGACCTGAGCACGTGTTAGTCGTCTACGGAGACGCAATGTGGCAAGGAGAGGGACAAGGCACATACCCATGCGGTTGGCGCCGTCCACCTCGGACAGCTCCATGCCGCCGACAATGAGACCAGGCACAATCTCACGGGTGCCCTTGACGATGGCGTCCTCGGCCGTGTTCATGTCGAGGCCGCGCATGCCGCCGAGCTTCTCGATGCGCTGCATGCTGACGAGGCGCTTGACGCAAAAGGCGCCCATGGGGCCGTCGTGGCCGGTGGTGGAGATGATGAGGGGCGCGTTGATGGTGTTGGGGTCCATGCAGGACTGGTCGTCGTGGTGCATGGAGACGAGGGTCCAGTTGGTGACGACGCCGGCGATGCGGACGTTGGCGGGGTCGTCGCCGGCCGGGGCGGCGCGCGTGATAAGGTCCTCGACGCACGTGGCGTTGAAGAGCTTGATGTTGGGCATGCGCAGCACCTGGGACATGATGGTGGACGTGAAGAGGGCGGCGTGGCGGACGACGACGTACGCGCCCTCGTCCTCGTACGGCACGCCGACCTCGCGCAGGAACGCGTCGGCCGGCTTGCGCATAATCATGGCCGAGAAGAGCTGGCCGCCCAGCCAGGCGCCGCCGCCGGGGCTCACCGAGGCCTCGATGATGGCAATCTTGAGGTCCGGCCGCTTCTTGCCGAGCACATAGGCCGCCGACAGGCCGCAGGAGCCGGCGCCGATGATGACAATGTCCGACTCGGCGTACGTGTCGAGGTCCTCGAAGTAGCGGCGCGTCATGGCCCGCGAGACCTGCGACTCGCGGATCGGCGCAAACTTGAAGCTGTCCCACTGGCCCAGCATGTCGTCGATGGCGAGGCGGGTGCTGTCGGCCGCCGGGACGGCCACGGCGTTGTGACCGCTGGCGGCCTTGGTCACGGGCACGGCGGCATACTGCGGGGGGGAGATGGCGGCGGGAGGGCTCATTTTGAAAGGGAGATTGATTGATTGGGTGGTACCTGTGACGGTTAGGATGGCGATGTCCTGTCAAGACGGGGGAGGACAAGGGGGGGGGGGAGGCATGATCCTTTCGCTGGTATTATCCAGATCAAGTTGAGGGCCGTATAATCTCAGCCACGCCCGCCCCCGAGATCTTGCTCCGGTCGTGCCGAGTGGGAACGGCAGTGGGGGGAGCAAGCTCGAGAGACGGGCAGGCACCGGCTCATGCTGCAACAACTTTACCTGAAGAGGACGATATAGATAACATCTCTCAACTCTGGACAGAGTACCACCGAGAGGCCGCCATGAGGAAGGCCATTGTCCCGGGCAAGGGGGGGGGTAATCAAATACCAAAAAGGGTTGGTTTATCTGCGTGTCGTGTAGAAGACGTTAGCCATCTATTGCGTTTTACCTATCATGCACCTGCGAGCCACCGAGATGCGGACGAACTTATTGGATGGTTTGGGAGCGTCTTCAGTCTCGTTTCTGATGAAGATGGGATGTGAAGGAGAAGGAATTGGAATTCACACAAACGGCCATCATGCGTCTTTTTTATATCATATACTCCTCTTTTTTTTTGCTCTGATCCCTCAATCATTGGACCAGACCACCCCAACTACCATCCATGACCAGCCAAACAGGAACAACCCCTCCGATTGAGGGGTTTTGGGAGGGGGGGGCCAAGCCGCTCAACAACTCCACCCCAGACAACGGCAATTGCGCTTAGGGCCGGGAGAGAGAGAACGTGGTGACCAATCGATTGCTAAACGAGTCTATGGGACTGGAGTAGGACTGGATGCTATGGGAGAAGCTAGGTATCGGCGTGTTGTGCAATGAGGGAACAGAAGCGCTGTGGTGACTCGAGATCGAGCTGAACAAGTCGGGGCAGCCCAGAATCTGGGGCTGAATGCGGCCGCCGTTATGGTGCCGTTGCTAGCGTCAACCGTGATTTTTACGGCTCAAACATATGTATTGTACTAGGTAGTTGCTGTCCTGCTTTTTTACCCGTGATGTGGGAATTGAGTCATGTCGACTCATAGTTGTAGTGGTTCTATTCGTCTATAACCCGCTCCTTAAATTGTGGCCCTTGTATGGTCTGGACCATATCTAGTCTTATCTAGTTAAAACTTCAACAATGCATGGAGTAGATGATAGCGAATTCTCAACGGATTGCCATTTGACCCCCTTTGGTCGTATAATGAATGGTAATATCCCGCGGTGTCACCATGTCAGTGTGCAACGAAGTCAGAGTGGATGGCCATCGACCCCCCCGACGCCCAAAATGTGCTCTCTCCCTTCAGTAGGATGAATGGCGATTCTTTTAAGCCTCGGCAACCTCCTTGACCGTCTGCACAAAGCGTTCCGGGTCGTGGCCGAAGCGGCCGAGGAACAAGCCGTCGAGACCCGTTTTGAGACGCTCGTACAGGCCCGGTCCAGCACTGCCGCCATACACGACGCGCGTGGTGCCCTTTCTGCGCCTGACGCAGTCGAGCGCGCGCAAGCCAGCGACGACGGCGAGCACATGCGCGTCGGCAGCCGGCTGCGCCGCACCAATCGCCCACACGGGCTCATACGCGAGTACCAGCTCCGCGTCGTCGGCGAGCGCGTCAACGACGGCCTCGACCTGCGGCCGGCACTCGTCGACCGCGCGGCCAGCACCGCCGGCCGCCGTCTGCTCGCCGACGCACACGAGCGGCACCAGGCCGTTGCGGCTGGCGGCGGCCGCTTTGCGCGCCGTGACGGCGTCGTCTTCGCCAAAGAGCCGACGGCGCTCGGCGTGCCCGACGGCGACGATGCGCGCGCCGAGCGCGGACAGCACGGCCGGGCTCACCTCGCCCGTAAAAGAGCCGTGGTCGTCCCAGTGGCAGTCCTGGGCGCCGGGCCACACGGGCAGCCCGCTGGCGCGGATCTGCGCGGCGACGGCGCCGACGGTGAGGAAGTCGGGCAGGATGAAGATGTCGAGGCGGGCGACGAGCTCGGGCGGCAGCGCGGCCAGACGGGTGAGCACGTCGGCGGTGAAGTCGCGCGTCTTGTCGAGGGAAAAGTACATCTTGGAGGAGAGTCCGACGAGGCGGCGCCGGGGAGGCGGCGGCGTCGTCGTCATGGTGGTTGCTGTGATGGCAAGGCGAGCTGTGCTGGTGGCAAGGAAGACGATGCAGTGCCACTCGGCGGCACACCACTGACGTGCAAAGCCGACGATGAAGAGGGAGAATAGATAATCAGAAGGGTGTAAGGATAAAAGTTCAAGCCGTTGTGTTGGCAGTTAAGACTGGGCGTGTCCGGAACTCATTGAGCTGTCCGGCCACTGAACACTGAAGCTACCCCCTCCCCTAAGCGACGTGTACTGGGCAGTACAGGGCGCTACGGAACCCCGCCACAGCCCTGAGGTTACAGTGGATGATAGGCGGCGTCCAGGAATCGTGATGGCCATTCGAAACTGGACAGAGCTACAAAGTACCAAATGGAAGGAAAATGTAGGCAAAAAAAATCAAGTTGTACTGTACAGCACTCGGGGTTTCTTTTCTCGCCCAATTGACTTTGATGAACAAGTCTCGCTTCCATATCCTGACAACGCCGTGCTCGGCCCTGGGGTTCATGCGCCGATTTTACCAGTACAGCGCCGGCGCCCGCAGCGCCCACCGCTAGTAGGTGTTGCCGCTTTGGGCATGCCGGGGCTTGAAAGTGATGACAGTGCATCGCCACGCGCTCCCTTTGATTGTAGTATTTCTTTTCTATTTTTTGCGGCAGTCAGATGACGAGGGAGAATGGGAGGCAAACCGAGGTCCGAGTTGTCTGTCAAGGCATTTTAAGCTTCAGTAGTGAGTGGTACTACGATAAGTAACAAACATGCAAGACTAGTAGTTGTTCATTACCAACCGTGTTATCTAGCCGACCTTTTCTATACAAAACAGTGTAATTGATCTTCTAGTCTTTCTTCCAATAGCGCAACTAAGCCTCGAGCTGCTCAATCTCGGCCACCTTTTGGGCACTGGCACTGCCCGGGTCAAACTCGTACCCGAGCCACTCGGCGGCCAGGCGGCGCGCCAGCTCGAGCCCGACGACGCGCTCGCCCATGCACAGCACCTGCGCGTTGTTGCTCAGCACGCTGCGCTCGACGCTGAAGCTGTCGTGGGCCGTGACGGCGCGGATGCCCTTGATCTTGTTGGCCGTGATGGCCACGCCGAGCCCCGTGCCGCACACGAGCAGCGCCCGGTCCGCCTCGCCCGCCGCCACCAGCCGCGCCGCCGCCGCCGCCCGCGTCGGGTACGCCGTCTTGTCGCTGGTCGAGCCCGAGCCCACGTCAATGACTTGGCTCACGCGGCTGTCGGATTCAAAGTCGCGCTTGATGGCGTTTTTGTAGTTGACGCCGGCTTCCTAGAGTACGCTGTCAGTGCTGCGTGATGGTTGGTGCTGGCAAACGGAGGGGGGAGGGGGGGTCCCTTACATCACAGCCTATGGCTATTCTCCAGGTAGGTGCCATTGTGTCTGTTGAGATTTGGATATGGAAGGAGAGTGTTTTCGAGTTGAACGAGGAGGAGAAGAAGGGATTTCGAGACGACGAGGCAACCAAGGACCTCCGCTTACACGTCCGAAGCTCGGTCATCTCGCCACCCCCCCTCACCACAACCACTTCATCGAACCCCCACCAAAAAGAACCCCAGAAATAATGAATCACGCTGCCAATCCAGGGGCCATAGTACCAGAAAACAGGTCCAGAACCCCGTGCAGCAGGGGCGTCTGTTGAAAAAGCTGGGGCAAGCTCCGTCTCTTCGCCTTGTTGGTGGGGGAGCTTGCCCGCCGGCTTTCCCGATGTGGAATCCCGACTCGACCAACCAATCCTCCATGACGCCGCAAACAAGAAACCGGGAGCTTGTAAGAGTTACTGTGGTACACATCAACGTTCTGGTATTGCTGCCCGAAGACGGGAAGCTCCAGATTTATTGCCATACTCTTGTCGAACCATCATTCTTCTCCCCAGTTGTCCGCTCCCGCTTCTCCGACTGCGGCACCATGTCCGACGCCCTGGATGCAAACGCGCCCAACACCCCGCGGTCAGAGGACGAGTTGTTCTGGGCCATGCATCCTCCGGTCACGATAAATCGCTGACCAGCTCTCTCACGATTTCTGCTCCCTCCTCTCACGTTCTCTGCTCCCTCTTTCATCCTCACCCCCTTTGCCACTTCACTGCTGGTCATCCTCATCCTCCTCCCCTCCTGTCACACGACTCCTCGCCCACAGACACGCGAGCAACCGATTCAGCATGTCCAAGCGCCACCTCTTCGACTCCCCCGACGGCCTCGTCAACAAGGCGCTCCGGGGCCTCATCCGCTATAACCCCAGGCTCAGCCTTGACGAGGCCAACCGCGTCGTCTTCGACTCGGAGCACGACCGCTCCAAGGTCGTCCTCATCTCCGGCGGCGGCTCCGGGCACGAGCCCGGCTGGAGCGGCTACGTCGGGCGCAACATGCTCGCCGCCGCCGTGCAGGGCGACATCTTTGCCAGCCCGAGCACCAAGCAGATTGTCGCCGCCGTCGACGCCGTCCCCAGCGACGCGGGCACCATCCTCGTCATCACAAACTACACCGGCGACTGCCTGCACTTTGGCCTGGCCAGCGAAAAGGCCAACGCCGCGGGCCACCGCTGCCGCACCCTCATCTGCGGCGACGACGTCTCCGTCGGCCGCACGGGCAGCCTGGTCGGCCGCCGCGGCCTCGCCGGCCAGATTGGCGTCCTCAAGGTCATGGGCGGCGCCGTCGGCGCCGGCGCCTCGCTCGACGACGTGTACGACCTCGGCCTCGCCTTTTCCCAGCAAATCGTCTCCATCGCCGCCACGCTCGACCACTGCCACGTGCCCGGCCGCGCCGAGCACGCGACGCTCCACGACGACGAGGTCGAGCTCGGCACCGGGCCGCACAACGAGCCCGGCCACAAGAAGCTCTCGCCCGCCCCGTCGCCGCAGGACCTCGTGCGGCAGATGCTCGCCCACTGCCTTGACGAGACGGACCCCGAGCGCGGCTACGTCAAGTTCGCGCCCGGCGACGAGACCATGCTGCTCGTCAGCAACTTTGGCGGCATGTCGCACCTCGAGATGGGCGCCCTCGTCGACGAGCTGCTCGAGCAGCTCGAGCGCGACTGGCATCTCGACCCGGCGCGCGTGTGCGCCGGCTTCCTCGAGACGTCGCTCAACGCGCCCGCCTTTTCCGTCTCCGTCATCAACGTCACCGCCGCTGCCCGGGACTGCCGCTACTCGGTCGCCGAGATCAACGCCTTCTTCGACGCGCGCACAGACACGTGCTGGGAGTCGGTGGCCGGCGCCCAGGCCGAGCGCCGCACGCGCGGGGAGCAGCTCGTGCGCGCGCCCAAACCGGCGCCCAAGACGGTCGACGACGCGCGCGACCTCAGGACCGACCCGGCGCTGCTGGAGGCGATGCTGCGCACCGCCTGCGAGGACCTGGTCCGGGCCGAGCCCGACCTCACCAGGTGGGACACGGTCATGGGCGACGGCGACTGCGGCGAGACGCTCAAGACGGGCGCCACAGCGCTGCTGGCCGCGCTCGACGCGGGCCTCGCGCAAAAGGGCTCCGTCGTCGCCGTGCTACTCGCGCTCGAGGACATTGTCGAGAGCAAGATGGGCGGCACGCTCGGCGGCATCCTCGGTATCTTGTTCGTCTCGCTGCGGGCCGCGGTCGAGAAGCACCTTGCCGTCGCCGCGTCGGACGGGCCCGTCGCGCTCTGGGGCAAGGCCCTCGGCGCGGCGCTCGAGAACTTGCGCCGCTACACGCCCGCCAAGGTCGGCGACCGCACCGTTATGGACGCTCTCCTCCCGTTTGCCGCGGCCATGGGCGGGTCATCGGGTTTTGACGGCGCCGTCGATGCTGCTGTCAAAGGGGCTGAGGCGACCAAGACCATGACGCCACGCCTGGGCCGCGCGACCTATGTCGGCCTCGGCAGCGGCGGCACGAGCCAGGAGCTGCCTCCCGACCCTGGTGCGTGGGGAGCCATGGTTGTCATTGCTGGTCTGCACAAGGCATATACGGGCAACAAGTGAGGGAGAAATGGGATTTTTTGGTCGAGTTATTTGGTGTTTTTTGTTGAGCGAAATTCGGTACCCCGGTAATGAGGGAGGGGAAGCAGCCTGGAGATTAGGCGTGTCTGGGGCAGCCGGCATATAAGAACAGGCGAGCCTGAAGAGCTAGTCTTTCGGAGCGTACATAAAATTTATCTCAAACGCATTTATTTGATGGACACGTGAAGGTGATTTTTTATTCTACTACAACTAGCGTACTTTGTGGGCAGTGTACTTGTCGGAATGCAATGGCTTTCCAGGAACCGGAGCAATTGAAGAGGAATGAAAATAAAAATTAGACATGAAAGAGACGATCTGGTGTTTTCATTTCGTCAGCTTCATAGGCGGGTAGGTATTATGTTGCATTCAGGTATCCTACCAGTCTGATAACTGTACATTCTTTCAATGAAAAGGTTCATGTATATCGTTCACACGTAGAGCACATGCCAAATCCTCACGCCCCCAAACCTAGTCGCTCTCTTCAACGGCCTTTTCCTTGTCCGACGGCTTCTGCGGGGGAAACTTCATGCCGCGGTCAGGCCCGCCCGGGGCCGCGCCGGGGCCCCAGCCGCCGTAGCCGCCGGCGGTGGCGACGCCGCCGAGCCCCGCGGCGTTGCCCATGGCGAGGGTGCCGGCGAGCTGGTGGCGGCCAACGCCGGGCTGCGTCTCCTTCCACGAGTCAAAGTCGCTACGCGACTTGCCCGTGTACTTGAGCAGGTCGGCGTCGCTGATGGGCTCGCCGCGCTTCGAGTCCTGGTAGCGCTGGTAGAGCGACTTCTTCTCGCCGCCCTTGTCGTCGGTCGCGGCCTTGTCGCTGGATTTGAAGAGGCCCATGCTGTGCAATGTGTGTACAGAGACAATGTCTTTTTTTTTTCGTCTGTTGTAGGTAGTTGGTGTTGTAGTGAAAGAGGGGTGTTAACGAGGTCGTGTGTATGATGTCTGGGGAAATGTCTGGGGGCAGCGGACCGAGCGGTTTTTATCGCCAACAAAGTCTCCACGGGGTAAATTTCACTTGTCGAATCGGTGGCTAGTTCAGCCTTGTGATGACGGCATGGGCCAGCGCCGAGACTCGTGGCCAGTTGATGCTGCTAGCATGAATGTGGCGTTGAGGCTGTCCCGCTCCTGGACGAATTGCGCGCAGGATTCGAACCATTTGCAGTCTGTCCGAATGCTCAAGAGTCACGGGTCCCATCTATCATAATGATCTAGTCCAGCGCTGCTCAGCCTCAATATCGCCCGACGGAAGTGGAAGATTAATTGTGGAATCTGTCAGGACACTTGGCATTCAGGGCACGTCATTTTTCTTACAGGATTATTTTTTTGCCAAAGAGCGATTCTTTACTCGTTGGTATTGTCATATATGTTTAATAGTTCGAGCAAGGAACTGATGATGATGATATACATGGAATGCGAGGCCTCGAGCCGCACACCAGTGGCATCCAGGCAGCAGCTTTTACTACCCTCGGCCTATTAGCCGGCGATTCATTTGCATCCCAGCCTGCCGTGGCGGCGCCATCGAGGAGCTAACTAACGTTTTGAACTAGTTTTGGGCAAGGTGATGCGGGGACTACGCATGGTTGGCCATGCCCAGACTGTTGTTGCCGCCGTTGAAGGCGACAAACTGCGACTTGAACAAGATGTCGCCGTAGATGCCCAGACCGCCCTGGGGCGACGCCTGCAAGCCGCCGAAGCACGTGGTGTTTGTCTTGTCCACGGGCGCAAAGTTGATATCCGCGCCCTTGATGCGGGCCATGTACGCGCCGCCAATGTCCAGGTGCAGGTCCGGCAGCTGGGCGCGGCACGGCACGACGACGCCGCCGGCCTGCCGGTCATTCGCGGCGCCGGGCACCTGCGAGTAGTAGCCCTGGACAATGGCCGGGTCGGCGAGCAGCAGGGTGGTGCCCGTGTCGGCAATGGCCTGGCCGCCGGGCCGCGACGCGGGCTGCACGGGGCCGTCGCCGACGGCAAAGGACCCGGTGCTGAACTGCCAGAAGCCGGCCGTCGTGTTGGCGGGGATCCACGCCATCTCGCCGGTAAACTTGGACCGGTCGATGCGGCCAAACTCGTACGCGCCGGGCTTGCCCGCGCGCAGGTCGGCGGTGAAGAGCGGCTCCTGCAGCGACGGCATGATGTTTTCGAAAAACGTCTTTTGCTTCTGCGGCTTCACCGCGTTGATGGAGCCAAACGCGAGGCCGACCAGCCCGCCGTTGTTGGCGTCCTGCACAAACGTGTCCGTCACCTGCGTCGCGAGCTCGACGGCCTGCGCCGGCACCACGGCGCCGCCAATCTCGACCACGTCGGTGCCCACGTTGCCCGTGGCGCCCGAGCCGTCGCCGTAACGGATTGCAAACTCGGCCCCCGGCATCGGCTTGAACGTGTTGCTGCGCGTCGGGTCGTACACTTGCCGGCCCTGCGTCTGCTGCCCCGGAAGCTGCGTGTTGAAGACCCAGAGATCCGACGAGCCCGTGTCAAAGTCGAGCGTGACGGGCTGCCCGCCAATCTTGACCTCTGAGAGGTATTCGACGTCGTTTGGCTCCGGAATGGTCGGGACGAGGCCGGTCTGGTTGCCCTTGCGAGCCCGGGCAAGAGCTGCCATGGCGTCGGCATTGGGGTCGCCGTTGTTGGGACTGGGACTGGGACTGGGACTGGGACTGGGACTGGAGCTTGGGGTGGGAGTGGGATTGAAGTTGGGATTCTTGCCGCCAGCACCCTTGCCCTCGCCTTTGCCGCCTTTGTTGCCGCCGGCGCCCTCGCCTTTTCCAGCTCCCTGAGGTTTGTTGCCGTTCTCAGCTCCTTGGGCAGGGTTGCCCTTCCCAGCACCGCCGCCAAGCAGGCCACCAAGAAGATCACCGGCAATCGACTTTTCTTCGACTTGCTCGTCTCCAGCATCCTCCTCTTCATCGTCGTCCTCCTCGTCATCTCCAACCTTCTTCTCGCTCACCTGCTCAACGGCAACAGCCGGAGCGGCACCTGCCACAGGACTGTACCACTTGGTACGGCGTCTCGCCAACATCTCGGTGTCCTGTTTCTCCAGAGCATCGACTAGACCGTCAGGCAGAGGTATGCTGTACTTGCGGTACGCCTTGGCGAGGGCGCGGGGCCCATTGCGGCCAGTGTATCCTTCGTTTTGGAAACGCTCAACCTTGAACGATCGCTTTTCCAGGTACGGGGCGGCGGTAGCGAAGCTGGTCAGCTCCAGGACGAGGAGAAGCGCGGGGAGGGCCTTGGTATACATGGCGCCTGGCTATGTCAAAGACTTGTTGAATTTTGTTTTAATGGCAAGGAATAATGGTCACGCCCGGTGACAAATTAATAAATCACACCCGGTGACGGAATAAATGAACAAGAATAAAAAATGAAGATGTAGAAAAATATGAGTTGAAAGAAAGTTGCAAAAGAATAGATGCCAAGCACTCAACAGATGGAAAATGTGCCAAGAGAACAGGAACAAGGGTCTTCTTCTCAGCAAGCGAATGAGATAGAACCACAATGTCGGGATCTAGAAAAATGAATGACTCATGAAGGGGTTGTATATAGATACATGTTAATCACTCTACGACCCGTATTACTTGCATCGGCGTCTTGGTCTTGTTCACAAACAAGAGCCGTCTCAGCGAATCACCGCCAGATTCCGACAGGGGGTCTTACAATGGTCCAGGGGGGGACGTCGTCAGCCCGTTCGTTAGATGTAGTAACTAAGGGGGATCCGGGGTTTGCATAAAGGGACGCTCCGCAAAAGACAAAACAAAAAGCTTCCCCAAGGTACCCCTCTGACCTAGCTTGTAACAATGGACAGTAATACGTACAGTACAGGACAGTACGAGGCCGACTGATTGGCGAGCTTCTGCAAGTTTCGCGCTATCCCAAATGTGAGGCCTCTGACATTTGTTGTGTGTGTGGTGCGGATTTTCTTTCCTGTTTCCTCGTGCCGTGAGAACCGGGCGTGTCAGGATACACCATCTGGGCGAAACAGGTAATGAATCTTGCTTGCGTACGTCGACATCAATTTCAGACGAAATTGCATTACTGTTGCAGTTTTCTCTTGTATGTAACGGGCCAGGTAAAGGCAACTAACTAGCTGTGCTTGGATCTTTAGACGGCTGCAAGGGGACGTTGCTAGTGCAGGTACGGTCCTGTAGTACAAATTACATATAGATGACTATAATCAAGGATAGCGTGACTAATTGGGCAATGAAGCGCCCGGTTTCAGCTCCGCGACAGAAGCGACCACTTGTACTGTCAATGTCGGGCCTATCCTAGTTAGCGAAACCGATTGTGTTTCACCACTTCTACACAACAACAACGAGTTGCTCTGCGATTGGCGGAACCTGATTAAAGACGAAGATGTAATGTATTCAAGTCGGAACACTTTTACGCAAAGAACACGGGATATCACATTTCCTCCCCTTCATTTCCACCATCGGTCCCAGTAAAGATGGCTGAGCAGCCACAACTCCGGCTTTAGCATGGTGATGTGGTGCATCCGTTTTAGTGGACGGGTGGGTGGCTTGAATGCAGTCTTTAGCGCCCAACCTTGTTATTTGACAAGATTATGAATTACTCATTCAGTACAGATAACGTATCACATGTGATTGTCATGCATAGATTGAACCCGCTCTGTGAGCGCTCTTCATCTGAGGGGCCGGTGGCAGTAAGGAACAATTTGGAGGATTTCTGATGGAATCATGCCATTTCATTTGTTTGTTTCAACTTTTCTTTTTTAATTTAAATCATTTCGCGCATCCGCCTCCCATGGCCTTCAAACCCACAGGAGCGCGACGACTTCGCGCTCTGCAAGAATCCAGAAATGAAATCTAGAACTCGTTTGAGACGCAGGAGAATTTGACACATGGCAATAAACGAATTCGGCAGCAGCGTGTGTTTCTCATATCACTCTCCAAGTGGCGGTGATCCCGACCATCTAACAGCGTGGCTGCCGGCCCGGGACCAGGCGATGGCCGGCTGCACATTATTAGTCCCAATTAACAGAATCAAGTTTCGCGCGAGGCCCGAATATTCGCATTGCATTTAGTACTGTACACTCGGGTGGTACCAGTCGTCAAACTACCGACTAGCCCCGCCGCTGATCATTGCGGTTAAAGTAGTACGCCAAACGCGTATCAACCGGTTCGATGTCTTCCGTAGTTCTTAAAGACGGCTAGCAGCAGCAAGTCATATGTTCCCTTGAGAGATCCGGCAATCACAAACGTCAGCCAAAAGAACTTGTGACTGGCCAACACACCAGTAATCAGAGGGCCCATGCTCTGCGCAGTCGTCTTGACGACGTTGACTGCGCCCATGACGGAAGTCCGTTCTCCCGGTTGCAGAATGGTGGCCATGAATGCAGTTCTTGGCGCACTATCCATGCTCTGCAGCGAAGCGCGCAAAACCAGAAACATTATTGCAAATTTGGGGTCCGACGGGATCGGGATCAAGGCCAGAAACACTGCCGACGGGAGATGCGTAAAGACCATGGTCTAGCGCGGTTAGCAATGCATGGGCTTCAGGCAGAAGAGGAAGAAACAACGAACCTTGACGTTTCCGAGACGCTTCGCAATGGACGATGCTATCAATACCGTCATGGCCGAAATAATACTCGTCGTAAAGAAGAGAGACCCCAGCTTCCCTTCTTCGATACCGAATTGGCTCCGGAAGTAGTAGGTTACCCATGAGCTACAGAGAATATGAGCTTCATGTCCAAGTAGGAACTTATCTTGCCACACTTACAGGGAGGCCAGACCGGAGCCCAGCGAATCAATGGCAAACAGGACGCATAGAATAGCGGTAATCTTTTTGCTCTCCGGGCTGATGTGGGGAAGCATGGATGCCCACCGGCTCTTCTTCGAAGGAGGCTCGGCCGGAGCAGCCCCATTGGCACTGAGCAGCGGCGCACGCTCATCAGCCACGTCTGCCGGCGCAGGCGGGGCCTCGTCGAGCTCTACGGCGCGGGACAGCATAATGGTCAGCAAGAACTTGAGCAGGCCAAAGACAGCATACGCGACAAAGGCGCCGCGGTACGCGCCGAGCAGCGACCAGTGCAGCGTGCGGCGCGCGGCCTCAATGGCCCAGCCGCTCGCCATCATGCCAAAGGCGGAGCCGGCGGGGGCGAACAGCGTGTACCAGGCGTAGACCTCGGCGCGCTGCTCGGCGGGCGTCAGGTGGGCGACGATGCTCTCCTCGACGGCGCGAAAGGGCCCAATCTCGTTGCCGGCCGGGCTGATGACGCCGAGCACGGCGGCGAGCAGCAGCAGCCAGTAGTTGGAGCACAGGGCGAAGACGGCGCCGCTGGCGGCCATGAGCAGCGCGCCGAGCGCCAGGATGGCCTTGCGCCCGAGCCGGTCCGCGAAGAGCGTGAGCACGAAGCTGATGACGACGTCGCCCACGAGCGTGAGCGTCATGAAGAGCCCGACGCGCGTGCGCGAGTGCCCCAGCGCCTGCAGAAAGGCCACGAGGATCAGCGTCGTCACGCCGTACGCGAAGAGCCGCACGAACCGCTGCAGGCACAGCAGCTTGATGTCGCGCGGCGAGCGGAAGAGCGTCACGAGCCCGACTTCGTCGAGGACGCGGTAGTAGAGGGGCGGCCGCGGGGCCGGCGTTTGGTCGTCCATCGCGGGCGGTAGTCGGCGGACGGTTTTGGATGGTGAATGGGCTTGGATATTCGTAGATGCCTTCGAAATATCGTTGGTATTTTGGTCTTTATGAGCTCGACAAGCTGTCGGAGCTCCGACGGCTGGAGCCCCGAAACTAGTTAGGCTGTTGTGGCTGGAGGATTTCAGGATTTCGCAAATTACGCAGCGTCTCCACGTGCATCCGCTATTTGCGCCAAACTATCCAAACCATCCCAGCAACCGCACCATTTGGGTGGATTGGATCGAAGTATTGGCCGAATCGCCGAGACTGCAAGCGAGGGTATGTACAGATACGTGCATCACAATGCTTGGATTGGTATTATCTGGACGCTGATACGGCCCGCATATAAGCAGGGAATGAACCGTCCTGCCACGCGTTTGCTCCGACTCTGTTGCACGGCATTTTGTCATTTCCGATTTCTATCCAAAGAAAGAAAAAAAAGCATAGCAGCCTCAGAGGCCGGTACAAAAGAAACTGCCAACGTTTAAATCTTATACTCCCCATTGGCAACGCGCGCAGCCAGCTCCTCAAGTACCTTGGCCGCATACTCGTAGTCCTTCATGTCCAGATAGATTTGCGCGCTCGTGCGAACCCACAGCCTGTCGTCCATCCAGAACAAGGGCATCAGCGTGTGATACTCGTCCTTCATGGTCTGCATCATCCACAGCCGCACCTGCACCGCCTCGTGCTCGGGCACCACCATGTCCTCCTCGTGCTCCCCGGCGCCCTTGCCCTTGCCCCCCGGCAGCCAGATGGGCAGCGCAATGTTGGCCATGGCGCAGTTTGTCAGCGTGCCCTTTGTATTCTCCAGCACCTCGGTGCGCAGCCGCGCCGCCACGTGGCGGCTGCCCCTTTTGTTGAGGTCCCAGAGGTACGCCATGATGCGCGCCTCGCCGCCGCACACGTCGCGCCGCCAGGCGATGGCGTCCTTGGTCACAATGTCCTGCGAGCGGTCCTTGGTGGCCACGAGCTCGAAGCGGTTGACAAACGGCGGCTTCGTGTTGGGCGGCAGCACGTCCCGCCGGACCGCCGTCCGCGGCACGTAGCCGTGGCTCGTCGACAGCGGCGTCGCAATCATGTCCTGGTTCCGCAGAGGGCAGTACAGGATGGCGCAGCCCCGGGGCACGTGCAGCCACTTGTGGCAGTTGGACGTGAAGAAGTCCGGGTCCGCCGCCGCGAGGTCCAGCTCGACCATGCCGATGCCCTGCGCGCCGTCCACCATGCTCAGCACGTCGAGTTCCTTGCACGCCTTGCACAGCGCCTCCCAGGGGAACACGAGACCCGGGTTGGACGACACAACGTCAAAGGTGCAGATGCGGGCGCGTTTGCCTTGCTTCTCGAGAGCGGCCACGGCGTCCCGGAACAGCTGGATAATGTCCTCGTCCTCCAGAGGGTAGTGGAGGGGAATCTCGTGGATGCCGACTCGGTGGCTGCCAAAGTAGTCGACCATGAAGTCTGCGATTTTGGCGCAGGCCGGATAAATAGTTGAAAAGAAGAGAATGACGTCTTTTCCGTCCTCGTTCCATTTCATGTTGCGAAACACCGTGTTGACAGCCTCAGTGGCATTGGTCACAAACACCACCGTGTCGGTCGGTGCATTGACCAGTTTCGCCACGGCTTCACGAGATTCGTCAATGAGTTTTCCTTGATCATACCGAATAAACTTGTCTGGTGTCGCTTCTGCGAGGTCCTGGTACGCCCGGAATTTTTCCCTGATGACGAGCGGCATCGTTCCGTAGGATCCTGTGCGTCGTTTGTTAGCTACCGCCTTGGTGAGTCTGCCCAGGATTGCGTCACACCATGATTCAAGTTGACCCAATCTTGGGCTTGGGGAAATAGTGTCTTGAGTTGTCCACCAAACTCGAGATATTTTCCTCGAGTGGGAAGATCTGTCTGATTGGTAACGGTCATGATTGTGTGTGACGATTGATGACGAGTCTGTTGATGCGTCTATGTCAAGACGAGGGATTAAGAGTCCCGACAACAATAGCAGCACTGGAGAAACAGAAATTGCCAAGGACGGGGATTTTCTTTATACAGATCAAGACTATGCAAATCCACCTCGAACAACTGCTTTGTAACAAGGCAAGTGAGTCATGTAGCTGAACAGGTCAATGACTTGCGGGGATCCGATTTCGGGTTACAGGCAGTGTTCTGACAAGTCAAGCGCGCCCTATTGAGTTGCTAACTGAATAGGCCGTGACAAGCCGCGATTATAATTTAAGGAGGACCCAAAGAAGCATGATTGCGAGCTAGAGGGGCACTTGTAAAATCGCTATGTACGGTCCGCATATCGCCCCCACAGGTCAAGTTGAACTCCAGATGAATGGAAAACGTCAGACATGTAGAACAATTATTTATATACGTCGTCAGAAAAATAAATAGTAATAGACATGTGCAGAAAATATACGTAGAACCATTACCATGTACCCATGCACCCATGTACCCATGTACCCAAGATCCAACGCCAAGCAATCGCAGAAAACACTCAGCTGTCCCAAATAGCTCCATAGGCCGGGATTCCTCTCGTTTCCAGGCCATACACGACCTTTTTCGTAATCTTCTCATTAGCAATAATAATGACCGCCTCTGCGCCAAACGACACGGCCAGGTTGTATCCCATCTTGGTGAGGTCCGGGCGGCCCTTGGTGGCCGTGTCGTGAATAACGGCATCCGGGATGGTGTTGTAAATCGAGTCCAAGACGGGCTTGCCAAACGTCTTTTCCGGGCTCTTGGTGGACCAGATGAGCTGCGTCTTGCAGGTCGGGTTCTGGATGTGGCCCAGGAGCGGGCCGATGCCGGAGCCGGTGCCGATGATGACGATGCGGTTGAAGAGCGTGGCGATGCGCATGACGCCGCAGGTCGGGATGCCGCGCACCCACACGGAGCGCGGCGCGCTACGGATGCACGCCTTGGTCCAGTCGCCCGCGTTGGACACGACGAGGGAGTAGCCCGGGCGGCTGGCCAGCGCCGTCGGCGCCACCGGCTGCGGGATCGTCGCAAACGAGTGCCACTCGAGCAGCGGCCGCGTCGAGATGCGCGTGAAGCTGCCGTTGACCGGCACCGTGTACGTAAAGGAGAGCACGGCCGCGTGGTCCGAGAGCGGCACCGTCTCCACGGGCACCTTGCGCAGGAACAGCCACGACGAGGCGATGCTGCCCGTCGCCACGACGAGCAGCCAGAACGCGGGGCTGCGGACGAGCGCGCCGCCGAGGTCCTGCCCGCCCGGCGTCGCCGCTGCGGCCGAGCGCGCTTGCAGCACCGTCTTGACCCAAAAGAGGAGCAGCGCCGTCCAGCCCATGAAGCGGTGCGAGATCTCAAACGTGTCGTGGTACTTTTTTGCGTATCGCCGGGTACGCGAATCCCACCATGGTGCAGCAGAGGGCGCAAATCAGCCACGAGACGACAATCGAGGCCATCGAGTCCTGCGCCTGAGCCGCCGCCCCGTTGCGCACGTACGCGACGGACGAGGCGAAGGTGCTGCCCAGCAGCCAGGCGGTCGAGCAGACGGCCGCCGCCGAGTGCACGCCGCCGAGGTGGTAAATCTTGGCGCAGCGGCGGCGCAGCCAGAGCGGCGCGGCGCGGGGCACTGAGCAGCACACCGTGTACAGCGCGTTGACGACGGCGTCCTGGCGGACCAGCACGGCCAGCGTGAGGTTGGCGGCGACGAGCAGCGGAAGGTGCTTCTGGCGGTCGGCGCCGCCGAGGAGCAGCAGCAGCGCCGCGAGCACGCCGCCGTTGAGGAGCACCACGCACGAGAAGAGCGCGCGGTAGATGATGAGGATGCGGTACGCGAGCCCGCGGAACGGCTGCGGCAGCGTCTTGTCCGGCACGTCGGCGTCGAGCATCGGCGGCGCGTCGTAGGCCGTCGTGGCCGAGGAAAGCGAGCGCGTCTCGACGAGCGTTCCCTTTTCGCTCGGCGTCCTGTCCCGGTCGTCGTCGCTCTCAGACGCGAACCGGCTTCTGCTGCTGTGCTGCTTTTCGTCTTCGTACAGGCTGCGCAGGGCCTTCTTGTCCGTCTTGCCGTTGGCGGTGACGGGAAAGGCGGCCAGCTGGTGCACGGCCGAGGGCACGGCGTAGTAGGGCTGCCGCTCGGCGACGCACGCGAGGATGTGCTGCTCGTCTTGGTGCGCCGGCGCGACAAAGGCGTGGATCTGTCCGTCGAGGAACAGGGCGACGGCGTGCGAGACGCCGGGGGCGGACAGGAGGGACGCCGAGATGCCGTCGAGCTCGACTCGAAATCCCTGGTGGGTGTCAGCTGGCGGCCGTCTTGGGACATGTGTCGTGGGAAGGATGCTTACCTTGATTTTTACCTGGTCGTCGCAGCGTCCAAGAATCAGGATGTTGCCAGAGGGATCCCATTTGCCGAGGTCGCCCGTTCGATACATTCGTGAACTACGTCATTGTTAGCTTCCAGCGTCCCTTGCGCAGAATAGCTCTTGTCTCGCACCCGTCATTCATAAAAGGGTCTGGTAGGTAGGACTCCGTGGTCTTTTGCTCGAGTCCGACATAGCCTCGCGACACGCCGCTGCCACCTGCCCACATGACGCCCGTCTGGCCGAGCTCGACCGGCTGCATAGCCTCGTCGAGAATATACACGTTGTTGTTCGGCGTCGGCTTGCCAATGTTGATGGTCTCGCCTGCGACGTGTCTGCTCATGGTGTTGACAATGGTGGTCTCGGTTGGGCCGCAGCAGTTCCAGTACTCGGCTTCCGTGGCCCAGAGATCGGCCAGCGACTGGGTTGTGGGCTCGCCGGCCGTTGCGGCGACTCTGATGTTGCGGTATCTCTGAGGTGGGTATTTGGACAGGATGCTTGGTGTGCAAATTAATACATCAATCTGTTTCGTCGGTCAGTTTTGGGTCTCCTCTATGCTGTAGTCGCATCTCCGCACCTGGCTCATCGTGGGCTCCCAGTCGGACCCGCGGATGACGAGAGTGCCGCCGTTGCATAGGCATGTGAAAATTTCCCAGGCCGCTAGATTCTATCAGCATTGATCAAGCTCAATTCCGAGATGCAGGTACGTACCCATATCGAAGCTAATGTTGAGGACTTGGCCAACGCGGACGCCGGGACTTACACCGAGGCTTCCGGGATGCTGGCACACAAGGTTGGCCACGTTGGCATGCGTAACATCGACGCCTTTGGGCTTTCCTGTAGTTCCTAGAATCGATATTAGAAGACAAATATTCTGCGGCGCGCGTCCGACGGACTTGCCTGATGTGTAAATGACGTAGCAGCCGCTCGCTGGCGTCGCCAAGTCCATCCAGCGCGTGGCCAGCGGGAGGCCGCCAGCAGCCACACACTTTTCCACATTCACCGCAAGCGCGTGCGGGAACAGGTTGGTTATTCTCTTCTCCGTCGACGAGATGCAGACGACGACTTTGCCGCCGCTCTGCTTGAGCACGTGGCGGAGCGTCGAGTCGGGCACGACGCCGCCGTCGAGCGGGACGTACTGGGCGCCGCAGAGCAGCACGGCCCAGATGCCGACAACCATCTCGCAGCTGCGCTTGACGACGAGCGGCACGCGGTGCCCCGGCTTCACGCCGATGCTAGTGAGGTGCCACGCGAGGGCCTGTGCCTGCAGGGCGAGCGTGCCGTACGTGACCTGTCGTGGCACCTGAGCCGAGAGGTCGTGCACGGCGATGGCGGCGGGGTTGTCGAGGGCAAAGTGCGCAAAGGCGGCTGTCGCGGTACCAAAGGCGGCCCTCTTCGTCGGGCCAAAGCAAAAGGCCATGGTGTCGGTGTCCATGTTGGTGTTGGATGTCACCATGGTAAGCGTTGAAGCGGTCACGGTGATGCTACTTGGTCGGCCGAGGTGCTTCTTTCGGTGCCACTGGCAAGAGCTTACTGTGAAAGGATGCGGGAATGTCTCAGCTCTCTCTTGACCGGTGGACGGGCTGGCGACATTATATACATGTTTCTCTCGACCGTCTTTCCGCAACACCCTAAAGCGGACGACCGGGTCACAGCAAACGTTGGGCGCCCTGCCCTGGTTGCATGAGGCGAAGGGCCAAAGGTATCTCTACAGCAACATCAGGGCCCCAACGTATCCAATCCTCTGGCCCAAGTACTTTCCGAATCAAGCGTCTCTTGTCAGTCACGCGCGCCACTCCCTCGACGGAAGGCGTCCAGTTTGTAAGCGGTAACCAGACAGGCCGTCTCGCCGAGGCGGGAATGTCGCCCCTCCCATCGCAACGCCGAGCAACAGGGGGGCGTGGTGGCCAGAGAGCGCCAAGGGAGGGAGAGAGCAATTGTGCCTCGTCGTTTCGGTGTACCGGGCGCACAACGATGGTACAAACACACCACGCCCCAACCACAATGCATTGTATATTGTATGTGCCAGTCGGAGACGGGCAACAAGGAGTGGCATTCCAGCCTCACCACCACCCCGGTAACCCTAGGTAGTTATCTCGCCAAGAGCCAAGTACAAACCTGTCGGTTGCTTCTAAGCTTGTTTGTGCGCTAGAGGAACAAAGCAGCGAACAAGTTGTCTGGCGGTCTCGCTTACCCCAAGAATACAAGAATATTGGCTTGGTTGTCCAAACTGTTTTTTTTTCCTTATTGGTGGCGTTGAAGATCCGCTTACACAGGAACCAAGGTCATGGACCGGTGGCACGAGGCGAACCTGGTCTGCCGAGTTCCCCCCCCAAACAAGGAACAGGGGCAATCCATACATGTCTCACTTGTCTCAGAGCCGTCAACCCCAGCAACCCGGCCACCGACTGATTGTCCTGGTTCGCAGAATTGCTGCGACACGGGTGGGCACATGAAGGGGCCCTGCTCCCCCTCAGCTGGTTCGCCTACGAGCCAAGATGAGATGACGAAAAGCAAGGGGGGCAAAAGGAAAAAAAGACGAAAATGGAAGGGAAAAAAACCCAAAACTGAACGGAGAAAAAAAAAAAAGAAAAAAAAGGGAACCGCGTCCGTGTTGGCTTCGACACCCTGACCCGGGGCAAACCAAGCCAACCACCCAGCCCCGATGCTGTTGGACGGGCGGCGAGTAAAGAGGAAGACGGTGAGGGCGAGAGGGGAGCCCTGTTGGTTTTCTTCTCCGCATAATTCCTCCCAACCTTGTCGATCTGTTTTTTCTCTAGTTCCAGTATCCGACGCGGAGGAACTCACTCATACAGAATTCCCCTCTTGCCTCTTCTCTCTAGACTGCAGCCAAGACCTGCTCTGGAACAAGAACTATTCAGTAGTTAGTTATTTATTTGTTTCTCCCACGCGGGACAGGAGAGAACCAAAAATTGACCCATCATCACAATCATATCTCCCCCTCCCTCCCAGCGGCCCGGGGCGGAGACGGTGAAGGAATGGATAATCGCACTCGTTACTAAGTAACCCACGGCGAGCTGAAGGTGTGTGCGCATTGTTACCGAGACAAGGTGGACGGTGGTTAGTGTCTCTCTCTCGCTCTCTCTCTCTTGATTTGCATCACCCTGCTTTCTTCAGCACCAAAAGAAGCCGTTTCCGTCCAGTTTCTCTCCCACCTCCCTTGCTCCTCCCCCCCCCCTAGCACACGCATGTTCCTAACAGGGTCTGCACGGCCCATGTGGTGGTTGTGTGGTTTCAGCCTGCTCGGCATGTTTTGTTTGTTCGAGTTTAGTCCTGTCTTGCCTGCAACTCAAGAAACGTGCCCAGCTTCCTCCATGCATCTAGTCACACACATACTCACACACATACTCACAAACGCCCTCATACTTCTCGTTTAATAATTAGTGTCTGGCAGCAGCATGCTTGGCAGCAGCACGTTTGGCAGGCTGGGGGCGAGGTACGAGGAGTCACAAACCTGTCATGAACCCAACATGTCGACATGTCTGTGCGTACCCATCGGGATGAAGAAAGATCCAATCACCTTGTACATTCCAAAATTGGAATGTCGCCCGGGAAAAATCTCCGTTATCGACTTTGTTTACGGATACACTGGGGGCCTTTTCTAGTTAGACGCATCAATAACATCTTGCCCGTGCATATTGGCCTCGGCGTAGTTGCCATGTTCCGGGTACCCCTTCACCACCCTGGCAAAAGTCCTCGCTCTATCTACACATTGTTTTCCCTGCCCTCTCACCCTCTCAATAGACAGACTCAATAACCGCTCAGCATCGGTCTTGGTCCGCGGGCTGTCTCACCCTGGTTCGGTCCAAGTGACTTTCTATCCCATCACTCAGCAAGGGCAAACACTGGAATATACGCCGCCCGCCTCTGATTTGCTCTTCCTCGGCTCCCTCCTCCTAGCTCTCCTGCACCTCAGACTCCCACAAGACGAGTCTCTTCATCAATCACATCATGACTGAGTCATCTACAGCTGACGTCGTATTGTCATCAACCCCCGCTCCGGGTGTTCGACTTCTTCAACTCAACCGCCCAGAGAAGCGCAATGCACTGTCCCAGCTTCTGATCCGCTCTCTTCTCTCTGAGCTCAGTAAGGCATCTGCGGATGATGCCATCTTCTCCATCATTCTCACCGGAAATGGTCCCTTTTTTTGCGGTATGTGCCACTATGCTCAACACAGCTCCCCCTCCTCCTCCACAAACAAGCGAATGATTTTGTTGACATCCCCTAGCCGGTGCGGATCTGAATGACATCGCCCCTCTTGACGAAGCAGGCGCCAGAGCTTGTCGCTATCTGGAGGACCTCTGCGCTGGCTTTGCAGCTGTCAAGAAGCCCATCATCGCCGCCGTCAACGGCCCTGCTGTAAGTCACCCACGCAGACCCCATCCGTACAGGTCCGCACGGATTGACCCTCAAGCAGCTTGGTGGTGGGTTCGAGATTGCCCTAATGGTAGGAGGATCCTCTGATATGCGCCCCCCTTCTGGACAGATTGCGCTAATATAGTGCAGAGCGATTTGATCCTTGCGGCCCAGCCCGCGTACTTTGTCCTCCCAGAGACCAAGATTGGGCTCATCCCCGGCGCCGGCGGTACCCAACGGCTGACAGCGGCCATCGGCAAGTACAAGGTGGGTTTCTTCAGCGGGAATACATGTATGACGACGGCACTAACGTTGGCCAGGCCATGCGCAGCATCTTGCTGGCCGAGCCCATGACTGCCGAGGAGGCCATGGCCGCCAGCCTCGTCGCTAGTGTAGTCAGCCCCGACACCCTGACCCAGCACGCCTTCGAGATGGCCTCCAAGTTCACTGCCGACAACAGACAGGCCGTTGCCTTTGCCAAGCAGGCCATCTGCAGAGGTAAGAAGTGCATGCCTAAGCGAGGCCATATTCTTGCATGAGCTGACTCAGATAGCGGATGATCTCTGCCGCGACGACGCCTTTGAGCGAAATCTGTACTACACCGCGTTCGGAACCAATGAGAAAAGGCGCGGGGTCGACGACTTCTTGACCGCTCGTCGCAAAAAGGCATGATTGGACGCGCATCACATCACATGGCAGCATGGTGTCTAAAGAAATGTAGCTGCGATTGGGTCCTCCAGTAGCTACAGTAAACCCTATCAAGAGTTCAATCAAGGTCGTATCGTCGTCATCTATGTATGAGCTTGGTGCCCGAACTACAGGCACTGACTCGTTTCTCATTTGGTGCAATTCCAACTGGAGCCCCAACTTTGGAGGCACTCCAGTCCTCTGGTTCCGATCTGCGAAACCGCGGCGTTCCGTAATAGCAGCTGGCTCTTCCCCAGATCAGTGGGGGGCGCCACAGCCGCATCCTCGGGTGTGGCTTTCGTAGCTCGCTTGGATCGCTGCTGCGGCTTTTGCGAAGAATGCGGCTCCAGTATACTGTTGGGGCCGGCCGCCGCCGGCTGCTCCAGCAACCCAACCAGAGGGTCATCAATGTAAAATGGATTCGGGTTGCAGAATGCAGCACTCCAGCGAAGATTTGGGGAGAGGGACGCGAGCGGACCAGTCGGCGGGCTTTTTGGCTCCATAGGCTGGGGCTTGCCGAAAGGCGAGGGCGCGAGACTAGGTCTCAGTGGTGGCAACGTGATGCTCGAATCGAGCTTGCTTTGCGGCGAGCCGCGACGTCTGCCCACGGTAGGCATCACAACCTCTTCCCCGTCAATCATTTTGCGCTTTCGGACTCTGGGGTTTGATTTGACAGAGTAGAGGATGGAGTTTTCAGCAGTGTGGTCCTTTGGCAGGGGGGTCTGCTGCGGCTGTAGCTGTTGTTGCACATTGAGAGGCGACTGCGGTTGCTCAACGCCCATCTCGGCCGCATCACTCTTAAGGCTGCGACCGTGGTTGGGGTTCAGCGTAGAAGGTCGATTCTTACCCTTTTCGAGAGCGCCCGGAGCGGATTTGCGGGGTCCCTTGGCCCTTGGTCGAGACAACTTGGGGGCAGGAATTGGCAGCGCCTCAGTCGTACTGGTACTTGCCAACGACGGGGCTGAATCGGCTGTGATTGTTGCGCGGCGAGTTGCCTTTTCCGGCGTTTCTTTTCCTGTAATGCGGCGTAATTCTTTGAGGATCTTGAGGGTGCAGTAAGCACCAGTGACCTTGGAATCGCGCATAGCTACGGGATGCGCTGCAGGTCGGCGCGGCTTCTTGGGCGATGGGTCACGCCAAAGTTTTGGAACACGAGCTTGCAGGTCGTCGACCCAAGCGTCGCAGTCCCACTGGATCCAGAAGTCGATAATGTCGCCCCATGAGCTCTCTGGCGGCTTGGTAAAGTTGACAAAGACGACTTTGCCGCCTTTGCTATGAACTGTCTTGGCAAACTCTCTCACCATGACTTTGAGACCATGCACCCGTAAGCTTGTGCCTAAAATGAGGAGCATGTCTGGGTAGAGTGCCAAGTCATGCGTGATGATGGGGCTGATAAGGTGGGCATTGGGGTGTTCCTCGCCATACAGAACAATGTCTGGGCGCAGTTTTCCAACACCCAGAGCCCTTTTGCCCTTCTCCTCGCGTGCCGCGGCGGCACCAGCGCATCGCGGGCACTCGGGCTGCTGGCCGGTTAATGTCGCTATCTCGCGGTCCTCATCGTCCCATGAGCAAACTTGCGCGCAAAGAAAGCAGCGCAGCAATTCAAGAGATCCATGCAGAAAGACACACTCGACACCAGACTGTGACGGCTCTTTCTTGAGGGTTGCGGGGAGTGCGCTATTCTTGGCATCGCAGGACGATGCTTCGGGATCAGTTTGTGAAGGAGCCTCTGGTAATGACGCCTGCGATGCTTGTGGTGTGGCGGAGTCTGATCCTGGGCTTTCTGAGCTTTGGCTACCGGGAAGCTCTTTGCTCGACACTTCATCCACCATTTTAGCCAGTTGGTCCTTGTTGGCCGTGGACCGACGCGAAAATCGACCACGGTTGCCGGGGCCATCAATCAGCGACGTAGACAAGCCAACCTTTTCTTCAATCTGGTCAATGTTTTGCGTATAGCAGCGGACCAGCTTGCCGCGATTCCTCAGATGACTGATGAATCTATGCGAGCCCGTCGGCTCCGCGTCTCTAATCTTTTGCCGCAGAGACGTGGCAAAGGTGTAGAAGACTTGGGTGCGGACCGGGTCAGCCCAGACCGAGACATCAAACAGGTCGCGGCCTTTCATGTTGGGCAGCGTGCTGCGGCTGGCAGAACTCGGCCCTTGGGAGGAGGCAAACAGCTTGCGCGCCGCGGACAAGTCCTCCGCCTCGGAGTCGCTCGTGCTACTCGGCTCGTTGGACTCTGTGTCCGAGTGTGAACTGGTTTCGTAGGGATCAAATAGTACTGGTGGGGGCGAGGAGAGAGGCGATGAGCTGGGAGGGACGCCGAGCCTGGAGAGGTGGCCTGCGAATCGAAAGGCGGACGGCGGCACTATCTGGTCGTCGGGCGGTGGTGAGGACAGCGGGGAGGTCGTGAGCTGAGCGAGGGCGATGGAGAGAGGATGACGCGCCGAGCGCGGTGTAGCGTAGGGTGCCGCAATGGCCGGTTCCGATTCTGGCAATAACGGGCTTTCTGGTGCCGTACTTGGAGCTGCGGCAAGCTCTTCTTGCTTTATTTGCTCTGGTAGTAGTTCCGTGTTTGTGTCCGTTTGCTCCATCCAGTCATTCTCCTCCTTCTCTTCACATTCCGGCGAAGAAGTACGAGACGCTCTCCGACGCTTAGCCGGTCGATCTCGGTCTCCTTCCTCCTCATCGGCACTATTTCGCGTCTCATCCGTGTCGAGCTTCCGTGCCGCTTGTCTGGCCGCCGCGTCGAATTGTGCTTGGATAAGGGAGTACAGGCCATTTTCGGATCGGAAGTCCTGTCGGGAGCAGCACCACATTAGCAAACTTCATTCTAAAGCATGGAAAAGGGAGGTAGCGCGGCGTACCGGAATGCCAGAGTTGGTACTGATTCCCGCGCCCGTCACGACGACAATCTTGCGCGCCTTGAGTAGCGACTCGGCAATGTCCTGGAGAAGCTCTCCAGAGCTGGGCTCGACGCGTACAGTCGGCATGGTCGCTGTTTGGTGCAAGTTTTGACTCCGGAACTGCGGCAAACAAGCTTGGCAGCCCTCCTGTTTGCTGACTATCGGCGAGACGCAACGGAGAGGCAAGCCAACGCGTCAGCACCGACAGCGAGTATATGTTCCGAAACTTGTGTATATAGAAGATAATTATGACATCGTATTAGGTCGTATGTTGTCTGTATTCTTGAAAATTTCTTGCTTTTTTTTCGACTGTGCTTTCGACTGTGCTTTCGACTGTGTTGTCGCCTGTGTTGTCGACTGTAAAGCGGTATCGCGGACGCCAGCGGCTCTCTTATCGATCGATCGTGTGTAGGCGTTGAGGCGCGGTTGGAGATGCAACGGGAGAATAAAAAGCAGAGAACAATGAACGCAGACGAAAGAAACAAATATCCAAAAATGTGGTCGAAACCAAGAGCCGCAGCCGTTTCAATCGGTCATGTAGTGCTACCGGACGTTTGACAACCGTGACGCGCCTCACAATACTGTTGATGTCGCGAGTGGATGTGCCCAGTTATGGTGGATGTGCCCAGTATGGTCACTGACTGGCCCCAGGACCCGGCTTGTTTTCTTTCTGCCTGTGGCAGACTAGCGGCATTTTTGGCGCTCACTAATTGCGCATCAAGCCGCTGCATGGACCCGCTGTGGACGGGTTGTTACAGCGGGCTCCAGCTCCCCGCCTACAGCGGCTTTTAGGAGATTAATAAGCGGTTCCAGTGCTTCGAATGAGCGTGCCTTTCAAGTGCTTATAGGGTCTTCCTCTTCAAGCATCGCTAATCTTTAACACATTTTATTTCGGTATCCTCAGCCTTGTCTTGACACGACCTTGTGATCTAATACTTAACAGCTTACATAGTGTTACTCCATGGGGGTGGGAGAGCCTTTCATCCCAGGTAATAGTATCAGACACTCCACCACTCCTCAGCACGCGCCTGGCAGACTATCCTAATCGTCCGCGTGCACCAGTGCGTCGAGCAGCTCGTTAAAGTCCCCAGGCACGCCCAGCCCGGTCACTGCATCCCAGCCGGGCCTGGCCGGCCACCCGCCTGGCTTCTGCCCGTCATAGTTGCACGAGCGACTCTCGCCCGCCGTCACGTCGCGCAGTGTGTCGCGCACCCTCTTGCTGTACAGCATCCTATTGACCCATCCCAGCGGGCGCTTCCCCGCCCGCGCCCGCGCGTCATTGACCATGGCCAGCATCGCCGCCACCATGGGCGTGCTGGCGCTCGTGCCCTGCAGCACGCCAGGCCTCCCCTGCCAGACGACGAGCACGTTGGTGCCAAAGGCGGAAATGTCTGGGATGGCCCGGCCCTGTGGGTTGTAGTAGCCGTCGAGCCGACCGTCGAGGGACCGGACGTATGCGCCAACCACCTCTTTCTGCCACGCGGGCTGCTTAAAGTACTGCGAGAAGCCGCCCGTGCTAAACGCGGCGGCCTCGGGCGGCGTCTTGACGTTGCCGACGGCGCCGATGGCGAGCGCCCACGGACACGTCGACGGAAACGTCGTCATGGCAATCTTCTTGTTGGTGCCGTCGCGCGTGCGGCAGTTGGAGTCGCGCCCGCCCTGCGCGCCGCCGTCGCCCGAGCCAAACAGCACCGTCATGCCGCGGCCAGCCAGCATGCCAATCATCTGGCACACCTTTTCCGCGTACGGCCGCGGCACCGACACCTCGTCGTCCGAGTACGAAACGGACAGCACGCTCGGGATCTCGCCGTCGGGCTGGTCCAGGAAGTACTGGAACAGCTCCAGGAACGGCTCGTTGGTCGAGGATTTACTCGCGTCCGCGGTACCGTTTTCGTGGATAAACTCGCTCCGGCCGCCGGCCGAGTAGAAGACGAGTTTGGCCGGGTACGCGAGGCTCAGCGCGTAGTCGACGTCGAGCGCCGCCTCGGCGCCCGACTCGGACAGCGCCTGCCGGTTCTCGCCGCCGTTGACGAGCTCCACCGTGTAGTTGTAGTGCTTGGCGGCCAGCTCCGGCGCGTGCTGCTGCAGGAACTGATCCGAGTCTTGGTAGTTGGCGTACTCTTCGAGGAAGCCGGCCACGCCCATGGTGACGATCGAGGTGTTGTCTGGTGTGGTGTAGTGAAAGTTGTACGCGTCGCGCACGCATTTCGGCGTGATGATGGCCGTGCACGGGGGATCGCTGCGCCGCGCCAGTTCTGTCTCGTTGAGCCACCGAATCTGAGAGACGGAGCGGGCGGGCCGCATAAAGTTGGACACGGGATGGATGAAGTCGATGGCGTCCTCGAGGGCATCGGGGATAAAGTACTGCGTGGTGCGCAAAACCGGCTCGCTCTCGCCTTCGTAGATGTAGTGCTCCAGCAGAGAGCCGATCAGCGCGTCCGTCTGCCCGACCGTCGCACGCACATTGACCCAGTCGCCCTTGGTGTCAAATTCACGGATTCCGTGGCTCAGCAGCCAGGCCTGTACCATGCTGACGGACTTGGGCGCCGGTTTGCGCATCAACGAGACGTCGGCCAGAGACAGCACGTCTGCTTGCACCGACGTGAGGAATTTGTAGAGTCCGCTCATCTGCGGCTGCTTGAGGGCAATCGAAAAGGCGTACTGCTGCTTCGGGTCGACCTCGTCACCACTCTTCCTCCATCCGGGAGGGAGGCTCGCCGTCTTCTCGACGCAAATGTCGGCCAGGGACGCCCATCCGAGCAGCGCCGCGCCGAGCGCCAGCTTGAGTAACATGATTGTCGGAGGAAAAAATAAAAGACTTGGAACGTAACGAACGAACAATGATTCCCGAATCAGACCTTGAGGTTCTTGGGAGAGGGTCGGATCCCTTATAAAGAAAGAAAATCACAGCAAACGGGCTCCTTGATGTTTAAACTGGGGATTGGCACGAATCGTCCGAGACATGCAGTCATTATTCAGGCACAACGTGCGAGGCATCTAAATTTATTTATGTGTTCTCCCGTTGTTTGCCCTGGTTTTAGATAGCATGTTTTCCGACCAGTTTGGCACGTTATTACCGTTCCTGCGGTCCGTACAACATGAACCCCCCCTTCCACCAACGCAAGAGCGCACCGCAAGTTTGACCTCCTGAGGACAAAACGAATCACTTTTTTTGGCTCAGCTCGTGCTACGAAAAACTCGCTTCCTGATTATTCGTGGTCAAGGTGGCAAATTAGGTAGAAACATAGCGGCTTCCAGTCTCCCTCCTTGGCCGCCGTGTCTCACTTCTAGAAGGGGCTGGTGCAATCAGGGAGACGCGCCGCGACTGACGAACAAATGCCGAAGCGAACAACACGATGACGTCTGTTTCTGTTTGTCGTCAAGGCTAGAAACCCACATGTGCCTGACATGGTCCCATGGCAGGTATTTCCTCCGACTGTCCCTTTCTCGATCGGGATCGCCAAGCTGCCCTCCACGCCCCGAGCGTACAGCTCTATTTTGGACGCCGGTTTGTCGCTTGTCAATCTCCTTTCCGTGGTTAACTAACTATTTGAAATTAAAGATCGCCGCGCAACCCCGGATCCGCCCTTATAGCGTCTGTGCTTGATTCAGAGCTCGCCCTTAGAGCTTGCCCTATAGATGGACGAAAGAAAATGCTTTGTACGCGAAGAATACCGGTATAATGTCGGGATCATCTGTCATTGGTATTGGTAATAGATGTCGTTGTTTTTGATCATTGGTAGATGTTTTAATTATGGTATACAAATACATCTGCCCTTCACCTATCACGCGGCTCTTGGTTAATGGCCAGACTACAAATTAGAGATGCAGTGGCCCACCTACTCGATATCGTGACAAGCCTTCGGTAGTCAACACCCATGACGTAGCACATGAGTATTTGCTTGAATGCTTAAGAAAATTCAACTACATTGAAAAGACAAAAAAGGGCGCACCCCGAAGGTAATTATATCGGCCCTGCGTATGCAGCAATTGCCAGACAACTCGGAGCCATTCTCGCGACTATGTCTACCCTGTAAGAACACACAGTCGGGTGAAAGTCGGGTGAAGTGTCCAGTAGCGGAGGTCGCAATTAACGGCAAGCGCATTAGGCAGACTGAACATCTGCTGCCTTCTTCATATTCTAAATGGAAAACCCCCTCTGGCATTCGAGTGTATATGCTCGGGAGCTCGTGAAGCTTATCGGACAAGCGCGGCCCGCGATAGTTTAGCAACGAGATAATAAGAGAATGCAAAGTTATGACCACCCCGTAACAATAAGACGTCAAATCATGCATTATACTATCTCCACAGTATGCACGACAAAGCTGGCAAGAAAAGACGTCCACGATTTATTGGTGGCTCTTGTTCGAATCGCCAGATTGAGGAAGTTTCCACGGACATTCCGTGGAGCCTAGTACGGCTGACAGTCTGCTTTCAGCTTATGGATGATAATGCGGAATTTCTCCTTCACCAACCATCTCACTCCGACTGAAACATCCCACCCTTTACACTCTGCAGTCTCTGATTTGTGTCCCTCATCTTGAACCACCACATCTGGACGGACCCCTGTCCCGACCAACAACCATGTCCCGAGACGCCGAGAGCCTCCAGGCCATCAACAACAAGACGCTGGGCACATCCGCCGACGCCTTTCCCGTCGTCACGCTGCCCAGCGGCGAAAAGGTCCCGACGGGCACGGTGGGCGCGCTGCTCGTCAACGTCCGGGCCTACGACGCGGCAGCAGCCGCGGGCGACATCGCCGCGCAGGACGTGCTCGCGGGGGCCATAGCCGCCGCGGTACCGGTCCTGCGCAAGGTGGGCCTATTTGACCTCTTCCGCCCAGAAGAGTGGGCGTCGGATAAAAGCCCAGGAAGATCGTTGGTGGGAGAGCTGGCAAAGGGGGCGAAATGAGTCGAGGGAGAATGCAGTGGGGGAGGAAAGGAAGGCATTGGACGACGAGCCACAGTAGACGGAAACGGGGGACGCAATCATCAGTGTATATCTTATTACTCACGGTAGTGAGACTAATCAAGAAATAATGCAAAATAGGTGCACGATAAAGTGCCCTTGAAATATCCAAACCAGTAATAATGTGCAGAGAAGCGAAGCGTGGTAGTAAACCGCATGCAATAATACACTAGTAATGCCGTTACCCATTAATTATAAACCAAGTAGAGTAGATAGGTTCTCTCCTAACATCCTCATTCAATTTCCAACGCGATCCATATAAAAAGATATCCATCGATGTTCGATACGTATGTATATAGTCCTTCGAATGACGAGCAAAAAACGGACGTGGTGGGTATAATCATCCAAATTGGAGAAAAGGATTTCAGCGCTTTCAGATACCAACTGCATCGGCCATGCCATTTGTTCTCGGCGGCAGCTGAATGTCTTCATCATCTGAGCTGTCGGCAGCTGCACGGTCCAGTATGCGGTCAATCTCCTCGTCTAGCAGCGCCGGTCGCGCACGACCGCCGCCGAGGCCGAGGCCACTGGGTAACGATAGCGCGCCGCGCAAGTGGCCGCTGGCCCCGTTCGCGCGCCGTTTCGGCGTCCACCCGTGGGGCGAGCGGTACGGCTGCTGCTGTTGCTGGGGCGAGTCCAAATCCATGGGCGAGCCAGGCGGTCCCATGGCGGGCGACGGATCAAAGCCCACCCGCCGTTGGGGGCCGACCGGGCGCTGACCGGGAAGGCCCTTGCGGAAGCTGCTGGACGCCGTGCCGTGGCGATGGGCACTGTCATGCACGTACCCGTGCTGAGGCGGCGCGGGGGAGACGGACGGCGAGAAGGCGTGTCGGAGATTAGTGGAGTTGTTGGGGCTGCTCATAAAGATGAGCGTTTCAATGGCGTCCTGCTCTCGCATGCTGGCGTGTGGTGAGTACACCATGGCTTCCGCGGAGCGCGCTGGTTGCGATGATGACAAGACGCTCGTGTGTGCGTGCTGCCGCGGCGAGGAGCGACTGGCAGCCGAGGCCGAGTGTGAGTGTGTGAGAAGCGCGGGAGGATGTCGTGCGATGGGCGTGCGACGGCTGTTCCCCGCGTATCTGGATAGGGAGGGCTGGATGGCGGCTGGAGGAGCGAGAGAAGGCTTGCTGGAGGCGCGCCCGGGAGGCGAGTGCGACTTGCGGCGAGGCTCAACGGGATCGAGCGCAAAGTGCACCTGCGCCGCGGACGTGGGCCGTGGTCGGGGACTGGAGGAGGAGGACTGGCGACCATGGAGCGTCGAGTTGCTCGAGACGGGTGAAGCACCCTGAGACGCGAGAGACTCGACCTCATCGAGGGAGCGCGACTGCCAGCCGTTGTTAACCTTGATCATGGCATAGGCTAGCCGCGTCTTGAGATCCGCTGACATCTAGAGGACATGTTAGAGAAAATGAGAATGGAGCGACCAAGGCGCGTCCTGCGTACATCACCAATATGGCTTCCTGTCGAAGTCGTGCTTATGGCACTGACACTTCTGACATGGCCCTTAATCGGGCTATTGCTCCTACTTCGCGTCTTGACCTCGCCGTTGGCCATGCGTTTCCGCGAGGCCGCCGCGTCCGCCTCCTGCTCCTGGTCGGCACGTTCCTGTGCGAGGACAGACAGCTGCTGCAGCGACGACTGTGCGGCCCAGCCATTGACGTCGGCCCCTCCATGGCTGCGCATGTCAGCGGCCGGCCTTGTGTCACCGCCGGCCATGGACGCGGATTCTTGCGAGTCGGGAATGATTTGGGGCAGCGTTGTCGTCGTCGTCGTCGTCGACAAGTCTAGCGACGCCGTGGCACGGTCGGAGATGGAGGAAGTCCCGGCGGTTTGCTGCGAGGTATCGGGCGTGAAATGGGACGAGTTTCGTGTGGACGACGTACTGTCGGCGTCGGCACGTGCGTGGGCGATGGGCGGCGTGGCCGGCACGGTCAGGTCGCTCCCGTCGCGTCTCGACGACGCAGAGGACGACGGCACCGCCTCGCCGCTGCTGGTGTCCGTGCCCAGTTGCGACATGCGGAGGATGTGGGCGGCGCTGGATTAAAAAAATGATTTCCAAGTAGGGTACTCGCAATATATCGTCCGTGGCGGGACGGAGAACGTGTCGGGAGAGGCCTGGCAAATCACACAGTTGTGCCGTGAGAGGGCCGTTCCGGATAAGACCGAGAGGGAACGAACACGCGGGTGAGAGGAGCGGGTTCGCGGGGGGCTGAAGCGTTGGAAAGCAGAAATCGGAGAGAGAAGCGCGTTTATGTGTTTTCGAGCAAAGCGGTACTAAAATGTCGTTCTGGATGAAGAGAGACGAACGGAGGAGAGGAAAAACCCAAGAGAAGAAAGAATGAGAACGAACGGCTGCCTGTGATGCCCGACTTCTTTGAACTCGTGGTCAGTGGTTACGCGGTCTGGTTCTGGTTCTGGCGCGACGGATGCGGGCCAGCGCCACTCAGTGGTGAGTTGGTGACAGGACTGCTGCGGGCTGTCCGTGAGTGACTCGCGTTTTTGGTGTGGCGCCGCAGCAAAGGAGGTACCTGTTAGACACGAGGCCTCTGCCCTTGGACTTATTAGTACCTACAGGTACCTGTGCTTTCGGTGGCGCGAACTACAGGGCGTGACGGCGGGGCTACCTTCGAGCCACAGCTGTTTTCGCCCTCAACACGAGGTACTTTCCCTGTACTCCGTACTGGACCATGCTTTTTGGATAGAAAATAAAATAAAGTAAAAAAAACAGACCAAAGCGACGGATAGGGGAGAACTCTAAACCACGACCAATTCAAATATACTGACTCATATCAGCAAGGACTCGGGTGCATCATTTGCACTGCAGCTGGTGCCTGTACTATGTACGTGACCCTGGCTAGTAACGATCGGCTTCATCTCGCTGTCACCACCGCTGATTGCCCACTGCAGGCACGTGTGATATTGGTGCATGAAATACAATCAACACGGAAAATAGTCTAAAATAGAATAATATAAAATCAGTCTGAATAGTCAGGCTGCCGACGTTGTCCAGAGGTGGGCCGCCATAGTTCATTGCGAGTAATGACCTGCATGTAACTTCACTAGCTGCATTCTTGCATTTTGAAATTTCGCCAATCTACTCAAGTGTGCCCTTTTTTCTTACAGTGGAAAAATCAATCCAACGACAATTCCCTATAAAAATGCATGGCCATATCCCCATCGTGCCCTCACGCCTCCGGGGTCCAGTTCCACGCGTCCGCCGTAAACAGCTGCCTAGCCATCTTATCCACGTACAACGCGCCTTCATACCGCAGACGCTGGTCATTCGCTACGGACCGGGTAAACAAAAATGTCATTCTGGCATTGTCGCCATCGTCATCGTCTGCCGTGGGTGAACCGTGTTCTGGCGCCCAAGAATGCATGTCGCGCCGATTTTTCCAGTCGGCATGCGACAAGGACACGACGCTCGCTGACAGCATCGACTGGAAGTAGTCGAAAATGGGTCCGATGCGCACCCGCGGACCGCAGTTTGTGTGGTTTTTATCAACCTGGTAGCTGGGATACTGCCGCAGCGTGCTGAGAAGCTCCTCGATGTTGACAGAGGACGCATCGGGCACGGCATTGATGGACGAGGCGCTGTAGTCGACCATGTAGAGGAGATTCTTGGACACCAGAAACTTAATCATTTGTCCCAGCTGGAACGAGTCGCACGCCGCGCTCGAGTCGTAGCCCAGCTTGCATTGTCTCTCGCGAGACGAATACAGATCGAGAAAATGCTTCTGTACAGAGGCGACAGTGTTGAGTATGCACTCGCGACGGTATCGGAGCTCATCTACAAGCCGTTAGCAAGTTGTGACATGGGCCCGAGCATGTCCTCACCTTCTATACCGTCCGGGAGATTCCACCATGCAGCAGTCGACACCGCGTCTGCTTCATGGTAGACGCTCCAGAGACTAGATCCGCGCATGATCATCTCCCGCGAAGACTGCTGCAACCTCATGGGCTGTCCTAGCAACCACGAGACTAGTACCTTCTGGCGCAGGATTTGTTCGATATCCGTCGGCCTCCCCGCGTCATCCACGAGCGGCTTCGTACTCGTCAACGGCCACTTAAACTTGAGATCCGTGTTCAGCGCCCGCGCTACGACTGCCACGCAGTCAAACCGGTCAGCGATGATGGCCAAGGTGGTGGCGTACGCTATCGTCACCCGGCTCTCTCTGACCGGCTTCCCGTGCAGGATCCGCATCATATCCTCAAAAGCAACCTCGCGGCTCGCCGCCTTGGTAGCGTCGTCGTCGTCGGCGACGGTGACCCACGGGAGGTCATCCACGTCTGCCGCCTTGGGCGCAATCTTCATGGCGTGCAGCTTGGCGTGGGCTTCGGACACAGCGTCGGCCTCGCGAAACTGCGGATTGGACAGCAGATGGGCAAAGTACTTTGAGCTGCGTTTCAGCACCTCGAGGCTCAGCCGGAACGCAACCCGCACGCGCGTGCTACCGCGCTCGGGGGCTGACCGGTTGGGCGTCCTCGTCTTGCGTAGTGCGGCCGCTTCGGCTCGCCGGTGCTTCTTGAGCGTCTCGGGCGACGTTTCAAAGGTCACGTCTAGCACAATGTCGCCGTCGGTGGCCACGTTGACGACCTTGCGTCCATCCGCCGCCGTGCTGTCAGAGGCCTCGCCATCTGCAGGGGCGGCGGCAGACTCTCCCATCGTTGGGCCTAGGGCATTCAGACATGGACCACCAGGGGGATGAGCTTCGTATCACAGCACTGTACAGATCACAGAGTAGAGGGACCCCTGGTGTAGTGAGAAGTGGGAAAGAAGTATCAAAAGCAGCCAAGTTTTGCCAATGTAGTGGCGACGTTGTGCCAGAGCAAAGGAGATGCCTAACCGGGTTGTGGCCAGCCAGCTGGAGACAGGGGCTAACATCGGACAAAGCCCACTGAAAGATGAGTACTACTCCGTACCTGGGTGCGCTAACGTCGTTGGCTTCGGCCACAAGCGGCTACGGGACGGATCCCCTGGCGAGAGTGCCTCGTCACTGATCGATGAGCACAGAGCAAGGTACTTGGAAATGAAGAAAGATGAAAATAGAAAATGAAGTGCTGGAATAGTATATTTAAGCTTCAGTTTTTTAATTCTATTACTATTTCTTCTTATCAAAAATACCCTACCGACCACAGAGGGGAAGAAACACGCGGCCCCCACGCCTCGCTTTGCGCCGGCCAACGACCTCAACAGATCTAATCTCTCGTCTCCAGTTCAGACTTTTTGGTTCCAACTTTCCAACCTGGCTTTCCCGTCAACAAGCTCCACTACCCCCTCACTCCCCTCGAGGGCTCATCTGTGGCCGTTCGCAGGTCTCTTCACTCTGTTTTTTCGAGCGCCTTCTTCCCGGTCCTGTATTACCTCGTCTTCGCTGTCAATGCCAACAAACTGAGCAGCCGCCCCGCTAAACGCCCAGCCCAACAACCTGACTTCGTGAGACAAAGGGACAAGCTTTAACACTCGTGCCCGACCCAGTTCGAATTCGACAATGCTCGTTGGCACCCTGCAATAACAGCACCATCACTATTCGGAAGGCCGACAAAAGCAATGGCCTCCATAGCGCACACCGTATGCCGCTTTCCAAGTAGGGCCGCCTATCTCTGCGCAGACTGTGCCAGACTGGTGCCAGCCCTGGCAGCTCGGCCACGGTCTGCGCGAGCCTTTTCCGATCTACGCGCCCGACCTTCCCACTCCCACAGCGACCCAGACACGGCCGAGCAGCTCCCGCACTGGACAGTCTCTCCCTCACGACAGCAGCAGCAGCAGCAGCAGCAGCAGCAGCAGCAGCAACAACAAAATCCGCCATGCCGCTCCTCCCGCCGGACGTCGAAGCCGCGCGAGGCCGCTACCCAACAGCACCCCGACTCGAAACGACGCGGCTTCCACACCTACTTTGTCACCCACTTGCCCTCATCCTCGATGCACCCGGACGCGCGGCGCGTCACCGGCCCCGGGCACAAGCTACCCCGCGACGCCTCGACGCCGCATACGCCGCACCCAGGCGCCGGTCCCGCCGTCGCCCTTCCCAACCTGCCGTCCGGGCGTGATCTGACAGTGGTGCGCATCCCGCTGCGGCGCGCCAAGCACCACTTTGGCGCCGCCAGCTCGCGCGGCAGCCGGCCGTACAACGAGGACGCCGACCAGGCGGGCATCGTCGATGTGCCCGCCTTTGCCGCGCGCGCGCCCATGAGCATCCGCCAGAAGCCAGGCGAGCCCACGCCTGCCGAGAGCCAGTCGGGTGATCCGCAAGTCTTTTACTTTGGCGTCTTTGATGGCCACGGCGGCACCCAGTGCGCGGGCTTCCTTCGCGACGAGCTCCACGGCTACATTGAGGAGGCCGCGGCCACGTTTGGCCTGCAGAGCAGCCTCCGCAAGCGAAAGCCAGGGCGTGAGGCCAACGCGGCTGTCCTCACCAAGGAAAAAGCGTTGAAATCGGTGCCCCTCAAGACGGCAGAAGAGGTCGAGGCCAAGACGGCAGACGACCCCGACACGGCCTCGCTGCGCCAGGCGCCCAAGCACGGGCAGCCGCTGCCGGGGGAGAACGCCGTGCCGGCCAAGCTGCAGGACTACCCCAAGGCCGTGAAGCTGGAGCGGGACCTCGTGGCCGAGTACGCCACGACCATTGGCGGCTACTTTCGGCGCTTCAACCCGGAGCACTTTGACCTGTCCGACGACGCCTCGCACAACTCGGTCGTCTCGTTTGAATCCGCCCTCACCTACGCCTTTCTCCGCGCCGACCTCGACTTTGTGTCCGCGCAGGCGCGCAAGGTTGACCCGGATGACCCGCACATGTCGGACGCGCCCGTTAATAGCGACGAGATTCTCGGCGCGCCGCACGCCACGCCGTCGGGCCACGGCATCGGCGGCGCCACGCGCTTCAAGGGCGGCTCGACCGCCTCCGTCGCCCTCATCTCGACGCCCACGCCGGCACCCTTTTGGCACCCCGCCGCGCAGTCGACGCTACTCGTCGCCCATGTCGGCGACAGCCGCGTGCTCCTCTGCGAGACGGCCACCGGCCTGCCCCGCGCCCTCACTTCGGACCACCACCCCAGCACACCGACCGAAAGCCGCCGTCTGCGCCGCTACGCGCCCGCCGGCTCCATGGTCTCGGGCGACAGCTTCGGCGAGGAGCGCATCGCCGGCCTCGCCAACAGCCGCGCCTTTGGCGACATTCGCTCCAAGCGCATCGGCGTCTCCGCCGAGCCCGAGCTCGCCCGCGTCGAGCTCGGCCCCGCCCAGTACGCCTTTCTCGTCCTCATGAGCGACGGCGTCTGCGGCACGCTCTCCGACCAGGAGATTGTGGACATTGTGAAGGAGGCCAAGACGCCTGAGCAGGGCGCCCGCGCTGTCGTCGACTACGCTACCGAGGTGTCGGACGATGGTGACAATGCCACCTGCCAGGTCGTCCGCCTCGGCGGCTGGGAGCGCCGCTCCGAGGGCGGCCTGGGACCCATTGGCACCAAGGAGGTGCGTGACATTCGTCGCAAGGAAGCTCTGGATCCGCGACGCGGCAAGCAATGAGGACAACCAAAATAGAAAGATACCCCAGCCTCACGGGGAAAACTATAAATCGGCGGTAGGGGAGGAGCACACCTTGTGTTTTCCCGGACTGCGAATACATTGTCTTTTGGATTAGACAGTGCACCTATCTGCTTTCACTTACTATATTTTTTCATGGCCGCCCCTGCATCGTCATCACTATTATAAACTCGGCATTTGAAATATATTTCTGGTCTGATAAATACTCTGAGCTTCTTTATAATTGTCCAACCTATCCTCTACCTTGAAAATCCTCTAGCAAGGATCACTTGCATTTATACCTTCCTCTCCTCTCCAAAACGCCATCCGCCACCCATGGCATGATTTCCCATGTTTTGTGTAAAAACTTCTTAGATACTACCGCGTTCAAATCCTTAATTCACACGAGAGCGCGGCAACTAGTTTAGTAACGAGGTCCTTGACCAGGATACTGGTTCCAGGAACCTTGGCCGGGAGGAGGCTGCTGCTGCCCGTATGGCGGGTACTGCTGCTGCTGCTGCTGCGGAGGGCCGCCGTAGCTAGGCCCGGGAGGACCGCCAGGACCAGGCGCATAACCGCCGCCACCATAGCCAGGACCACCATAACCCTGGGGAGCGGGTGGCGCTTGACCACCCCATTGACCTGCAGGAGGGCCTTGAGGAGGAGGGCCGCCATATCCTCCACCATAGCCGCCTTGCTGAGGAGGGGGCGGTCCCTGGCTATACCCAGAGTAGTACTGTCCTGGGTTAGGAGGTGGCTGGTTATATCCCACGGAAGGCCCAGATGTTGGCTGGCTGTAGTTGTATCCGTCTGATGGAGGTGGGCGGCTCGTGGACGGCGCAGGCGAGTGCGACAGGTAGTTCTCGCTCGCGTTTCCATCGCTTCCTTGAATAGAAGCCAAGTCTCGGGTCTGAATTTCAGACCAGAGCGAGCCGGCAACCTTGCCATGGCCTCGGTGTGCTGCATCCAAATCACCCCCACAGGAGTGGATATCACGCTTTCCACTTCCGCCGGATTGGTTCAGAATATGATTCTTTCCAGCTTTGACAGATTCGGAAGACAGGAGGCGATCAAGCTCATGGCGGCGCGGATGTTCGTCAGCCCACTTTCGAACAGTCTTGAACATGTCTCGCTGAATCTCAATACTTTCATCCCGAAGAGATGGATGATGCAAAGCGCGAAGGATGTCATTGGTGACTTCATCGGTGGGCACATTAATATTTTCCCAGGCGAAAAGAATGCGGCTGATGTTGTTAATACACGAAGTTTTCATAGAGCCGATGAGAAACTTACGGAACAGAATACTGCAGACAGGTTGCAGCGACGCGACCAGCGCAAGAGTTGAGGACGTTTGTGAAATGATCCTTGGACAGCATAGAGTGGGTAGGGTCAGAGCATTGAGGATTGTCCCAGGGCTCCAGCTGAGACTTGGAGCTAGCTGAGATGATGCCCGAAGAGCCGTCTTTGAGGACCTTGGAAACTTGGTTGATGATTGGACGAATAAAGGGCGCCAGAAGTCCAAGAACAAAAGCAGTAAGAGTTTCGCTGATGTGCTCAAGCAGCTTCTCAAGGCCGGGGATCTTGGCGATGCCTCGGCTGATCGTCTTGACAATTCTGTCTCTGAACTGAAGAATCGGGTAAATCTGCCTAGCAGTCTTGACAGGGTCAAAGTCGGGGCTCATGCCCGGAACGATGTTGGTATTTCCTTCCGCTCTGGTACGATCCACCCCTCGGTCCATTGATTGGTTTCGCTGTTCCTGTGCCTCAGACATGGCTTGGAGTTCTCTGGCCTGGGAAGCAAAACTGTCCCCTTCGCCAGGAAGCTTCGAGACCAAAGAGATGAAATCGGTTGGCGCAGAAATACCGAGAAAACCACGATCAGTCGAGCCACCACCACCGCTTCTGGCAGCCTCAGCGTTCTTCAGAGCAATGTCGACCTCGTCGACTTCGGACTGAGTGAAATGATCATTGGCCTCTCCAATGACGGAGTGGAGGAAATCCACACCACCAAATGTTCCGGTCACGATAGGAAAGATTCTCTTGCCGCGAACGTTGATCTCAGTTTGGGTGCCACAATGAGAGAACACACTGTTGTGTCCCAATTCTCGGAGTGCAAGCTCGCAGTAGTTACTGTGAGCACTATAGTCTTCCAAGCAATGCAACGCCTGGCCGAGGCATCGGAGAGCTTCGCAGAGGTTCTCGTCCTGTCCTTTGCCCTTGTCGCCATTGGTATAGATACGACCGAAATGGATGCAACGAGCGATGCTGAATCGCAAGTAGCCAGCGCTCGTCGCCCAGTCACCCTTCTCGTTCTTGATATAGTTCTTCATGCCAGTCTCCATGTCAATTTCGGTTTCGACAGGCCGAACAGGGCCTCTGAGGCGCGGGTCGAGCGTACGAGCATCAACGCCTTCGGCATAGCCAAGAGGGTTGTCAATGTGCTCTTCGGGTCGGTAGCAGCCCAGACGTTCTTCGGTGACTTCGAACTCATCGGTGGCATATCCGTGGGCCATGAAAGAAAGAACCCAAACCTGATCAAAAAAGTAAGAACTGCATCACGCGAAATGGAAGAGCGGCGACACGTACAAGAATGCGAATGGTGGCACCGTTGACTCCCTTGAGACTGCCAACATCGACAGCCTGGGAATAATCGCGCAGCCAGTTGCCAAAGTACACACGCTTCACGTTCATGGAACTCCATTTCTTACCATGCAAAAATGCAAGGCTCGTAAGCATGTCCTCGATATCTGGTCTTTGTTAGCTTCTCGTCTTGTGGAATGAGTGCGGGGTTCGACAAACCTCCATGTCGCCAGTTGAAGCCCTCGACCTGCGCGGATGTTAGCGTATAGCAATTCTGATCGATAGAGGAGACGAACCTGCGCAATGGAAGGGATATTTCCTGCGCCAAAAGCGGCGACCTTGCCAGGCAGGTAGGCCAGACAGACGACGGCCACCAAGAGGATAAAGCTACCCCGCGACAGCACGAATGACGGCATGGTGGGGGGTTGTAGGTTAAGCTGAGCTGTTGTCAGATGAGCTATGAGCTCGTTCGAGTCGCAATGTCAAAATGAGAAGGAGACTGGGGATGGAATGTGTCTTGTGCGGGACGTCTTGAACAAGTATGCGTCGACGGCCTCCCGCGAAAGAAAAGCTGGTGGCGATGAGTGGTAGGTGGGGTTGAAAGAAGCTTGTCTGAAGAAGCAAGTGACAAAGGCAAGGTTGGTGAGGCCCGTGTTCAGCTTGCGCCACGTCCCTTTGTGTGGCGTCTGAGTCGGAGGCGGCCAGAACCGCCGGTCAGCAAAGCCTTTATCTTCTAGTCTTTTTTTATTTTATTTCCCGTTCTCCCTTATAAACCTGTAATACGGTGCGTAGACTGTCTATCTGGCCGGTTTCTGTCCTGGCATAAGTAGTGGATTATAGGTTAGTAGGTACCTACCTAGGTAGGTACCTAGGTAGGTGGTAGGTACTATAGCTACCGATGTGCCCGGGTGGGTGAATTGCATGTGATGGTTTCATGTAATTTATAATTAGAGATTTGTTAAGCACTGGTGAGATATTTGCTAATTTCCATTATTTCCTGGTACCTATAATAGTGCTCCCTTTTATCTCAGCGCAGCAGTTTCCTCTGCTGGATACCTACCTGTGAAGAACCTGGTGCGAGCCAGAGTAGCTGGGTTGCGCTTCCTGCGCTCAACACCAACTGTCCAATATCGATGTGCTTGTTTTTCATTTCCTGTTCCCTAGCCACGCGTCAGTTTCTAATAGTAGCCAAAACACCTTCCGGAAGCTCGGGAGGATTTGGACCACAAACACCCGACCAAGGTGGCCTGGCTTTCATGTGCGCTGATCAACGCCGACAGCGGCTTTCCAGGGGGGCAGACCAATGAAAAAGGTGAAAAACGCGCTGTAATCACTTGGTCAGGCCCCCTTGCCTCCAGAAGGCGGGGTGGGGTCGGTTGCGACTCGCCTGACTCTGGCCGCCAACAAAGGAGAAAGTAACGCCACTGCCACTGTTCGGCATCCGCTAACTAACACCGCCGTCCGCGATTAGTTTAAGGGGCCTGGTCATTCATTATTATTATTATTCCCATCTTTTTGTGGCCGACGCTTCCGATCCTAAAACTCTACTTCTTCACTACACCTATCGTCTGCGCGCATACCTTTTACCTACCTTTTCATGGCTGATTTCTCACAATAAACCCCTTCCGCGTTGCTTTGATAGCCTCTTGACCCAATAGCGACAACTGCTGCGTCTGTCGCGATTCCTTCGCAGATACCCGACTCTTCCGATACCATTCCCGATTACCCGATCTCTGCAAAATGCCATCCAGAACTCTCCCTACCTTTTCGCGAGCTGAAGTCGAGTCGCATAGCTCTACCGATTCCTGCTATGTAACAATCGGCACCAAAGTCTATGATGTGACCAACTTCGCCGACGATCACCCAGGTGGCAGCAGTCTTGTCCTAGAATACGCGGGCAAGGACGTTCGCGCCATCCTCAACGACCCTACCTCGCACGAACATTCCGAGGCCGCCTACGAAATCCTGGACGACTCCCTTGTCGGCTTCGTTACCGAAAAGAACGTTCCTAATGGCCATGCCAACGGATCCGCCACCACCGCTGGCACCCAAGAGTTGGTTCATCCTCGTACTGGCATGTCTTGCGCGGAAGATCTCAGCAAGGACACCGACATTGGACTTGATTATAAAAAGCACAAATTCTTGGATCTCGACAAACCCCTCTTTCTCCAAGTCTGGAATGGCGGATTCACCAAGGACTTTTATCTCGACCAGGTTCATCGCCCACGTCACTACAGGGGTGGCGACTCGGCTCCCTTGTTTGGAAACTTCCTCGAGCCTCTTTCCAAGACCCCGTGGTGGCTAGTTCCGATCATTTGGCTACCTTGTGTTGCTTTTGGACTCTACAGTGCAACCGAGGACCTACCGGGCCCGTATGTTGCTGCTTACTGGCTCTTTGGTTGCTTCCTCTGGACGTTGATCGAGTATGGCATGCACCGCTTCCTCTTCCATCTCGATGGGTATGCTTTATAATGACACTTGTAATTCGAGCCTGCTGCTAACATCGTCCTAGCTATCTCCCCGACAACCGTGTCTTCATCACCCTTCACTTTCTGTTCCACGGCATCCACCACTACCTGCCCATGGACAAGTACCGACTTGTCATGCCGCCAACTCTCTTCATTTTCCTTGCGACCCCTTTCTGGTACCTGTCACGCTTTGTCTTCTATCATAGCTGGCATACTGCTGTCGCTGTCTTTTGCGGCGGTGTCTTTGGCTACATTTGCTACGATCTCACCCACTACTTCCTTCACCATGAAAACCTTCCTCTGTGGTACAAGCAGCTCAAAAAGTACCACCTTCAACACCACTTCCTTGACTACGAGCTTGGCTTCGGTGTCACCAGCAAGTTCTGGGATACCGTTTTTGGAACCGAGCTAAATACTTCCATCAAGACCAAGTGATCGACTTTGTGAATGTATTGCGAGGAGGCACAAAACTAAGGGCTGGCGCCACGGGTGTAGCTGCTGGGCAGAATTTGAAAACCTAGGACCTTACGAAAAGAACGCTCAAAGATGCGAATGACCGATTTTCCCCCTTTATACCATAAATTTACTTACTTTAATACACTTTAATACACTTTAATCAGAACTTCTTATTTATTATTTTGAATAATCTCTTTGCCTCTGCCTCGGCCCAAATATTGGCTTTGCCACTTGTCCGTCCGTCCAAGTGGTCATTGACTGTCTGCGCCGCCTCAGCCGCCCCGCTGTGGCTGCCTGCCCTGTGGCTCGACATGGAAAAACAAGACACTGCCGCGTGTTCACGTGACGTTTAGCCGACCCAAATTTCGCCGCATCTGTTGCCCAACCATTTTCCCAACGACTCTCTATTAATTGCTGGCATCATTTTCAACCGCCTTGCGATCGTGAAACTGTAGAGCTGTACCGGACTCCATATTAGCGATTTATCCATATCTTGAAAATGGCCACTTTAGATGTGGAGGCCTTGCTTGATGCCACTGCGAAGAGCGCAGAAGCGTCCAAAGCCCGGCTGTCTGCTGAAGATACTTCCAGAAATGAGCGATCGGACCACAAAGATTTTGACCGGGACCGGGACCGAGACCGAGATCACGATCGCCGCCGCAAAGACCGCCGCGATGCCAGCCCGCTGAGCAAAAGCCGACGAGAAACCCCGGATGTTGACACACCCCGGAGTGACACGGGCAGCCGGCGACGTAGCCGAAGCCGTGATGACGACCGCCGTTCACGACGCAACCGAGATGGCGACTTTTATCGCAGTGGCCGAAATCGCTCGCGCTCACGCTCGCCGCGCCGTCACCACCGCCGGGATGATCGCGATAGAGATCGCCGCGATCGCCAGTTTCGAAACCGCGATGATGGCCCGCGCGACAAGCAAGACGCTACGCCTGTTTTGAATGAAGACGAAAGAGACCGAAGAACAGTGTTTGTACAGCAACTTGCAGCTCGGCTGCGAAGTCGTGAGTTGAAAGCGTTCTTCGAAAAAGTTGGTCCTGTCACGGAAGCACAGATCGTTAAAGATCGCATCAGTGGGCGATCGAAAGGGTAAGATATTCAACCCAGGCGCTCAAATAGCACCTTTTTTTCTAACGGATCGCAGCGTTGGCTATGTCGAGTTCAAGAATGAAGACTCGGTGGCCCCCGCCCTTCAACTTACTGGACAGAAACTACTAGGTATACCTGTAATCGTCCAAGTAACGGAAGCAGAGAAGAATCGTCAAGCCCGCACTACAGAGCCTGGCGGCTCTCATCCCAACCACGTTCCGTTCCATCGCCTATATGTCGGAAACATTCACTTCAATGTCACCGAGCAAGATTTACAGGCCGTTTTCGACCCTTTTGGAGAACTGGAGTTTGTTCAGCTTCAAAAGGATGAAACCAACCGCAGCCGTGGCTATGGCTTTGTGCAGTACGTCTCTATACTACGCTCGACAATGCGACCGCGTCGTTACTAATAGCCATCCAGATTCCGCGATGCAGGTCAGGCTCGTGAGGCTTTGGAGAAGATGAATGGCTTCGACTTGGCCGGCCGTCCCATTCGAGTTGGCCTCGGCAACGATAAGTTTACCCCTGAGAGCACTGCCAACATGTTACAGAGATTTTCAGGCCAGAACGCCTCCAATCAGCAGGGCTCCTCCTTTTCCGGATCCGGTGGTCGCGGAGGGCAAAATTCCAACTTTGATCGCGCCGGCGCGCGCGATAGCGAGAAGACGGGCGGCGCCAGCGCCCTCGACGACACGGATGTTGGTGGCGTGAATTTTAATAATTATAGTCGCGATGCGTTGATGCGCAAGCTAGCCAGAACCGACGAGTCGAACAAGGGCTCTGACGAGCGCCCGGTGCTGAAACCTAGAACCGAGACGAAGCCACTCCCCATGAACGTCAACACTGCCAGCCGCTGTGTTGTCCTTCATAACATGTTTGAACCCGATGAGTATGTTATCTCTCCACTTTCAAGACTAGACGATGCTGACCGATGCTGTAGGGAGGAAGGCGATGACTGGGTCAAGGAGCTCGAGGACGACGTGCGCCAGGAAGCCGAGGAAAAGTACGGCCATGTTGTGCACATTTCCGTGGACCCCAATTCCAAGGGCGACATTTACTTGAAGTTCGACAAGGTTCAGGGTGGTGAGAACGCCATTCGTGGCCTCAACGGCAGATACTTTGGTGGACGCATGATCGACGCGTCCCCTGTTGTAGACGCAGTCTACAGCAGTTTGTTCTCCCGCACCAGAGCTTTCTAATGCTAATCCCGAGCCTTCGATATTCTTATTTCACTATAGGAACCGACAAAGGGAGGCCGCGACCGCCTGCCCCCGTCTCCACGGAGAACCCAAGCTACCCGCTTGTCACCACTGGCACTGCTACCCATGTTATTCTGGACGATACAAGGGCCACCATTTCTATCATCAGGATTCGCTCTCATTTTGGCACGAGCAAACAGGTTTTACACTTGCCTCGTCCTTGTCTCCCCTACTGATTCATATGCCCTAGGACAGCCAATTCAGACTCTTCCTCGCTAAGAGTCGCGATAGGCATTCCCTGGTAAAAATCTTGATAAGTTTGGATGTTCTATGCCTTGTATCTATAAATTTCATCTTTAGCAAACTTATTACGGGTCCACACGTTTTCGAGTTTCGTCTGTGCCCCTTGTCTCTTCAAGTAAATGTGAGTACACTCCCAAATACTGGGGAAGTTTATCCCGTACACCTTGGCACTTTGAATCTTTTCGGCAGTAAGTTGTGTCGTTTGGTAGCTGCCTAGTCTAAATCTGACAGCTGCCGAAACGAGTGCCAGGTCCGTTTGCCCGCCTCCTTTGAAATTTGATGTTCACATTCTCGTGTGTTCCCCCTCACCTGGCGCAGGCTGCATTCACTCGGCCTCGCAGCATTCTTATCCATTGGACGATGACTCGCTTCGCTTCCTTTCGGCTGGACAGGTTTTCTACTGCGTTTTCACGCCTGCTCTGACCACCCAGCTCCCACCGTCTCATAACGTGAAGCGGCTTCAAATCCCCTTCAGTCACACTTGTTTCCACCATCATCAAGGCCTGCTTTCACAGCCTCTTTTAATTTTTTTCTTCCTGGGAGCTGATCTACGATACAAATATCCACCAAAGATGAGAGCAGGTGTTTGCTGCACCTTGCCCGTGTAAAGTTACTACGCTTCCACTTCCAGCCCTGTCCTGAGTTTATCGTATGACGAGTAGTGACACTATGAGCGTGGCCGAATCCACCATTATCGGCTCAGAACACGAATCACGAGTCGCCGGGGGCATGCTGAAGGCAGCCTCGCAAGTAGGCGACGATACTGGGAGTCGGGACTCTGCTGGCAATATGCTGTCCATGGACTTTTCGACGCCGCTTGCCGGCCCGGCGCGTACTGAAAAGATAAAACAAATGTCCAGGAATCATGTGAGTTGATCCAAAGAAGAATTCATGCCATTTCGCCCCCCTTGTTTGAGACAACTGATTTTGCTGACTCTTCCTTTGAATCGTAGGCTGCGTTTGAAAAGTCGCGTGCAATGCAGCAAATCCTCGTCAAGATCCAGCACTCACTGCGCCGCATGCCGGGCGTCTCGTCGGCCGAGTCGACCGAGATTGTGCTGCAGTTGCAAGAGGTTGGGCAGACCATCAGCCGCGAGACGAGCGACCTGGTCAACGCCGTCATGAACCTGACGCTGGACCAGGAGGACACGGACAAGGCGGTCGCGCGCATGAGCATCGAGGCCAACATTGCCAAGGCGAGAATCGACGAGCAGTGCAACACGATCCAGACGCTTGAGGCGCAGCTCAAGGACGAGCGGGACAGTAAGGCCCATGTCGGCCAGCGTGATGAGCAGGCGCCCCAGAACCAGGATGAAAAGGACGAGCTGATAAAGGTGTGTATGCTTGCGTGTTGAGCCACCCCCCCCCCCCCCGCCCCCGCTATAATATCATTATTTGGTGTACTAACAAATATGAAACAGACGCTCAAGGAGGCCAACACGCACCTGGAGCAGCAGGTCAACGGACGGCGCTCCCTCTGGGCCATGAAGCACACGGACGAGCAGTCCCTGTCGCGCGCCATTGCCACCCTGAGGGATTCCGCCGAGGGCTTCCCCGCCGCCCAGGGCGCGCTCATCTCGCTCCGGCACAGCCTCAACAACCGCGCCGCCAGCAGCGGCCACAACCCGGGCGACCTGCGCCAGGACTATGGCCGTCCCGGCAATGACTTGGACAGCGGCATGGTCTCGCCCGACTACTTTGCGCACCGCCCCTCTGCGCAGCTACCTATTGGCAGCCTGCGCGGCGCGAGCGGTCCACTGCGTCCGCCGTCCACCGCACCGTACGCTGCTCGGCGAGGCAACCCGGCTCCCCCGCCCGCCGCCGCGTGGGAGAACCACCACCCGCCGGCACCGCCTGCGGGCGCCTCCCGCGGCGGCCCATCGTCTTCCCTCGGTGCCGGTGTCGCCGCCGCCGCCGCCAGCAGCTTTGCTATATCGTCGTTTAGTCGTGGCGGCTCCGTCGGCCGCAAGACAGGGCCGGGCCAGAACAGCTCGCGCTTTAGCCCCAGCGCCGCCGAATTCTACCCCTGGAACCCTTCCTCCTCCTCCTCTGGCGGCGATCACGGCAACGGCGGGCGCCACGCGTTGAGCAACGGCGCCGCCGTCGCCGCTGCTGCGCCCAGCCACCAGGCAAGCAACAGCAACCCCCGCGACTACTACCCCCGCACGCCGACGGCCGCCTCGCGCGGTCGCTACGGCCGTCTGCAGGAAGCGCCCCCGTCCGCGGGCTCCGACACGGCCGGTGGCGGCGTGAGCTTGAACGCACACAGCGCGGCCATGGCGAACCGCAGTAACAGCAGTCTAATCCCGGCGGCCGCGGCGGCGCCGTTCATCGCGCCGCTGGTGCACATGAATGAGCGGACGGTGGCGGCGTGGCACGACGGCATCATGGACTTTTATGCCGTGATCCGGGCGTTTGTCGAGCGCCACGCCAGCCAGCCGGACCACGCGTCGTCGATGAAGATGAGCTCGACGGGGCTCTGGCCGATCCTGCTGGCCACGTACCACCCTCTGTCGAGTGCCGAGGCCGCGTCGTACCTCGAGTACCACTTACGCAACGAGAACTCAAAGGCCTGCCTCGTGACTCGGGTGATGATTGATTATATTGTGAACCGCGTATGGACGCCCGCCGCGTGGAGCGGTGCGGACGATGAGTCGACCTACTCACTCATGGAGCTGGAGCGAGACATGGAGAGAATGCTTGGTAAGTCCTTGCTCCCCTTTCCCCCCAATTTGAGAGAATGTCCTTGTTTAGTTTCCTTCTTTGCTTTCACCTTTACTAACTTTGATATCGCACATGCAGGCCAGCCGTCGGCCTTTCGCCAGCCGCTACTCGACAGGCAGGCCGCCATCATAGGCGGCATCCTCGGGCGGGAGCAGGACTCGCCCTTCCACAAGGCCAAGGTGGACGAGATGACGGGCACGCTGCTCGCCAACCTGCAGCCGCTGCTCAACCGGCTGGCCAACCCGGCCGACGCCTACCGCGACATGGCGCAGGTCGCCGAGCACGCGTGGGAGCTGTCGTCGCGCATCCTCACGTCCCGGCTCACGTTTGATTTCCGCTTCCCCGAGATTGGCAGCCGCTTCTCCAGCCAGTCCATGCTGCCCATCTGGCCTCGCATGGATCCGTTTGAGCTGCAGGCCAAGCACTGGCGCGTGGCCCTCGTCACTACGCCCGTCATCACTTGCCGCAACGACACGGGCACCAACATTTCGGCGCATTCGGTGTCTCTGGCTGACGTCTTTTGCATGCATTAAACAGAGGGCCTTCTGTTCAGTGCGGGGTTTATCAGTTTACTCTTCTCTTTATATGCTTCTTCCTGTTTATGAGTGTTTTTTTATGGATTTCCAACAAAACGGCTTTTGGTGAATCAGACGTGCTATTTGAGCAGAAACGGAACCACTTTTGCAGCTATTCTTACGAAAAGAAGAATGTTCTGGAGATGATTTGGGAGAAAATCGGGTTTGTTATTAAGATAATTATTTCGTTTTATCTTTCTACTTAAAGTGAAACTTTGCTGCGCGGGCAGGAATGAATTATAAGCCATGCGAAAATCTGAACAGAAATGGGTTGTATTTGCTTTCTTTTTATCTTGGTCGCTGTGAATGTACCACGAGATGTGCTCCGACCCGAGCCACGCCGTGGTCAGTAATTCGGTGTCCGATTCGTTTTTTTCTGGTAGAATAACTGTAGAAGGATCAAGGTTAGTGAAACAGTCTCGGTGGCAATGTGGCAAAGACAGCCGACAGAGGAAACGACGTACATCTGTTCTTGAGCTACCCAGGTTGATGATCTTGGGGCACCCGTCACGGTCCTTTTCAAGCCGCGTGCACTCGAAGCAGTAAAAGGCGTCGGAGATGCCCTCGCCGCCGCAAACGGCGCACTTGTTCTGGTAGTTGCCGAAGCTGCACTCGTCGCAAATGCGCACGAGCGTGGTCGGGCGGACGTAGGAATCGCACACGGGGCACTTGCCGTCGCACTTGTCGCAGAGTCGGCCGATGGCGATGCCGGGCTGCTTGCGGCACATGACGAGATCGCTGGACGCGGGGGGAAACAACAAAGGTTAGTCATGCTGGCTTTGTGCTGCGAGCGAGAAGGGCGGGCTTACGGGTGATGGCGCGACATTGTGGCGGTTCAGATGGAGGTTGGTTAGACTTCTGCGGATGAAGGGACACGGGAGAAGGTGTCGTAGTTGATGTTGTAGGAGAGAAAAGGGCTGTCGTGTGGGTGACGAGAGCTGTTGTCGCGAATCGATGTAGGCAAGCTACCTGTAGTTACCTCTTGGAGAGTGTCGCCTGAACAGAGAGAGGATCTGATGATGGGTGGCCGATTTCTCATCGGCGGTTGGCCAATCAAGTGTAGGTACCTAACAAGGGCGGGGCGGAAGCTTCAACCGACAAGGTACCAGGGACCACTAACGAGCGCTGAAAGTACCTATTCCTTCGGCGCAGCGCACCAGCTGCCTGGTTGCCACCGACGACACTGAAGTTTTCTGCGACTTTCTACGATATTCGCATCAGCGCCGGCGCGGCTGGATAAACGACATGCTGTAGGCAAGCCGCTAATATATGCGCAGTTTCCAGAGGGCAGCCATTTACGTATCTCACCCGAGAGAAATAAAAACAATGGCGTCGCCAGAGGCGTGAGTCCCATTGGCCGCAGATCTGGGCACCTCTTTGTTTTTGTTTTTTGTTGTTTTTTGTGCTGACTTGAGAGCTCTACAGCATGGCTGCTGTACAAGTGCAGACCAAGGCCGAGGACACGATGGAGATTACAGACTCGCGGCGCGATGCACCGCCATTGAAGCGCAAGGCGTCCCCGGAACCACAGCACGGTGACGAGATACCGAAACGCACGCGACACGACTCGGACGAGGATGATCGAGACCGCTCAAGGCGTCGGTCACGGTCGCCAGAGCGAGATCGCACAAGTCAGCGGTCACGGTCGCCACTAGATCGCGCAAGACAGCGATCACGCTCACCGCAAGACCGTACAAGTCAGCGATCACGCTCTCCACCAGACCGCGCAAGACAGCGATCACGATCGCCAGATCGACGCCGCATACCTGAGGCACCCGCCATTGAGCGACGAGCGCCCACGCAGGAGGACAAGAAGCGTGGGAAGCGTCTGTTCGGCGGGCTTCTCAGCACGCTCAACCAGGGGCCCAGCAACTTGCAACAGAAGCGCCGGCAAGAGATTGAGAAGCGGCAGCAGGAGCGCTTGCAGAAGCAAGACTCGGAGGATGGACAGCGACGGGCCGAAAGGCTTTCACAGCTACGAGCTGTCCGCATCAGAGAACAAATCGTCTTTGACGAGGAAGTTGTACGTGGCTGCTGAACGAGACGGTTTTGCGACGTGCTCGCTGGCTAATCAAGTGTGCACGAGCAGATGCGGAATCGACACAAAAAAAAGCTGGCCTTGGCGAGGTATCTACAAACCAAGGCCGAGCCTCACATTGTACGTCGCGCCTTCGGGTTCGTATGAGTATAAAAGATTGAGCTGACAAACGGCCTGCTACAGTACTACCTACCCTGGCGCTGCACGGACGAGGAGCTGGATTTGATAGACGAGCAGAGGAGCAAGGCGAGGGATGATGTTCAGCGCGAGGAGAGCGAGTTTGAAAAACGCCGGACATGGCATGTTGAGCGACACGGCACGGCGGTTCGGGCGAGGCCGCCTTCGCTGCCACGGGAGCAGACACGATCGCCGCCTCCGCTACCCGACACAGCCCCTGCGGCATCACCGATGGCGGTCGAGGAGCGCGACGCGCGCGATGTAGAGGAGGACAGACGGCCTGAGGGGCACGATGACGCCGGGGACATTGTGGAACATGATGGGCAAGACATGGTCATCTATTAAGCGTGGCGCAGTTAGCACTGTTGTCGCACAGTATGCGCCGCGACGTATCGTGGAACTGCCTAGCTCCATTACAATCCAACAAAAAGGTCGGAAAGGGTAAATCCGCCGCCGCATGAAACTACTTTGCTCTTGTTCGTCCCGCTCCGGAGCTTCTAACTAGATTCTGGGTACGGGCTGTTGATTAAGTTTTATGGGCCGCAAAAGCGGCAGGGGACGGAGACGTCATTCTTGGACGGGCTTTGCTCTGCTCCAAAGTAACCCTGGGCATGTATGCACTGTACATGGGCAAACCAAACAAATCAACCCGTGCAGATCAGACTATGTGGCTGAGCAGAAGTTGGGCTCACCGATTTTTTTGGGAGGCGTTGGCGGCATTGTGTACGGAGGAGGGGAGGGCGTCTCATCATTTTGATATTTTGCCGAGGCCCAGGATACAAGGGTCTACGACTCGCGAGACGGTATCCGACTCAAAAGTCCGATTCCCGTCTGCACTAATAATGGTTACACCCCGCCTTACCCATTGAGTTACATTTAGAGCGGGCAGCCGAATACATATTTGCAGAGACCAGACCACTTGGACGTCGTGTGTGTGCCTCTCCGTCTTTATATAGAGCGGCGTTGGTAGCTTCAACCCACCCCTCATCCCAACCCATCAACCCATCCTCTCTTCATCCCATCCTCCATAGCTCCCATTCATTGCACAACAACCCCGCCGGCCATCATGGACACGAGCAAGCTCAAGCCCAACGACCCGCGCGTCACCAGCCACTACGAGACGATTCGCGGCAAGAAATACCACTACATTGTCGGCGAGCCGCACGGCACCAAGATCGGCACCATGCTCCTCGTGCATGGCTTCCCGGACATGGGCTTCGGCTGGCGCGCGCAGGTGCCGTACTTTATGGCGCGCGGCTACCAGGTGCTCGTCCCCGACAACGTCGGCTACGCGCGGACCGACGCGCCGGCCGACCTGAGCCACTACACCTTTGCGAGCACCGCGGCCGACCTGGCCGAGCTCGCGCGCAAGCACGTCGGCGCGGACGGCCAGATCGTGCTCGGCGGCCACGACTGGGGCGGGCTGGTCGCGTGGCGCATGGTCGACCGGTACCCGGCGCTCGTGGCGCGCGCCTTTGTCGTGTGCACGCCGTACGTGCGCGCCGCGGCGCAGTACACGCCGCTCGAGGACCTCATCCGCGCCGGCATCCTGACCAACTTTTCGTACCAGCTGCAGTTTGGCGGGCCTGAGGTCGAGGCGCGCGTGCAGGGCCGCGACCGCATCCGGCAGCTGCTCAACGCCATGTACGGCGGCCAGGGCCCCGCCGGCGAGCTCGGCATGCGCGTCAGCCAGGGCGTCGTCTTTGAGAACCTGGACCGCCTCGGCCCGTCGCCGCTGCTGGAGCCCGCCGAGCTCGACTTTTACGCCGACGAGTACGCGCGCCAGCCCGCGCCCGAGCTGCGCGGGCCGCTCAACTGGTACCGCACCCGCCGCCTCAACTTCGAGGCCGACCAGGACCTGGCCGCCGCGCGCAGCAGCAGCAAGGGCGCCAAGATCGCCGTGCCGTCGCTCTTCATCGCCGCGAGCAGGGACGCCGCCCTGCCCCCCGCCATGTCGCTCTCCATGGACGACAACTTTGACGACCTGACGCGCGCCGAGGTCGACGCGAGCCACTGGGCGCTGGTGGAAAAGGCGGACGAGGTCAATAGCATCGTGAGCGAGTGGCTGGAGAAGAAGACGGCCGCCAAGGCATCACTGTAAGCGGCTCGGAAGAACCTTGGGCCCTACTATCTGGTTCAAGACGAATAAAGAAACGAATCGATAACGAAATTGTACCCTTTCCTTTCCATTCAAATGTAAAGCGTGGTGAGCATGTTATAATCGGTAGAGAGGCACCATCATTCTTTTGCTTGTCTCCTCTGGGCGCATCCTTGAGCACCGCCAGAGATGGAAGGCAGCTCGCGAGCTTCACAAAGCGGCCGTCGTCGTCGTCTCATGTCTTCACATTTCAGAGCTGCCACAACCTGTCTCAGCCCGTTTAACCACATTCTCGGATAATTGAACCACCTTGCACTAAAAAGGCCCTCTACAGTGGGGGAAGCAATCAAGCTTGGAATTGCTATTTTTCAATCTTAACGATTTTTTATGGTGCATTCCCACGGTCCTAGAAATTCAATCAGAACATGCCCAAACGCCCGCCTTTTATATTCGCCCATGCATTGTGTGTACGTGTCGGTGTCGGAAAAAAAAGAGATGAAAAAACGACCAATCAAATCCCATAGTCGTCCAGAAGTTTCGTAATAGTAGCCCATGCTTGCAGCCGAGCATATTCTGTCAAAAAAAGTCTCTCTGTGCTCGCTCCCCTCTTCCCTGTGTCCATACGCAGCTGGTTTAGCGGCCGTAGTGTCGATCTCGAGATTGCAGGAATGATCCTCACGCTGGATGGAATCGATATACCGCATCACATATGGAAAGGAACTTGTTTCTGGACACGGGGTCGCCAGTCCATCAGGGACGCGGGCGTGGTGGAGTGCTCGTCGTCGGTGCCGCTCAAGAGCTGATGAGCTTATTGCGCTTCTCCTTGCGCTTGAGGCGCTCGACGCGCTTCTTGTGCATCTTCTCTGCCAACTTCTCGTATCGCTCCTTTTCCGCCTTCTTGGTTCGCTTCTCGCGGATCGCATCAACTTTGCGCTGTGGGCGAGGCGTTAGTTTCATAGGCGGAGGGGTATACGTTTGTTGCAGCCCATACATACCTGGCGCTCCGCCTTCTTCTCTGCCTTCATTTCATTCTCCTTGGCCTTCATCTGCGCCATCTGGGCACGCTCTTTGGTACGCTTCTCAAAGGTCGTGAGGCCGGCGGTCGGGCGAAAGGCTTTTTTCAGCGCATGCCATTGCTTGCCTGTCCACCCGAGTCAGTGTCGGAGCACGTATGCATATTCGCGGGATGCTTACCGTTCTTTCGCATGCCCAGAGGCTTGTCAGCCTGGGTCACTGCGGAGAGGGAGATAGGTTCCGTCATTTTTTTCGTATGATTATCGTGTTGCTTGTTGTAGATTCTTTGCCAGCAGACCACCACCAGCCCCAAGAAGCGCCATCATAGTTTTTTTTCTGCCGCCTGATAAGCAGTGTGGGGGACAGCCGCCTAACGAGGGCAGGCGGTGTGGGTAATTACAGGCAGGTGGTTATTGCCTGCCTAACCTGTATCTTATTTAAACAATTTGATGCACCTTCAGGCGTTGCGAGTGCCATTTCATGATATATCAGTCTAGCTAGTGCGTAGACGCAATATAGTTCACACTCAAGCGTTCTAATTAAATCCGGGTTGTCCTCGTAAAGCATCGCATCGGCGCTGGCCTCCATCACAAGGACGATGGACGGAAGGGTGCCACACCTATTATTTAGTGATAAGTAGACGGACAATGAGTAAAACTCGGGCATTTCTGCAACTTGCTACAATCATATCCGAACCATAGCTAGCGATGTTGCTTTGCCTGGTGCTTTTGCGCCGTAATCGCTGCTTGCCGCGAGCCCCATGGCAGTCCTTTCGCACACTGACAAATAACTACATGATTCTTATCATAGACATGGAAATTGCTTCTTACGCTTCCCGCGATAGTGTAGTAGCGTTTGCTGTTTGTTTTGCTATTTGTTCACATCCATTGCTTTTGCCTACAACAGTAAGTGAGACGCCGTGCTGTTTTACTATTGATTGGTCTATATGACGCCCGTTCAGATTTTCGAGGAGGCGCCTGCACGATTTCAGCGACATGAATATCACAGGCAAAGCAGACAGCTATGGGAATGAGCACACGAGGAAACAATCGATCAGAAGAACTTTGATATGAGGTCGACATCGGACTATCGAAACGCTCTTCGAGTAAGCTTGGCTCGGCTGATGGACGTGAGATTTAAATGACCTGCTAGCACAAAGTTCTTCATTGCATTTGGTGACACAGATCAAGACAAGAGAGACACGAATGATGGAAAGACCAGGGTGTCTCGTTGGTTGCGCACAGCGACACGAGAGGCAGCCCGCCCAATGCGAGGATTGGCGTCTAAATCTCAACGTCCCGAAACCGTGTTGAGATTTCGATTCGAGGTCAAAACGGGGCGAGGGGGGCCACTAATACCGGGTTGTCAGAATGGATAGTTAGACTACGAAGCCCAAGTCATGCGCAGGGATTACAAGTTCACGGCGGGCACTGGGTAGTGGTAGGTGGTTCGTCACAGTCCGAGTCCCGTACCTGTACCTGAGAAGATTTGTGTCTTTGCGGTAGACGCGGCAAATGATGAGCAAATAAAGTCAACATTGGACGCACAAGCAGTCTTTCATCAGGCCAATTACCAATTACAGGAGTCGAGGCTCAAGCCATGGCCAGCCTGCTGACGCACCCCGGAGCAACTGGACCTGCATCCGCACGCGCTGGCGAAAGCGGCGGGTGGCAGCCAAAATAACGTTACAGTTGCATAATAATCATCAAAGAACGAAAAAACCAAACCCACCAAAAACATCTCCCAGTGACTAGCGCCGGTCATGGTTCTGGCCGACGAACAGGGGGGAACCATCCTTGCAGGGCCAGCGCATTGCGATTGTGCAGCAAATCCCACTGGTATCCACTGCAATTAAAGAATTGGAAAAAGAATCCCACATCCTGGAAAAAGAATCCCTCAAAACGGTCCGTGTCGAATTCAGGAACGGTACTTGGCTGGGGCCGTTTATTAGCTTCGTATGGGGAACCCGAGTGCCCCCCGCTCCCTGGTTGTAGCCTGTAACATGTACGTGAATTACGGCGCTGGTTGAAAGGGAGATTGATTGATCCAATATGTACTATGCTGGAGCGAAAGGATAGTAGGAGCATCCGGCTGCACATCGCAATGCCAAGGGCGTGGCAAAGGGAGGGAGATTGGCGACGCTAGCACGGGAGCAAAAGTACTATCAGGAGCTAATGGCTGCCTATAGTCTACGTACAAAGTACAGATTACAGATTTAGTTACATATAGTAGGTAGTTAATACTAGGTGCTGCTCAGTACGTATGTACGGATGAGAGGGAAGGCGTTCTAGAGCTTGATGGTCGTTCGCATGATGCTTGGCTGTCAGCCATGTCTCTGATCGACTCGTGCCTTGTTGCAGGCTGCGCTCAACCTGGTAGACTCATGCGCAACGTCGTTGATCCGAGTCTAGAAACATAACGGAGCTGAGTGGTCATCGCAGAGATACTCGTAGATAGACTGAGATGGGTGCACGTTTGGACTCAAGATCCTAGCACACGCCCACCACCCCCGTCACAAAACTTAACTCTGCGTCTGCCGCTAGTTAGGGACGAAGCAGTTGATGCATATGTACTGTTCAACTGCGGTCTATTACCGCCGCAGATAGCGGAAGCTTTCAACGTTTGCCGGCCGTCAAAGTCGTGGCATTGCCACGGAAGCAACCTTGAACCTGGGCTGCTGTGAAACCGTTCCCGAGTCCGGCTTTGTTTGGACTGGTCTGTTTGGACTTGTCTGGTCAGCCAATTTGGCTGAGGCTGGTTTCATCTCGGACGAATCGCAAAAAGAAACCCCGAAAACAGAGCGTTGCAGACTGGACGACCGGGGGGTTTGTTGTTGTGGCTCCGTTTGCGAATGATATCATCAAGTAGGATCGCGCGCATCACAACCCGCAGGGACCGCATCCGGGGTCGCATGCACAGGGAACATGGGCAGCGAGGCTCTGGTTGTTTCTCTTCGAGACAAGGCGGCAAGGCAGTGCAGGACGCGGACGTGCACCGAGGAGGGGATACGAAAGCGTCTATGAATACCTCCATACTCCGTACAGTGTGCAAGGGGGGGAGAGGGAGCTGGGCCAAGAACAAGGCGCGGACTGGCTCCGCGCGCTGCATGGGCCAAGATGATGTCCATCCTCGTGCATTTGGGGCGGCTCGACCAGAGGAACCCATGTTGACTGCGCCGCGCCGTGGCATCCGAACCGCTGCCCAATTATTTTTTTTGGCGTTGACTACGAATATTGGTACCTGAATTCGAGGGAGAGTGAAGCCGGCTTCATCGCCACGGACCGGTATTGGACCATTGCCGCCGCGCCATGCGCCCGGGGAAAGAAAGCCGGCGAGAGGGCAAAAGTTGCATGAGCGCGTTAACTATCCAGTGGGTGTGTGTATATCGCCATGTCTGCCGCTGGACACGAACACGATGTGCTTGCATTGGGCATTGTTTACTCTCTTGCGCATCCAAGGAGACACGGACGCCAAGAAGGGACAGCACGGCAGCCGGTGTCAGACGCAGGAATACGTTGCAGATTGAACAATTGGCGCACCGCAGCTAACGTTAGTTAACTAGTAGTTGGACAAGCGCAATGTCGAGTCGGTTGGCAAGAGGCTCTGTGCTCTTGTGCAGGTTGTGGACAGAAGCATCGGAGAACTCTATATTATGGATTTACAGCTGGTGTTGTTTGGGACTAACTGTGAATGGTTCGACGGGTGGCCGTGCTCTATCATTGTCCATGATCAGTTGACGTATGTACAAAGAAAGGTAGAGAGAATCGGAGGGTTTTTTTTTAGTCTATGCGTTCGGCCATCTTGTGCCTCCGGAAGCGGGTCGTATTCTGCAGCAGAGAGGGCGGGTTTGTTCGGACTTGCGAAACCTTTTCTTGTGAGGCTTGTCGTATGGCATGTAGGACAAGAGATGACAGATTGTGGGCGACAAGGACGGCAGGGATTTTGACAGGAACAAACGGCAGTGGGTGAGTGAGGGCGTCGTGGGACAGCATGTGGAGCTGGCAGCAACAAGCCGAGCCGAACGGCAACTAGAGAGTTGCAAAATCAGACTGGATTGGATAACTAGGTGCTGATGAGCGAAATAAGCACACTATTGACTCTAGGTTCTTGGTCGATCAATAGTACGAATTTGTACAAAGTCGTCATTATTATTATTACTAGGCTGTGTGCCTGACTACCTATTAACGCGTGCAGCACTACTCAGCAACAAGGCTCGTACCGTGCGGGCCTGCTCTGCTAGCGGACCCCGCAGGACCGACTAGAGCAGCTGATGGCGTTGGATTCTGGGCAAATCTTGGAATCTTGGTCTATTCAACTTGTCGAGTTGGCATAGTTATGGGCGCAGCTGGGTGACCCGTGGGCCGTGGGCAGGATGCACGAGTGGCAACGCCGAGGGGAAGGCTGTGTGGGTGGTGGTATGATGTTGATGCAGGAAGGAGGACCAACTAACTAACTGAAGAGTACGAATGTATTAACTACCTCGTAACTAACTAATCAGTTGCTTTGCTAATAAATAAAAGGATGGAGAGGGGAAAAAGCAAAGTTGGTCATAACTAGGTCGTCATGGGAATCATCTCGGGGTTGTCGCGGCGTCACCACGTATTGGCCACCCGATCCTGCAGACTGGTCGAGGCCAAGGGGGGGAAAGGGCAGAGATATGCTCTCTTCTGCTGCACGACGCTGCACGGCACAGGGCTCCTTTTGCCTCGGGCGCGGAACTAGTTGATAGAGATGGTCTCCTGGCCGCCTCATCTAATCCTCCCGTCCTATCTGTGTGAGGCTGTGAGCTGCCGCCTGCAGGTCGTTGGCGTCAGCTGCTCGTGGCGGCTTGTATAGGTGTGTGGTGTTGAGTGTTGCGTGTGTGTGTGTGAGTAACTACCTACCTAGGTAGGTAGGTAATTAGTTAACTAATATTCTGTATTGTCGAAAAAGGGGCGGCCAGCAAACAAAGGACAAATAGCCAAAAAAAAAAAAAACAATCCCCATCAAGCCACAAAATGCAGTGTCCAAAGATGCATAATAACTGTGTTTGTGTGTGCTCGGCATATTCGTCGCCTTGTATGACGGGGGGCTTTGCCTTCAATCTCCGGGCGAGGTAGCTACGGACGTGCAATTCCCTGGCTGTCAGCGTGCACCGTTTCATGCCTGCGGACACACAGGGCCATCCCGTCGGGTCGGCACCGATAAGAAAGACAAGAAAGACAAGAAAGGTGTGTGGTCACTGTGGTGGCACCGTGTTGTGCGTTGTCTTCCTAGTAGATTACAGGCCAAGATGCAGGACATTGGACGTGCTGCCGTATCGGGCAGATTATCGTGTTGGACAAGGCAAGGGCTGGTGGTAGCTGAGCAACAAGTAGCAGTAAGTGCGACGAGTACTTTGTATTGATGAATGAGATATGAAGGTTGATGAAGAGCGCCCAAACAAACGCAGGTTCATATCAGATCGTGTTTGAATCCCTACCTAAAATGTAGAATGTACCTAGGCGCCGGAATAGTAACAAACAGATATTCGTAGCGCTGTGGCCTCAGCCCTTCCCCCTACATTATTTAATAATGCCTGGCTGGCCACTGAATTGCCTTCCACCCGGCACAGACGTGATGGTGCTACAGTACATGCAGGTACACAGATGCCTGTACCTTTCAGGTACAGCCTCGCCCCCTGGCTGTGCTCAGGGCTCACATGTACCTGAACGTTGGCAGCTGGGGTAGAGGCCAGTACCACCCACACTGGAACCCACAAAGACGGCGCTGCAAGCACTCTGTAATTCAGTCTCCAGTATGTATTCCCTTTGCCCGTTGCTCTTTGCTGAACAGTCCAGTTTCTAATTGCACCATGCCCAACTGCCAGGTACCTTTTACTGTAACTAGAGCGACCTACCTTGGGCACTATAGGTGTCTGCTGCCATGTATCCGTACTTGCTGCCTTGCCATAGCCCTCGACCATCGCCTCTACCAGCTCTACCATCAGACTCTCTTCTTCTCCCTCTGTACCGTACCCTCTGCTCTCCTCCTCTCCTTCCAGTCCTCCTCTCCTTCCAGTCACTAACTACCTACCTACTAGTGCCATGACCTCAATTAGTTAATTAGTAAAAAGGACCTCCCCACGCCCCCGTCTCCACCAAGTAGGTAGCCAACAAACAAGCCCGGCCTAGCGCCACATCAACTGCTCCATCGTTTCTGACTGGCCGCCGGCTCGCTGGTCCATCTGTCTCTCTTTCTCACTCTCGCTCTCACTGCAGTCTCCAGTCTCCGCCCCAGCCTGGTCTCTCCCATTCTTCTTCTAACCCGGCCCCGTTTCCTCTTCCTTCCTCCATTCCGCATCTTCATCTCTTCCCCAACTGCAAACGCCTTCGCGCGCCTCACGAATCCGCCCCTTGGTGCGATTCCAGCTGCTCCTCGATATTCGAGTTGGCACTGGTCTTGACCGTCCGCTCCTTTTCTTTTTTGCCTCATTCTTTTTTCCGGCCTTGATTCTTCTGCACCAGCATTTTTGCACCGTTTGCTTTTCCCAAGGTGCGTGCGTGTCTGTCGCTGGAACACTCCCCCCCCCGCGTGTCGCCGCGAGACAACTTTCGTCCCATCATTGCCTGCTTGCCCGTCAATTCGGCATTGCTTGTGCTGACGGACCTACTCGCCGTGTAGATACATTATTTATGAAGCAGACTTTATTCGCCCTTACGACCTGTTCTGTCTACCGCTTACGACATCGAATCACGATCCTCTCTATCGCCACCCATCTCGTCACGCATCTTGCCTTCCGCGTCGCTCTATGACCACTACATACTTATAGCTTCCATCATTCAACATTTTGCCGCTGCGCGGCCGAAGGAATGATGGCTGCGACGTTCGGCCCTGCCATGGGCCGCAATGAATCGTCTCCGACGCTCCAACCCTTGACCTACGATGCTAGACAAAACACGCTTTCGCCTACCTCTTCACGGCGAGATGCGCCGCTCGCGATTCCCGACTTCGTTTTCCCTGCCCAGCCCGCTCCTTCAGAATCCGCTACCGATCTCGACTCGGCTGAGCAGCCTTTACCCGCCTCTCTCAACCACGGAGAGTTCAGCTTTCCCGCTCGCGATAGGCGTCCTCACCGACCTACTGCCCTTCCCGACTTTAGCTTCAACCCTGGTGCTTCCGTCCCTCATGGTCTCAACTCGCCCGCGCTGCTCAGCCCGCCTACCTCGCCCAACTCTTCCAATCCCACACCTTCTGCGTCCCGACCCATTCGCCATGGCCATCGTAGAGGGGGCAGCGAGTTTGTCGGCGGGAGCATACGTGATGGTAGTTCCATTGCCGTCATGAGCACAAGCCCAACCAAGGAAACTGGCTTCCCTCAGTCGCTGCAGCCTCCGCCGCCTCGACGAGGCCATAGAAGAGGCATGTCCGGTGCCATTTCTACGAATGACTTACCTATCCTGCAACCGCCTGTCATGGATTGGACGCCCAAGGGCAGCAGTGCTCCCAATAGCCCGACCAACTTTGACCGAGGAATCAATACCACTATTCCACTCGCTGACGACCCTGCAATACTCACTGCGCTTCCCGAACCTGTCCAGGAACCTCCAACTCCTGCAGCCTCGGCCCAGGGTTTTAACGACTCCATCCCGCCCAGCCCCAACCCTCCGAGAGCCACCACCAGAGCTCGTGTTGGCTTCTCAGACACCCTAGAGTTTATTCCTCGGCCACTGTCCCTGGTGTCTAGTGATACGTCCAGCACTGTGACCGCGCGACCAGGACACTGCATGTCTGAGAGCATCTCGTCTGTCGTTTCCCCTGTTTCCATCGGAGAAGATCATAGCCCTGTCGTCCTCTCGCGCAGCCCGATCAGAGAAACGCGAGAATCGAGACCATCTACCGCCGGTGCCATTCTGGAGACTGTTGCTAGCGCCCAACCTGAGCAGGCAAATACATCGCCCAGACGCCGAAACTCTATTCCAGCACTCATCAGCGTTGGCGAACCATTGGCCGCCGGTCCAGCGTTGCCCAGCCCCACGAGAGCCCCGAAGCGGTGGTCATTCTTTGGACTGGACACGTTTGGACCCTCGAACATGTCAACAAAGTCCCGTCCCATCAGCTCAAGCTCTTCGGATTCTGCCTCGCGCGCCCACACTGTCTCGTCATCGGACCGAGGATCAGAGTCCGACAGCGCCGAACCCTCGGAGCGAAAGCAGAAAAAGAAGAACAGAAAGTCTCGAGCCCAGACCGTCAAGGGCTGGGCAGGCGCCATTCTACCCATCAAGAACAAGAGTGAGAAGCGGCGACGTAAGCCTAGTGATGTACGACCACCTACGCCGCCGCCCTCCGTCACGCCGATGGATGAGGATGGGGACGACGAGGAAGATTATGCTGATGAACAAGAGCCTGTTCCTGGCCCACCTGTTCTTATTCAGCCACCAGAGCTCCCAACCTTAGTGACACAGCAGCCGCGCCGATCAGATGAGGTCATGTCACCCATGATTGACCTTGATGCCGCACTCGGTCCATTCAATACACCACTCGCACACAATCCAGAGTGGGAAGCGGCACAGCGCGCCGCTGGCAGTGCCGGCAGACGTCGTCTCCATAGTGCTCAAGGTATGAAGGGATTTGGCGGTCCTGGTATGCACTACCATCGACGAGCTGAATCCGCTCCCGATCTGCCACCATTTGATGCTGGCCGGGCTGGCATCAATCGATTCAGTAGCAACTCGACAATGGCCGATGTTTTTGAGGAGGAGGAGGATGAAGAGGCGGATGAGGGCAGTGACGGCGGTAACACGACGGCCACCCCGGAAACGGATAACAGGTGGGAACACAAGACCGAGACCATCATCTTCAGCGATAGTGGCTCTGAAACCACTAGCCTACGTGGTCTTGCTGTTCGACGAAAAAGCTCTGGACTTAGCGACAAGGAGCACAACGCTGCTCGCTCTGTGCGTGCCGAATGCTCACGGACATCCCTGCATGAAAGTGTCATTGTTGAGGAACCTGCCATTTCGAAACCTGTTCTGCAAAGCCCTGTCGCGTTGCCAAGCCGCAGATACTCGTCGGACTCGGGTGCGCATTCACCGAAGAGGATTCTGCCGATGCTAAGCAACGAGCGCCTGCCTATTGATGCAATTCCCCTGACACTCCCGCAAGGTGCCTCTATGCCACTAAGCCCTTACTCGATGAGCACAGCGTCGCCACATCCCTCTCCAAGGTCTCCCATGTCTGAGGCTCAGCGTGTCTCGACAGCGCCCTCTTCAGTGGCCGAAGATAAGTCTTTTCAGTCTCTGCTCATGGGCGAACCCGGTCCTGAAGTGCGCATCTCGATGGACTACGATCTCCCCTCTATCGCCTCTAGCACATCGACCATGCCAGGAGAGCCCATCTTCAACCCACAAGCGCGTCCTAGGCCAAGCACTTTTCGGGACCAGCGACCAGTGTCTGTTTCCTCGGCGGCATTCGGTCGTCGGCGATCTAGCCTCATCAGTCTCAGTCGACTTATCAGTAGCTCCCACGGGGAGCGCAGCAAACTCTCCACGGAGCTGACATTTGAAGAGGCTGAGAGCAGAGCTGCACGAGGTAGCAGGACAAAGAAATTTGGACGACTGATGCAATTCTGGAAGCCAAGCAAATCTGGGCCCTCTACGTGAGAACTGTCCGGTACGCAGAAAAGGACAATGCCCCCCAAAAAGAAGTAGCCGATTTCTACAATCTGTATAGGCCTCTCACACCATTGCAGCTCCTTGTTTTTATACCAGGTAGCGCGGGTCATGGAGGAAGATGAGTCTTGACTCACAAGAGCAGGAATTGTGCTTTGACGCAAACCCAACGTCGAGCCACGTGCTAGAGATGACCACCCGCAGTGAAAGCCTCTTGCCGTGTCGGTGACATGTTGGGATGAAGGGAGAAAGAGGATGAAAGAGGAGGAATCCGAGCGCCCTCCCCATGATGATGTATATAACATTTTTCTTTTCAGTCTCCATTTTTCAGTTCAGTCCATAGCATGAGGATTTGGGAACGGATTGCTTTGTTAATTTCTCCCCCTTTTTTCCCCCTCTTTTTTTCCTGTTGTCGGTTGCGTATTTGCTCCTCGGGGGGAAAGGGTCGAATGTTGGGGTTTGGCGAGGTGGTTTTTTGTTTAACGGGCAAGACGGACTTGGTGTCATTTTTCTCTTCTCTTTCATCTCTTGTTTGCAAGTGTAGCATGAAAAGGATTACAAAAAAAAACCAAAGAAGAGGAGGGACATGCAAGGTTGCAAATAGCCCAGCACAATAATGTGTTGCAGAATATATTACTACATTACGCAGAATTGTTTTCGAAGAGTGAATGAATTGTGTCCGAGACTGACGTTTGAACTTGTGAGGACTAAATAAACTATGGTAATGTAGGTCTCTGGTGTTGTGGTTATGTAGTGTATATATATGTATATATATATGTGTGTGTGTGTGTGTGTGAATATTGTATCAGTAAGCGTATAATGACAGATGTTGTTCGTGCAGGGTGTATATATCGGAAATCTTCCAAACTGTCAGGTCATAAATGTAATCAAAGGCGCACACGGCGGTGTCAAAGACGGCAGTCGGCTAGCCATTGTCAAGGTGAATCAATGAAGAGGTAGGTGTCCGGCCTTTTCAGATAAACATTTTGGCCACGCCACTGACCAAACCGCTGGTCCAGTCGTCGCCGCCACGACTTTTGGCGCGCCCAAAGCTCTCAAACGAGTCCAAGCCGAAACCGCCGCCGCCGCTGCCGCTGCCGCGGCGAGGGTAGTTGTCCTGTCCGCCGAAACCGCCGCGTGCGCTGCCACCACCGCCGCCGCCGCCAGCCATGCGGACAGCATCACTCATGAGGCCGAAGCCGTCACCCGAGGCGGCGCGCGAGGCCATGCCGAGGGCGCGCTCGAGGGACGGGGGCATGCGCAGGCCGAAGCGGGCGAGGAGAGCGGTCAGCGCGCCGCCGGTGACGAGGGGCATGATGACCATGAAAAAGACCTTCCAGGGGTGGCGTTTGAACCAGTGCAAGAGGTCGCGGATGAGGCGCTTGAGCTGCTTGTAGGAGCGCTGCAAGAAGCCCTTGCGAGGGGAGCGTTTGTAGTAGGAGGAGCGCGAGTTGCCGCCTGGTGGTGTGTTAGCGAAGAGAAGAGGAAGGGGGAAGGGGGGGGGGTATACCGAATAAGCTACCGCGGGACGAGTTACCTAGAGGGAGGCCGAAGAAGGAGCCGCGCGAGGCATTGTGCTTGCTGTAGCTGCTGTCTTTGCCAAAGAGGTCGCTGACAAAGGAGCTGGCGCCGCCGCGGGTGCGCTCGCGGTCGCGGGAACTGGAGCGGGAGCGGCGACGTTTGCTTGTGCGCTCACGGTCACGGTCGCGGTCGCGGTGGCGCGACGAGGAGCGGCGGTGGTGGCTGCTCGGGGGGTTGAGGGCCTCGGTGAAGGCTTCGGGGAAGAAGGGCATGATGTTGCGCTTCTGGGTCTGCGTATGTGTAGAGAGGTGAGGAGGAGGAGTAGGAGGAGGAGGAGGCTATCCGCCGCTGGCGCAGCACAGGCTAAGAGAAGTTGGCTTGCTGAATGGGCAGTCGAGGCAAATCGGCGTCCAACGTTGGCCTCTTGCGACACCCACGGCGCACCGAATTGGTTGGTCGAGGGGGGGCAAGGTCTTCAAGTCGTGGTAGAGCTCGTGTTCAACGTCACATGGGGGCTGCCTTGTTGTATAGCAAGCGGATCGAGGCAACCAAGCTGTAGTTGCAGCAAACAAGGCAACCTGGTGAGCATGGAAACTGCAAAAGAAAAGGAAAAAAGAGGCCCCGTGGGCTTTGTCGATGGAGAAGGGGCTGTCGTGCAGATGCAAGATGCAAGCAAGAGGAGTTGGGGGAGTACGAGTCGGGGCCGAATCTCTGGCAGCGCCGTCAGAGTGGCATGTCTTGGTGCGGTGAGGTGCAGCGGCGGTGACGTGCAGCTGACTTGTATAATAAAATTCGAGTGGCTGGGAGGTGCGAGGATGAAAGAAAGGGCTGGGTTAGCAGATTTTGCGGGAGAGCAGTACTGGGTCCTGTTAGCCCTGTTAGCGAGCGACTCCAGCTACAGGGGGGGACCGTTGCCTGCCAGGGGTCCCGTTTTGCGCCATCCCCTGCAACCTCGGACGCACGCCAGACGAGGCTGTCCACTGCTGCCCTCTGCTAACCGTTAACTTTGTCAAGCTGTGATTAGTATTCGCAGGCTTTGCACTGCGGATTGCTGTGAGCAAACAGATACTGTGAGAAAGGCGGAGAGGATAGTGAGGTAGCCTGTAGCCCCCACACTGCACGACAAGACAGGCAGGCAGAGGGCCAATAAGCGGTTCTGGCGTCACAGAGCACTGATGCCCGTTGAGCCAACTTGATCAATGCACTTACAGGGGTGGTCATGGCCCCCTGTAGGGCTGCCCAGAGGAATCCGCTACAGAAACCACTTGATGCACAACTTTCTCAATTTTTATCGTTATCCGCATCGACTCTGTTCCTCTTCGTATCCATAATCGCTTCTCCAGATCCATCGATGGAAACACCAGGGCCCCTCCTCCGGCATCAATACGGAGCCCGTCGGGCAGATATTGACCTTGCACTGACAATGGCCGATGCTGCCGTGACGTGACACTTCCACCAAATCTCGACGAATTCATTGATCTTTTATCCAATTTGGGCACAAACGCATACATCCCCCCCCCCTCATCGGGTCGTGTAGCCCCCGTTGGCAAACAGCGTCTGGCCCGTGATCCAGCCGCCCTCGGTCACCAGGAACCTCACCAGCGGCGCAATGTCCCGGACCTCTGTCAACCGCCCGCCCAAGCCCTGACTCTTGTGAAACGCCACGGCCTCTGGCGACTCTTGCGGGTAGAAGAAGGCTGCCGAACCAAAAAAAAAAGGAAATTGTCAGTCTGTTTCGCACGGGAAGAGAGATAGAGAGAGCAGCACCACGTACGAGTGTCCATGGGACCAGGCGCAATCGCATTCACGCTCACCAGCCGCGGCTGCAGCTCCTTGGCCACGCCCCGCGTAAAGTGCTCGACCGGCGCCTTGGAGCCCGCATACGACGTGTACAAGCCCGTAAACGCAGCCAGCAGCGCCGTCACAATGGTGATGATCTTGCCCCCGTCGGCCACGTACTTGCTGCCTGCCTTGAGGATGAAGAAGGCCGCCTTGGAGTTGATGCTGCCGAGCGTGTTAGTTTTGTGCATTCCGACCAACTAGAGAAGAGCAAGAACAACGAGGACAACAAGAGGAACAAAACAACAAGGACAACGAGAAGAACAAGACAGCAAGGACAACAAGAAGAACAAGACAGCAAGGACAACAAGAAGAACAAGACAGCAAGGACAACAAGAAGAACAAAACAACAAGCAACGTACGCAAACATCGAATCGTATTCCGCCTCGCTTATCTCCCCAATCGCCTTCTTCAGCACCTTGCCCACCGTGTTGACCACAATGTCGATCCGGCCCAGGTCCGCCTGCGCCGCCTGGAAGAGCCTCTCCACCGCCGCCTCGGTCGTCAGGTCGTCCTGGTAAAACTTGACCCGGACCGACGGATACTCGGTGGCAAACGCCCGGCCGAGCGCGTCGGCGTCGTCCTTGGACGCGGCCGAGTTGTAGTGCAGCGCCAGGCTGGCGCCCTGCCCCGCGAGCTCCCGCGCGATTGCGGCGCCTAGGTTCTTGACTCCGCCGGCAATGAGAGCGACTTTTCCTTCGAGAGACATTGCTTGATGTTTCCGTCTTGTTGTTGTTGTGGTGGCGTAATGGAAGGGGGGGTAGGAGTGTGTAAGTCGAGGTAGAACAAGACGAGGATACAGGAACAGAAACTGACTCGAAAAAACAAGACGCAACGAGCTGTTTAAATGGTCTAGAGAAAACCCCCTACCCCTCGCCGCTACATAAAACGGCTTCAGATGACCGCATACCGCCGTCTGTTGACGTAACTTGCATTCTGCAGCACATCTGCCAAACTCTCCTCAGCCAACCCACTCTCACACCTTCCCACCAAGTACTCGGGCAAAGAGAGGCTTCACATAGACAACGTTTGTACCCAAACTAGGTTCCGCCGTCCCAACGCCACGCTGCTTCAGTGTCATGCAAGCAACAAGCAACCAAGGCAGCCTGCTTCTCCGCCTCGCTCCCGGAACCGAAACGATGGGGTGTAAAGCACGACTGAATTCAGCACGGCATTAGAGAAGACGGACATGGCGGCATCGGAATAAAGTGTGCTCGCTGCGTAGTGTAAATCCGATGCGGGCAAGCCGCCGTTCTCGTCGCAAGACACCAGCCCCAAACTTTATTCAGTGGTGCCATCATCGGCTTTAGTACAAAGCTTGCCTGATCGACCGCATTACACCTTCTATGCACAGGGCCCTTGGTCAATATAGTAGAGTATACATCACAATATATATTATTGGCCAGCGACCGAATGTCCCTTGCCTATACCTCATCTAGTATACAAGTATACAAACTATACATGGCATTCATCAACACCCTTATTCATCAACGCCCTTGCCCTATCTTCCACCCTCGTCAGCCCGGCCTCGACTCTCATTCAGCTCAACGTGCACCCGTAAGCCCTTTGCCGTCATCATGCCGTACGCCGACCGCAGCTCGTCCGCTCCCATATCCCCCGCGAGCGTCCCAAACGCCTCCAGAAACACCGTCTTGGCCCAGGGGCAGTGGCGCAGTGCGCGGTACAGCACATCCACCGCGCCCTTGCTGCTGCTGTGCGCATGCGTGAACCGGATATACCAAACCCACAGCATAGCGCTCGCCCGGCCGGCGTCGCTGCGCACGGCCTGCTCGAACGCCGCCCGCGCCGTGTGCGCGTTGCCCCGGAGGAGCTCGTGCTGGACGGCAAAGAGCCGGCGGCCTACGCAGTCGTCGGACAAGGACCGCTGCCGCAGCAGCTGTCGCGTCTCATCCACCACACGCAGGCCGGCGTCGGACCACTCAAAGACGGACAACAAGATGGCGTTGGAGGGGAAGCTCTGCAGATGCTTGCGCGCCTGGTCTCGAATGTAGCCCCTGCGATGTGGCCTGCGAGTGAAAAATGTGAGTGGTGATTCTGATACTGGCAGCATGGTGATGAAACGTACCCTCTTGTAGCGTGGAGATATAAAAGGTGTGCGCCGGACTGGACAAGACGCTCGCAGGAAGGCGTGATGCCGTGTCCACGTACCGCGAGTTCTCTGCTTATAGAGTCCAGCGTCTGCATGGCCGCAGATATATTACCTTGTGAGAGCGACATGGGCTCGGATGCCTCACTGTTGGTCAAGTAGCTGTGTAGAACAAGGCATTCACCGGCCGTCTCTGCCGACTCGACGTCACCCGTGGACAATGACTTGGACAAAGTCCCCGAAAATGCGGAGCCAGCTTTGAGTACGTCGGCAAACGATACCTCTTTCTCTAAAGTACCTGCACCACAGAGTGCTCGTTTAGAGCAGACCATGTCCCCATTCTCCAGCGCCATCCAGGCCGCCGTGTGCTGTAGCCGAAAGCGGCTGCTCTGCTTCGAAAGCTGCCCCTGTGTTAGCGCCTCAAGACGTTTCACAGGTAATGAATTGGAAACTCACCAACGGAGACGAGAGTGCTGATTCGACGACTTTGGCCGCTACATCGCTGCTCCCTCTTGCATGCTCCACGAGCGCATACGCATTGTACAAGGACGCATTGTCCGGGCTTTGCTTTAGCAGCTTCTTAGCCGTCTTCTTCACAGACGAGGGGTCCCGGGCAAAGGAAACAGCCAGGTAATATTCCGACAGGTCTTTGCACCCGGCCGAAAAGATGAGCTGCCCGAGTGTAGCCTCTAGCCAGCGATCATCGACCAAGGTGTTTGACGACGGCAGCTGGAGATATCGAAACCACGCGTTGCCTGGAAACAGCAGCCTTGGCGAGATGGAAAAAGCGCTGTACGGCCGGTAGAAGAGCGGCGGGCGGCGCACGATGGACTCGTCCTCATGCCGCTCCGGTGCTGTGGCGGCGTCGATGCTTACGGCCGGTATGCTGCTTCCCACAGGAGCGAGGAGCTGGTCTTTGTACAGTGTTCTGGCCCAGTCGCTGGATGACGCAGGCGGCAAGCCGCAAAATATGAGAAACGCATCCCAAAGCGAGCTGCTGATGCTCGGCGCGAGAGGGAGTGGCATCATGAAGAGGAACGGCTCAATATCTGTATATGTCACGACTCGGAACGGGTCGTCTTCTGTGTCGCCATCCATGGTCCGCGCTGGTAGCTTGGCAGCATCGGCATGCTCGACCTCAAGCTGCGACCACGCCCTGAACGCATCTATCGACTGGGCCGCCGCCGGCATAGACGGATCAGGCAGCGGCTCTGGCGGTTCATCCTGTCCGCCCGTCGCCACGTAGTGCTTCCATCCGTTAGCGCCCGGTTCCCCAATCCGCGGCACCTCGCTCTCCCAAAACTCCTGAAAAGAGTCGGGCACATGCTCGTGCTCCGTTTGGGCCTCTGGCCGGAAATATGTCAGCTCCAGGATCGCCTGCCACGCCGCCACCGCCAGCTCTCTGTAGCCAGCGTCGTGCATAAATCTAGTCGCCAGCAGAAAAACCTCGATCGCTTCCAGATAGGCTCGCGTGCCCTCCGACAGGGCATGGTGTAGTCGTTGGGTGAGCATCGTCTTCACGCCAGCATAGTCAAACTCGGTGATGCTCGTTATGGCAAACTCGAGACGCACCCGCCAGAGAGCGTGGGAGTCTGCCTGGGTACCCAGCTCCGCCCATTTCTTGGCCGCTGCCTTGATGCTCCAGACCTTGGCACCCTCGCGCATCAGCGGCACGAGGATGCGCTCGCGGTCCACGGCGTCCCGCGCATTCTGGAGAGCCTTTTCGAGCATGGACACCTTGATCTCACTGTAACTGTGGGACTCGTTGTCCGGAGCCGTGCCTTCGGCGGTACTGGCCTGCAGCAATTCGTCTTGGTGCTCGACCAACTCCAGCCAGGAGTCTATGTCTTCCGGGTTCTCCTTCACGCGGCGATTCAGCTGTATTGACTTCCACAGGAGAGGTTTACTCGTCTCTACATTATCCACCTCGGAGTTATCCGAATCCGAGTCCATGTCACTGTCGTAGTCTTTAGGTTTAGCCTTGCCCTCTATCGATCGATACGAGGGCCCCTCGTCTTGAGAGGAATCCTCTGTTCGTTTCTGCTGTTTTGAGCTTTTCAGGGACAAGAATCCCTCGTCGTCCTCATCTTCCCTTGCCGGCGCTACCCGGCGCCTCCGCAGTGCAATAGGTCGTGAGTGAGCCATGGGCCGTTTAGAGCGCAGCCCGTCACGATCTCGGTACCGAGGCAGGCCCTCTCCAGGCATACGAAGACCAAAAGAATCATTTGGGCCATCGCGATAGATAATCAGCCTACCACGAGTTCCCAATACCCGCCCACGGCCATGGCGATAGTAGGCAGGTACCTTTGACCTCTCCAGCGATCCATACCGTCGTATGAGTGGATCGCCCTTCGTGTCGATTATGTACAACTCTGGTCCTGATGCGCGCGAGATGGGGGTTTCCTCGGCTGGTTTCCTGTATGTGCGGCGTTCGCGCTCATGGGACGGAGGGCGCCCTCTTGGTCGTTTGGACTCTCTGCTGCCGTCTCGACGATGGCGCTCATGCCTGTCGTCGTGATGAGAGCGCTTCGTTTTGTGGCGACTCGAATCTTTTCTCCGACTTTCATCTCGCTCCTTCGGTGTTTCTTGTGCTTCTTTCGATTTAAAAGACCCAAATTTCGGAACCAACAGCTCGTCTCTTCCGCCGCTCGACATGGCGTCGCGTCGGGCTCCAAACCTGGCGGGCTTCGCGCGGCGTGGAATGACGACTTCAGCGCATCGAAAATGGATCAGACGACGAGTCCATATAGATATTAAATCAAGGTTGTGCCAATCAAGCCGTATTGCGCGGCGCTATTGCCCATGTACAGGTTATGATGGAGATAAGTCGAGTAGGCAAACATGCTGCTGGCGGTTTCCTGTGGAGCTTAGGTAGGCGCGGTCACGGTCGCTAATCATTAGCGAATCCCACCAACTCTGGCAAGCTCAAACCACCCATCTACACCAAACCATTGACATTGCGGATTTCTGCCCTGAATGGCCCTGTTGCAGTCACCAATCGTCTGGGTCGCTGTCACGCTGGTCGTAACGCTCGCTGTCGCAAACACAATGGGTCTCTTTGGCGGCAACAAGATGCCAGTGCAGGGCAAGGTACGAATGGACCCTTGACCCCCCAATCTGCATACCGAGCTTCTGACTCCCTCTCTACAGACTGTTCTGATTACTGGTGGATCGGAGGGCATGGGTCTCGCCGTTGCGACGCAGCTCTCTGCCAAAGGTGCCGATTTGATCCTCGTCTCCCGCAGTGCAGCCAAGCTTGAAGAAGCCATCAAGACGGCCAAGGTACGTCCACCAAGCTCTCTCGTCCTGGCCACAGCTAACCCCCATCGTCATCCCAGGCCGCCGCTAAATACCCGTCGACACAACGATTTCACTACATCACCGCTGATGTCTCCGTGCCCTCGTACGCCGACGGCGTCGTCGCCGACGCCACGGCATGGAACGGCGGCCGCGCACCCGACATTGTCTGGTGCATCGCCGGCGTCTCCGTGCCCAAGCTCTTTGTCGAGACCGAGGCAGTGCTACTGCGCCGGCAGATGGATATCAACTTCCACGGGACCGCCGACATGGCGCACGCCATCCTGCGCGCCTGGCTCGCCCCCGACGCCGACGCGACCCCTCGACACCTCGTCATGACATCCAGCGCCGCCGCCCTTTACACCATCCCTGGCTACGCGGGTTACGCCCCTTCCAAGTGGGCGCTGCGCGGCCTCGCCGACACGCTCTCGCAAGAGGTGCTACTCTACCCGCAGGACGTCCGCGTCCACATCGTCTTCCCCGGCACCATCCTCTCGCCCGGCTTCGAGGTTGAGGAACGCACCAAGCCCGCCATCACCAAGCAGCTCGAGGCCGCCGACCCCAAGCAGACGCCCGACGAGGTGGCGCGCGCCGCCATCCGCGGCCTCGAGACTGGGCACTTCATGATCGTGGTCAACTGGCTCGGTCAACTGATGCGCTTCGGCGTCATTGGTGGCTCCCTCCGCAACAACTGGATAATCGACACCCTCGGCGCCTGGCTGGTGCCCATTATCTGGATCTTTGTGCAGTATGATCAGGTCAGCACCGTGCGCAGCTTTGGCAAGAAGCACGGTCATCCCAGCACGTATACCAGTATCCAAAAGTGAACTTCACCGCATAATGAAGCAAGATAATTCCTAATCGGCGCAACGCAAACACCACGCACTTGTATATATTTATAAACCAGTATTGTATATCATTATGCTTCATGTACATTTCTTTCTCTACCTTTTTAAACTCCGCTCCATTTACCAAATTTGACGTATCGCTTGAACATTTCTCGCAAAATGGCTCTGCCGCTCGCATCCATGGCATCGTTGAGGATTTTGCGCCCCTCGGGTGGTGTAATGTCGAAGATGGAATTCATAGCCGGCTCCAACGCCTCGCGGATCGGCCGCGGCACGTTTTCCGTGAGCTGCAGCTTGACGTACTGCATGAGGACCAGATGCATATGTCGTCCAGCGGAGCGTTTGGCGGCATCCGTCGCCGAGTCCAGGGCGCCCTGATGCTGCGTGCGCGACACGGCGCCTGCCGTCGGCTCACAAACCAGCGTAATCAGGCGCGCATAGGCATGCGCTTTGGTCTCCTGCGACGCCGTCGCCTCCGCTCCGACTTCAGCGGTCACTAGCCGGTCCAGCAGCGTTTGTAAGACAGTCAGCAACAGATGATAGTGGCCCTCGAGGCGCAGCCGGTGCTTCTTGATGATGACGTCGGTGAGCTTGCAGAGCCAAACGTACGGCACCCGCGCTTGGTCGGCGTCCTGGGCGGCCGACAGGTCGCAGATTGTGCTCAGCGTGGCCTCGACGTCCCACTGGCTGACGGCCTGCGGTTTGCGCTCGAGAAGAGAGTGCAGCGTGCGGCAGAGGGCCACGTGGCCCGGCGCGGGGGCTTTGCTGAGCACCGTGACAATCTCGCTGTAGGCGGCGGCGAGATCGTAGCCGTCGTACTTGCCCGTGTAGTCGGGCGACGCGATGATGTCGTGGACGACTTGTTGGATGGCGAGAGTCTGGCCATCGGTGAAGCAGCCAGCGCGCAGGGCATCGACCAGGTCGCGCAGATAGGCTACCTTTTCTTGCACGCGCAGTGACTTTGTGATGGAGTTGGTCAAGTCACAGAGGAGTTTGGATTGTAGCTTTCGTGGGAGGGGCGCGAGGACGTCGAATGTTCTTGGCGCTGGTAGCTGAAACGCCGTAGGCAGCTCATTGCGCAGCAGGGTCTGAAGCTTCCAGGCGGTAACATCGCCCCTTGTCATCTTGCTGCTGCAGCTGTCGGCAAACGTCTGCAGAGCCGCCGGCTCCTTGCCCTGGTAAAATTGCGCCAGCGGAGCAGCCAACGGCGCCGCATCTGTAGCCGCGAGAAGCTGCAGCGTCTCGACCGGGCTGAGCTCCGCCGGAAGCGCCTTGGCCGTAATCAGAGGGTTGATGACAGACATGATGGCCCTGGCCAGCATACCTTGGCTCTCAGCGACAAGCTTGTTCAGTGTTTCGTTGTTTTGCGTGTTTGGTGACTTCGCGAGAACTGATATCAATGACCTGATCAAAGTGTAATGAAGGCCAGAAACGTGCTCAAACTTGGTTGCAGTCGCAGTAGAAATATATGCAGAGCAATCGCCAAAGTATTTTGTGCTTCTCTCGTCCACCTGCTCCGCCATTTGGCGAAGAGTCGCAGAGGCCATCTGGGAAAACCGTTCAATCATCTCCAAAGTCTCTTCTTCACCAGCAGACGTTTTTGAGATGCAGACAGATACGGCATCGGCAAGTTGGACGAGGTGATCAAACGTCATACCCTCGTAGAATGTCGCCCGCGCCATCATTTTAGTTGTCAGGCTCAGTACTTGTTTCCATGAAGGCAGAAGCGTCTTCTCAGGAGATTTGATCATCTTGACGCAGTTCGTATGCAACGTGGTGATTATCCTTTCTCGTTGCCAACGGTGGAAGCTGTCGAGTGGAATGCGACTGAGGGTCTGCAGAATGAGAGTCGCATCGCTACTCGGCCAACGTTTCTCGTTGCCTGATTGCTCTAGTGCCCCAATGACTTGGTCGACCAGCGCTCGCGCAAGCTTTGCCTCGTTGAGGTTCATATCGTTCGAGAAAACTTTTCGCCACAGAGTTCGCTTATCCTCAATATCAAGCTCAGAAGAAGTCGTCGCGTTCTTCAGGGGCTCAGGGACACCGCCGCTTGCCATCGCGAACAGGCGGTTGAATCGGCTGCCGCCAGCAAGGAAGACGTCAAGGTAGCAGGACGCTGGTATCTCAGCGTCGAAGATGTTTAACTCGGAGTCGGCCCTATCCAAGACTGTGATCTTCTGAATTGCAGACTCGGACATGAGCTTCTTGGCGAGCCGCTCAGAAAAGCTTGTAATGAGCTTGGCTGGTTCCTTGACGGTCTCGGCATTGGTAGCTAAAGCGTCCCACGCAGCGTAGCAGAAACGAAAGCATTCGAATGTTTCCTCGGCGTCTAGTCCTCCCTTTTTCAAAGTCTGCTTGACTTTGTCCTTCAATGACTCCCATACGACGGTCTTTCTATCAGGGCTTGCCCATCGCATCGTCTTTGAGCTGACACGCCATCTGGCTGGCAGTTCTGACAGCTCGGAGCATACTGTCCATGTCATTTGAAACAGTCGTAGACCAACCACGTCAATATAGGTATCTCGTTTCAATCCCTCGGATATGGCATCGCAGACTATGCAGAGAGATTTGGGACTAGATTGCGTGGGTTGTGACTCTAACCAGCCGACAAATTCAGAAAGCTGAGATGTACTCAACTCCTTCTCAATTAAGTCATGCAAGTATTCGCCCTTGTAGTTCCTTGGTCCCTCTCCGAACCACGGTGACTGTTCCGCTTGCTTGTTCTCCTCGGCTTTCTTCAGCTCTGTAAACCATAATTGCAGAAACGCCACGAGATCGCGTCGAATGACGAAACTTTGTCGTACGGCACCTAGAACCTCAGCAATTGGCTCCTGAGGCTCTTGCGCAGTCGACTTTGAAATTTTGTCGCAAATTGATATCAACAAATCGCTGCCATCCCCGCTGGTTTGGAATACCGCTGGGTCGCACGTAACAACGCCACCAAGAAGTGCCCAGTCTGTTGGCTGTCTTTCTAAAACATAGCCGCGCGCAATCTCTCGCAGATTTTTCACATCGACAGGAGTAGAATTTTTGATCGCTTGGCGAATTATCAGCTTGATGAGCGTATTTTGCTCCGGGTTGCGACGAATCACTCCTTCAACCTCTTCGAAAACTCGCTTCATCCATTCCACTGTATTTTTGCGCCTTTCGCCCTCGGCATTTGTATCCGAGGACTCTGTGGCTAGGAAATACAGCGAGGGTACCACCAGGTGAGCTTTTGCCTCAGCTGCCTCCAACGCGCGAGTAATGGCAGAAAAATCCTGTCGGTTGAGAAACGTCGTTCGGCAGGGAAGGATCAAGTTGCGCTGGAGAAACTCTTGCAAGTCTGCACTCCATTTGGACTTTAGCACGGTCGGCGCATTGCTGGCTCCTTTATCTGATAGGTTTTCTAGAGAACTCAGGATAGAAGCGGGAATAGAGAACAGATGGGTAGCAACCTCAGACGTGTCGTCAGTGCCCTGCATATGTAGGTTCCAAAGCGACGATGCCACGGCAACCCACTCTTCAGCACCTTCGATGTCGTACGATTCGGTATCAACCAGCAATTGGCAGAGGGAGAATGTGGGTGCCAGAAGCGCAGCAGTGTCTGCAGCAGACATACAGAACAAGGACTTGATATGCTCCGCACCAATGTTGTCTCGGGCGGTCGTAGCTGTCGTGTCGTCGAGGCGGTTGAGCAGCGATATCAGTGTCGTGAACAGCGCCTTTGCAGTAGCAAGACACCCGTGTGGCTGTTTCGTCTCGTCGCTGCCAAACTGCGCCGACGATGATCGCTTTCGCTTCTTGGTGGTGTGCTGGGTGCTGTCGCCGGTGACTGTCGAGACATCCTTGAGCGTCTGTTGGAGGACTGCAACAAACTTTCTATCCGCTAAGGATTTGGCGAGAGAAAATAGAGGGATTCGTGTAAAGACGCAGTCGAGCATGGTCCAGGTCAATGGGTGGCGACGCAAGGCTTCGGCGGTGGTCGCATTGCCGTTCATGGACTTGAGCAGCCATCGGAGCGTACTCTCCTCAGCGGCGTGGAATGAATCATCCGAAGATGCAACGAGCTTAGACCAGAGAATATCCAGATTTTCCCCATCCTTACCTGGACCGCTCTGGTCCAGCCCACGTACAACCTTGATAAGATTATCGGCGTCCTATTCAAAGAGCGAGTCTTAGTTTGATTCGGTTCAGTGAGGGTTATAGAAAAGACTTACCATGATTGCAATCGCAGGAGCTCAACCAGTACATTCCAAGCACAACAGCCTCCAAAGCACCGAATATTTGCAAAAAGAAAGGAAGAAATGCGCCGTTACTGCAGATCAAATGTTCTTGGAGACGAAGGGTGCCCCCACATGCGAGAGTCGGCCACCCAAAAATTTCTAAATTCTGCCGACCGCTGTGGTCCCAGATTGGAAACTGGCTTTCCTCACCGCCTTCGGGTGTGGACGCCAAACGGGCTACCGCCGACCGGCTGGTTCTCGTCAGGTTTGGCGTCAGTCCTGTCATAGAACGAAGCTCGAGAGCTCCCATTGTACCCTCTCTGCCCAGCTCAATTGCATCGCATATAGGTATGTGGCAGCTCTGCGATTGCCACGTGTTTCCTCTAACGTTTTTGCGCCCGATGCTAGACTTTCCTCCGCAATGGCCGATTCCAACACTGCCACCCCGGCTCCCTCGAGCGTCATTTCCCGACCTGTGAGCGAGACTCTCCTCAACGAAAAGGTAGTAGCCCATCATCCCGGACCGCGACCGCACGACTGCGCAAGACGAAATTTTCAGGCATGGGCACAGGAATGCTAACGTGGCTACCAAATTGTAGTGGGATCGCTGCTTGTCGAACCTCCTCGTCAAGTCGAGCATCGGCCTCGGTTTTGGTGTCGTCTTCTCGGTCATTCTGTTCCGCCGCAGAGCTTGGCCTGCTTTCATCGGTGCCGGCTTCGGTGCCGGCCGCGCATACGAAGAGTGCAACTTTAACCTGAAGCAAGCCGCGCGCGACCTCAAGAAGAGCTCATAGACGAACGCGGGAGCGATACACCGCATCGGATAGACAATACTGGCATGTACAAAATTGGGCGTTTTTGAGGGATGGGAAAGGACCGGCAAGCGAACCACACAATACTCGACATACGGACTTTCACGCTGAGTAACGACGCTGCGGGCGACTTTCAAATTCGGTAGTTTTTTAAATGTACAACAAGACTCTCGAACTTGGCCGACCATCTCCAGATGTTTTAATCGACGATTCAGTGGCTATAAACGACATTCCCTTTTTTTAACTCCTTGCTTTTTCCGCTGCCAAGTGGTATTCAATTATATCATAACAATCTTCTGGCCAGTTTCGTCATGGCCTGCATCGTTTCCGGACGACGCGGTCCTTGTGTACTCATGGTCGTCCTGGACTGGTTCCTGGTTGGTGGCTTCGGTGTTGGTAGACGGCACGAGCCGGAAGCGCCTGTGTTCTGGTTGAGGCTTGACATCCGGGCCGATGGCGGTTGCGTCGACCGGCACAGACAGTGTGGCGCGTCGTGTCAGAGAGGCGAACTCTCGCTTGGCGTTGTCCGCAAGAGAGATGCTGCGACGGCGAACTGACTGTAGGAAGGTGTCGTGGTACTTGTATCTGGCCGCCTCGGCTGGAGGCCGGTCCTTCTATGACGCCTCCCACTTTTCGCTGGACGGGCCAGGCTTTTGATTGTAGCCGTAGTCATTCTGTTGCCGTTTGCGCTCGCCGCGTGGTCTGAACCGGAGGTTGATAAAGACGATGAGGCCGAGCAGACTGACGAGAACCAAGACACCGATGGCGAGGATCATAATCTCGAGCCTACTCTGCTCCAGGGACCGATTGATTGCCGACATTTCGTGGTGAAGGGATTGAAATTAATTTTGGTAGAGTAAACAAGGGTCTAGTCGTGTTGTCCTTTATTATCTGCACGGCGACAGGAGGTGACCAAACTGCCCCTGTCTAAGTACCTAGACCACAGGTGGTCTCTGAAGTCGGTGAAGAAGATGGTGGCTGGTCGGTACCTAAGAAAGATGCTTGCGTAGTACTAGTTGGGTAAGGGTCTGGGAGAGACAGGCTTAGGAGCGAGAGGTTCCAAATTCCAGGCGACGAAGGGTTTTATAGGATGCTTGGTGAATGATTGGAAGTGTTTTATCTTGGGGCAGTGTTCTTTTTGCGTAACTTGGATGCCAGGCAGGGAGGTATAGCAGCATGACTGTACGACAGGAGTGAGCCTGCATTTCTTGTATTTTACATGTGCCTGCCTAGCTAGTAATAGGTAGCAGGGCAACGTGAGCCTTGTTACCTAGCTAGGTAGGTAGATAGGTATGTACCTTGCTAAAATGTATCAAATATTAGCAAGTGCTGAAAATAGTAAAATCCTTTACCAAAGTTCTCTATTGTCCAAGCAGGCTTGCAGGCATTGGGCCGCTAATTAGCAGACGTACGACTGCAGGGCGAGAACAGCCGGTTGCATCAGAACATGGCCAATGGCGAAACCAGATCGTATTTCCAAGACCGACGACTGGAGGCGCAACTTGACACATGTAGCGGGGGAGGACCAGGCTTGTGAGAGACCAAAGCCCGTGGCATGCAACAAGGCCCAATGTCTTACGACACACGCACGGCACATGGCACATGGCACTCTTGTCGTTTGGCAAGTTTAATAGGATCTGCTGGTATCCGTACCCCGCGAGCAAACCACTCGTCCGATTCCAGAACTCCCCCAAAAGCCGAATCGAACTCTACACGCACGACGTGGCAGCCTGGCCAATCTGTCACACACGAGAATTTATACATGTCGGACGCTCCATCCCAAGCCGATGAGAATCGCGGAAAAGAAAACTCGTCGAAATAAAAGAGAAACAGAAAATTTTTCTCTGGTTAAAGACAGCCCGGTTCTTCTAGCACATAAATATGACCGGCAGCAAGTTGGCGATTTTCGCTCCCGGTTGATTAATTGTGCGAAAGTGTAAAGAAGAAGAGAAAAAGGACGACAAGAAGCGAACCGTCGCCAGGCACAAGACTTCTCTCCCTCTGGCGGGCCCTCCCGCGGTGCATCACGTGCAAGTCGACCCACACAACTGGTTTTTACTCAACCCAGAGCTCTTCTTTCTTGCGGTTTCAACAATCTCTCTCTCCTTCATCACGCAGATTCCTCTTGCTTCCTTTTCAATACCTGGCTTTGCCAACCCAGTTGAATTCGAAACGAATGGACATCTCCTTCTCGCAAGATGGGACAGAAAGCCTGGTGCAATTCGACGTAACCGTCGTAGCCTTTGGGTTGTCGTTTGCATTTTCTCGGCCGCCCTCTTGCACAAACGGTAAGCTTTGCCAACTCGTGACATGTCCTCCTTTCTTGTCTTTTTGCATGCACCCCACAGAATGCCTACACCTAGCGATTTCAATGCGCAAGCGTGTCAACTTTATTATATTCGTTCGAATGTGGGAGAACAAACCTCTGGTCTAGACAACCAGTCCGCTCCACCCTGTCGCCATTGAAATTTAGTGTGGCGCCAGGACTAAAATCGGACAAACATATCTTGTTTCTGTAACTGTTTGCTGTATATCATGTCGTATCTATCGTTGTATTCTATGTCCATGCCTTGCTCAAATGTCATGAAATCCCAATATTACACGCTACACAAAGTCCAATCGTGCTCAATCAAACAAATGCTCATATCTTGCTGCCGAATATGCGGTCTTCATCAATAAAGGACAGCAGAAATTTGGACACGAGTCTTCCTGTGTAGAGGTAGGATGTGTCTATGCTCGCGGGATTGTCGCCTCTATTGAGCAGCAGCTCATCATCTGCCAGGAATTGCATATCTTGCCCTACATTCACCGTATTAGCACATGGTCAGCCACCGGGCCACCAAAATTATGACAACTTACAATCCTCGCCTTGGAATAGATCCTGCAGCTGAGCCACCAACTCAAGCGCAGGCCTATCCAGCTCGCTCTGCGCCGCAAAGCTATCATCGAACAAGGGGTTAAACGGTTTCGTATTGGGGTCCTTTGAGTGTGTCTGGTAAATGTGGTGAAACTGGTACGCAAACTGCTTGAACGGCATATTCTCCACCTCCCTGCACATGTCGAGGGCAAACGATCGCTTAAACGACGGCGCGTCGTTGTTCTTCCTGTTGACGGCGTTTTGCGAAATGACAAAGTTGTCCGTCGTCGTCTCGACCGCCTCCATGTACAGGCAGAGCACCAGGAACGCGGCCAGGCTCGGCGCCCACTCCTTGCGGTACTTTGGCTTGAGCGCCTTGGTGAAGAGCTCAAAGAGCTGCTGCATCTCGCGCATGCACATCTCGTCGGCCAGCGACTTGACCTGCCGCGCGAGCACGCGCGGCGTCACCCACGGGCTGTTTTGCGGCACCAGGCCCGACGGCTGCAGGGCGCGCACCGTGTCGCTCGTCAGGCACAGGTGGCGCGTCATGACATAGTGGATGGCGTAGATGGACAGGGCCTTCTTCACCATGGCGCAGTCCGTCTTTTGCGCGTACGCCTGCGCCATGGCGAGGATCTTGGCCGGCAGTCTCGTCGAGCGCAGCGAGTCGGTGACTTGCTCCGCGAATACGGGCTCCTCGGTCAGTTGGCGCACATAGGCCTTGACCTTTCTGCGCACCTCGTCCCTCTGGCCGCCGCTGCCGCCAGCGACGTCCAGCCCAATCGGCGCGGATCCGTTCGAGTCCAAGTGAACGCCGGTGCTCCCAGAGTTGAGGTGCCAGTGTTGCAGGACATCGCACGTCTTGGCCGTGAAGAACTTGGCCTCAATGTCCAGCGTCGTGACAAATCGCGCACCAGAGAAGAGCTTGACGGAGCACGACTGCGAGGCGCCCCCAATCAGGAACCCGTCCACATTGTCCCGCAAAAACTTGCCCATCTCGTCCTTTTTCAAGTGGGCGCTGATGAAGTCGGGAAACAGAATCGTCAGGAAATCTTGAAACTGCCAGCACACCACCTGCGGCACCTGCACCATGAGCTTCTTGCAGTGCTTGCACGGCCGCTCCGTGTCGCACTTGACCTTGCGGCTGCGGCAGCAGAAACAGGCCCCGCGCCGGCGCACCTGCAGCGCATCCTCCTTGGTGGCGTTGGCCAGGGGCCCCTTGCGGCCGCGCTGCGTCGTGCGCATCGCCTCGAAGCACTCGTAGGGGTTGGGCCGCCCGGCGCTGGCGGTGATGGAGTTTGGCGTGACAATGTGGAATTTTCCTGTTTGCTGCTCCGCCTTGCTCTTGCCGATTCTGCCGGAATTCACTTTGCGGATGGCAATGGGGGACGCCTTGCCGCTGCCCTCGGACTTGACCGACGTCGTCGAGCGCGGGCTCAGCGAGCCGATACTGTGCTGGCTCGGCGACGACATGTACCGGGCCACGTTCATCGATGGTCCTTCGCCGGGCGATGCGGCGCCCGCTCCATGGGGATCCCACTGCACAAACGTACCCTCGAGCTGAAACTGCTGAAAGCCGTCCAGGTCCAGATTGGGTGCCGCCGCAAGCTGCGGTGGCTGCTGTTGCGCATGGCTCAGGGCCGGCACGGCATCGATATGAAACTCGGACGTGCCGGCCAGGCCCAGCGCGTCTGGCCGCCACTCCGACAAGGCGTCCTGGGCAAAGAGATACTCCTGCGGCGTCATGAACATGCCGTCGGCGGCCATGAAGTCGCCCGTCGTCGCCATGGCAAAGTCGCCGGCCTCCATCGCGGCGCTCATGGGGAGTGACATGGGCGGCGGGAGAAACGCCTGGTCGCCGGCGTCCCCCAGCACCGGCGACATGGAATGCTGCGAGGGCGACGCCATGGTCGTCGTGTGGTGGTGGCCGATGATGGCGAAGCCGCTCAGGCTGCCGCTCGCGGGGCTGGGCAGGAATGCGACGGACCCGGGCGCGGAACCGCTGCTGGAATAATCAATGTACTGCCATGATTCGTCCGTGTCGCCGTTGGAGTCAAAGTCGTATGGTGACGGGTGCGAGGAGCCGTTGTGGGAGGAAACGGACGCCATTCTGGGACGTTGGCCGGGTGGAACGACACGTCTGGCGCAGCAAGCCCTTATCCAAACTTAATTTCTTTCCGTAATTCTCGCTTCCGAGGGAAAAATTGCATGAACCGGCGACGTGATCGGTCCAAAAATCGATTAGTATGTGACTCGGCGGGCCGCCCTGGTTTGTGGTGGTCGTCGCGGCTTCAGATTTATCGAGGATGGCCGCACAGCGTCGATGCAACCACGGATAATTTGGCTGCAGGTACGGGAGGATTTCTTTGATGTGATGAGAAGGCACAGGGCCGTTAAAAAGGACGGCTCAGCACGCGACATTGTGTCCAGCAGCGCCTCAGAAATGCCTTCGGTCAGAGAAAATGATCATGCAAGTGATGGCCGGCGCTAACCTGAAAGAATCACCGAATGGCACAGCTGTCCAGTGACAAGCCGTTGCACGCCCACATGCACCGGCGCCGCTGGGCGTCTTCCGCCAAAGAGATACCGAGCGCTCCAGAAGCTGAGACGCTTTTTAATACGTTATTAGGCTCTGGCTTGGTAGTTATTCGTGGGGTTTGCCTTTCGTAGCCAGCTTCTTCTACCGTCCAGGCTACCAAAGAAACAGACCATTTACCACCACATACCCTAGACCAGCATCAAGATGATGAGATATCATTCGATGGCATGAATATCCAGTGAGACATATTTCTGGACTTGTTCAATAATCTAGTCCTCGCCATCTTTTTCTAGCCTGTTCCGCTGCTCGATTAGTCGTTCTTTCATTCATCACTGGCAGAATACTATCCGTGCCTAGCACACCCTGTATAGGTTCATCCGCTCGTCTGCTGTCATATGCACAAAATGTTTCTTCGATAATGTATATTTGCAAGGCTATCTTGACATGATAGAGAGAAAACACAAAAGCCGCTCAACTCTAGCCTTATAAACGCCATAAACAACTCGCGGGAAAATAGATAGGCCCAATGCCAGACTTGCTTCCCTCCCATGCCCCAAACACGGTACAACGTTGCCATCTTATCATCGTGCAGGGTATTTCTGTGATAGTTTTGCTCTGTGTTGCATTCATTGTATTCATCATGGCCGTCCAAGTAAACGCTGGTCGTAATAAAGAAGGTCTCGGTAGCAAGTGATGCGACGGATAAAGGTGTAGGAAAGAAAATCGCAAAAGGCCTCGAGGCAGAAGCAAACAAAGGCCATGGCTGCGTCGCGGCGCGTGCAATGTGACTTGGGCAGCCGCCGAATCTTGATTCGCTCATCAAAGCATGGAGGGCAAAAGGAAAGAAAACGGTAAAGAAACTCGCCGGGTAGAAATTTTGGCAGCATGTGAAACACCACATCGACAGCCGCTGGAGTAACTATCCCTTCTAATTTGTTGCGCCGGCTCACCTCATTTGCAACACCGGCGCTTGTATAAAACGTATGTCCTGATAGGAGCATGCCTTTGCATTTCCAAGGCAAGATGATAGATAAAACGTGAAAGTTTCGGCCGCGTCAAGGTTTCCCAGGGGCCGTTGTCGTCCGTACCGACTAGCTTAGGATCGGAATCTCGACGAGGTGCGATCCTGAATCTGCTTCTCGGTAGAGATGTACAGTCGGTCGAGATAGTCCATTGCTGAGGCATCCCGCAGAATCTTGGCAACCTGGATGCCTGCCGAGATGAGCTGCAAAATGTTCCTATCGTCCTTGAGCGGTCGGCTTTGGTGTTTGGAAGCGTGTCTCATTTCCAGTGAATTTTCCAAAATGGTCACAAATTGCTTGATCTGACCGTTGTACAAGACGCGGGCGGGAATCCTTCGCTTGGTTGCGAGCCTCTTGAGCAGATAAACCCACTCGGTCCATTCTCGATCCTGGGCCCGCTCTACCGGTCGCATATTCTGCGATAGAGGAATAGGGAACTGATATTTGGCCACAAAGTCGTACGCGCACTGAGACAAGCGATCATTGACCTGACCTAGCACCATGTCTTGCTCCTGGACATGCAGATTCGTCGGCAGATGAGGCAGCTCGCGCTCCTGCATCGCAACGACGTCGGGGGGAGGGCGCTGGAGAAATTGATGAGGCCCGTCGAATTCGTCACGGTTGGAGGGGCGCCGCTGAGGTCGGGTCCTGGGGTTCGCCGCCGCGTTCGCAGTATTGGGCTTGGCTCGTCGTCCGGTATAGGCGCTGTCGCCTCCGTTTTCCAGAGAGTACTCGGAGAGATTCGGTGATGCCAGGATATCATCCACCGACTCCGTCGGGGACTGTCTCTCTTGCGCCTCCCATGAAGCCTTGGAGCTTTGGTATGACCCGTAGGCGGGCAAAGCGTTCGTGTTCAATCCGCTCTGTGGTGGTGGCATGAAGCCGGGCAGGGCCATGGACGGCGTTTCCGTGCGAGGAGCATAGGTATTTCCGGCGCCATAGTTGTTCATACTTCATGATCCAGACGGGAAAGTGTTACTATTGGCTGCGAATTTTGCATGTCTGGGCGACAAGGCAGAAGAGAAGTTGTAGTAATCTTACCTCGAGGCCGAGTACATTTCATCGCGAGGCCAGTCGTGAGCATTCGAGTTCGGCAAATGGCTTTTGATAAAAAGAAAGTGTCAGTCCAGGAGAAAGCAAAACCGTCATATGCGAGTTGTGATGGTGACTGTTCGACGAGTTCCTACCTCCGTCTTGGGTTCCATGGTCCAGATTCAGGACCCGAGCCAGAATACATGATAGTCGGGCGAGCCATCTGTGCAGGGTCCATGTTGCAAGAGTACTGTCCGTAAATAGCAGCCACGGGAGCAGCACGGGAAGAAGCAATCAAGGAATAAAATAAAAGTGTACCGCGGCAGGGAGGATCAGGATCAGGATCCGGACGAGCAAGTCGAGAAGAGGGTGAATTTCGAGTCTGGAAAGGTTGAAGCTGTCATGCAACGGCCACCAAAGGTCCGCGGGGAGCGCCCGCCAGGTCGGGCATTGACCACGCGAGCAATACTGGTATGGAAGGAGACTATCGTATTCTCAGCCAGATTGGAGGGCAGACACAGCTCCAGGAAGGCCGGGATTCGCTCGGCTGACGATGTCGACAAGTTTATTATTTGAAGGTGCCGGATGGCGGTGTGGTGCTCTTGGGCAGGTGACCGACAACAGCCAGCTTAGGCCGACTTATACAACTCGAGTGAGCGGTAACGACGGCACTATCTTTTTAGTGCCGGTCGGCTAGTGGCCCAATGGGCCAGTAACTAATTCTTAAAGAAAAGTAACTCAAGGCGCTGCTGGTCGATGGAACAATGGGCAAGAAGAATGAGGAAGCAGCAGCAGGTAGTGTCGGAGAAGAAGCACTGAGCGCGCCCCTTTCCCCCTATACGATGCGAGATGCATGAAAACTAACTTGCACGTCGTCCATGAGCCTTTGCTGAGATTGTTTTACATGGCTGGCGAGGCAGAATGGTGGATCTAACTAGGCGGGCGATGTAACTGGCTTTAAAACTGCTCTTTGGGAGTCGACACGTCGCTGGTGGCACGACTCAGGGCTGGACATTTCTGGATTTCTGGCCAAATCACCGACGTGACGGGCAGGCCAGCCCTGGTCCCTGTGTCCCCAGAGCGTACTCCGTAATACTGGAGGCGAGATGTGTGAGGTGTGAGGTGTGAGTGTGTGTGTGTGTGTGTGTGAGCGAGGGGCCCTGCGGAGATTTGCAGGTGGGACACTGCAGGGAATGAAGGCAACAGAATGTCGAGGCAATCAGCGCAACTCTCACTAGTTTGTAGTTAGTTCTTATTAGGGCAATCAATGCCACTGGCAATGGACCAGTCCCTTGGATCAGACCAAGAGTCGCACGCTGGTGGGACTTTGCCACAGCAGAGTCTCAACGATCCACTTGTTCGTGGGCGTCGTCGTGGGGGCTGCTCCGTACATGTGAGCTGGTCTCATTCAACAGGCCGTTGATACGAGCCCTGACAAACATGGCGAGGTTGGCTCATTTTTGGCTCGGCTGGCACACGGTCTCATGCGAGTGTGGCAAGCGTGGCATGCGTGGCAAGTCCTAACTAGACAGGAGCTTTCCTTTGATTGCCGGCCGCCGGGAGGCGAGAAGACGGTTAGAAACGAGGCCGTCGATGACTGACCGAGAGCATGACGATTGTAATTTTGTGTTTTGGTGGCGTAGAGGGCCCAGAGCGCGTGGGGAGGAGGACGGCGAAGGGCGGGCATAGCGCGAAAGGCGGTGTGCCAGTTGAAGATGTGCCGAGGGGGAGGAGGGGCAGCGGTTTGCTTGGGCAGCAAGGGGCAAAGGGCTTTATTATTCGTTAACAGTAACTAATAAAAGAGGGCTTGAGGGCGTCGCAGTTCCCACCACGAGCCGAGAGACGGAGATGGCGAGCGAGTGAGAGCAGGGAAAGCGGATTGAAGATGCGCAATTACGTAGCGGGACGAGTTGTGCTGTCATCCGTCATCTGCGTCATCGGGGCAATGGCAACGCCGTAACTAACTAATAAATCTGTTCTTCATCTGGCAGCGCCAAAGGCGAGTGCAGGTACGACGCCCACGTCCACGCCGTGGCCGTGGCCGAATGGTTCAAGAGGGTCAGACTACATACGCGACTGTCCACAAGTCCACAGTTTCCACGAGCCAATCGCCAATCTGTGCGCCAGCTGGAGCAAGCTCGGGTTTTGCAACAGTGTGGGAGAGATTCGGTGTGACGTCTGGGGACAAGTGAAGCTGATGATGTGATGGGAGCGACGATGGAGACAAGTCAAAGGAGCGAGCGTGAGCCGATAACACGGCTCTTTTCGTGCATGGCGGGCGGCAGATCTCAGATTCCGGCATTGATGTGAGAAGCTGGTCTCCGAGTAACTATCCAGCCATCGCCCACGCGGTGTTGACATAAATAGCGCATCGCGTGAGATGGCCGATGGAGGTACTAAGGGCAATTTAGGTGGCACTCACAACACAACACGCGCGCGCAGTCCTGTTTTGCATTTGCGATTTGAAACGAGACCTGAAATAACTCCTCACCGGCGGACAAGGATGCTGTGGCAGTCTCAGGGGTACAAATTAGTTACGGTGGCATAAACTGCGATTCTGCATCGGTCCGTTGTTGAGCCATGGCGATGAGAGTTGATAGTTGCACATTATAATAATGCGGCCAGAGTTGGCAGAGTTTGCAAGGGCATGCCCCAGGCGTGTACCGATCGGTCGGTAGCTTAGTACCCTCTCGTAGTCTAGAATAAGCTTACCCAGCTGCCTTGTACCTCCTGGATAGGTACCTACATCGCAGTCTAGGTACGATGGCCACCGGGCAAGTTATCGACAGCTGCCGGTGCAAGGCAAAACGGACAACACACAACTATTGAGAATTTCCAGCTGCCAGCGAATTTCTGCCTCGCGAAGCTGCCAGATGCCCGTTTGCTTGACTTGGGTTGCTGTTGAGGAGCTGTCCACTCCAATGCCCCTCTCAAACAGCCTACCCGGTAGTCAGCGTCGTACTCGACAGAGGAGGCTGTTTGTCAGATGGCTCGTCCTCTCAACACCATCGCACTCAAACACCGTGGCATATTCCGCACCTACACACCTACACTAGTTATCTATCACCTGTCCCTTTTCTCCCAGGCAGACTTCTGCCAACACGCAACAACACGCCAGCCACCACACCTCGGCTTGTCTGCATCGCATGCTTCGGAAGAAACGCCCAAGCCCGTGCTGCGCAATAGTACCGTAGCCGTCCGCACAACTCATCGCTAGGCTAGCATTCTCCCAACGAGACAAGATGCGACAGAGGCAATAACCTGCCATTTGGCTTGCAGGATTGGCTCATGGCAGACAGTAGAATCACGAGCTCACTTTGTATACTTCTGACATATGCGCCAACAGAATAATGGTCCGACATGGCAGCCTACCAATCCGCCAAGAGCATTTGGCTGACTAGCTGATGGCGGCCACATCATCCCATCCATCTCAAACCGAAAAAAAAAAAAAANGAAAAGGAAAAAGGCCACGAGCGCCCCCAGCCCCAAAACAGAAACCCAAAGTGAGGCTGCGCGAAAGAAATGTTCGGCTTCTGCACAATATCGCATCCGGCATGTCAACTGACCGACCACGCGCCCAACTCCTATCACGACGCAGCGTGACAGCTGCCGTACCGGACCGCGCCCCCCCCCTTGGCCAGCTGTCGAGCTGTCGAGCTGTTGAGCTGTCGACGTGGCTCACAGACGGATGCGCAACCTTGTCGCCGACGATGCTGAGCCTGGACTTGATGGTGTTGCAGCCATGTCACACCTTTGTTCTCTTCTCCTCGAGCCATTCTTCCACGTACCATGGGATGATTGGCTTACGGCGCATCCAGCTAGCCAGCAGCTAACGAGCGGCCCGCAGTCGACCGTCGCGGGCGCTCCCGTTTGGACAGTTCAAGTATCACCGCCCTTCCGGTCCACCACCTGGTGTGGCTACATGGGCAACATGGCGCTGCACTGATGAGTTGTCCTGCAGCAGAGACACTCTGGCCGTCACATCGTCACCGTCTTTGGCTGCTTTCCAGCCGCTGAACGCTCCACCGGGCCAAGCCATGATACCCTGCTGCTGCCATCCTGTGTCCGCCATCCCTGCGCCGTCAGCCTATCACAGACTCTAGGCCAGCTCCCGCCGCACGCTAGAACTTCATGCAGCCCCTGCCCGCGTCGGATCCTGGCTCTTTCGACGCGCATTTATTGGTGAGAAGAAAATGTGACTTGCCGTGTTGACAAAGCCATGCTGGTTCCAATACAACCACGACTCCTTCAGAATGTATTAAAAAAGCGCATGCCCCCGTCCTCCCTGGCTGCCCAACTCTTTCTTCTCTTCCCCTCTCAGATTCCTGCCCAACCCCAGAACTACTATACGTCCTGCACCACCAACTTTCGCCTACAAAACCTGCTTCTCCTCTCATTCTCCCCTGCTCCTTACCACTCTTCTTTCCTGCAAGCACTACCTCACAAAGGCCCGTGCTACAGTTGACTAGAGAGACTGCACTGTACATCGCGAGTCAAGTTCCGCAATAACTTTGTGGAAGCTCGTGTAACCATTTCTCTATCCTTGTCCTGGATATCATGACAGTTGCTTTTGTGTCGCGCTCGGCAGCCATGCCTCGCTACATTAAATCTGAGCTGGAAGAAGCTCAGTCGCTCGTCAGGTACTGTTTTCTTTTCTAAATCTCCGGGATCCGTTGCTTTTTTTTGCGTTTCTTTCACCTGCTCTCATTTTTCTTCTTGGCTCGTACACAAGGGCGTACCTGCTACCATTGCACATTCTCGGACCTTTTTCAATTTTCACACCTTTCAGGACACCACGGATACCTTGAGCCACACTGGATTCCTTCTACCATCTGGATAAAACAAACATTCTGATCAGGCCTTGTCCGAGCCGGACAAGGGATCGAAAATCAATGATTTATCTTTTTACAATGGCTTCGGCCAGCGGTAAGTCTTTGTGTGAACGTGCGATCTCATCATAGCCCTGGGGTTCCTCTCCTGGTTCTTGGCGCTTTTTGCATTCGCTTTGGCGGACAGCCTGGACATATCAAAACAGGATTTTCAATGGATTTTCACCGGACAATGGCCCTCTACTTGGATTTTCATCAGGATTTACTCTGCATTTCTTGCATTTCTCTTGGACCTTCTATCGAGCCGATTTGGATTGGACATGGACTCGGACTCGGACTTTTTTTTTGGACCTGTTTTCCTTTGCATATGGACCGTTTTCATTCATCTTGGGGACAACCTATCATGGGCTCTTGTGCTATTTTTTAGCATCGAACCCCCATTTCCGTAACCACGGGTATGGACTCGCAGTTTGATTACTTTTGAATATTACTGTGTCAACTGCTCAAAGGTAAATGTGCTCGCTTGGTCGAGATGCAATCTTGTTTGAAATCGCAACGTCAACCGACATGATCAAGGACTACTTGGAGACCGCCGTTACTATGCCACCTCAAATGCTACCTAAGGAACCATATGGACCCCCGCAATATCACTGTGCTGCAGAGTGTACTGCTCTTACGACCACCTGTAACCTTGGTTACTGCCGCATCCATCTGGACTTCACACCTCGACTTGTTATGCCTTCATTTGATGTGTAACCATCATTGATCTGCATGAACGGCCCACCTCACAATCTTCACTGGTGCCCTGCTACTCGACGCTGTTTTTTTTTTCGCTCCTTCGAACCGCATACCTGGATACCGCTTTCTTTTCTTTTCGTTTTTCTTTTCATCTGTTTTTGGTTTTGTGCGTTTCCATACTGAGTACGGCTTTACTCATCCGCATGGTTTGTATAACCCTCAAACCCCCACCACCGAAACTTGGACTAACGATTGAACAGAACCAAAGTTGATTTGTGCGGCTTGACACGTTTCCCTTTTCTTCTCATTTCAGGCGCTGGACAAAAAACTAACCCAATGTAGCGACTATAGCTTCCCCACCACTTCTACCACCACAGCCGCTCTCTTTGCTTTCTCCCAAGGAGAGAACGGTACAGACCTGCTCACAAGCTCCGCCTGGTGCCTGCCAGGAGACGGCTCACAATACCTGACTGAGATCCACGATGGGTCAATAAGCCATGTGGATATTGAGGAATCCATGTTTACTTCTGGACAAACCACACCCAAAGGAACCAGGATCGCTCACGCCCACCAGCCGGTGGAAGCCACATGGAACACTGCCAGACCAATGTCCACCAAGAGCCAGGCCATGTCTCGCATGAGCTCAAGTACATCGGGCTGCTCCTCTGCCTCGAATGGATCTCATTTGATTCAAAACAACCCTATCGTCGGTGCTAGCCAAGCCTTCCACGATGACACAGTTCACGTCATGGGCTCCATGCAAAGCCTGAACGGGTGTCAAATGTCAGAGACTGTAGGCTCACCCATTTGCTGGCCCGGCTATGGACTTGATATCAGCTTGAACGGCGACTGCTGCACCCTTTCTGTCGAGGACATGAACTCCATGAACGTTGCACCTTCCCAAGTCACCATCGGATTGGACGGACTACCAGCCACTTCTCCTTGCAGTTCTTGGGATCATTCGAGCTCGTCTCGCACTTCGTCGCCGCAGAACACCTTTGATGAGCCGTGGCGCGTAGCCGCCATGGACAACTCGCCAATGAACTTCATGGGTGACGCTACAAGGTATGTGACGAACTACAGTCATACATATTTCGCCGACGTGGATTCTCACAGTCATGGTAGTCCTGAGAACAAACCTCTTCACCTCTCCGATGTTCAAGACACCATGGCTCCCTTCGGTGGCGACATGAACATTTCTGGCAACTACCAGCAGCGCAGCAGTGTTGAGTCCGACTCCCCTCGCGAAGATCATCGTTACAAGAACGCCGTGCGAGGCACGGACGGCTTGTTTCACTGTCCATGGGAGGGTCAAGCGGGCTGCAGCCACAAACCAGAGAAGCTTAAATGCAACTACGAGTAAGATATCCGCGGTCCAGCCCTGTAATAAACGACACTAACATTTCTCTTAGCAAATATGTTGACTCGCACCTGAAGCCGTACAAGTGCAAGGTCGCCAGCTGTGAGGACGCTCGCTTTTCCTCCACTGCCTGCCGTCTCCGCCACGAGCGGGAGGCACATGGCCTCCATGGCCATGGCAACAAGCCATTCCTGTGCACTCATGAAGGCTGCGAGCGGGCTCAGGATGGAAATGGCTTCCCCAGACAGTGGAACCTCCGCGACCACATGAAGCGAGTCCACAATGACGTCGGCGATGTTCCCGCGCCCGCCCCGGCCCCCGTTGTCAACCCTGCCAAGGGCCGCAAGCGCAAGAACGAGACCCAGGAGGCTCCTGTCGTTGAGCGCAAAGTCCCGACAAAACCAACTCAGCAGCAGAGCGCTCGCAAGAACTCGACAAAGCCCCTTCTCGACGAGTGGCAGGACCACTACCAGGCCCTCCAAGGTATTCTCCAAGGAATGGTCGCCCCGGGTGATCACAGAAACATCGTCCAGCTTGATGAAGTGCAGAAGCGTTCCGTCGAGATGGCCAAGATCACCTCTCAGCTCGTGTCTGTGTCCAAGCTGCCGCGCGATACCGAGTCGAAGAAGGGCTACAACTCTGGTGATTGAAGATGGCTGTGACTGGACCACCCCACCTGTGTGGACATACCCTCCTTTTATCTAATACCTCATTGCACAATCATCAGGACGCCGACCTGAAGCTAGACTACAGTGAGAAGAATCCCATTTTCTCCTGGTCACGGCATGGTCAACCTTTTTGGATGTTATTGCAGAGGCGTGTGGACCCATCTGATCGTTTCATACTTCTCTCTGCTTACTTCTGGAGGAATCCGAGGTCTCCTATGTGCACGGTTTGCTGAGAATGCCCAGTGTCTTTTATCTCACGGCTTCCGAGGGTGGAAGCGGTGATGCCAACGTCTTGCAGAGTCCTGTCCTCCATGACCTGGAGGACGATTCTGCGAGGCAAGAAAGAGATGGACTTATGTAACAGTCGAATGACTGGCTTTGTCGGACACTTTTATTCCTTTTGTGATTTGACTGAAGAGTTCAGTCAGCGCCCTACTCTCATGGCGGCGCGGTAACAGTGCTAGGATATCATGAAGTGCGGTGCTCTTTGAGTTTATTTCATATGTTGTATCTAATGACACGTTCTTGAGAATCCTTTGTTATCAATCGAAATGCGCTATTATTAGTATTTGATTTTCCGTGAATGAAATAAACAACTATAATAAAGAAGACGAAGAAGACCAGCCTTGGGAGGACGCCAGGTTGTGGTGGGTGGTCGCATGCACGCACGGTCGGCCAGAAGCTCAACGCGCGACTTTTGGCTGCCCCTCACCACCCACCTTGTGGCATTGATGAGCTCTTATCGACACCGCCACTTTTTCTTCCAATCATCCCACCTGCCACTGTTCAACGTGCTGTCTTTTCGCTTCGACCTATATTAAACCTTCTCAAAATACTTGCCTCAAGATCAATCGCAAGAATGGCTCGCAAGTTCTTCGTCGGCGGCAACTTCAAGATGTACGAGGCCACTCGGGCTACATGGAGGGGTAGTGTGGTCGGTTCATGCTAACGGCGATGCAGGAACGGCTCCGTGTCGTCCATCAAGGAGATTGTCAACAACCTGAACAAGGCCAACCTCGACTCCTCTGTTGGTACGTCGATCCTCACGCTTCTTACTGTGCTGTTGCGCCACCCATGGCTAACCACTCCATAGAGGTCGTCGTCTCCCCCAGCGCCATCCACCTGGTCCTCGTCCGCGACGCGCTCCGCCCCGAGATTGGCGTCGCCGCCCAGAACGTCTTCGACAAGCCGAACGGTGCCTTTACCGGCGAGCTGTCCGTGTCGCAGCTCCTCGACAGCAAGGTCGACTGGGCCATCCTGGGTCACTCGGAGCGCCGCACTGTCCTCAAGGAGGCCGACGAGCTCGTCGCCTCCAAGACCAAGTACGCCACCGAGAACGGCGTCAGCGTCATCTGGTGCTGCGGTGAGTCCCTCGAGGAGCGCGAGGCCAACAGGACCATTGCCGTCGTCAGCAAGCAGCTCGAAGCCCTCAAGGCCAAGGTCAGCGACTGGTCCAAGATTGTCATTGCCTACGAGCCCATCTGGGCCATTGGTACCGGCAAGGTCGCCACCACCGAGCAGGCTCAGGAGGTGCACAAGGCCATCCGCGAGTGGCTCAAGACCAACGTCAGCGACAAGGTCGCCGAGGAGACGCGCATCCTGTACGGCGGCAGCGTCAACGAGAAGAACTGCGCCGAGCTGGGCAAGCAGCCTGACATTGACGGCTTCCTCGTCGGTGGTGCTTCGCTCAAGCCTGCCTGTAAGTTTCCCTTCTGCCTGTCGTGTGTTGGGATGCACTGCTAACTCTGCTCTCAGTCGTCGACATTATCAACTCCAGCAAGCTGTAGATTGAAAGCCGCGTATACTGCTAGACTTCTTCCTGCATGCCGAGATACTCGACCCTATTGAATAAATAAAAAGTTGATGCCATTTGAGAAGTGAAATAGATTCACTACTAAATGTGTAGATGTGAACAGTCGTTTGACCCTATATAATCAGGTGATATCCCAATGCTCCAGTTGCCCACGTCGAAACCCGCTTTGACGTGCGCATGATAGTCTCTAATACAAGTAAAATATACACGGCACGAAGCCTTGTGCCCTATCCGCGGGCCGTTTCCCTCCTTTATACAACCATGCCCTTGCCGTGGTATGGCGACCAGATGCCTCGGACACTGGGCTTGGTGCTGACGACGGCCTTGCTCGTGCGGCGGTTCTTGTTACCGCTGGCGTCGCGCAGCAGCTCGACCTTTTGCAGAATCTCGTATGGCGACAGGTTCCGTACGCAGATTGGTTTTGTACGGCCGTTGATGTAGTGTCCGATGATGACGGGGTGACGCCCCGGGCGCGGCGAGACGGCGAATTCGACCTGCGGGTTGGAGGCGGCGACCTTGGGGAGCAATGACTTGATGAAGCCGCTGTGTTTGGCATCATGTTAGAAGAAACCGTGCAATGGTATGTGTATGCGGGATGAGCAACGTACTTCATGCCCTTGGAGCTACCGGCCCAGTCGCAGTAGTGAAAGTCCATCTTCTTGCATTGGAGGATGAAGGCGCCGACGCCGTTCTGCGGTCATATTGTTAGCTGCCTGTTTGTGGACGCTCGGGCGCGCGAATTCTGCTGCGCTTACATGCGACCTGGCAATTGACCTGAGCCCCTTGATCGTCATCGTGGCTGCGCTGTGTGTATCTGTATGAGCATGTGCGAATAGAGTGTCCTTTCAGAGTCTGCTCGCGTGGATTGTCGCACGAAAAATCGAGCCTGCAAGCTTCAGCCAAGGGGGGACGAAAACAGACTAGCGCCCATGTGCGGCACAGCATCGGCAAATTGTTCAGCCAGCAGCATCACTGTATTACCCACTGAAACGGCCTCTTCAACTCCCCTACAACAGGGGCTGCAGGCGCAAGCTGCTAATTTCTCCAGGCAGCACGACATCCTCCTCGCAGCCCTTTCCATCCCAAAGCTGCGGGCAACAACTTTTGCGACGACGCGTATCTGTTCGACTTCCATCACCGAGCAGCGACATCCCGTACCCGGCGGTCTCTTGAGCTCAAGCGCAACTTGTCGCCTGCCGATTGGTGTATCATTTCGTGACTCTTCGTTTTTTTTGTCGCTCCCCCCTTGGGTCACGGCAGCTATGACGGACAAGCTGCCACCAAATTTGCTGGCCCTGTTTGCGCCGCGCCCGCCGCTGCGATGGGTTGAGCCGGCTGACCATGCCCCCGAGAAGCGCAAGACGGCGCACGTTGACGGTCTGGCTGCTTTCCTGCCCGACTTGAAGGCGTACAAGGAGAATGACAAAAGCGTCCCGACCGAGAGCTGGCTGGAGGCACGCGATCGCAAGAAGCTCGAGAAGAAGGCGGCCGTGGAGGAGCTGTCCACCAACGCGCCGAAATATTGTACGGATAAATGGACTGACAGAGGCTTGCGTCGATGGAAATACTGACTTGATTCTTGCAGACAAACCGAATGAGGATCCTCTGATTCGCGGCGATGCGTTCAAAACCCTCATTGTCGCGCGCTTAAGCTACGAAGCTGACGAGCGAGATCTGGAACGTGAATTCGGTCGTTTCGGACCTATCGAGCGCGTACGCGATTCCCTGTTCAAATGCCACACTGTCAATCAGATACTGACATACTCCATAGACTCGCATTGTTGTCGACACGCACGCCGCCGAAAAAGGAAATAAGAAGAAGAAGCCACACCGAGGCTACGCGTTTGTCGTCTTTGAGCGCGAAAAAGACATGAGAGGTAATTTTCCCATTGTTTTCATTCCTTGTAGGACCTTTCCATTGGCGCTTCCTAGAGCTGTGGCCCTCAAGCTTGCCCTCTCTACCTGATGTGCGCAACGAGACTTTCACGGCCCTCAAGCTTGCCTGTCTCTGCAACCATCTTGTTTCTCTCCCTCTATCGAACACACTTGACCAAGTTTTATACATCGCTGGTAAGCATTGCTAACAAATGCGCCGTGTTGCGCAATCCCGAATAGCCGCTCTGGATGCTTGTGATGGTATCCGCATCAAAGATCGACGGATCAAGGTAGATGTTGAGCGTGGCCGAACAGTCAAGGGCTGGAAGCCAAGGCGACTTGGAGGCGGCCTCGGTGGCCGGGGCTATACGAAAGCTCTGCCTGCTCGCCCAGGCGGCCCTGGCGGTTTTGGCGGTGGCTTCCGTGGTGGCCGAGGAGGCTTCGAGGGCGGCCGCGGAGGCTTCGAAGGTGGCCGCGGCCGTGGTGGCTTCCGTGGTGGCTTTGGTGGCCGCGGAGGAGGCTTCCGAGGTGGTGATCGTGACTTTGGAGGTTCTCGTGGTGATCGCGACTTTGGTGGTCCTCGCGGCGATCGCGGCGACCGTGGTGACCGAAACGGGTTCGCCCCCAGAGACGCGCCATCCGGCCCTGGTGGCTTTGACAGACGAAACGGTGACCGCGACCGTGGATCTGACCGCCGTGGCGGCATGGACGACAGGCGTGGTGGAGGAGACAGGGATCGCGACCACCGCGACCGCAATCGTGACCGTGACCATCACGACAGAGGCGACAGACCACCCCGTGACGGCGGTCGATTCGGCGATCGCGATGGTGGCCGTCGTACCGGCAGCAACAACGAACCAATTCGTCCCCGCGAGGGTGGTGGGTATCGCGAACGGGAGAACAGAGACTTTGACCGCCCTCGGGATGATGACAACAGGAAGCGAGGATACGACGGCGGCGGCTACGAGGACCCTAGGAAAATTCGCAGATACTAAACCGCGTCAGATCCCCATGCAGACCGTTCCGATACGGCGCGGCATACAACCACGTCTGTCCTTGTTTGGTAGGCGAGGCGTCGTCTCGATACTCGTTCGCTACAGCCCGATGGTAATGCGGAAAGGTAACCGTTCCTTTTTTGCCTTGTCCTTATGTCTCTTTTCTTTAGTATGCATTTAAAATCATGGCGTTAGTAAGGGGAAGTATAAAAAGAAAGCTCGATTCTGAGAGGAAATAAATTGAACACGTATCAATGGAATTTTTTTTTCAATGGGTTACAAGGTAAGGCAGAGAGGTAAGCAAACTCTGGCCTCGAATGTATCAAACTTGATTTGTTGCTTCTCCGGCGTGGAGTTGGGTTGAGGGAGGAAGAGTGTACTCAGTAGTAACTAGCTTTTATACCTGGGTTAGCCGAGAACCGCTGTATAATACAAAGTATGATTCCGGGAATTGTCAGATATATCCTAATAATTGAGCGCGCGTTGTAGTTGGAACGATATATTCTCTATCTTCTCTCCGACTGGGAAAGAAAATGAAGGGTTGCTCCCTCATGCATATCAACTTCATGTCCGTAACCTAAAACAAAGACCCAAGCCAACGCCGATACAGAAAATTTTGATCCCACATGAATGTCATGCCAGCGATGATGCAGTGTTGCACATCTCGCAGGAAAATTGCTTTTATAAAATGCCCAGCTGTATCCTTTGCCGCCAGCTTAATCCTCCTCCATGGGGGTGGTGGTGGCGTCAACCTGAGTGACTTCGCCAGTGGCCGCGCTCCAGTACCTGTCGGATCATACGTTAGCCAATCCGCGTCACACATGCACAGAACGAGCAAGCTCCAATCACAGGGAGAAGCAAAGAAGACGAAACCAAAGAAAAGAAGAGGGGAAGCACATACGCCAGGACCTTGACCTTGAACTCGCTCAAGCAAACGTCAAACATCTTGAGCAGCCTTGTCTGGCGGGAGTCGAGGACGTCGCCCTCCTTGCAGACGACGTAGGCCTCGCCCTCGCCGTCCTCGTCGCCGAGGACGACGCGGCCCTTGACCATGCGGGTGGGGACGCCGAGGCGGCGCAGCTCGGGCTCGAGGGTGTGCTCGAGCGGCACGTCGTGCTCGGCGGGCACCTCGCCGGCGGTGGCGTGGACGACGCCGGTGGGGATGGAAAAGGTGCGGGTGGCGACGACGCCGGCGCGCGCAAAGTCGACGAGCGCGAGCCCGTCAAAGTAGGCCAGCACCGCGGCCGGGTCGCGGTTGGTGAAGACGAGACCGACGTTGCCGGCGAGGATGCGCGCAATCGCCTGGATGCCCGGCGCGACGGCCTCTTCGGGGGTCTGCCCGAGCGCCTTGGCCATGAGCTTGGTCTTGCCGAAGAAGAGTCTGAGGGGGGGGGGGGGGCGGCAAGGTTAGTTGTCCGTATCCACGCTGCCAGCGAGAGGACGGCGGCGCCGCAGCGGCTTACCTGCTGTCGGACAGCTCCCGACGGACATTCTTCAGGTACGTGTTGCGCATGTTGTCGATGCAGAATACGACGCAGTGCTGGTACTCGGGGACGGCGTCGCGAATGTTCTGAAAGAGCTTGTCCTTTTGCTCGCGGCCCTTTTTGTTGACCTGCGTCAGGTTGAAGGTTTTGGAGCGCTTCGACTTGGGCATTGTGGCGGTTTATTGAGTATTTTTTTTTCTTTAAATCCTTTCGTAACGATCCGGGTATAGTTTGTAATTCCAAACAAAAAAAGAGGCTTCGTTCGCTGGGCACGTCGTTGCAATGGCGGTTGCTGTCGTTGGAAGAAAAAGTATTTGGGCAGAATCCGACTGATAAGATAAGCGCAGGAAAAAAAAATTCAAGATGGTGGTGGTGATTTTCCCCCACACAAAAAAAGCGCTGGGATTGGCCCGTTGTCTGACCCCGCTGAGACTGCCAACAGCGCTCTCGCGGAAGTAACATTTTCTACGTATGAATTCTTTACAATTATTTTTGGTAAAAATAAAAACAAACTCGTCGGCATATCTATTATCGGTATTCCGGTGTCAATTCTTCCTTTCTGCTTTAATATGGATCTCTGTTTACCACAACACTCCATCGCTCCTTCAAAGTCCTAGATGCTAACTAAACGACGGAGGAGTAGAGAAAGCGGAGAGTACTTCATATTGTGCGCAAGAAGCTGATATCCTCCATCTTCTACTAAATTTCGTATCTTCACTTACTTTGAATTATCAACGATCTTGTCACCCGCGTGTATGAAAGTAGACCAGCCACGTGGCGCACCAGGCATGTTGCCATGTAATGCTGGGAAGCTTCCCGACATTAGATCGCTTTCATAAAGTGAACGCCGAGGATATACTGTAGAACAACCGAACTGTATCTCCTGACTATTGGCACCTGTGGAATCAAGGGCCGTTGAGTCTATATCGTTTTTTTGATTGCGTCGTTGTAGACCTGCTCCAGGGTACTTGTAGTCTGAACGGAGATACTTCTAACCGTGACTTGGTTTCTTGGCTCCTAACAACCTACCTTTGATTGACTACTATTCACCCATCTTTCTACAACGTAATTATCCACCGTACTATAATAACCTCGTGTTTCCGGGGGTGATCGTGTCAACTCCCGTGCCCCGGTTGCCACCCTTGACGTGGACCCCTGCATCGAGCGATTCGAGGATTTAATAAATCCGAAATCTCACAACCCAACTTGGCGTCTTCTTTCTAGACCCGCTTGAGTCTAGCAAACCAGGCACCTCCCACAGCCCTTCGGAGTTGCCCATCTCATTGCTTACTCGCTATGCTGGAACGGGCAGGTCAGGTATGCCACTAACAAGTCCTGATCCTACGCTGGCGCCGCGGGTATTGGCCCAGGGGAAGCATCTTCAGGGCATGGACATGTCGCCTCCACTCGATCGCTGTCATCGATTGCATGATTTGACGGAGAATTCCAGCTCCTTGTTAGTCTACCATGCGAGACAGCCAAGGTACTCCAAGCATGCGCTCAGACGGAAGATGCAGCTGTGCCTTGCAGGTCCGTTATTCCATCAATACCCTCTGATCTAACCCTTGGTATGACGGCCGTGGAGAGCCTAAAAGACCGCCCCCCGGTCAGCCATGCAGGTCCGTCCCGGTGCTTTTGCGGCGAGATGCTGCCGCCGACAACGTAAACTAATCATTGGCTCGTGGTGATATGGGGTGCCGAATAAGATTGCAGGAAATGCAGGACCGGCTCGTATTGCCTCACGATGATAAAGGCCCCCTCCCCCTCCGCTGCCGCTGCATTCTCCGTAGTTGCCAACACAGATTCTCCCTACAGTCTGCCAAGTTCTCATTGAGTGATACACCATGAAGGTTTCCGCCCTGCTAGCCCACACGGCCTCCCTATGTGCCTCTCTGGCCGCCGCTCTCCCTGCTGCCGAGTCTGTGTTGGAAGAGAGACAATCTGCCTCGTCCTGGTTCTTGCCCAACCTTGACCACACCTCGGGTCCTGTCCGTGGCTATGTCCCCAACTTGCCCACATATGACTATCCCGTCTATAAGGCTGTCAAGTCTGGCGACTCTCAGGGTCTCCTCAATGCCATTGTTTCTGATGGCCCCAGCGGCAACCGCAACAACTGCTGGCTTGCAGGCCAGCCTCGTGTCATTTACCTCGCCCCAGGTAGGCAGACAGATCTCGCTATTTTCATATTCTTGCTTTGCTAACAATGCCCCAGGCACATATACCCTCTCGTCTACTCTTTACATGTACACTGACACTGTCATTATCGGTGATGCCTCTAATCCGCCTGTCATCAAGGCTGCTTCTGGCTTCAACGGGGACTATCTAGTTGTAGGTGGCCAAGGCGATGGCTCCGACCGTCCTTGCGGCGGCTTTGGCGGAGAGACTCACTTCTCCACCATGATCAAGAACGTTGTTCTCGACACCACGTCCAACGCTGGTAAGAACAGCTTCACCGCTCTTAGCTGGGCTGTTGCTCAAAACTGCGCTCTGGTCAACGTCAAGATCAACATGCCCCAAGGTGCTCACACCGGTATGGTCATGGGCGCCGGCTCGACCATCTCTGCTTCTGATGTTTCCTTCACTTACGGCAATGTCGGTCTGCACTGGGCGGGCCACCAGCAGGGACAGCTCAAGGGCATGAATTTTGACAAGTGCACCACTGGTATCCTGATTGACGGCGGCAACACTATCAGTATCCTTGCTCCTTCTTGCAATACTGTTGGCAACTGTATTGTGCTCAATTCTGGCAACCCCTGGGTTGCTGTCATCGACGGCAAGAACACCAACTCTGGCGACTACTTCACCAGCAAAGTGCAGTATCCCAATTTCATGTTGGAAAACATCTCCAACGACAACGCCAACAGCAATATTGTCACTGTTGGTGGTAATGTCAAAGTCGGCGGCAAGAACAATCTCGGTACCTACATCTACGGAAACACTCGTGGTGCCAACCCAACTTATCAGACCAATCCTACCGAGAAGGCCCCCAACAGGCCCGGTGCGCTGGCGCCTGGCGGCAACTACCCCTCTCTCAGCGCTCCCCAGTATGCCGACAAGAAGATCTCCGATGTCATCAACTTGAAGGATGTCAACCAAAACGGCGGCTTCAACTTGCACGGTGACGGCAACGTCGACGACACCAAGGCCCTGCAGGGTGCCCTCAATACTGCCGCCAGCAAGGGCAAGATTGCTTACCTTCCCTTTGGTATCTACAAGGTCACATCCACTGTCACCATCCCGCCTGGAACGGAACTGTACGGTGAGGCATGGTCCACCATTTCCGGCTCAGGAAATGCCTTTGCCTCCGAATCGAATCCTACCCCCGTTGTGCAGATTGGTAGCACCCCCGGTCAGAAGGGCACTGCCCGTGTCCAGGACATTCGCTTCACCGTGCACGAGGCTCTTGCCGGAGCTATTCTCCTCCGCATCAACATGGCTGGCACCAATCCCGGCGATGTCGCTGTTTTTAACTCACTCAATACCATCGGTGGTACACGTGATACCAACATTGACTGCGGCAGTGAGGCCAATTGCAAGGCTGCTTACGTTGGTGTTCACTTGGCTCCTGGCTCATCTGCCTACATCGACAACTTTTGGTCGTGGGTCGCTGACCACTCTGTCGACGACAGTGCAAAGGGCACCCGCGCCGCCGTCAAGGGTGGCGTCCTCGTGGAGTCGACCGCTGGTAATTGGATTGCCGGTCTCGGCTCCGAGCACAACTGGCTCTACCAGATCTCCTACCACAACGCCGCAAATGTCTTTGTTGGCATGTTCCAGAGTGAGACAAACTACAACCAGGCCACGCACGGCGCTCCCCTCAACCCCCAGCCGTTCTCTACCACAAGCTCGGATCCAGACTTCGCGTGGTGTGGCGGTGCCGACGGCACTTGCCGTATGAGTCTTGGCCAGTTCTACACAGGAAGCAACAGGGCCATCTACCACTACGCTGCAGGCAGCTGGAACTTCAAGTCCCTGACTGGCGTTGATCAGGGCATCATGAACGTTATCCACGACACTGTGAGCGATGCCCACCTTCACGGATTCTGTGCTGGTCCCAATGTCAACCAGGTTATGCGTCTGCCCAACGGCAGCCAGTTTGGCAATGCCGGCTATGGCGGCTCTTGGGAAATCTTGGTCGCTGATATTGTCAGCCAGTCCTGAACATGAAGCTTGCACGCATCAGGATTTCACCTACATATTTGCACTGCGTCTAAGTATTTGCTATGTCCGTATATATCATCGGGATCAAGGTCCGGATCCGTATGACAAGTAATGAATGGAATAAATAACTGAATAAATAAATCAAACTGCAAGTGGCAGCCAGAACATACAAGTGAAAGACCGATGAAGGCACCTAGAATACAAAGGAATAAGAAAGTAAGGTAGAGATGCGACAGGGTGCAATAAACTACTGGCCCGAAAATGGAGACCATCAGGGTTCTGACGACCCGACTATAAAAGTGCGAGGTACCGAGTTACCTGCGTTCATTTTTCGCCAGGAACGTCAAGGCACCGAGAACATACCCATCAAGTCCCGTCTGCAATGTCGGCATTATGGCCGGCGCAAACATGGGCGAGTGATTTGCCGGAATGTCTTTTGAAATGGTGCCCTGAGCTTCGATCCTGTCCCACCTTGACTCTTCAATACTGCCATACATGAAGAAGCAGTACGGCTTGTCCACCGCAGTAGCGAGGATCGAGAAGTCTTCGCTGCCCCCAAGACGTGGCAAGTTCCTATTGTACTTGCCCTTTTCCTCGCCAAAGTGCGCCGAAAAGGTGTCCTCAATTTTCTTGGTGGTTTCAACATCGTTGACCGTCAAAGGGAAGGATCTTGTCATTTTAAACTCGGGCTCCTTGGTGGCTTCGGCACAGGCACACTCGGAAGCGACAACAGCCTTGATTCGACGCATCATGCGCTCTCGAGTCTCGACAGTGGTGGAACGCGTGTCAATGCCCAAGACGGCAGAGTCAGCAATGACATTCTCCGCATCGCCGGCGTGGACAGTCGCCACAGTCACGACACTGGAGTCGGCAGGGTCCGTCTCGCGACTAACAAGCGTCTGCAGCTTCATGATTGTGCTGGCAGCAATTACAATGGGGTCGATTGACGTGTGAGGCATGCTGGCGTGAGAGCCGCGACCGTGAATCGTTACTTCCATGCTGTCTGCGCTTGTGGCGACAATACCGCGACCGGTACCGATGCTACCTGCACGAAACGGCATAACATGTGCTCCGAGGACGATGTCTGGGATAGGAACACCATGTCTGGTGTAGAGGCCGTCATCGACCATGGCCTGGGCTCCGGTTCCGCGCTCCTCGGCGGGTTGGAAGACGAGCACGAGAGTGCCCGCCCAGGTCGCACGGGCAGAGAACAGAGCTGCGGCGGCACCAAGGAGGCAAGTAATGTGCATATCATGACCGCATGCATGCATCACAGGTTTCTCGACGCCCGTGGCCTTGTGGATCATGCGCTTTGTGCTGGCATAAGGAAGGCCGGTTCGTTCTTCAACCGGGAGGGCATCAATGTCAGCGCGGAGGAGAACGGTAAGGCCTTCGCCGTTGGGAAGCACGGCGGCGAGTCCATGGCCGCCGATGCTGGTCTTGATGACGAGATCTTCGGGACCAAGAGCTTTGAGCTTCTCGGCGATCAGAGCGGCGGTTTCCGACTCTTGGTTAGAGAGCTCCGGGTTCTGGTGGAGGTGCTTGTAGACCTCCTGCAGCGGGCCAAGGTCCGGCCGGTGCTGAGCTACGATCTGGGATAGTGTGGATGCCATTGATTATTGTGTTTGACGAGGAAGATATTGTCGCAAGAGAGAGCGGGGAGGAGGGCAGCCGGTGCCGGACAGATGGCGAGCATGGTTCTAGTTGATGATCCCCGCCTTGAGCGTGGGGGGATGATGGGGGAGTACAGATAGTGTGCGCGCTATCGGAAATGGCGGGCACTGGTGCGGAAACGGCGGGAGGAAGGGGAATGAATGAGGTTTGAGATTAACAGGGCGACGATATCGTTTAGATATATTTATTATCAAGGTGAACCTTGCCTTGTGATTGCTGTGTCATAACTGGCGATGTGACTGTTTGGCGTTGCTGTGGCGGCGTGGCAGGTGCAAGTAGGGGCAGGGAGATGGCAGGTTCGAAGGTATCGTGACAAGGAATATGATCGAGATGAGATTTCGAGAACTTGATTTGCCAAAACGTGTATTGAGTTGCTTGAAAACTGGAAGTAGTAGGTAGGTCAGGTAGTCATCCCGGACAGGTGTAGTAGTGCGCAACAGAAAACGACAGTCGTCGCGCTTTTTACTGCAGCATTAGGCACGCTTTCGACAACTCGCTTATTTGATTTTTGTAGTACTTCATGGCTCTGCGTATTGATCAAGATAGCTTTGTGAAACCACTACACGTAGATTATGTTTGTTTCTTGGCCACCGTTGCTCCAGGCAGCTTCCGTTGGTGCAGACCCGAGGTGCAAGACTTGCATCCAAAAAAGGTTAAGCGGCAACGCACGGACCAGGCCTCACAACGATGACACCAACTGCCTTTTTTTGCCCAAAAACCCTCCTCTCCTCTCCTCTGCCGCCGCCGCGTCCCAAAACCCTTCTCGACGACACACTTTATCCAAGCGAGACTCGGTTTCCATCTTCCCCCCTCCTCCCTCCATCCTTCAAGCGAATCTCGTCTAGATTCTCCCATCATAGTCAAAGTTTTTTCGTACTTTGTTTCCTCTCAATCACCCCACTCCCCACGAACCTCCCTTTTGCTTGCATCGAGCGGGCAGGTTTTTTTCTCTGTTTGTCATCTCTGGCAAAAGCAGTCACTTCCCCCTTCCTTCGACATTGCGCCAAGAATCCATCCAGGCTCGACCCTCGATCGACTCTTCCCGACCCATCTCCATCTCTACACATACATTCGCATATTTGCTCCGCGCATTCAGTCTTGTTCGTGCCGATATCGCCCACCTCCCACCCTTAGCCGCCGTGCAGTCCCCTCACATCACACACACCCATCATCATGGCCACCAACGGCAGCTTCGCTCAGCAGGACCAGCACAAGGCCCCTGCCGACCAGTTCTCCTCCCCCAGCGATAACAGCAACCTGGCTAAAGATGAGGTCGGCTGGTACTTTGTCGAGCAGTACTACACAACCCTGAGCAAGTCTCCTGAGAAGCTTCACGTGAGTCCACCCAACTGCGCCGTCCAACGCGGTCCGAGCTAACAAGCAGCACACAGCTTTTCTACAGCAAACGATCTCAGTTGGTCTGCGGCCAGGAAGCCGAGGTCTCCAACGTCTCTGTCGGTCGTCAGGTATGCAGCTCTTCCTCTCGCCGTTGCAATACAGCTCGCGCGAGAACAACTCGACTAATCCGGCATTGCGCCTACAGGCTATCCAAGAACGTCTCAAGTCCCTTGATTTCCAGGACTGCAAGGTCCGCGTCTCCAACGTCGACTCCCAGTCTTCCGACGAAAGCATTGTCATCCAGGTCATCGGCGAAACCTCCAACAAGGGAGCTGAGCCCAGAAAGTTTGTCCAAACCTTTGTTCTTGCCCAGCAGCCCTCTGGATACTTCGTTCTCAACGACATTCTGCGATATATCGAGGAGGAGGAGGAAACCCCGGCCGAGGAGGCTCAGGAAGAGCCTATCGCTGTCGCCGCGGCCGAAGCTCCCGAGACCGCTCCCGAACCTGCCGTCGAGGAGCCTCCCGTTGAGAAGAAGCTCATCTCTGAGGTTGCTGAAAAGGCTCCCATCAACGGCGAGCACGTCGAGACCGCGACCGAGGCCGAGACCGAGCCTGAGACCAAGGTTGAGGCTCCTGCTACCCCTGCCGTTGAGCCTATTGTCGAGGAGGTGGCTCAGGAAGTCGTCAAGGAGGAGGAGAAGCCCAAGGAGCCTGCCCCGACCCCTGCCAAGGTCGAGACCCCTGCTCCCGAACCTGCCGGCCCCCCCAAGCCCATGACTTGGGCTAGCCGTGCTGCTGCCGCCGCGGGACCCCGTCCGGTTGTCCCGCTGCCCAAGACCGCTACTCCTCCGGCCACGAACCAGAGCCGTGCCCCCGCTCCCGCCGCCGCCCCTGTCCCTGCACCAGCTCCGGCACCGGCTCCGGTCGCTAATGCTACTGCTCCGGCCGTTGCCCCTCCCGCTGCCGCTGAGACTGGTCCCAAGGAAGTCTCCGGCTGGCAGACGGCTGGTGCTGACTCCAAGCGTCAGAACCGACCCCAACCCGTCTCTGCTGCCGCCGGCACTGAAAAGGAGGGCACCATGGGCTACGTGAAGTACGTGACTGATAAGGTTCAGGATGCTGACCTTCGCGCTGCCCTTGCCGCCCATGGTGAGCTAAGCTACTTTGATATCAACCGCCAGAAGGTATGTGATGACTCGTGGATGCCATAACACCTATTCCAATTCGCTAATTATTCTAGAACTGTGCTTTTGTCGAGTATAAGACACTCGAGGGCTACCAGACTGCCGTCTCCAGCAACCCTCACACTGTTAATGGCGAGAACATCGTCGTTGAGCCTCGTCGCCCCAAGGTTACCGGCCACAACGGCGGCGCTAGCTTCGGTGCCGGTCGCGGCAACGGCGCTCCTCGTGGCCGTGGTGGCTTCGACGGCCGCAACGGCGGTCAGGGTAATACCCGTGGCAACTTTGGTGGCCAGAACCGTGGCCGTGGCGGCGCTGCTCGCGGTCGTGGCGGTGCACAAGCCGCCCACGTCTAAAGAGCATCAGCCAGGCTCATCTTTACGAAGATAGGATCTCGGCAAGGTTAACAACTCCCCATAGATAATGTTCTATGGTATCTATGACGACCTTGGCACGATGATGACGCTTCAACTGGGGAGGTAATGAAAGGGGCAGGTATCGAATTTATAGTGTGACATGCATCTATACCTGATGTGTGGATGTACTGGAGTCTGGATGGGAGCGAATCGATTATTGATTTGAGGGTGGCACAGCTCCTCGCAACAAGTCAGTACCTTTCTGGCGGCGGCGCGTGTTACCCGGGGATGATTTCGGCTTGTTTTGTTTTTACTTCACTGCATTGCGGGCGGAAAAAAGCTGCATCTATACCAGGAACGGACAATGTATGAAGCCGGAGAGGAATGTTCTGAACCGGATAGTGTGTTTTCTACAAAAGAAGCACGAGTATACGGCGCGTGCGTGGAAGCAACAGGAGGGGTCAATCGTTAAGATCGGAACTCATAATTCAAGCGGTGTATCACAATTGGGAGAATGGACAGGGGAATGGGAATATAGAAAAAGGGGAGGCAAGGGGAGCTGTACAATACAACAACGAATACAATTGCTGAAGGGCTGTATATGAGTAGAATGACATAAACTATTACAAGCTCAGTCAGATTATCTCGTTAAACTCATATAAAAGCGATGGATAGTGCGAAGAAGTCGATGTGATTTGGCATGGGCCTCAGACCCCAATCACAAGCGCATATGCCCAAAGCGACTCTAATACTGAGCAATTAGCAACAACAAGTACAGGACGTGAGACGAAATCGCCAATGATGAAAAATATGTTTTTCCGTTTTCCTATTTCCGAGCATATTTTTGTACCATTCTCTTGACCCTTTCCCCAGTTTCTGAGCTCTTTGTTATGGATGGATACGTACAGCTATCTCGTTCGCAGGAGACTAACTAATTAAGCGAATCTCTAGCTAGGCCATTACAGAGCCGCTTTATATTAGAGCAAACACTTATTTCTCCTAGTTATAGATATTTCTATTTTGGGACGCTTCGTCAAAGAGCTACTTACTTTTGACCCAGCCCGATGTAGCAAACGATTGTTGACGAAAGCAGGGAAGCTGGTTTGTTGACGCTGATCTACATGTACATCAGCCAGGCCCCATCCAGATGGCGTACTACAAGCGTAACGGTCGGCCTAGTTCCAAGATTTCATGACTACAGACGACAAGGTTGGATAATAATACCTGGGGGCTGCTCCACAGGGACCTTGGTTTTCGAGGCTGGGCGCCACGTTTTACACCACACCTATGGTACAAAAAACAGCCACACAGATATAGAACCGACAAGGAAGAGAAAGTAAGTAAAAGACATAATAATTACAAAAAGGGGCAAAGAGAATAGTACGGATAAAGGAGATGATGACAATAATAATAATAATAAACGATAATAGTTAGAACAACGGTGGTTTATTTGGTCGCCCTGGGTGTATAACTTTAAAAGACCTCTCCACAACCCGACCGCCACTATATGCTGCGGTTTCCCGGATTGGCAAAACAGATACGTCGATGACGCTGCATGGAGCCGTATACCCGGCCGGTTTTCCGGACTCTCATGGCTGATCAACACTTTATATTATAACAGCTGAACCCGCCAGAGTGAGCCGTGGCCGTTGAGCATTCCTCTCTACACCAAATCCAACATGGTATCCGATCGTGTTGTGAAGCTCTGCTCCGAATCCGCTACAGTTAGCTCAGTATGGGCTGAGAATCCGACTGTAGCGCCGAGCATCATCATCGATCGACTTTACGGGCACTATCCACGAGACCGCACCTGCGAGCCACAAGCACGACGACAAGCAGCTTCTCCAAAAGAGCAAACTGACGCGGCGAAATGCGGTAAATGGGGACCGACAGCACCGAGTCCTTTATTCCTCCAAGCCTTTGCGAATGCGCTCAACTGCCTGGATGCTGATCCGCAGTCTGCTGTGGTGTCGCCTCCATTAATGGGGTCTCACGGTACAATGCCACTCACAGTGATTACGCCGTTGGCCGATGTCATCCGGCACTGCGCGAATCTTATTGCGTCTGCAGAAAAAGAAATCTTCTTTGTGACCTGCGTATGGTCGCCGTCCTTGGCGCAGAAGCTCATCCGAGGCGCTCTGATGGAGCTTTCTCGACGAGCCCAAGCGAGGAACCAGCGCGTCAAGGCTCATTTCATGTATGATGCCGCGGGGCTGTCGAACCTATCGGATTCTCATCGCAGGTTGACCCCAAAGTCATACGCGGCCAAATCGGTCGGCTTGCCCTCACCAGAAGAGATCCCCCACGTGGACCTGGAGGTCATGAACGTGCATACTATCCCGTTGGGCACGCTTCACTCCAAGTTTTGTGTGGTGGACGGAAAACGTGCTTGCATTATGAGCAATAACATGGCTGACAATGACAACTTGGAAATGATGGTGCAGTTGGAAGGGCCGATTGTGGAAAGTGTCCGTGATGCGGCCCTCATCACATGGTATGAGCAACTGAGAGAAACAGACGCACCGGTTGCTGGGCAGATACCGTCCACGCACCGTACAGACATCTCCCAAGACGGCAGCCGGGCGGACATTGCACCGTTGCCGGAAACAAAACAGGCCGGCATTGCATCCCAGATCGACCCATCGCATCTGCCTGTTCACATGCCGGATGATGCCCATTTCGACCTCCATCTGGCCGACGAGGTTCTCAGAATCCAGAGAAACTACCACAGGACCGAGGGAGAACGACACGTCGACGCCGCCAACCGAGTCCTGAACCTAGCCACCAAAAAGCCTGTTGCGCCCACCGGACCAGACTTTTCCGACGAGGAAGCAATGACACCCTACATCATGACAGAAACGCAACAACAAGTTCCGATGGTGCTTGTGTGCAGGCCCCCGTACGGGAGTTTTGGATCCAGGAATGCGTATGTCCCGCAGAATGAAGCCTGGCTGTCACTCATTCGAAACTGCACCAGCGACATCTTCATTCAAACCCCGGACCTCAACGCAGCGCCGCTCCTCCCTGCAATCCTCGATGCAATACATCGCGGGGTCAAGGTGACTATATATACCTGTTTTGGATACAACGAGGCCGGCGAAATGATCCCAGGTCAGGGCGGCACCAACGAGCAAGTTGCAACCTCGCTGGTGGACTCGCTTTCACCAGACGGCCAAGCGCGATCCTTGCTGCAAATCTACAACTACGTCGGCAAGGATCAAGATCACCCTATTCACCAGTCTTTCAAGTCCCGTTCCTGCCACATCAAGCTACTCATTGCGGATGGCAGAGTGGGCATACAGGGCAGTGGGAATCAAGACACGCAGTCGTGGTTTCATAGCCAAGAAGTGAATGTCATGGTAGACAGCCAGTCTATTTGCGAAAAATGGAGGGCCTGCATTGACAGGAACCAGAACACAAAACTGTTTGGCCGGGTTGCGGAAGACGGGGTTTGGAGAGACAAGAGCGGCAATCCTGGCGAGGGCTACTCGGGCAACCCAGGAATAATAGGTGGCCTGTTCAAGGGTGTGCTTGGGATGATTCGAAAAATGGAGGGAGTTGGTGGATTATGAGGCATGAAGAGAGACGTTTCGTTCTGCAAGCTTGTATATAGACGTTGATATTGGACACTGTTCTGACCCGGCGCCTGGCTTTTATTGTTGTATTTTACTGGGCGCAACATTTTACGCCGACGGAAAAAGAACCCTTTCTTTCCTAATTCCTACTACTTCTTGGGGCCATACCAATCCTCGAAGCCCTGTAAAAAAGATGAGCATGCATTCAGCAGGACAGGTCAAAAGTTCGTCTTACCAGGTCGTGACCCCAGAGCGGAGTGTTTACTCGCTTCTGTTTTCCATTCGCGGCCAGTGCATCCAGCAGAGCTACATCCTCTTCCGGAAGTGGAATCGCCTTCAGGTTGTCACGAATGCGACTCGGCGTGATGGACTTTGGCAAGACCACGGAGCCCTTGTTCACATGGTAGGAAATCAGGATGGTGGCAGGAGATACCCCATGCTTTGCTGCTAGTGCAGAGACTGTCTCGTCTGAGAAAAGAGGAGCGCCTATGTTTTTTTTTAATAATTAGTACAGGTAAGCAGGCTCCGATGTGAGTTTAGAGTGGCTTACCAGTTGAACCGAGGGGACAGTATGCCTCGAGAAGGATGCCGCGGCTGTTGCACCACTCCTTCAACTTGTGCTGCGGGTTGTAAGGATGCAACTCGACCTGGAAGCTGTGTCAAAAAAAATTGATCCCGCATAGAATTGTCTGATCATATTCTGCCAAGAAACTCACCTGGTTGACTGCCGGCACGACAGTCCAGACGGCTGCCAGATGCTCCAGATACGGAACGCTAAAGTTGGAGACGCCAATGGCCTTGACCTTGCCGGAGCGGTACAGTGCCTCCATCTGTTTCCAAGTTTCCCTTTGGTCCCACGAGGAATCCACGGCGCGAGTCCCATCGGGATTCTTAGGAAGCAAGGGCTCCTCAGCAGTAGGAACCAGGCGACTTGAGAAATCGTTAGCGTTGAGGGGCTGCTGCGCGCGAAGCCGCTCACATCAAACATACATTGGCCAGTGGATGAGATAGAGATCCAGGTAGTCGGTCTGGAGGTCTCGCAGAGTCTGCTCCAAGCTCTCAGAGACATTGGAATGGTACGTGTTCCAGCTGCAAGGTTGTCAACGACGGCCTCTGTATGTGAAGGGGCCAAGTGCTTACAGTTTGCTCGTGATGAAGATGTCCTCACGGGGAACTCCAGATTCCTTGATGGCCTTTCCAATCTCTTTTTCTAACAAAGAGTTAGCATACTATGATAGTAGCCGGTACATGAAGTATGGCGCACCATTCTGGTAGATCAGTGCACAATCCAAGTGCCTGTAGCCGTCTTGTAGAGCATGCTTTACTGCTCGCCCGACTTCACCTTCTGGAGCTTGCCAAGTTCCTTGAAAAAAAAAATTAGCTTTATTTGGTTGAGAAGACACATAGAGAATACCTAGGCCGATTGCTGGAATGGAGGCTCCGGTGTTGAGCTTGAAGTGAGTTGGCGTTGCCATTGTGATTGTGCTACAGGGGTGGTGATGGTGGTGGTGGTGTGGTGGTGTGGATGACCCAATCTGTAAAAGTTACTTGGAGGCAAACACACAGCGCTAGCTCTAGAACAAGGATATAAAAGGAAGAATGGCTTGGTAGTCCTTATGTAAAGGACTCGCGCGGACTCATGTGGATAGTCGGGGCCGGAGACCAAGTGGCGGGTTCGTTCGGCGCCTCTGTGTGTGGCGCTCCGGTTTAGGCTAGACACTAATAGTAGCAGGCATATACATACATAGGCAATCAATATATCGCACTAACACGACTGTAAATCGCGTATATATGGTGTATGAGACAAACAGGACAAGAACCGCGGTGTGCAGTTCGGCGCACAAGGGATGTGCCGGATGTGCCTCGGAGAACGGCGGACGGTACTGGCCCCGGGTAGATCGTGACCAGTGGATCCATGTATTGGCAGGGTTCATGAGTTACCTACGAGTTAATTCCGAGGCCATTTCATTTCAGAGTGACGCTGTAACTAGCAGTGAGCTTGCCCAAGCACACCGTGCACCAGTACCCTCCGATATTCGTATGGAAGTTGGGGCCAAAGCTGAGGGCAAAGGGGAAATCGACACATTAAGAGGAGAATTGCAACAGACCCGAAGTCACACGTGGTTGACGGCCCATAGGCAGAGACTTTCACAGGTAACGAGTGATACTACAAGTCCCTGCAAGTAGATGTGGGCACCCCCATATCTCTACCTACACTTGTCAGGATAATTCAAAAAATCATATTTACGTACACATATGCACAATGATTAATATACCGAATTTAACTTCCATAATATCGCGGCCAATTTTGATAATCTGCAACTAGGGTTCTAAATTCACCACGGTCCATATAGGGTAACAAGCTGCTAGGTATCCCTCGCTAGCCCACATCCTGCACAATACATCATCTTCGACACACCGGACGGTTCAGCTAACTAGAACTATCAAACCATTGGTTTCCCCGTTAGAAAAGCTTAGGAGCTCGGGGCTTGAAGTTTGTGATCAACTTCGGCTGGCTGCTTTTCATACTCGTATGGAAACCTGTTCAACAAGAACTTGAGTAGAAAAGCTGTAGCAACAGCCCCGGCCATCAAGCAAATACTAACAGAGAACCCAGCAATGTACTTGGGCGCCGAATTGGTAGGCCAGATGTACGACCCACTACAAGAGAATTAGCTCAGGTTGATCAAGGACTGTATAATAGGATGACTTACTATACAGAGGACAGATTGGCCAGTGCACTAAAATTTGAGAAACGAGATTAGTTCAAAGAGGGCAAATGAAGATTGACGAAAGCAGACATACTTTACTATTGCAATGGCAACTGCACGTTTCTCGGCTGGCTGGCTGATTGTGTTGGAGAGATAGCTCAAGGTCAACGGACTGCATGCCCAGATGCGGGCGCAACCTAGGTCGTGTTATTAGTAACCCCAAGTGCAGGCGGCAAGGAAATGTTGCATCCTGGACATGCATGGACACAGACACTGCGACGCTGTACAGGGTCTTGGCCACACCAATCATCTGCTGATATGAGCAATCTAGACCAGACTGACGTTTTCATCTGCGGCTGGCAAGGATGCGAGCGGTCCTTTGGCAAGCGCGAGCATCTGCGCCGCCATGAGCGAAGCCGTAAGTGAGCCGCCTCACCCTCTTCCGGGCAGGTCCGCCGATGAATCAACTCTGTAGATACGCGAGACGTCCGGCATGAATGCCCCGTATGCGGAAAACTCTTTGTACGACGGCAAGTATAATCGGATCCCGCAAACCAGGTATATTTCTTTTTAATTGACCTGTATTAGCGATGTCATGACGCGACACGCGACTCTTCATGCAAGCGTCGGCAAGAAGCCGCGCAAGGTATCATGGTGGGTGGGAACCGGCGCTGCTCCAGTCAATCAATCTCTGCTGATCCGTTTCTGGTAGCCTATCCTGTGTCCAGCGCAAGGTCCGGTGCGACGGACAGCCGGGGACGACCTGCAAGCGATGCGAGAGTGCGGAGCGCCCGTGCCGCTACCGGAGCCATGTGGATGGCGCGGAGACGACGGCCGGCTTTCCGGCGCCGTGCATACAGCAGCAGCAGCAGCAGCCCGTTTCGTCTCAACTCGCCCCCGCCCGCCCTTTTAATCCCAACGGGCACAACGCTGGTGGTGTCGCCGCCCATGCGCTGCCGGCCCTGCCCGTGGAGAGCCGGGGGCCTCTTGGGAACGCGGCACCGGGTATGCAGAGAGACTAGAAGCGCTATTGAGCTCAGTCTGGAAGCTAACAAACGTGTTTCAGATGCAACGCTGGCTTTTGCGGTGGACCATGCACAGGGGTTCAGCGCAGACCCGTCCGAGAGCTTCTTTGGCTGGGATCTGGAGCATGCTGGCTCCGACGACATGGACTTTCTTGGCCTCCCGCTCCTAGACTGGTTTCCCACAACAACAGGAGCAGAGACAACAAACATTGCGCTTTCAGAGCCGTCTGCTGCTCGAGACGACCCCGAGTCACCATCGTCGCAGCTGATCCGGGACGCTCAGCCGCCCGACACCCCTTGGGTATGATTCTGCGCTTGCACCGTTCCTCTCTATCCCGCTACTAACTAGTATAGCCGCATGTCTATCGTCCTAGTGAAAATGACGCCGAGATCAATCTCTCGCCCGCCGCTCCCAAGACCCCCTCCATCCTGCAGCAGCTCTCGCCAAGCCCCGTCAACGAGGGCTGCCGGCAAGCCATCATCTCGCTCGTCAACACCACGCACCAGCCCAACTGGCCGGCCGTCGACGCGGCCTGCTTCCCCTCGGCGCAGACGCTGTCCGTGTGCGTCAACCTCTACTTCCGGCACTTCCACGACGCGCTGCCCATTCTCCGCCGCGTGGCCGACCTGCCCGGCGGCGGGGACTCGTCGTCGGCGGTGGCGTCGCCGGTGCTGCTGCTGGCCGTGGCCGCCATCGGCGCCATGTACGCGCGCGACACGCTGCGCAGCTCGGCGCTGGCCCTCAACGAGCTCGCGCGCAGGGCCATTTCCTCGCTGCGCGAGAGCAACCGCAGCGCGTCGTTTAGCGTGCCCGTCGTCCAGGCCTCGCTGCTGCAGTCCGTGTTTGGGCTCTTTTGCGGCTCCCGCATGCTGTACCAGCATGCCGAGATGAGCAGAGGCAGCCTTGTCACGGCCGCCAGGAGGATGCACCTGCTCCGCCCGGGACTGTCGTTTGTCGACGAGCTGCAGAAAGGTACCGGTGCGCCGACGCAGGAGCAGATGGAGCTGGCAGCGGCGGCCGACGATGAGAGACGGAATCTTGGATGGGGCATCTATGTACGAGTTTCAACGTGCCACCTTGAGAGACGCGCTGCTGACGAGGAGACGTAGCTTTATGATATGCAGATTTCTGCCCTGCTCAACATCCCTCCCCTCTTTTCCATTTCTGAAATTAACGTGCCTCTACCAGCTGACACCCATGCGGAATCGAATTCGCAGTATGCCACAGAGTCACCTCCCAATTTCCGTGCCGTGCTGGATGTACTATTGTCCACCGGCGAGCTGCAGCATTCCCTAGGCTCATTCAGTTTGTCCATCATGGCAAACACACTTTATAGGTACGCTTCGAATTATTAAGAGAAATGAGGAGGGGACTCCATGCACTGACAGCGCGCAGACTTTGCACCGACGCTGCCGCCGTGGAAGCCATCTTCACAAACGTGCCGGCACCAGGCGATGGCCGTTATCGACTCGAGTTTCCCGCAACCTTCAAGCAGTATGTCAACAAGACTCAGATTCACAAAAGAAAACTCGCTGGTCTGACAAAAAAAACAGCAATCCGCAACAACTTCTCGATGAGCTTTCCGTTTCCTGCCACTCGCTTCATGCCCTACCCAACTCGCTCACGATTGGGGTCTGCGCGCTCTCCCACCTTGGCCACATGCAGTTCACGTGGCCGGGCTTCCTGAACAACATCAAGATTGCAGCAGGCAAGTCTGGGACCGAGGAAAGCAAAGCGACAGCACGAGAATGGATACAATCTCGCATTCAGGACGATCCGGCCGGTGCGCGGTTCATCCTCGCGCAAGCGGGCCAGTTGAGTGCCGTACTGGCGCGGTATCCTTTCGAGTACGTTTGCGAGTCTCTGCAACATTTTCCTTGATAGTTGGTCATATTACTAATACAATTCCAAGTGCGCCCGCTGAGACGGTGTTGGGGTTGGATGTTGCCCTGACATTTTGGGCGCTGCTAAAGTTTTCGGACAACTTGGGTGGTGAAGGACAAAAGTCCTTCTCAGTCTTTTGTAAGTGATGTTGCGCTTGTTTCAATGCTCCAGAATTGACGGATCATATAGGGTCCACGTGCGACGACGCGAGCGAATGGGCTAGGAATGGGGGTGCCGTTTACTTTCAAGGCCTCGGTGACCTTGGTCAACTCACCAGCGCCAAATGCCTGGCCATTTTCAGGCAGCGAATGGACATCATGTCCTGGGGTCTGGCAGATCGGTTCAAGCAAGTACTGTTGAATCTTGAGCGGGAAGAACAAGCACCATGAATAGAGTCAAGTCCACGGGTATAATCTGTCGACGATACTGGCCAAGGTCCTGTTCATGCACCTGTCAACTATTGCTGCGTACATGGATGGTAATTGAGACGCACAAAAGTCTTGAGCTGATACCAAAATACAAAACATCTATGTTGAAGAGAATCCATGAAATAGTTGGTACAATAAAAGCGCTAAACATTGCAGCGATCTGGGGCTCTGGTTTGACCCGACCGCTACCCTATCTCTCGATCCCGCACTGGAGTGAGTTCGGTGCCTGTTTCTCACTCGAACATCGTCCTAGACATGTACAGCGGTAATGTACAGACCGACTTGGGTCATTGAAGAGTGTGTCACCCAACTCGGGCTCTTTCAGGGCGGACTTGGGGCACTAGAATGCTGATTTGGGAGAGGATCAGATCTGCCTGCCCATTGGCTCGCCTGCCGCTGTACTCGAACACAGCACCAACTTTGATACAATTCTCATGAGCGAGCTTGGAAGTCACTACTTCACGCGCCTCATGACTGGGGTAGATGCCGTTGCTGGCTGCCCCCATTATCCCTGGGGCCAGCCGAGGAAGACGATGACGCGCTTGTAAAGGATGGCTGGGTAGTTGTGACGAAGCTCATATAACCGAAAAACGGCAACTTGTCGGGTGCCTCAAAAGAAAGGAATGATAAAGGTTTCACTCCATACATCACAGAAACCATAGCTGCAGGAGTCCCCAGGCTGCTCCGACAGCGATTTGAGCACCTTGAATTGGTGTTAGCATCAGCGCTCCAGCGCTGGTGACGCCGGCATTTTGGCCCAGGACCGCTTGTGGCGGCGTAGCCTGTACATGGATATTTTCGGCGACCTTGTCTTTGTCCGGGCTGTACTGCGCGGAAGCGAATTTGCAGGTTGTCATGATGACGCTCATGTCTGTACACCGCAAGTTAGCTGTGCGTCGCAAATGATGTGTGATGGAGGATATCAAGAGTAGGGCATCATTCAGAAGTCAATTTAAGCACGGAAAAGTACAGATGCATCTCTTACCATTCTGTTCCTGGTCAGCTCCAGCGATGCAGCTGGCGCAAAGAGCAGCAACCTCTGGCACGTTGAAGCTCTTATTCAGACACACGCAGTCCTCTTCACCGGTATTCATCGTCCACCTTCCTTGGTCCTTGTCCGGCTGGGTGCTATTGTTGGGAGTGGCGGGTTCACCGTCGCCGTCGCCTCCGTCGTCGCCTTCAGTCGTGGCATCCATTGAGCTGTGCGGCCCTCGCGATGTCGTGGGTCCGGCAGCCTCCTCGGTAGGCTCCGTTGTCGGAGGGCTGATAGTGCTATCGTCATTGCTGGGATCGGTTGGTGTGCCCGGCAAGGCTGTTATGGCGGCGGGCGGTGGTGGTGGAAGTAGTGATGAAGTGGAAGGAGGCGATGGAAGCAGCGGTGTTACTAGTGTGGGAAATATCTGCGTAGGTCGTATATGTGTAGTTTTGGATTCTTTGGGCGGATCGAGGGTCCCCTCCTGCACCAGGAGTGACGATGGAAATGATGTCGGCGCGGGCACGATGATTGTAAACGCCCTTTCTGCAATGTCCGGCCCGTCATTTGGCTGCCGCGCCGCCGTTTCTTTTCGGTGTGCAGCCACGGGTCGCTTTTCGGGTGCTACATCTCGTCGCTTTCCCGCAAGCACAATCTCTCTGCCTCGGCCGCGGCCGCCGCTGCATATCGCCGACAGCTCGACCATGGGGCCGCATATCGTGGCGCACTGGATCGGGATGCCCTGCGGCGGGAGGGCCTCGGCGAGCACGCCGGCGATGAGCGCGCCGTGGGAGAGTAGCAGCACGCCCGTATCTGATGGCTTCATCTTGGCTGACTTTGCTCACGCCCGTATTCTAGAGAAAACAAAAAACAACAACAACAAAAGTGTGTATAATGGCAAGCATGAAAGAGCGAAGCGGCGCGGGGTGCATCTGCAAGGTGTTGTTGATGAGGAAACCCTGAAAAGCACACCCCTTGGCATGATGCCCCCCCCGGAAGGGGGAACAGGCGGCTTTACAAGACGGGAGCAAGGGCCAGGTTCGAGAGACAGCAAATCGGTCGTTTGCGGCCGAGGGAGTCCCGCAAGGGTTCAGGGTAACGCTGGTCTGACAGGTAGCAGCGTGAAACGGCTGGCTCAAACACGACCAAGCCAGGCACACACGCAGCCACAGGCGAGTTGGGTGAGGGGCCAGCTATTTATGGTCATTACGCTTCTATGAGAAGGAGTGTATGATAACTCCAGTTCTATTGGACATGTTGATCTAAATTTCAGTGCGGTCCCTTGCGAGAAATCGGGTGCTTTTCTGGTACGATGCCGAAGCCTGCCCCCCGCGTCATCTACTCGTTACATTTGAACAACGGAATGAAATGTGACGCTTCAACAAGCAATAGACAAAGCGACCCTGGTGAAACAAAAACTCTATTTACATCGAGACTTTTCCTATCAAGGGAAGCGATAGGGGCAAGCGTCCACAATACTTCAGCGGGAATCGCCAGGCAAACGTGACGGAATAGATTGCATAAAATTGGAAACGCGCGCCACCATGACTTTTGCATCTCAGCAACTCGAGAGCCGATTGAGAACGGAGAGAGAGAGAACCCTCGTCCCGCTGGTGGTCGTGACACGGTATAGGTGGGAGTTAGGGGGGTTGGTTCCCGTCTGAAACGCCGTCTGCGACGCGCCAATGGAGTTGCCCTGTATGATGAGCAGAAAAGCAAGGAAAAACCAAGAGCGGTAGAAACAGCAGAGGCGTCATGAATCATGGGGCCATGGTACGAGAACAGAGACCGAATCTTGGACTGCAGAAGAAAAAGGCAAGGACGATGCGCAGCTGGGGAGAAGAGAACCCTGTGGCGCCGTCTGCGGGGCTCCCCGGCGCGGCGGTGCTCCGCCACAGTCGCCGGCCGGGCGCCCGGCGATGGGAAAGTCGCAGCATAGCCACCGATGCGATGTAGGCTGTCACTGGTATGGCCGAACAGTGTTCATGGCGCAACCATTGGTCTCTTCTCCCAGCTCTACCACGATTTTCGACTTCTTTCGGGGAAGCTACGAGAGAATGCAGCGCAGCATGAACAGCCCCCTAGTCATGCGAGCTGCTGATCAGGGCGACTGATTTCCCCCATGTCGCAACCTTGCGAGAATGGCATCAGTGTCTTGGCGGATGGCACGTCGGCGCGAAAAAGAGGCCGTCAACTGTTGTTGGGGAGGCGAGCAAAGACGGTCTCTGTGAGGATTGTTTGCCGGCCGGGCAGGGGACCAACTCGAACCAGTTTCCCCTTTCGGCCACGACGAAAAAGTGGAGGCAAGACTTATCAATATGACGTATTAATATTCCAATTATCCGGGTGGTTTTCTCTGCTGCGTTCAAACTCAGTCTTTGGTTTCCCCGCCCGCCTGACAACCAAGGGCTGACTGCACGACGTTGGCAAGTCGACTTGGTTAAAGATAATGGGCAGAGATCGGGAATGAATCTTGTAAAAAAAAAATCAAAAAAAAAATCAGAAGCACAACTCCGTACCGAATTCCTGATGCGGAAGTCATGGCGCGAAGCCTTAGTGCGCGACGCCATCGTGGATCAACCGGCACCTTCCTCCGTTCAGCTGGGTTGGCTATTCCGAATCGGGCGTTATGCCACGAAAGCGATTCGCGAAGAGGGCGGTGATTTGCTTTATTTTAGAGAAGAATGCTCTTCCTTATGAGCAGGGCGGAGCAGACAAGCTCGGATGCGCCCGACCTCCTCGCAAGCTTTTGCCCATTTCGGGTGAAATGCCGCGAAGTTGTCTCTCTTGCAAAAGACATATATAGCTGGCCATCTCGTTGCTTCCTTCAAGGCCATTTGGCTTCACCTCAGTAATTCAACCGATGAAAGTACGAATCACCGAGTACATACAACGTCAAGAGATTAAGCCGCCGTCATGCCCAACCCGCACACTTCGGCAGCCATTGCCCAGGTCGCCTTTTACGCGCCCATGGTGCCCGTCGTCATCTATCTGTTTTCACGCAACGCCGGCATCCGCCCACGAATGGCCTGGTGGCCCTTGATCCCCTTTAGCTTGTGTATGCGATGCCTGCCCCCCCCTCTCTCTTTCCATCCATCACTAATCACAAACTCGGGGGCAAAATTATAGTCCGTCTCGCTGGTGGCATCGTAACCATCCTTGCCGAAAAGCAGCCCGACAACACTGGCCTCTGGATCGCGGCGCTGATTCTTCTCAATGTCGGCGTCGTGCCGCTCATTGTCGCCGACCTCGGCCTGACTCGTTTAATGTATGCTCTGACTTCCACCTCACAATAAAAAGAAGGACAAAGGCAGAAAAAAAAAAAGGAGCACAAAATACTGACAAGAACACAACAGCATGCAAGACAACCACGCCGCCAAGCCCGCCTACGAAAAACTCGCCAAAGGCCTGCGCCTCACATTCGTCGCCGCCATCGTGCTCCTCGCCGCCGGGGGCGGCACCGCGTCCGCGTCCGCGTCCGTCAGCCGGGGCCTGACGCTCGCCGGCTACGTCGTCTTCGCGCTCGAGCTGGTGCTGCTCACCGCCGTGCAGGCCTGGTTCTGGCACCGGTCGCACGCGCTGCTGCCGAGCAGCCGCCGCGTGCTGGTGGCCACGCTGGCCGCGGCGCCGCTGCTGGCCCTGCGCACCGCGTACGGCCTGCTCGAGGTCGCCGAGCAGGCCCGCGCCGGGAGCTTGTGGAACCCGCTGACCGGGTCCGCCGTCGCCTTCGCCCTCATGGCCCTGCTGCCCGAGTACCTCGTCCTGCTCGCCTGGGTGCTCATGGGCTACTCGATCCCGCCCCGGCGCGAGGTCGGCCTGGAGCCGCGCGACGGCGAGCCGCCCAAGGTCTGAAGCTCGGGTTCATGGTCCATGCCGTTGTTAGGAAATAGAACTGATACCCTCGAGTGCTTCCTTGCTCGATGCAGCACTAACTGCTTGCTTTTCGTCGTGTCATCTTTACCTCTGCATTATCATTACACTCCATTCCCGCTCATGTCTACTTGAGATGCCCCAGGTGAAAAGCTCTTGGTATATATCTATAATTAATTGAGAAAAGTTGTCTAATCCACAAAAATTGGCAGACCTTGCCATGCCTTCCAGACTCCAATTGCGTATGCGGCAAACACGCCATCCTGCGAGAACGCAGATCAATGGAACTAAGCCCGTGCCGCGTTATGCATAAAAAAACAAGGGAATCAAGAACGAGAAAGGAAAACTCGGTCCTTCATCCTCACATCTATTAGAAGCGGTGTTGACGACCAACGCTCTCAACGCGAACGCCCAGCTTGACCATTTCGCGCGAGTCAATAACACCACGGCCGTCAAAAACCCAGCGAGGAATTGCCATTGAATCGGCGATGCGCTCCCAGTTGAGGCGCCCCTTGGACTTGTACTCCTCGGCATTGCCCATGCCCGTAGCATGGCCAGTCGCCTGACTTTCCTGCTCTTGCTGGCAGTCGGGACAAGAGCTGTCACACGACGGCTCAGTGTTGAAGCGGTTGAGCGGATCGGGCCCCTGCCCGTTTTCGCGCTGAGCCAGGTGCTTGTGAAGAGCTAGGAGATCATTCTCAGAAGGAATGGTGGTCTTGAAGGGGCGGGGATCGCATTTGGGGTTGGGCTTGCCACCAATCGTCTTGGGCACAGCCGCAGCTGAGGGAGCAGTGGGCTTCGGCACGGGCTGATTGCGGAACTCGTCGAATTCGGTCGCAATGACGACGGCTGTGGCATCGTCGCAGGCGTCGTACGCGTTTCCATAGACGGAGATGTTGTTGCCCTCGGCCAGAGGCCCAAGGAGGGATCGAATTTCGTTCTTGATGACTAGCGGGTTGCAGCACGGGTCGAAGATGGCAATCTCACGCGGGCGCTCCTCGAGGAGGGTCTTGATCATCTCCAAAGCTGGGGCTTCACGGGTATCGGAGGTGTTCTTCTTGAAGGCGTAACCGAGGATGCAGACCTTTTTGCCGACCAGCGTGTTGTTCAGACACTTGATAACGCGGTTGGTGAAGCGGTCGCGTGCGTACTCGTTCATCTTGACGACCTGGCGCCAGTACTCGCCGACTTCAGGGAGACCCATTGTGTCGGCGAGGTAGACGAGGTTGAGAACATCCTTCTTGAAGCAGCTACCACCGAAACCGATACCAGCGACAAGGAACTTGTTGCCAATACGGGGGTCCACACCAACGGCGCGGGCTACCTCGTCAACATCAGCGCCAGTCTGCTCACAGAGTGCAGAAATGGAGTTGATGCTGGAGATTCGTTGGGCCAGCATAGAGTTGGCAACGAGCTTGGCAAGCTCGGAAGACCAGACGTTGGTTGTTAGGATGCGTTCGCGGGGCACCCAGGCCCCGTAGACGTTGGCGAGGGCCTCGGCGGCAAGCTTGCCAGTCGGGGTGGGGGCGGAACCGATGAGAATACGGTCCGGGTAGAGGAGATCGTTGACGGCGGTACCAGCAGCGAGGAATTCGGGGTTGGAGAGAATCTCAAAATGGACGCCGGGGCGGTGCATTGAAATCTACGAGAGGCGTGTTAGTGCGTCATCAACATTGTTACGCATCATCAGCGTCGAACTTACAGTCTCGGCAACGAGCTGAGCAGTGCGGCAAGGAACAGTGCTCTTCTCGACGATAATGGCACCTTCGCGGGCGTTTTGTGCTACGACAGCAGTGACGGCCTCAAAGGCGGTCATGTCGGTAGCGCTGCCGGCACCGATACCGCGTTCCTTTGTGGGTGTGTTGACCGAGATGAGGACAACGTCGGCCTCGGCGATGCTGCCGGCCACATCTGTGGTAAAGAATAGGTTGCTCTGGCGGGGAGCCACGCTGACCTCGCCAAAGTCCGAGTTGAAGGTGTCGGCGTCGCTGGTGGCCTCGTTGGAGAAGAAGGTCTCACGGCTGCCGTCGCGGGCTATGCGGACAATGTCTTGCAGGCCGGGCTCATAGATGGGGGGGTGTCTCGAGTTCCAGCGACGAATTCGGGTCTGGTCACGATCGACAACGGTGACTCTGATGTGAGGGTTTTGGAAGGCGAGGACCGCCGCGGTAGGGCCGCCTGTGAGGGTGGTTGATTAGCGATCAGCATCTGGATTGCGTTTGCAGGACGATTTGTGTAATAGGGTTGGGCGTAGAGGAAAGTGCTCGTGTGAGAACGTACCGACATAGCCAGCACCAACGCAGCAGATGTTGCGGATGGTAAATTCTGGGTTTTCGGAGCCATTGGAGGCGTTTGCTGAGCTGTTGAGGCTAAGGGCCTTGACGGTGTCGACGATGGATGAAGACATGGTGATGGCGGGCTGCGACTGGGTGTGTTAGGGCAGTCGCGGGGGCCGGCCTAGCGCTACAGAGCCGCTGAAGCAGATAGGTTGGTTATAGGTGGTTATAGGTAGACAGGGTATGGAGGGGCAACCAGGCTCGACAGATGCATACAGAAAAGGTCAAGAATAAAGTAGCAGGAACTTCAGAATCGGTAGTCAAACAATAATGACGGGATGCGGCGAGTACAAATAGAGGATCGGAAAAGGGAAGAGACGCGGAAAGGCGGGTGGTTAAAAGGGACCTGCTCGATGGTCCATGACATATTTGGTGCGCCTCAGCAGACAGACATCCCAACGGTTCCATGTGCCCAGGCAAGGAAAATAAAAATAAAAATAAATAAATAGAGCTAAGAACAAGTTAGTGTCGAGCTAGAGGTTCTCTCTCTCCTCGGCGCGCAGAGACGCCTGTCAAGGGGGCAGGAAGTCAACGTGGGCAAAGCGCTTGGCGTTGTAGGTGGTGGCCGAGCGAAGGGGGTGGGTTCGGTCGGCGGGAGGGTTGAAGGTACACTGACTGCGTAAATTAGGTGCAGAGGTACTTGACTGTACAGAATGCGCTGTATTACAGGCCATGTGCCGCTGTAAAGACGTTCTGTGGCGTTGTTCCTATCTGAACAGCCCGTACCCAAGCCGACTTGCACCACAAGCCATCGCCAATACATGCCACAACGAGCCAGACATTCCTCGTTCATATACTAAGAGGACCAATTCGCACTTGGGCATTTCTTTGGTTCCTCCGGCTGGCAGCTTAAATTATAACTGGACCGTGGCTGATGACCTATCAGTATCAAGCAATCCTGTAGCGGACTTGGCGTAGTCTTAGCTAAACAATGGTCATACAAGACAGTGGACTCTATCTTTTTCCTTTCAAATATAGTGGGCTTGTCGGAAAAGCAGAGCGTTTCTTCCCCGCCAGCATCAAGATGCGTCGCCAAAGCACCGCTGGAACAACCCCTGTCGTTTGCGCCACACCCACCAGCTTCCCAGCACCAACACCTGTCAACCTTGTCAACTCCCTTCAGAAAGTGTCACACTGTGCGTCACGGCGCAAACTTGCCAAGACTCTACAATGCACGCGATAACTTACCACCATTCCCGCGTCTTCCCCCTTATCTTCGACATCATCAATACATACGTACATATCCAGTTGGGGGCCCGCCCCCCCTGAACAAGCCACTTCTCTGACCGCGTTCGGCGCCGATGTCCTCTTGTCTAGCTTTTGTGGCGTCGCGCCAACGCCCGTTTGTGTCCGTGACGACAGCATCTTACGACGACTCGACGATTCAGCTCCCCACGCAGGGAGCGCAACGGCATTTTCCTGCCGATCCAGCAGACGCGCAGCTGCACGTACCCGGACATTGTTCCAGGTCTCACCAGCCCGCAAATCGCACCAGATCGTCTAAACCCGGGGGACAGGGGGGGCTACACGCAAACTTGCCCTCGCCAAAAGACATGCCACTGGATTGCGCAATGTGCGAATGAACCCGCTAGGTCCGCTAGGTAATAAGAGAAAACAACTAACTAGAAGAATAGAGCCGCTTTAATGCCACAAGCGGCCAAGAAATTGCTAATGCATGCCCAGAAACGGGCGACTACTGGGGGAAGTCCCCTGGTTCGGCTTGGCACGCGACATGGCTTCTCGGACCCCAAGGGAATAACCGGCGAATAAAAGAAAATGGATGCACGGAAACAAGAGAGACCCGACGCCGAGCCATTGGCTGACTTGACTTTGTGCCAAGATAGAGTTGGCGCCAACGCAAGCTTTTGGTTCACCCGCGGAAGGATCGGCACCGTTCCCTGCCACGGCACATGAATCTGTCACCACACGAGCAATCTATCAGTCGTCCAGTTCATTCGCTGCAAGGTGGTCGTTTCAAACAATATGCTTAAGTAGATGCAAATGGGTGGTCTGGGACCTGGGTTGACTCGTTGTCAGTGGGCACGGATGCCTCTGCATTGGTGAGTGGGCAAGCGGACCAATGACAATGACCTTGCGGAAATCGACAAGGAAAAGCTCAAAACGCAATGAGTAGTTGGCGTTGCATACGAATATCCCTCCTAATAACAAGTGCGCAGCTCATTCTACCATGTCATGCTTGCCGCCCACCTGCGCTGAGTTGAATCTATGCGACTTCTTCCTCTGCCACTCGCCGACAGAATATCCGCCGACTTCCGCGTTAGTGCACTGCTATTTCAGGTTACAGAAGTCGTTCTTGTGCTAGCTGCTGCTGTCGCCGGTAGCGTGGCATCTAGTGTCCTGCGCCAGTCCAGTCGCGCAATTACCTGTCTGCCACTGACTGTGGTTTGTCAGTGTCAGTGGATGTATGACTTGACAAGCGGGTTCGCGGGTGTGGCTTGCAACTTGTTATGTGCGCAAAGGCAGCCCGGTGTCGTGTGAGCGACAACCACAAAAGATACGCAGGTCCCTCGAAGGCCGATCAGACCCTGCATCCTGCTTCGATTTGGGGTTCTGCGTTTTGCTGGGCCGAACCGATCTACCCATACATACTACGGCCTCGAGCCTATATAATCGGCAGTCGCTACAAATACCGATTGCCCCCCTTTACATTAATTTACCCCGACATCACACAGCCTTGATAGCGCCGCGCCCGCACTGCTGTAACAAGCATGAGCAAAGCACATCTGGATACACTACCTAGGGAAGTAGGGCCCTTGATGGAGGGGCGGTGAGCCGATTTTTTTTCTTTTTTTGACAAAGGACTGTAGTCTCCCTCTGCCGTCGTCACGAGCGAACTTGCCGGCGCCAATAGCCCAGTCTCGGTACCGCAATCCAGGTCTGCGCGCATCACAAGTTTCGACCAGCCAGCGCGCCCACGGGGTACCCAAGCGTCCTGCTTATTCGATATGAGCATCCATCATGCTGGTTGGGGACTGCGACTGCGGATGTGCTGTGATGACGGTACTCCAGCCTGTCATTGGCCGCAATGGAGAATGTGGTTCTGATCTGGGCTGTGATTGGTTGGATCGCCATGCAGGCACCCGATTACGGCAATGCGATGGCGCGCCGAGGAGAGTGAGGAACGGATGCACGCCTTGATGACTTGATGACGAGGGATGATAATAATTTTATCCTGTTCCTGTTGGAGAACCATGAGAGCTTCCTGGAATGAGGGGGCAGGTCATGATTGCAGGATGTGTCCCAGCTGTCGCGATTGCTGTACTTGCAACATGGGGTCATCTTGTCAACACCATCAAAGTAATCATGCCAGAGGCGATTCGCGATAACCACGACACAACCTTGACCCTTGGGCTCTTATTACGCTATAATTTCAACACATATCTGCATCAGCTGCAGGTCTGCGACCCCTCCCCCGCCAGAGGGACCCCTCCTCCCTCTGCCCACTCAGGCAAACTCCCGCGATGCCCGTGGCCATTCTTGGACTCGTCATTGCTACAGAAAAAAAAAAAAATATCCATCATGGTCAAACCAGGGCGAGTCAAGTGACGAACATGGCAAGGCTACTTGCCCGCCAGTCTGGCTTCTCTTTTACCCGGTCGCACCTCGCTCGCTAGATGTATCCTTCCGCTACGTTCTGTTTTGGGGAACCGCACATCACCTGCCCCAACAAGTTTGCTTTTTTTTTGCAAGTCTTTCCGCGAGGGAAGCTAGCTAGAAGCTTTTTTGCTGAGCAACATCCGCGTCTCGCGCGCACACGTGCGGCCATCCTGCCTTCTCCCATGCGCGATGGTCTTTCACATGCGGGGACCCGACGCCTTCATGTACAAACAGTCACCGCGTGTCTCTGACCAATATTATGTCCCTAGTCATGTGTTGACCGGTTATTATCGCGGACAAACATCTTGTCTGACGTTCTGCCGCACCCAGTCACCCCTCTCTGAAATCATTTTCTCTCTTTATCCGCAATCATCCTGACAGAATCTTTGGTTGCATCACCTGCCACAACAGAAATACCTTCATATCGCGAGGCGTAAACGCCGTCCATCCGCCACCTCATTTTCATTGACCATTCACACCCGACAAGGCGGCTGCCCGACCTTCGCTCTCGAAATGGCCTCTCCTATCACATCCACCGCCGGCCGGTATCCCGATCATGACCTGTCGCAGTTCCCGGGCCAGCTGCGCGGCAAGCGCATCTTGCTGTGCACCGAGTCCTTTGGCCCTGTCAACGGAGTGAGCCGGACGACGCTGATGCTGGTGACGCACCTGCGCAACCACGGGGCGCAGGTCGCTGTCGTGGCGCCGCACAACCACACCAACCACAATACCTTTTCGCCGCCGCCGTCGCCGAGCCTGTCGCCGCTCGACAAGCAGCCCGAGGTGCGCCTGACAGGCTACCCGCTACCCTTCAACCCGGAGCTGTCCATCGTCTACCCGGTGCGCAACTCGACCCTCTACGGGCGCACCTTTGGTGCCGACGACCTGCCCGACATCATTTACCTTGCCTCGCCCGCAAGCCTCGGCTTCCAAGTCATGCTGCAGCTCCGCCAGCAGCCCCGCGCCAAGCAGATCCCCGTCCTCTGCAACTTCCAGACCGATCTGGCCGGCTACTGCGATATCCTCTTCCCGGCCCCGCTCAGCCACGCCGCCGTCTTTGCCTTTGACGCGGTCCAGAGCTACCTCTTCCGCCACTCCTCCATCAAGACCATTTTCTACCCGTCGCGCTTCGTCAAGCGCTACCTGGTCAAGCAAAAGGTTCAGGCCGACAAGCTCGAGCTCCTCACTCGTGGTGTCAACGCCGAGCTCTTCAACCCGATCCGCCGCAGCGAGCAGCTGCGCAAACAACTGGCACCCAACGGCGAGACCATCTTCGTCACCATCTGCCGCATCGCCGGCGAGAAGGGCTTCGACTTTCTGGCCAAGGCCGCCCGCGAGATGAACGCGCGTGGCCTGCCCTACAAGATGGTTATTGTCGGCGGCAACCGGAACCCCGACGTCGAGAAGGAGGTCCAGGAGCTGTTCGATCCGCTCCGTGAGGAGGGCAAGGTCATTTTCACCGGCTTCAAGATTGGCGAGGAGCTCGCCGCCTACTACGCGAGCGCCGACGTCTTCCTGCACTGCTCCGTCACTGAGACCTTTGGCCTCGTGGTCCTCGAGTCCATGGCCAGCGGCGTCCCCGTCGTCGCCCGCGATGAGGGCGGGCCCTCGGACATCATTGCCCACGATGACACAGGATTTCTGGTGCCCCCCAACGACGTTGACGGCTTTGTCGCCAAGGCCATCAAGCTGGCGACGGACAAGGTCCTTCATGCTCGTATGAGCGAGGCTGCCCGCGCCGCGGCCTGTGAGTGCACCTGGGAAAAGATCAACAACAAGGTCGCCTGGCGCATGGCCGACACCATTGCTGAACGTGCCGAGGAAATGGCGCGAGCCATCCCAGAGGACTCCTCTCGCACACTCTCACAGGACGCGCAGCAGCTGGTGCCCCTCTACGGCTGGCTCATGATGAACAATGCCATGCGTGAGACTATTGTCAGTCGTATCGTCGACGCTCGTCTCGTGGGTGGTCTTGGTATCATCATCTCCTTTTGGATTATTACCGGCGCTTACATGATGTTTATTGAGTCCATCATGTGGGCCAAGAATCGCCTAAGAGGCGAGCGCCGGTTGAGCATTTCCGCGTGACAATTGCCATTTCTTGTCGTTTTTTTTCTCTCTAGCCTTGGAATTTCATCGGTCGGCGAATGAGGCGGTTTTTTTTGGATTGCTTTCCTTACTTCCGCGACTTTCCCTTTCCCTTTTTTCCCTTTTATTTTCTGAGGTGCAGACTGCACCTGACTCGGCTCTCAATGCGTTGGCTTGGCGCTGGCTCCGGCCGTTCGTCTTGTTGTTCCGATCTCCTTTGTATCACGGAAAGCGAAGACTAGTTAGTATGGTATTGTTACGCAATGATGCACGAAATAATCTTTAGGCGTTGTCTCCCGGAGAGTAATGCACGCGCTTAGTTATACCCAGATTGGATAGTAAATAAATCTAGATTGTAATGAATGTGTGAATCCATCGCTCTTGACTCATGTAACCAGAAGAAAATGCAGAGACAGGAGACAAGAAAGTGGAGAGAAGTGAGAAAATTATTGTCTACACAGCGAGGTTGAGCAACTCAAAGACCAGCTTTGTGTAGTTGTCCGTCTCCCTCGACTTAAAACGGTTTGCCGCCACGTACACGGTTTCTATCGAGGCCCTTGCGCTGCCTATACATTGCCGCATACTGGACGCGCTCAAAAGTTCCCATGCCGTACGCGGCCAGTCCGATCGCCAGCCAGGCGGAGGTGATGACGAGACCGATGGGGAAGATCATGAGCTGGACGCCGGGGAGGATAAAAGCGGCCGTGCCGTTGTGAAGGGCTGTGAGGGCGTCGTCGACGGCTGCCTGGGCGGCGGAAAAGTCAGATTGAACCACCTCGCGCGAAAAGACGCCGTTGAGAAAGGTGGCCTCATTGAGGCTGACATTGGTGGTGATGCGGATGCCGCTGGTGTTGGTGGCGGCGAGGGTGAGGGTGGGCATGACGAGCCTCTGAAGAGCGGCCCTGGATTCATGTTAGCGAAGACCTGGATGGAGGCACAGAATCGTCGGGGTTTTCCACTTACATGGACATTTGGTCCGACATTTCCTTTTGGTCAATCTGGCCGACAAGCATGTACGCCTGCAGCAGCTGGGGATTATGGTCTTCACGGCCCTCGAGGCCGGACCGGCGCGCCACCGACGACATGACGCCCTGCATGCCCTTGCCGGTCAGGGCAGCCGGGCGGACGGGGCTCGCGCTCGCGCCAATGTAGGACACGCTGACCTTGATGTCGGCCGGCTTGACGCCGGTCCAGATGTCGCGGGGCTCCGAGACCTTGTAGAGGCGGAGCTCGGCCTCGAAGACGCCGCTCTTGGTGTCGAGCGAGGGCAGGTTGTAGCAGATGCAGTTGCCCGAGGGGTTGCTGGCGCGCTGGATGGCGCGCAGGGCGGCGACGCAGGCGTTGTTGGTGTCCTGGTCCCAGGCCGTGAGGTTGAGGGCGCCGTCGGGCTGCAGCTGGATGCCGTCGGCGGAGGCGTTCTCGGCCTGCTGGCGACGGGTGAGGAGCGGCGTGTTGCTGGCGGAGACGAGGGCGACGTAGGGCGTCGAGAGCACGTCTTCGGCGCGGACGAGAACGCTGTCGGCGATGGCGAGGCCGGCCGAGGCGGTCCTCGCCAGCAGGTAGCTCGCCACGAGCGAGAGTCGTGTCACCATGGTTGCGTTGAGGTTGTCGGCGGCGAGCAGCATACGCGCAGGGGGGAGAACAGGCTTCTCTCGTCAAGAGAGACGACTGGGTATTATTATTGACACCTCAATGACCAAGAAGAGTACCCGCCTGCCGTATTAAAATTGGTATATTACTGGGGGAGTATTTCAAATGAAGGTTCAGGCCGAGGAACTGCACAGCAGCTCAACTCACTTCCCGGAAATAAGAAGCGAAAATCAGCGGGCGATCGGTTTGCTGCGATGGGGGAAAAAAAAAAGAAGGACTACCAAAGAAAGGGAAAGAAAGAAAGAAAGAGACACAGACAAACAACACTGCAGAGGACAAGGACGGAAGCGATTGCACCCAGAAACAAACCGCAGCGACACCGGGCCAGGCAGGCGCCGGGTCTGATACCAGGTTTGTTTCCTCGACGAGGCAATCCTGCTACGAAGTGCATCCTGCTACGAATTACACTGCCAAAAGCCACAAGATGAGACAAGGGCCGCTGCGGTGTACATACGGCGGTCTGGCTGCTGCGCTACGGAACGGGGTAGCCGCGGCCCCATCTTGGCGGAACGGCCAATGGTATGGTGAGAGGGAAGGTAGCTGATGGGGTCATTTTTGACTGACAGATACGGGAGCTGGTTGGACCGAGTTGCATATTGACTTTTGTAAGCGGGACAGCCGAGGAGAGAGACGGGGCGGCGCAGTTGAGGCGTTATCAAACCCTAGGGGGCTGATTGGAGACGGAGCCGTGACACTGGGCCAGTTTCATGGTGCGACACGCCCAAGTGGAGGAGGTTGTGTCTTGCCCTGCCGGTTGGATTGTTTTTCTTATCAAAGCAGTATTATCACCATCCTTTTATTCCTTCTTGGCGGTCTTCCATCTCCACCTCGTCATTGCAGTGGTGCTCGGTCGTTGCTGTCGGTCGCTGTCCGGGCGCGCGCCCGGCGCGTATCGGGGGCCAGTTCGTCCCAAGACTTTTCAATATTGTCCTCTTGCAGCCTGACAAGCTCCACAACGTGGCAGAGTGGTTATTTCATTTACCAGGATTTTCTCCCATTTGCATATATACCCGTCTCAGGTCGCACTATACCCTTGGCGATAGTACAGGCGGACCTATAAAGACAGCTTCTTCAACGCGTGTCCCGTGTCCCCCCCCCCCCCCCCCCGGTCCCCAAGCTGGCCACTTCTCAGTTGCGCCACCGACTGAACATGGGACGGTCGCTCGTCTCTTTCCTCTTGTCCGAATTGCTCGATCCAGAGACGGACCAGAAAGCACAGCAACGGCTTGGCACATTGGGCTGATTCGGCAGTGATTTTCGTCTTTCCCCCCTCCCTCTGGTCCGAGTCTTGGGGAGAAGTCTTGGGGAGGAAGAACATTTACTGGATCCGTCACCGGTCGCCTTCTCGTGTCTCGTCACTTCCTACGGCCGGAAAAGAAATTCCTTCATTGGCTGATCAAGGGGTCGCCGATTTTTATTATTTCCTCTGGTCCGAGTCTAGGGGAAACTACGTCCCTTCTGTACCTAGCTTGGATGGGTGGCGGACAGGGTTCCCCGCGCTCTTTCAACTCTTTCAACTGAAGCAACCACCACCAACAACATAGGTACCAGCGCAATAATTCTCCGAGCCGCAGGATGCTACATCGCCTCTTACATCCTCAGTCAAGATGGCCCAGTTGTGCCCTTGTACGGCGAGTTCTTGCGGAGAATAACGGCACATGATGGTTATCTCATGTGCGGAGACTTTGCTGATCTTGGACCGATAGACGGCGTATTCTCCTTATCATTATCGCGACTACGAAAATGCCAAGCGGCGCCCAATCTCAGCTGTCTTTACCCCAATACAACCCTCCGAATGCCGAGTGTCAATCAGTGACAATTGTCAATAATGCAGTCTCGGCCCTCGACATGCGGGGTAGATAGTTTGTAGACGGATGCTGTTGAGATGGCTAACTATCTGTATATACCATCCATCTGTCTACTGCCCCCGCACCAGCCGCTTCCTATATAATTCGGCGAGGACCTCAACTCCGATCCTACATTTCATCACTCCATCAGCTACTATCTCGTTATCAATCAAGATTTCTCATACTTTTCCATCACTGATTGTGCCTAAAATCTGTCAACATGCCCGGCAAGACCCGCACTGCGCAGTCCGTCTCTTTCGACGTTCCTGCTGATCAGCAGCCTTATCTGCACAACCGCTGGCACCCAGATAGTAAGTCGCCTCTTTTTTTCCAAGCAGGAACCAGACTCCTCCGCTGACGTCCTCTCATAGTTCCCAGCATTGGCGCAATTGAGCCCGGCGAGACAGTCAAGATTGAATGTCTTGATTGGACTGGCGGCCAGATTGGCAACAATGACAGTGCCAACGACATGCGTGACGTCGAGCTCACCCGCTGCCACTACCTAACAGGTCCTTTTGACATCAAGGGCGCTGAGCCCGGCGACCTGCTCGTTGTCAACATCACCGACATCCAGCCCTTTAACCACATGCCGTGGGGCTTCACCGGCGTCTTTGACCGCGCCAACGGCGGCGGCTTCCTCGAGGACCATTACCCCCAAGCCGCCAAGGCCATCTGGGACTTTGATGGCATCTACTGCTCGAGCCGCCATATTCCTGGCGTACGTTTCCCGGGGCTGATCCACCCCGGCATCCTTGGCTGCGCGCCGTCCCTGGAGGTCCTTGCCGAGTGGAACAGGCGTGAGGGCGGCCTCGTCGAGGCCGGCGTGACGACGCACCCCGGAAAGACGCTTGCCCACCTGCCGCAGGACAAGAACGTGCACGCCACCACCGCCGAGGGCGAGCTCAAGGCCCGCATCGGACGCGAAGGCGCGCGTACCGTGCCTGGACGCCCGGAGCACGGCGGCAACGTGGACATTTGCAACATCTCCCGTGGCTCCAAGACGTACCTGCCTGTCCATGTGCCCGGCGCCAAATTTTCTGTTGGTGATTTGCACTTTAGCCAGGGAGATGGCGAGATTAGCTTCTGTGGCGCTATTGAGATGGCTGGTGTGATACGTATCAAGTTTGATCTTATTAAGAATGGCGTCAAATCACGCGCTGTCCCGCATCCCGTCTTTGTTCCAGGCGAGGTCCAGCCGCACTATGGTCCCTCTCGTTATCTTACCTTTGAGGGCTTCTCTGTGGACGAGGATGGCAAGCAGCATTACATGGATGCCACGGTTGCCTATCGACAGGCTTGCCTCCGAGCTATTGAATACCTTAAACAATTTGGTACGTCGCCCCTTTTTCACGGTAGCATACGGCAGTACGGCTAACTTGGTTGATAGGATACTCGGGCGAGCAAATCTACCTTTTGCTGTCCTGTGCTCCGGTTCGTGGCTGTATTGCTGGAATTGTGGATAAACCTAATGTCTGCACGACTCTGGGTATTCCTATGGATATTTTCGACTTTGATATTTCTATGGATGCAGAGCCTATTAAACGGAACCTGGGAACATGCGCATACACTACCTAAAGGCGAGTGTCGGCATATTGTTACTTGGAGCATGGGGGTGTGAAGGAGAGGCACATCTAGTTTCGTTTCTACGTACCGCTTTAACTTGATATTCTCTAACGAATTGATCTAGTGAGTGCCATTTCCATGTCAAAATATGCCCAGGAATTCAGCCGTAACTTTGGTCAATTGTTTTCAAGAAACACCGGGTAGCTGTCTATGGACGATATTCTGGGGTAATTATCCACCAATAGTACGCTGGCGACCGTCAGCAAGCATCCTCAGGCCGCCCCAATAATTGTTCGAGACGTGCACAACTCGTAGCCTAGCTTTCCCAGCTATATTTCTCACACCACTGAGTACTCTGCTGGTTGTGCGAACTAGGCCAAAAATGAGACTCTACGCGGCTGCCTGCGCTCTCTGCATCCTGGCGCGTGCCGTCGCGGCGGATGCCCAAGATACCCGGGACATGACGACCTTGTCGCGGCGACGAGTCGCTGATCTCGCCGAGTTCCCCAACCCTTTGTGGTTTGGCAGCGTGCAAGAATGGATCGACACGCAAAAGTCCGATGGCACGTGGGCGGATGTCAACTATCTCTCGGGATGTCCTGCGCGTAAGTCTCGAACAACCCTGGTTAACAAAGGGGGGGGGGTGAGCAGAGTCGGCTAACGGGCAGGTATGGATGGGCTCAGGACGCGCCAATTGGCCGATTCAGGAGCATTGGAACCGCATCATTACGTTGGCGGCGGCATGGAGTGGCGCCAGCTCGATTGCAGACCGGAAATGGACCAACAGTACCACGGCGTGGGATGCAATCTCAAACGGCCTGCATTATTGGTTCGAAAACGACTACAAGCCTGCCGCATGTCTGGGTAATGGCGGCAACGCGTGAGTCATTCGCTTCGTCGTATATGTAGGCCGTGGTATTGACTTGAGCAGTACACTGGGCTGCCCATGTGGAACGCCAGGGCTATGGAACACCGCAAGTATCCCATCATGTTTCAATTACAAGAGGCAGGATTCTGACGAGCCTTGGCTGGATTAGAACTGGTATGGACAAGCCATCTTGATCCCGCAACTGAGCTCTACGGCCTGTCTGCTGGCCCGAGATGGACCCCTTTCGCAGGACCAGCGCGACGGCTGCATACGATTGACCAAGCGCACGTATGACAACATCGACCTCTCGTACGGCACTGGCGGCAATCTTACCGCTGCCAATGTAAGCGTGCAATCTCGGAAGAGGAGACTCCCAGCATCCGCTGACCTACCTGTAGGTGGTTCTTGTTCTGCAAAGTGCCGTCAGCCTCGGTCTGTTCACCCACAACGTCACCATTGTCGAAAGCGCCATGAAGAGGGCATTCGGTGGAATGACGGTAAGAATGAGTCCCATCGATCCTGGCCATGACTCTGATTCAAGAGCGCAGTTCTCCCATCTGGCCATGCAGGATGGTATTCACAAGGATGGCTCGTTCTTGCAACATGATGGCATCCTCTACAATGGCAATTACGGGAAAGATTTGGTAAATCGCAATCATCTTTTTCCTAGTTTGTCAAACTGAAACCACTGACTCGGACCCGACAGCTCAATGTGTTTATTCAACTAGAGGGCGAGGCTGTCGGCACGCGCTTCGCGGCCGATGCCGCCACTAAGCAAGCCATGTCGACCTTGATCAAGGGTAACGAGTGGATGATCTTCACAGACAAAAACACTCGACAGCAGCACTGGGACTTTGTACGTACTTGTACCGGTCAGAAAAGACATTTTGAGCCTAACAACCGAACGTGTAGAATACCATTGGTCGCTTCGTCAGCTACCCGACCAAAGACTTACAGGCCAGCGCCGACATCAACTTCAACGTCACGAAGCTGGCCCGCGCTGTTACCGACTTTGATGGCGCAGATGATGTAAAGGACACTATTAAGCGGCTCGAGTCAAATGGGACAGAACCGCTCGTTGGTAACAAGGGATTCTGGGCAAGCGATTACATGGTGAGTCTCTTAATGCGCATCACCGTCACCATTATCACACCATCACTTACACCGCTGACCTGCTTGGCAGGTCCACCGCCGCGAGTCCTTTATCATCGGCAACAAGATGCTCTCTTCACGGTCCACCAACTCCGAGCTCGTCAACGGCGCCAACCCGCTCGGCTACCACCTCGGCCAGGGCACGCTCTTCACGTACGTCGACGGCACCGAGTACAAGGACATCTGGGCATCCTGGGACTGGAACCTAATCCCGGGCACCACCATTGTCCGTGACACGCCCGCCCTGGCCGCCGCGGGGCCCAATCACCGCGGCGCGCGCGACTTTGTCGGCGTCGTCAGCAACGGCCGCGTCGGCGCCGCCGTCGAGGACTACGCCGACCCGTCCGACGGCCACGTGTCCTACAAGAAGGCCTGGTTCTACCTGGGCGACGCCGTGCTTGTGAGCGTCGCAGATGTGCATACCAGGGGCATGGGCGGCGCGCCGGTGATTACCGTGCTGGAGAACCGCGCCAAGGCCGACGGCGGCGCGTTCGTCGACGGCGAGCGCGTGCCGCTCGGCACCGACACCAAGGTCACCGGCTCGACCCTGCTGTACGGCGGAAACGGGTACCTCGCGTACGGCGCGCCGTTTGACCTCACCCTGTCCGAGGGCGACCGCACCGGCAACTGGTCCGCCATTTCCACCTCGGCCGCCGGCCCGGCCACCGTCGCGGTCTTCTCCGCCTACGCCGCTGTGACGGCCCCGCGCGCGAGCTACGCCCTCTTCCCCGCGACCAGCCCGCGCAAGCTCGCCCAGGAAGCCCAAGCGCCGACCTGGGTCCCCGTCTGGGGCGATGGTGTGTCCGGCGCGGCGGGACAGGGCGTGCTGAGCGTCGTGTTCTGGCCGGGCGGCGGCGGAACCGTCACTGTTGGCCTCGCCGAGATTGGCTGGGCGGATCGAGGCACCGTCCGGGTGACGGCGGGTCATCCGGGCCTCTTTTTGATCACGGGCAGCAGGGAGGCAGGGGCGTCTGGCGGGGGCCGCCTGACGCTGGCCGTCTCGGCGGCGGACCCGACGCAGAAGCGCAAAACGGCGACGCTGGAGCTGCTGTTGACGAGGCCGCTCGGTGAGGCTCAGGCATGTGGCCGGGCGGTGCAGAGCAAGGTGGATCTCGATTTTGTGCTGCCGACGGGCGGCATGGCTGGCTCTTCGGTAAAACAGGAGGCTTTCGTGCATATGACGTGACAGGTACAGCACTTATAACCCAGGCGAAATTCCTATAGTTGAGGTATCTTGGTATCAAATTAGAAAAGTAACAAACTGCGACTAAATAGTAAAGCAACGCTCCAGATAATTCCGCTAATAGATATACACAAATTCGTCATTTTCCCTGTCGGTGAGATCCTTGAATGCATTCTGCCCCAGACGCGGCTCCGCATCCCCTTGTTCGCCGGCCGCCGCCTCATTCTCGGACTGAATGTCGTGGTAGTGCTCCTGCATGGAGTGATCGACGACCTTGGCCTCCTTGCCGTTGGCGACACGCTTCTTCTCCTGGAGCTTGTTAAGCATGACGAGGTTGGCCCACTGGAGAAAGATGACGGCGACGAGGGTGACAAAGATGCCGAGACAGGCGCGCAGGCCGGGCTTGTACTCGGGGGCATCGGCGCTGTTGAAAAGGATAGGGCCGACAATATTGCCGGCCGAGCTGGCGGCGTTGTAGAGACTCATGACGACTGACTTTTTGGTGGTGCCGGCCGTGTTGCCGACGATCCAGGTAACAATGAGGGGGTTGCCGCCAAAGAGGAAGGCAAGCAGGTAGTAGCCGACGAGCAGGGCGGCGCGGGCCGAGGTGTCGCGCTTGACCGAGTAGAGCACGGCCAGGCCGGCGACGACGGGCAGCATAAAGAGCACAAGGATGGCGCCCTTGACCTTGGCCTTTTGCGACAGGTAACTAGCGAGAAGAATGACAATAACCTGTAGGGCACCAAAAGGCATGTTCAGCAGGCTGGATGTGTACTTGTCAAAGTGGAGGCCGTTGATGATGAGGGGGCCAAACGTGTTGGCGACACTGGCACCAATGTTGAGCAGCATGGCCATGGCCATCCAGATGTACGACTTGGGCTCCAGGGCGGCCTCTTTGAGGTGCTTCCACTTGAACTCGCGGTTGCCGGTGCCGGTCTGGTTGGCGCGCAGACGTTCGATGGCCTGGACTTTTTCGTCTTCAGTGAGGAAGCGGGCGGAGGGGATGTCGTTGTCGAGTTTCCAGTAGACAAAGGGGGCAGAAACAATAGTCAGGAGGCCAACAAATAAAAAGATGCTACCCGAGTGGTTAGTACAGGCTTGAAGGTGGTGATTGGGGAGCATCTCACATTTGCCACTCTTTGAGAAGGTCAGATTTAATGTGTCCCAGTCCATACGACAGAGCAGCAGCAATGATGGTAGCAAGACCGTTTGTGCCATACCACGCGGCGATTCGGATGGGCTGCTCGGCGCGACGATACCACTGGCTGGTGATGATGCTGAAGAGCGGCAAGCAGCCAGCCTCGAAGAGACCAAGGAAGAAGCGGGTGGCCAAGAGATCGCTAAAGTTCCTGCTGGCAGCCATGCAGGCCTGGGCAATGCCCCAGCCGAGACACAGACAGGGCATGAGGATGCGATGAGGCACCTTGACGATGAGGTAGGAGGAAAATGGCTGCCAGGCGAGCTGGGCAATGGCGGCCATGGAGCCGACGAGGGAGTACTGGTTGCCGGTCAGGCCCGTGTCCTCCTTGAGGCCGTAGGTGGCGCCATAGCCGAGGACGGACTTGTCGAGGATTTGGAGGAAGTAGACCCAGACGAGGATGACGAGGATGACGCGGTCCGTCTTGCGGCAGATGCGACGGCTGTCCTCCTCGGTGAGGCGGACCGGGCCGGTTCCGCGGCCGAGGACGGCGGCGGCGACATCGTCGTGCTTGGTAACTGTGGAGGGTGGCAGGGAGCTGGCAGAGTCGTTGTCACCGGACTTGGGGCGTGAAGGACGCATCTCGTGGTGGGCGACGTCGTGCTTGGTGTCAAGGGGATCCATCATGGTCTACTTGGCAGGAGAGGCAGGAGGACGGGAGGAGAGTGAGAAGCGAGATAGAATGCGGGATGGCATGGGGTAGGAGGAGAGGCTCCTTTTCTAGTTTGGCAATTGGCGAGATTGGATGATCGCTTATTATGATAGTGAGGATGGATGGGCAAACGGCTTTTGATGGGTTTGCATCGCAATGGTGCCAAGTTGAGCTTGGAAGACGTGGTTTGGGTGGGTTGAACTAGTTGACGCTAAACTGAAGACTACCTCCTACCACAGAATTTGGTGTGCATAGTGCATATTGGTACATGGTCCCCCACCTCGCCTCGCGACCCCGAATTAGCGCCATCGACTTGATGGTTTAGGCTAGTCCAGCCCCTAATTACCTTATTGCCCGCTGCAAGCTGGGGAAAATCTGCTGCAAAAAAGGCCCGAGAGCAGTGTGTTTGATGGCTGAAAGGAGGCTTATGGATGATGGATGGCACACTGAGCTGAGGCACCCGCGACAGCATGCATGCACCAGTGCAAATTTATTAGTGGTTCCTGCAGATGTTCTCATGCCATGTTCCCCCACGCACCATGTCGTCAATCTACCCCCAACGTTGCCAGGATTTTGTCTTGTTCAATCTCGCTCTCATCTGGACATGCCTGGGGGAATCGGAACTCTATCTACGGGAAATTGTGATGTCTTTGTCATGCGAGATTCATTGGCATGAATTTGGTCACTCATCGTCGTAACCGGTAACCGAGTCGGCACTTTTTGGGCGCCACAAAGACTGTCAATTGCCGACCCAGTCCCTGTCCACCCCTCCTCCACCACCACCACCCATGACGGAGTCCTTACTCACCACTGTCCACCACGTCCACCACGATTCAGCACCTCAACATGGTCCCCCGGCTACTGGTGTTATTCGTACTGGTATCCGTACATACATGCAAGATGGCCATAGTCAGGCTGCAGAGTGAAAAAATCAGTGGCAGGGGCAGCGTGCCCATGTCATGTCGGAAATGCACTCGGATGTCCGCGGCCAGCCGACGAACAAACTCCTGTAAAGTCTCGCCGTCGGAATCAACCAAAGACTCATCTCAAATCCGCAAAATAAACTACATCTTCATGGTTTACAACCCCAGATTCGCCTCGCGCTTTCTCCAGCTCACCATCTCGTCTCCTCCCGCCTCCGTGGGGTGTCGGCCGGGCCATTGTGCGGGGGGGAAGACGAGATCATACGCCGACCGGCTGCTGAGAACCAAATGCCGAGCGCCATTTTTTGCCTACTTTAAGACCGTGCAAGCCCAGTAGCCGGCGCCAAGTCGTCAGCGAGGCTCACAAGTACAAAGTCCGAATGACCATACTTTGTACATTTGTATTGCCAATAACTATTGATCACACCACCTGCAAGAGCCCATTTCTTTGATTTTCCACTATTAATCAATACTATTCCCTTTTCACACTGGAACGCGTTCCGCCTATCCAAAATGACTGCAAGCTCGGCTGCTCTGCATCCCGCGGTCCTTGTCGTCTGTGGCCCCGCGGCCTCGGGCAAGAGTTCCATAGCGCAGGCACTGGCCGATGAGTTTGGGTTTCAGTACATCGAAGGTGATAGTGTAAGTTGCTCCCATTTTCATGACGAGGAGGAGGCCGAAAGAAATGCCGCTGGTGTGGCTGACCTGCAACTCTCTAGCACCACCCCCAAAGCTCCATCGACAAGATGAGTGCTGGCATCCCGCTGTCTGATGACGATAGGTGGGACTGGCTGGTTGGGCTCCGGAAACTTGCCAAGAAGGACCTTTTAGCAGGCCACCGTGGCGTCGTCGTGTCCTGCAGCGCCTTGAAACATGCCTACCGAGATGTCATTCGGGTCTTAACCGACGAGCAACCAGGTGTCTTACTGCGCTTCGTCTATCTCAAGGTCAGCCCCGAGGTCCTGCTTGCCAGGATCCAGTCAAGAAGCGGCCACTTCATGAAGGATAGCATGCTCAAGAGCCAGCTGGATAGTCTCGAGGAGCCACTGACGGGCGAGACAGATGTCATTACTGTCGACGCTGATGTCGGGTTGTCTGACGTCACCAACAACGTGATTGCCAGTGTGCGAGCTTCTACCACCACACGGTAGTCTGAAAAATACAAATATAGAACTCGAGTAATGATCAGTATAGCTAGATGAAATCGCACGATTTTAAAACCAAACCGAATTATGCGTTTAATTTACGAAACCAGTGGATCTGGTCCCGTTTCATTTATTGCCCTGGAGCGGCGGCTATTGGCAGGCATTGCCCAGGTGTGGAGGCCGGCGCGGGGATCCCATCCGTCCGTATTGACCGCTGCGCAGTGCCTTGGCTCCTTTTTCCCCAAAGCAAAATCCAGGCATTGAATTCCTGTGTTGCAAAAAATGACGACTCTGTCCCTCAATACTGTCGACAATCGTGTCCAGGGCCGCCTGGCCTTCGTCACAGGAGCTAGGTGAGCCAGCACCCTCCCCCACCCAACCCTCCTGCTAGCAGATTCCCTGTTAATAGTTAATAATGGCGGTGATAGTGGCGGCATAGGTTCAGGCTGCGCCAAGGGCCTGGCCGCAGACGGCTGCGACGTAGCCCTGCATTACTCGTCAAGCAAGGTCCGGGATGGCGCGCATTTCCTTTCCTCGATGAACCGAGACTGACAGCATTGCGCAGGACAAGGCAGAGGCGCTGGCCTCGGAGCTGCAGGCGCAGTACCCGACGCAGCTCTTCGTAACCATCTCCGCGGACCTGAGCTCGCGTGACGCGACGCGGTCTCTCGTCGCGCATCTGCTGGCGCTGCCGGCCGTCGTCAAGGCCGGGCACACGGCCGTGTCGATCCTGGTGGCCAATGCAGGCCTCGGGCGACGCATCCGCGACGTCCAGGACATTGCCGAGGACGACTGGGACGAAGTCATGGAGGTTAACGCGCGCAGCCAGTTTGTCGTGACCAAGGCCGCGGTCGAGGGCATGCGCGCGCAGGGCTGGGGCCGCGTGATCCTGGTCGGCAGCATCGCGGGCCACGGCGGCGGCATCAACGGCTGCCACTACGCGGCGTCCAAGGGCGCGCTCTGCTCGATGGGCAAGAACCTGGCGACGGTGCTGGCGGCAGAGGGCATCACGGTCAATATTGTGAGTATATGTGGTTCTGTGTTTATTAACTATGGCGCAGGGTTTTGTGGGTGGTGCTAATCATTGAACAGGTGTCGCCGGCCATGATTGGGGCAACGGGCATGATTCCGACGCCCAAGTCGCGGTAAGAGTTGGTGGCTATGATGCATTCTGAACGGGGGCTAACGACGAGCAGAACTTGGACCAAGGGCACGGATATCGATGCACTCAAAGAGCAAGATCCCGGTCTGGGCATTGCAGCGAGTGTGCCGATTCACCGTTTGGGGCTGCCAGAGGAGGTGGCCAGTGTCGTGTCCATGTGAGTGCTTAATGTGTCGCCTTGATGTTTTATGTTTTGCTCATTTTCAACCAATCATTCGCTAGGTTCGCCAAGACGGGTTATTTGACTGGTCAGGATATTGTGCTTGGGGGCGGCTTGAAATAGACGAGACAAGGACAGAGCAGCCGAGGAAAGTCCTACAAGGGTAAGCCGGACAAGACAATTCTATCCCAACTTTTGGATGCTCTGCATGTTTTCGGAAAATTATACAAAATTATAATTTACGCAAATTCGAATGATCGACCTATAATTCATGCTCGTTTCTCTCTGTGGCGTCGTAACGGGCGGGCATTTGCCGCGTGTCGCAGCCTCGGCTTCTGGTGCGTCCAGCTCTATCCGTGGCGTCTTCCACCAGGCAACGGCCCCCCATACTTTTTCCTTCCCCAGCAAATCGCCATTCAGCTCCTCTCATCCGGCAGCCCCAAACCCAAAACTCCCCTCGTCGGCTTTTGCCCCCCACAGAACTTTGCCTCCTCCCAAACCCCATTTTATAGCCATCTCGGCGGCCATCTCTCGCGATAACCAGAGTTTTTGCTACAGTAACCGGCATGACCCACCCCAGCAAAGGAAAGCGTGTATCGCGCGCGTGTATCTCTTGCCGGTCGAGAAAGACAAGATGCGATCTGTAAGCCCTACCTACCCCATGCCATCACAATGCCGCTAGCGCAAGCGTACCGTTTGTCCGCGTTGTGAAGTCACCACCGCCCAGGCGGTACGTACGTGCGGAACCGTCATTTGGCTTTGGTCCGTCCCTGGCTCGGCTCGGCGCGATTTAATTTTTTTCTCATCCATTGTAGAGATTCAACAGGCTCGCCCGGTAACCCACCCTGCCAGCGATGCATAGAAGAGAAGCGCGAGTGCGTTCTCGCCACGTCGCGTCGTGGCGGTCGTCGCGTGCGCAAGAAGAAACCGCTCGACGAAGCGGGGGGCAGCGGTACTGGTGTGGACGGGAGCAGCCACAGCATGGCGCCGGCCGGGGTGCTGCAGACACCGGTACGTCAGACGGGACCGCGCGACGGCCAAGGCATAGATACGTGGCCGCACGGTGCGGGCGCCGGCCCTCTCGCACCGCCGCAGGATCCGTCGTGGACGGGTGACGGCTCCGTATCGCGGACAGACGCGTCGCAGTCGGCGTCGCGACGGAGCTCCGTGGCGCTCGACGGCCACCTTGCGTCCGCAGACCTGCTCAACCCCTCAGACGCGCTTGACCTGCTCGCGCACGTTGCCGACCTGGAACCCGGACACCAGGACAAGGATGCCGTGCCCGTCCGCACAGCCAGTGCGAGGCAGACGCCGCATGATACCAATCTTCGCTACCCACCCATATCTGATGGCGCCTTGGGCTTTGCCGACGCTGCGGCCCTGATACAACAGTAAGCATGCCGAGACACTAGGTCGCCTGGTGAACTAACATGCCCGTGTCCAGTTACCATGAAAATTTCCATCCTTTCTTTCCCATCGTGTACAAGTCCATTTTCGAAGGTCACATCTCGGAGTGGATCGAGAAGGAGCCTCATGTACTCACAGCCGTCCTCACCGTCGCATCAAAAGAGGAGCCGTCGTGGCAGCGCGCCCACGAAGCCTGCTCGCGGCACATGGAAAGCCTCCTATCGCCGCTCATCTACGGCGGCGTCACCGCAGTCGGCGCTGTGGAGGCGCTGCTTATCCTTGCCGAATGGGCACCTCAGCCGCCGCACGAGATTTCGTCCATTGGCTGCGGAAAGGAGGATTACGGCGCGTGGATGCTCGTCGGCGTCGCCATTCGGCTCGGCTACCTGCAAAGGCTGGAGCAGACGGGATTACAGGACCCTCCAGAGACTCCGTCAGAGAGCTTCAGTCGCAAAAAGATTGCGTGGGCGGGTAGGTCCCCTGCCGTGGCCGCTGAAAAGATACGATTTGGATGAGAGCTGACTTGCGCTACTAGCATGTTATATGAGCGACCGCCAAGTTTCTATTCGTCTCGGGAAGGGTTTTTGGTCTCGAGGTCCGGGGCCAGCGTCAAACCTGCGCGCCGTCGACTTTCCTTCGCTGCAGTCACAACATCTGGGACCCGATAATATGGGACTACTGTTCCAGGCGCAGCTCGAACTAACTCAACTATTCAGCAATGCTCACGATATTCTGTACTCTTCAACAAGCCATCGCGAGCAGTTGTATGTCGGTGGTGAATATGTTCGATACATTGTAGGTTACAGCATTTCTTTTCAGCTCACTCGAGTTCTAGCTGACCCTCGCAGGACGATTTTGCTGCCGTGTTGAGAAAGTGGAAGATGACTTGGGGGGGATATAGCTGTGAGTGGACAGCATGTGCGTTCTAATAATCTTTTCTGACCCTTTTTTGCAGTCACGCCTCATGTCAAAGCTTCTTTGATTCTGTCGTATGACTTTTTGCGCTTGTACATCAATGCATTCGCTTTCCAGGCGACCATGAACAGGGCCGCGGCCAAGACGCGCAAGGCCAACAAGAACCACTTCACAGGGCCGCTTTTTGCCGACTTGGCCGCCGCGCCAGACGCCCGCTTCATTTACGAGTCGATTGACGCGGCGAATTCCCTTCTCAGCATTCTCAACAGCTTCATGGACCCAATTGCAGGCTTAAAGTACATGCCACTCAAGTATTCGTTGTTTGTCATTTACGCTGCTGTTTTTCTCTTCAAGGTATGTGTCGAAAAGTCTTCTCATGGAGACGTGGTCTAATGGAACTAGGCTTGGAGCGCGGGCGCCATTAGTAACGAAGGCATTACTGGCGTGCGCCGTGCCATTCTCGCCACCATTGCCCAGCTGCAAAAGACTTCCAATAGCACGCAGAGCATCGGACATCGCTATGCGAGATCGCTGCGTCTGCTGTGGAGGAAGCGACCCAGTAGGAGGGGCACCAAGCACGACAGCAGCCATGCGGCCCAACCCGCTCCGAATATTCCCCTCGAGCAATCGATGCCTGGACCGCAAGGTGGTTTCGACGGTGGCTTGCAAGGGGGCATAGAATTGGATGCGCTGAATGGTTTCTCGTGGCGCGACTTGGACTCTTTGGGCCAGTATATTTCCAATGATGCGTCCATCCATACGAATGACGGTGTGTTGACCACGCCCGAGTTTGATTCGGAGCACAGTGCGAATGCGGTGGATGCCCTCCCCGTTGATTTCGCGTATCAAAATATGTGGAATGGTGGTGATATAATTTTCTAGTGTACTGGTTGGTAGTTTACGCAAGTTTCGGGAGATGCTGAGATACGGTCATGTAATGTACTACTGCAAATGGCGGACCTGGCTCGGTGAGCTATATGTCGGGAAGTCTTGTCTGGAATGGTCCGGTGCTATCCAGACCTGGGCTATAACAATCTTACAGTTGCCCGAGGCGAGCAGAGTTTTGTGATCCGGAGATGGTACCCGGTGCCTGAGGTGACAAAGTTGCATGTCCACATGTGCGTCGTTGTTATCGGCAAGGCGATGGTAAAATGAACGAGCTACGGTGGGACTCTGTGCAACCCGACTTCCCGATTTTCTGACCAGTGGCTTGTTTCGAAAGCAGCACTGTTTTGTGAAGGGGGATACCTGGCGCTCACAAACATTGTGGCCAGTCCATTTTTTGGGTACAAACTTGACAAGCCAGCCTGTAGCATCACGTGCTTCAGTGGCCACAGCGACATTGGTATGAGCCGCGACTCATGCGGCGCGCCTCCTTTTGCGCCCACGACCTCTTCTGCGACATTGTTCTCGACACGGCCATTCTCCGGATTTGGCATCACACCCCCTCCAATTGGCCATGGCATCCGTGGCAGCGAGCAATTGGACGCAGTCGGTGCGGCTGATGGCGCAGAGGCCGGCGTCGTCGGCGTGTTTGTCGTCGTCGCCGCTGCGCAGCAGGATTGGCACCAGACTAGGAGCCATTATCTTTGGTGGTTGCTCAGCTGCGGCTCAGCGGTTGCCGCCGGCACGCTTCTGCAGTGGGCTCGGCGGCGCAGGGAGGCATCAGTCAACGTAAGTGCTCACAAGCCGCCCACATCGGGGTCCAGGGCGCTGCATGCAAATCCCTATTGAAGTCGGCCGATCCCTTGTCATTGTGTTGGTGTTAGGTAAGAGCCACGGTAAGGCCAGGTCGAAACGTGCTAGCTGCATGGAGCTAAGTGGCTCACCAGATACTGGCAGGTTACAGCGCATCTAGCAACATATGGGCATACCTTTAGTACCTACTAAGGTACCTCAGTACTTGCAATGCAGGCTGTTCCAGCACCTCGACTTCAGACCGGTACTGCACTACCTAAGTACCTACCTTGCTACCTTGTTCTCAGTCGCCAAATGGCTGGTTCTCGGGTATCTTATGAGGTGCTGTCGTCGCTGTCGTCGTCAATGAGTCGCATCCATTGGGCAACGAGGCACGAGGCTCACGCAAAAAATACCTACCTTCTGATCCACCCATCTCGCTGCCCCTCCACTTACAAACCTCCTCACACTCAAGAACCAAACCAGACCATGGCCAACCCCGCCATCCCACCACCATTTACAACGTCCACCGCCACCTTCCACAAACGTTCTCACAACCCCACCAATTGGTCGCGGATTTCTCAAAGTTCCTTGCTGACAGCTGTCCAGTATATTATCCGGCCAACGTCCCTCGTCTGCCCCTTCTATTCTTCACTCCCTGCAGGCCGACTCAAACTCTCACCGTCTACCCACCACCCAGACACGACACTGCTCCTTTCGTCGAAACAACATGTGCAAAGCCCAGTCTGGAGTCGTCCACGGCGGCGTCAAGGAGGACCCGACCAAAGGTCGCGAGCTCCTCCCCGCCAATGTCGTCCCTACGCACTACGACCTGACCCTCGAGCCCGACCTGACCAACTTCAAGTATGACGGTACTGTCATTGTCGACCTCGACGTCGCCGAGGACTCGAGCTCCATATCCCTCCACACCCTCGAAATCACCATTCACTCCAGCAAGATCACCTCCAATGGCCAGCTTGTCAGGTAAGTCACATGCCCCAGAGCACCGTTGCAAGTAAAACGGGGTTCTAATGTGGCTATACAGCGACAAGCCCACCGTCACCACCGACGAGAAGAAGCAAGTCACCAAGTTCGACTTCCAGGGTACCCTCGCCAAAGGCTCCAAGGCTCAGCTTGAGATCAAGTTCACTGGTATCCTCAACGACAAGATGGCCGGTTTCTACCGCTCTACATACAAGAGCAAGGACGGCTCGGAGGGTGTTCTCGCCGTCTCTCAAATGGAGCCTACCGATGCCCGCCGCGCCTTTCCCTGCTTCGACGAACCCTCCCTCAAGGCCAAGTTCACTGTCCACATTATTGCCGACAAGCACTTGACCTGTCTCAGCAACATGGACGTCAAGAACGAAACCGAAGTTGGCGCCAAAAAGGCTGTCCACTTCAACACCTCTCCTCTCATGTCCACTTACCTCCTTGCTTTTGTCGTCGGTGAGCTCAACTACATCGAGAGTACCGCGCACCGTGTGCCTATTCGTGTTTACGCTCCCCCCAGCGAGGACATTGAGCACGGCCGTTTCTCTCTCGATCTCGCCGCCAAGACTCTGCCTTTTTACGAAAGGACATTTGGCATCGACTTCCCTCTGCCTAAGATGGACCAGGTTGCCATCCCCGATTTTTCTGCCGGTGCCATGGAGAATTGGGGTCTCGTCACCTACCGTGTCGTTGATCTCTTGCTCGACGAGAAGGAGACTAGCATCAACACCAAGATTCGTATCGCTGAGGTCGTTCAGCACGAACTCGCACATCAGTGGTTCGGTAACCTCGTCACCATGGATTGGTGGGATGGCCTTTGGCTCAACGAGGGCTTCGCCACCTGGGTTTCCTGGTACTCCTCCAACTCTTTCTTCCCTGAGTGGAAGGTCTGGGAGCAGTATGTTGTCGATAATTTGCAGTCTGCTCTGGGACTCGACTCTCTTCGCAGCAGTCACCCCATCGAGGTCCCTGTCAAATGCGCTGAAGAGATTGCCCAAATCTTTGACTCTATCTCTTACTCCAAAGGTTCTGCCGTGCTGCGAATGATCTCCACCTACCTTGGTGAGGATAAGTTCCTCGAAGGTGTTCGCCAGTATCTCAAGAAGCATGCCTACGGCAACACCGAGACTGGTGACCTCTGGGCATCGCTTGCGGCAGCGAGCGGAAAGCCTGTCTCCGAGGTCATGGGTGTCTGGACCAAGGAGATGGGTTTCCCTGTCGTCACCGTAACTGAAAACGGCTCTACCGCTGAGGTGACCCAGAACCGTTTCCTCCGCACCGGCGATGTCAAGGCCGAAGAGGACAAGGTCCTCTATCCTGTCTTCCTCGGTCTCCGCACCAAGGATGGTGTTGAGAATTCCGTGACTTTGAACGAGAGAAAGACGCAGTTCAATCTCCCTGCCGATGACTTCTTCAAGCTCAACGCCAACCACACCAGCTTGTACCGCACAGCTTACTCACCCGAGCGACTACGCAAACTTGGTGAGGCCGCCAAGGCTGGCCTCTTGACCGTCGAGGACAGAGCGGGTATGATTGCTGACGCCGCTGAGCTGGCTGTTGCTGGTAGCCAAAAGACGAGCGGTATCCTAAACCTTCTCAAGGGCTTCGACTCCGAGACCGAGTATGTTGTCTGGAGTGAGATCCTGCGACGTCTGTCAAGCATTGAGGGTGCCTGGCTCTTCGAAGACAAGGCTACTCGCGATGGCTTGAGGAAGTTCCGCAGAGAGCTTGTTAGCCCCAAGGCTCACGCCTTGGGCTGGGAGTTCAAGGAGACTGACACGCACAACGAGGAACAGTTCAAGACCCTGCTGTTTGCCTCTGCTGGAGGTAGCGGTGATGAAAAGATCATCCAGACTGCCAAGGATATGTTTGCCAAGTACGCCGCCGGCGACAAGTCGGCTATCCACCCCAACCTCCGTGCCTCTGTCTTCACGTTGGCTCTGAAGCACGGTGGAAGCAAGGAGTTTGACCAGATTATTGAGGTGTACCGTGCCTCGACTCTCAGCAGCGAGCGCAATACCATCTTGAGATGCATTGGCCGTGCTGAGGATCCCGAGGTCATCAAGCGCAGCTTGGGTATGATTTTTGGTCCTGACATCAAGAACCAAGACTGCACATTTGCGCTAGGCAGCTACCGGGCCCACCCCAGTGGTATTGAGGCCGTCTTTGAGTACCTGACCAACAACTGGGAGCTCATTATCAAGAATGTTGGTGACAATGCGTCGCTTCTTGGTGGTGTTGTCGCTGTCACTACTGGCGGAGCTACCAAGCCCGAACAGCTGGCCAAGATTGAGGCCTTCTTTGCCGACAAGAATACGAGCGCCTTTGACCAGACTTTGAACCAGGTCAAGGATTCGATTCGCTCTAAAATTGCTTGGCTAGAGCGTGATGGCGAGGACGTCGCGACCTGGGTCAAGGAGAATGGATACCTGTCTTAAAAATTTCTAGATACCATATAAGCAGCAGTGTAGAAAGCTTCTAGGTAGCCGTCGTGATCAGATGATTTCGATGAGCTCTATAATCGCAAAAAAGAAAAAGATCTAACCAAGTACCCGAACTCGCACGGTATCCACCTAATTTTCACTACGAACTGCTCTCCAGAAAGTACCCGTATTCAAGCCTTGACCTGACAACGGCTGAGACCCGAATCATACTCATACATAGGTACGTGGCTACGGGTTCAGCCAGTTGGGATATAGTTACTGGGGTCGAGTAGGAGGAGACTGGCAAGCGATACCATTGTTCTAGAAAAATGGGGACGAAAACGGAACAACCCGTTGGTTCATTGCGTCAGCTGGGCCACACGGTATTTGATCAGCATATCTGGGGGGGGGTTTCTGGACGTTTAGTTAGGTTCAGAGTTGCCAGGTTTGCAGGGTAGGGAAGAGGGAAGAGAAGGACGGAGAATCGGCAGCTGACTTATCTACCGTTCACTGTCTGTAGAGGCGGACATTGCTAGATAAGCGGATAAGCAGATAAGGGGGATAAGGGGGATAAGGGGAAGAAAAAAAACCAACAAAGAAATGAACAGCGAAACACACTCACTTTCGGGACCGAAGAGAGAGGGCAGTGCCGGATGAGAAAGGGATTTCGAAACTTGGACGGGCAGTCGGCGCCGACTAAAGTTGATCCGGAGCCACTCGGGGTCGGGCTCCGTGACCGTCCCGACAGGTGACGGCATCGCCGTTACCAGTACCTCCGCGGATGCGAGCCAGCCCGCAAGGCGCCTCACTAGTTAAAATGCCGCGGATGACGCACAACGCGGACGATGTATCGGGGATCTGGCGGCTGGTGATGACGGATGCCTGCGCGCCGCCGCCGGCGGTGTCCCGGGACGGTCGCAGACGCGGCGTCATGACGCAGACACCACCCACATACACCACGCACACGATCGGACAATAGTCTGGGGGGTTGGAACGGGCTTGTTCGGCGCCTGGGGTTCAATGCAACGAGTCGAATTGACTTGTTTTTCTCAATTTCTTTCCCTGTCTCAAAGCGACTCTCACTAGTTAACCAACTAGTTCAATGGCGGAATGAACAAGCATAGCATATACTTGCATAAAATCCGACATGCATCAGATTGGAATTTGGGACTATTTTGCCCAATTTGCAGCCATTCTCCACCTTGGGAATTTTTTCTTTTTATGCATTGTGCATCACTCGGCGCGCACGTAGCCTCGATGACCCGAGGCTTCCGGATACGCGGAGACAATGGTACGAGATCCAAGGGGGCCAAGACAAAATAAAAGAAAGGCCGTTTCTAGGGTGGCAGTGCGCGGTTCACGTCATTTCTTTCCAAATTTTCGCTCTGGATGCTGCGTATTCGGATTTTCCCGCTCCATTGACAGGAAGCTCCAGTGCCGTCAAAGGTGCTGACTGACCAAGGATGATGGTGCGGAGAAGTTGCGGAAAAACGAACAGAACAAGGTTTTTTTTTGGCTGGCGGACTTTGACTTTTGGGGCGGCAAGCCGTTACTCGCCTTGCCGAAACAAGGAAAGACGAGTGTCAGTCAGTCTCCTGTCTGTGCCACCTTGTTGTCGCATAACTAGTTACAGAGGAATGGTCTGTTTACATTCCATACGCTGCGAACGCAACATTGTTCGAGCCAGGGTCTGCTTGTGCTGCTCGCAGAGATTGGCTCACATGACAAGTGCGCCTCCATTATCGAATCGAGATGTAATATACACTGGGTTGCCGAGCCCGGCACAGCAAAACGTGCCAAGCAGTCACGCAGCGGAATGGATCGCGCCCGCCAGAGCACAGAGGACGCCATCGGCGTTTTTATTTTTCATTTCCTGCAGCAAGATGCGCGATGTTACTACCAATTAGAAACAGCAGAATTAGACCGAGACACTAGCCTGAACCAGTCTGGCCAGCCAAATAGCCAGCCCAGCTAGCAGCGTCACCTCTACGATGAGCCAATCCCCGCTCTGTCATTCCCTCTGTTGTTACGGGGTGTACCAGACCTCCGTCCCGAGGGGCCGTGTCTCTATGGAGCACCAGGCTGTGCCCGGCCTTGTTGGGTGGGCAAAATCCGCAGACGGACAAGGCCGCCCGTCCATGTCCATGGGCTGATCCACGTCCAGAGCTACCCAAAGTTGGATAAACTCTAGCTGTCATGGAGGGTGGGTGGCGGATCCGTGTAGTTACCAAACTTCGGGCTCTCCAAGCATTGCGTGCCAATTCTCAAGAAGAAGCTTTCCGGACTTGTCGGCCCCTCCCCTGCCGAGCTTTTCGATGATTGAAATACCCTGCCTCTCCCGCTACCGATTGAAGATGCCCTCCCCTTCCCACTAACACGTTATCAAAGTGAGACCCCTTATAGAAAACTCAGCATACGGCCTACACAGCAGCAGACGAGGGGCTTCCTTTCCACACGCTCTTGCTAGTCCCTTTCCCTAAGGCCTTCAAGATGGCGACCAACGACAACAACAACGCCGACGCTGTCGCCGCCGCCAAGCCGCACCAGCTGGCGCCGGCGCTCGACTACCACGCACAACAGCCCGGCCCGGCCGCAGGCCAGATTGACGCACGGCAGGATGTCGAGAAGCCAGCACCAGTCGACGACACGGACGAGGATGAGCGCAACGATGACATCGCGCCGCTCACCCGGCGCGACACCAACGCCATGATCGCTGACAATGACCGCGACGAGATTCTGCGCATCGCGAGCCAAATCAGCCGGCGCCGGTCCAGCGTCGCCAGCCTGCCGCAGGTGCCCTCGCACGGCGCCGTGGGCCTAGACTCGGACGACCCCCGGCTCGACCCGCAGAGCGACAGCTTCGATCTCGGCAAGTGGGTGCGCAGCTTCGTCGGGCAGGTGCGGCGTGAGAACCGCGCCGGCCCCAATACGGGCGTCTCGTGGCGCAACCTCGACGTGTTTGGCTCGGGCGACGCCATCCAGATCCAAAAGACGGTCGGCTCGCTGCTGATGGCGCCGCTGCGTCTCGGCGAGTTCTTCAGCTTCGGCAAGAAGGAACACAAACAGATCCTGCACGGCTTCCACGGCATCCTTAAGCCGGGCGAGCTACTGGTAGTGCTCGGGCGGCCCGGCTCGGGTTGCAGCACCATGCTCAAGTCCATCTGTGGCGAGCTCTACGGGCTCGAGCTCGGCGCCGGCACCGAGATCCACTACAACGGCATCCCGCAGAAGCAGATGATGGCCGAGTTCAAGGGCGAGACGTCGTACAACCAAGAGGTCGACAAGCACTTCCCCAACCTCACCGTCGGGCAGACGCTCGAGTTCGCCGCAACGGTGCGCACGCCGCAGGAGCGCATCCAGGGCATGTCGCGCGTCGAGTACGCCCGGTACATGGCCAAGGTGGTCATGGCCGCGTTCGGCCTGAGCCACACGTACAACACCAAGGTCGGCGACGACTACATCCGCGGCGTGTCGGGCGGCGAGCGCAAGCGCGTCAGCATCGCCGAGATGCTGCTCGCCGGGTCGCCCATCAGCGCGTGGGACAATAGCACGCGCGGCCTCGACTCGGCCACGGCGTTCAAGTTTGTGCAGAGCCTGCGCATGGTGACGGAGATTGGCGACGGCGTGTGCGCCGTGGCCATCTACCAGGCCAGCCAGGCCATCTACGACCTCTTCGACAAGGCCACGGTGCTCTACGAGGGCCGCCAGATCTACTTTGGCCCCGCGGACCAGGCCCGGCGCTACTTTGAGGCCCAGGGCTGGTTCTGCCCCGCGCGCCAGACCACCGGCGACTTCCTCACCTCCATCACCAACCCGGGCGAGCGCCGCACCCGCGACGGCTTCGAGGGCAAGGTCCCCCGCACCCCCGAGGACTTTGAGCGCGCCTGGCGCCAGTCGCCCGAGTACCGCGCCCTCCTCGCCGAGATTGACGCCCACGACAAGGAGTTTAGCGGCCCCAACCAGGAGAGCAGCGTGGCCCAGCTGCGCGAGCGCAAGAACGCCATGCAGGCCCGCCACGTCCGGCCCAAGTCGCCGTACCTCATCAGCACATGGATGCAGATCAAGGCCAACACCAAGCGCGCCTACCAGCGCATCTGGGGTGACATCTCCGCCTTGGCTGCTCAGGTCGCCAGTAACGTCTTCATCGCCCTTATCGTCGGTAGTGCCTTTTACGGGAACCCCGACACCACGGATGGTTTCTTTGCACGCGGCTCTGTTCTCTTCATTGCTATTCTCATGAATGCCCTCACTGCAATTTCCGAAATCAACAGCCTCTACTCCCAGCGCCCCATTGTCGAAAAACAGGCCTCGTACGCCTTCTATCATCCAGCCACCGAGGCCATGGCTGGAATCTTGTCTGATATACCCATCAAGTTTGTCACCGCTGTCGTCTTCAACATCATCCTGTATTTCATGAGTGGTCTTCGCCGCGAGCCTGGCCAGTTTTTCTTGTTCTTCCTCATCACATTCATCATCACGTTTGTCATGAGCGCAGTCTTTAGGACGCTGGCCGCCTCGACCAAGACAGTCTCACAAGCCATGGGCTTGTCTGGTGTCATGGTTCTGATTCTCGTTATTTACACCGGATTTGTCATTCCCCAGCCAGCCATGCACCCGTGGTTCGCCTGGCTCCGATGGATCAATCCCATCTTTTACGCCTTTGAGATCCTCGTTGCCAATGAATTTCATGGACAAAATTTCGCCTGTGGCCCCAGCTCTTTCGTTCCGCCGTACCAACCCCACGTCGGCACTTCCTTCGTTTGTGCCGTCACTGGTGCCGTCAAGGGCTCCGAAACGGTTAGTGGTGACGCCTTCATCGCCGGAAGCTACCAGTACTACTACTCCCATGTGTGGCGGAACTTTGGAATCCTCATCGCTTTCTTGATCGCCTTCATGATCATGTACTTTATCGTTACCGAACTTAACTCGTCTACTACCAGCACTGCCGAGGCTCTCGTCTTCCAGCGAGGCCACGTTCCTGACTATCTCCTGAAGGGCGGCCAGAAGCCCGTGGAAACAGAAAAGGAAAAGGGAGAGAAAGCCGACGAGGTTCCACTACCCCCCCAGACTGATGTTTTCACCTGGCGCGATGTTGTGTATGATATCCCCTACAAGGGAGGAGAAAGAAGGCTTTTGGATCATGTTTCTGGATGGGTCAAGCCTGGTACTCTAACTGCTCTCATGGGTGTGTCCGGTGCCGGTAAAACGACTCTTCTGGATGTCTTGGCTCAGAGAACTACTATGGGTGTGATTACTGGCGACATGCTCGTCAGTGGAACGCCTCTTGATGCCAGTTTCCAGCGCAACACCGGTTATGTCCAGCAACAAGGTAAGAGCTGCGTCTTCCGATTCTGTGTCCTCCTTGGCTAACCAAAGACTAGATCTCCATCTCGAAACGGCCACTGTCCGCGAAAGTCTCCGATTCAGCGCCATGCTTCGCCAGCCCAAGACCGTCAGCAAGGAGGAAAAGTACGCCTTTGTCGAAGAAGTCATCAAGATGCTCAACATGGAGGAATTCGCCAACGCCGTTGTCGGTGTCCCTGGTGAAGGCCTCAACGTTGAGCAGCGCAAGCTCCTGACGATTGGTGTTGAGCTCGCTGCCAAGCCCAAGCTGCTCCTCTTCCTCGACGAGCCCACCAGTGGTCTCGACTCGCAATCGTCCTGGTCCATCTGCGCTTTCCTTCGCAAGCTGGCCGACTCGGGCCAGGCTATTCTCTGCACCGTCCACCAGCCGTCTGCCATTCTCTTCCAGGAGTTTGATCGCCTCTTGTTCTTGGCCAAGGGCGGCAAGACGGTCTACTTTGGCCAGATTGGCGACAATTCGCGAACGCTTCTTGATTATTTCGAGGCGCACGGCGCCCGCAAGTGTGACGATGAGGAAAACCCTGCCGAGTACATGCTCGAGGTGGTCAACAACGGATACAACGACAAGGGCAAAGACTGGCAATCGGTCTGGAACGAGAGCCAGGAGAGTGTCGCGGTCCAGACGGAACTCGGTCGTATTCAATCAGTGGCCCGCCCCTCGGAGTCGTCGCCCGATGCCGCTCAGCGAACTGAATTTGCCATGCCGTTGACTACTCAGCTCCGCGAGGTCACCTACCGCGTGTTCCAGCAGTACTGGCGCATGCCTAGCTACATCATTGCCAAGGTTGCTCTCAGCGTTGCGGCAGGTCTCTTTATTGGTTTCACATTCTTCGATGCCAAGTCCAGTCTTGGTGGTATGCAGATTGTCATGTTTTCCGTCTTCATGATCACCAACATCTTTCCCACTCTCGTCCAGCAAATCCAGCCGCTCTTCATCACGCAGCGATCACTGTACGAGGTCCGCGAGCGACCAAGTAAAGCGTACTCATGGACTGCCTTTGTTCTAGCCAACATTGTTGTCGAGATTCCTTACCAAATCGTGGCTGCCATTTTGATCTGGGCGTGCTTCTACTACCCAGTTGTCGGTATCCAAACATCTGATCGCCAGGGTCTGGTCCTGCTCTTTGTCATCCAGCTGTTCTTGTACGCCTCGTCATTTGCGCACATGACCATTGTCGCCATGCCCGATGCGCAGACGGCGTCGAGCATTGTCACGGTCCTGGTGCTGATGAGCATTCTGTTCAACGGTGTCCTGCAGTCTCCCAATGCTCTGCCCGGATTCTGGATCTTCATGTACCGCGCCAGTCCGTTTACATACTGGATTGCAGGCATCGTATCAACCATGCTACACGGGCGCGAGGTCGTATGCGCCGAGTCGGAGACGCAAATCTTTGACACTCAGAATGGCGAAACCTGCGGTGCGTATCTTGCCCCCCTGGCAGGACAGCTCGCCGGTACTCTGCAAAACCCCGAGGCTACTTCGGACTGCAGATACTGCTCGTACAGGGTTGCCGATCAGTTCCTCGCGGGTTCTCGCATCTACTGGGGCGAGCGATGGCGCAACTTTGGCATCATGTGGGTGTACATTGTCTTCAATATCGCCATGGCCATTCTCTTCTACTACATGTTCAGAGTACGCAAGGGAGGGTTTGGTCTGGGCAATCTCTTTGCCAGAAAAAAGGCAGCCAAGCCGGAGAAGGAGGCGGCCGTGACAGAGAAGGCTGCCAACAATAGCTCCGATGCTTCTACTCCCACTACCAACACCATATAGGGCCGGCCTCGATCGGGGCTTTACTTGTTTACAACACACCAAAAATTTCCTATTTCAATTTTCACATTTAGACTATTTTATTTATTGTACTCTGCCTAATACATGCACTTTCTCTTTCAAACTACCAAGGTCGCTCTTCCAGACGGATCAGCAATGAATACTTGTGTCGCTACCTATGCATCTTTTCCTGCCAATATTGTAGGATATCTAAGTGGCAGGGGCTTTGACAAGCTTGATAACAAGGCCAGTTGGCTTTGCTCCACTGCTCTTGTAGTCGGCCGAGTTATAAAGAGGATTGCTGGTATTTGCCGTGACGCCCACCTGGCCGCCATTCCTGCCGCACCCGAGTAGCTCATTCTTTCCCTTGTCCGCTGCATTCTTGCCCCCATCAATGGCCATGGCGAGGTCCTCGAAAAGGACAGAAGATAGGACGCGGTTGTCAATGTGCTTGACGAGGGCGAGCACTGTGCCGGCGTTGAAAACGGGCAGGGACCACTCGGCGCAGTCAATGGACTTGGGCATGGTCCAGAACTTGTTTTTGCCCTCGTTTTCGGCGCTCAGCGAGCGGAGATACTCGGCGACGTACTGGACATCTTCCGGGTCAATGTTCTGAGAGGTGCCGCCGTCGACGCCGTAGCAGATCTTTTGTGTTCCTTCTCCGCAGCCCGCGCGAGGCGCAATCGCGCTGGCAGTGGTGAGGGAGAGGAGGGCAAAGCCGGTGATTGTGTGGAAAAGCATGTTTGGTGTCTTGATATGAGGTTAGAGAGAGGATGAAACCAAGTTGACTCGGAATAGCACGCATCATTCGCCTCGTGATATATATGTGTTTTTACGGCTTTCCCGTAACACTCATGCACCACTTCCTTCCGATGAGATACTATTCGATTAGAAAGATACGATGGAAAATAATGCATATGAAGTAATGTATACATATACACGGGCTGCGGCTCCTACACAGTTTGTCCGGCTGACTCGTTTCGCGCACATGCAGCCAGACAATATCGCTCGGATTCCAGAACCATAGTTGACAGAGATGCATGGGGGGGCAGTGTAAAAGCCTCAATAAATCGCGTGATTTGGAGAAACCGCATTTTTCACCTTGGATTAAGATGAAGTTGAAAGTTGGCTTACTCTGGCAGCCGATGTTCCGGCTTGGCACGAAATTCTGCAGCTTCTATTGAGGGGTAGTCTTGCAAAAGGTCAATTCATTGATAAAAGGAGCGCACTATCGAAGGGACAGCTGATGAGTACATGGCACCTGACCTGGTTTGCTTTGTTTGTGGAGAGGTTGGATGCAGATACAGGGTAATAAAAGAGGGCAATTTCTGCACTCACCAGCAGGGTTGCAGATTCTCAATTTTGCAAAGTCGTCGTGCATTCTGACGCGACAGGTACTATATCTATGTACCCCTCAAACACATGGCAATATAACTTGTAGGCCGCGGAGTTGTAGAGAATGCCCGTGTAGTGTGTACCGAGCGCAAGGCTGTCCATGGTCAGTAGCCCGAATGCAGCCCGAGTCAACGAAGCAGCAGCCCTTGTCGGCAAAAAGATGTCGTTGACTATTTTTCTTTTGTTTAAACTAGAATAAAACAAAGTAGCAACCACGCCTGAAAATAGCGACATTGTGTAACTAGGCGCTTCCGAATATGTAGAGAACCGCTGTGCCGTAGTTTGAGTTGTATGGCAAAGTTGCCTGTTTTATTCTTCTGTGTGCGCATGCAAGTTGCTTACGTACGAGCAACGTGGCATGGGTACATAACCTGTCCTTTCGCGACACTCAGCCGCGACTTGTCAACAAACTTCTACATGACCGGTCCATCAGACACATCGACGAATCAACCTTTCAATCATCCTCATCCTGCCATGACTGTCTTCTGGTATGCGGCCGCTGTTCTGTCGGCGCTTGCAGCGTTGCACCGCCTGTTCAAGTTGCATGCTGTCCACTCGCTGTTTCTTTCATGCGCCACACGAACAGACACGCGCTGCCAGACCCGATTTGAGAATCTGGAGCACTTTTATACCCCGCGCGGAGACGCTGCCCGCTACAAATGGCCAACATTGGTCACTTATGAGTTCGAAGCGGATGGGGACAGCATCCTCATTGAAGTTCCCGCTGGGAGCTTCTGGGGCTTACCGGCAGTACGCCACCACACACAAGAAATGTGCAGAGAGGTGTACATGGTGAGCGGGAACTGGGCGATAGGGCAGTTTATGGGCAGCGGACCTGTCAGAGGTCCTCCAGAACTGCCAAACCTGTTCCAGAGAATCGTCATCAGGTATGCTCCGGCCCAACGGCCCTCTCAGATCCGACGCTTTGGCTCCAAGAAAGCCCGGCAGCTGGACCACATGATTGTCAGTGCGGTTCAGGATGCCCGAGTCTATTTCAAATTATGTTCTACACCATTATGGCTCCGCCTTGTCTACGCAGCCTTGAGCGCCCTCTCTCCACATGCCGCCGACACGCTCGCCCGGCGCATTCTTTGGGTTCAGATCCGCACCATGTTCTTTTGTCATGACACTTGGGAATTCCGCGGAACCTGTATGATATTTCGCATTTTCTGGCCCTTCTTCAACGAACCAGACTGGGTCCGAAAGTTTGAGGACTGGAGTGAGGGGTACAAGTCGAGACAGTTTCTACGCCTCAACTATTGGCTTGGGTATGCACTTTTGGGAATGGAGCCCGAATATGCCGAGTATCAGATAGCCACCCCCAAGTATTGAGAATGTACTCCTGTTCCGCAACCAGTAATAATGTACAGAATATACATATACATGGTCAAGGCAAGCAGATCAAATGCCGGTTCGTGGCTCCTGGTCACGCCTGGCTGCGTCTGCTTTCAATCCTATCCCCTGCAGCATCGTGTTGCTCTGCGAAATTGTAGCCTGATTTTTAGTAACGAAGAAGCAGCCCAGACTGTACAGTAGCAGAGTTGGAACATGGGCTAAATAAGCTCTCTGAACCAAGATATCATCTTGGTTCAGAGACCTCATGCTCCCTCAAAGTCAAGTGCCTCACCAAGCGACATGATTGTCCCACTGGAATTTCTTTGCTTTTCCGTCGTGGCTTTGCTTTGCTCCCGAAGCTTGGCAAAGCCCACCACGAGTCCTCTGTCTATGCTCGAAATTGACTTTATCAAGCCAACGAAAGAGCAAATGACAGAGATCCATGACAAATTTATCTTGTCTCTGAACACGACCGAGGCTAGCTTTCCCCCTCCTCCCCCTCCTCCCCCGCTACCCCATACTATTTCGTTGGCAAACGCCAGTTCCGCCGACCTTTCCCAAGCAAGGGCCCGGGTCGATCGAGCAATCAAGCAACAGGGCGAATACAACATATGGCGTCTTGCCAATCCCAAGCGAGGCAAAAAACTAGACCCCAGTACAGCCCGAGTCCAAAGGGACACTGCAAAGCAACCTTTTCCACCACGGCTCACGCCTGAGCTCCTCAAAGCCGTGAAGCTCACCAACGACGTCGACACGCAGGATCTACATAACAATGGTACCCTGCAGCGGTACCAAAGCGAAGCTAAAATTTACATCCAAGATTTGCGACCCCCAGTGGGCAGCTCAGCCAGACCAACTTCTCTGAAACGGGTCACTGGATGGGATGGTAGTGACTGGATGGCAGATCAGGACCACAGCCTCTCTCAGCAGCCGTTTCACTCTGAGAAAGACTACAAGGTAAGAGTTGTGGAGTCTGAGAAGATGGAATACTGTTCATTGACTGCAATGTAGGTCTGGCGCAATGTCAAGGACTACGGCGCGGTCGGAGATGGTGTCACCGACGACACAGACGCCATTCAAAAAGCAATTTCGGATGGCAAACGATGCGGCAAGGGCTGCCCCGAGTCATCCGTTAGCGGAGCCATAGTATACTTCCCCAGCGGTGAGGATTCAACGCCAACCATAATGCACAGCATACATTACAGCTAACCATTTCCAAGGTACATATCGTGTCGACCGTTCCATCGTGCTTTACTACAACACGCAGCTCGTCGGCGGCGTGAAAGGTGCAATTCCTACTATACAGTCGGCTAGAAACTTTATCGGACTTGGCGTCTTCACGACCGACGTCTACCTCCCCGATGGCCATTCAGAGTGGTACCTCAACACAGTGAGCCGGACTTGCGTACGTTGGTGGCGACACGTACTGACATTGTGACCCTGAGAGCAATTTTTATCGAAGTATTCGTGGATTGCAAATTGATATCCGACTGACCAGGCAGAAGGGCATGGTAGGTATTCACTGGCAAGTGGCGCAGGCGACAACTATTGAAGAAACCAGTGTCATGATGTCGAATGCTTCTTCGACCACCCAGGTTGGCATTTGTATGTTTTCTTTTTGCTCTTTTTGTCAATCTTCTTTTTCCTTTTTCCCTTTTCCTTTTTCCTTTTCATTTCACATTCTGATTGGTATAGTTGCGGAGAATGGAAGCGGAGGCTGGATGGGCGACATTACCATTAGCAATGGCGAATATGGTATCCTGGCCGGAAGTCAGCAGTATTCGGCGTCGCGCATCACAATTATCGGCTCGCAGAAATGTATCGGTCTGATATGGAATTGGGTCTGGGTGGGTTTGCTCCGAGCCGTAATTCTGGCGGTTCTAACTGTGCCATAGTCGTGGTCGCATCTTCGTCTCGAAGGTTGCAAAGTCGGCATTGACCTGACTGCCGGCGGTTCCGATTCGAAATCCCCCGTCGGTTCACTCTCCGTTGTCGATTCCTCCATCATTCACTGCGACACCGCCATCAAAGCACATCCTTTCACCTTGACACAGGCAAAGGAACAAGGCTCGACCATCATCACTCTCAGTCATTCGCAGATCTATGGATCCACTACCTTCATAGGCTTTGCAGACGGAGCCTCCATCTCGAAGAGGGTTGATGACTGGAAAATTGACTACTGGCAATTCGGAAATGACTTTCGGCAAGGAGATGTAGCCCACGGAGAATCAACGCCTAAAGAGGACCGGCCCGCAAGCCTCTTGGATAGTAATGGCAATTGGTTCAGCACCGGGTATGATTGGATGCTCCCTCAGGCTCTTCGGCGTCGGATCAGACTGACCTCAGGCTCCAGCAAGCCCATCTTTTACAATCGCAACAAGGACCAGGTCATCAACGCAAGGCTCCATGCCGCAGGTATGGACATGATAGTTGTGAGGGTACCTTTTGTGACTAATCGTGGTCTTCCTATGCGTAGGGGATGGAAAGACGGATGACACGGTCGCTCTTCAGTCGTTGTTCCAGTACGCCGCAGAGAACAGTCTTGTGCTCTATATTCCAGGCAAGTGTCGACTACATTTCCAGTGCATATTGAGCTAACCGCGCATAGCTGGCGTCTATCTCATCTCAAGCCCCCTACTTGTATGTTCCTCAACCATGCCAAGCCAACCCATTTGTTATGCTAACATCTGGGGTAGATTCCGCCCAACAGCCGCATCCGAGGCGAGGTTTGGTCGCAACTCATGGCAGTCGGGGATAGATTTTCCGATGCTCAGCATCCAACGGCCATGATCACAGTCGGTCAAGGAGAAAAAGATGGTTTGGTACAAATGGAAAATCTGTTATTCACATCTAGAGGAGCACTACCAGGCTTGGCGCTTCTGCAATGGAATATCCAGAAAAGCAAGCCAGGGAATGTTGGCATGTGGGGTAAGTGTTGCCTTGTACTGAACACATTGGCGAATTCCAAACGGCTAACGGTAGACAGATTGTCATTTTCGAGTCGGCGGCGCCGTTGGTACCGATCTACGCAAGACGGATTGTCCCAAGCTCTCTGGAAGCGTCAACAAGAAATGCATTGCAGGCGCCATCATGTTTGTGAAGACGGATAAAGGCAGCGGGTATGTTTTCGTCTCACAGATGGCGCAATCGCCGTGAAGCTCATGTTTTCTCCTCTAGATACTTTGAGAACATGTGGGCGTGGGTGGCTGGTAAGATGAGATGATGGGCATTGCTTTGGCTGGACGAGTTCTCGACTGCTAACATGTGTAGATCACGATCTCGATGATGCTGCAGGCGACGACTCCAACCAGATCAACGTTTACTTTGGCCGAGGTGGGCTCCCTGTCCTTTTGCTTTCCAACCTCATGTCTAACTTTTCTTGTCAGGAATTCTTATATTTGGCGATGGGCCAACTTGGTGGCGTGGCACGGCGTCGGAGCACAGTGCCATGTACCAGTACAATATTGTGAGTGCCTCCAACGTGTACATGAGTATCATTCAGACCGAGTCGCCTTGTAAGTTGTACGATTCTACTTTCCGAGCTTTCTTCCCTTCTAACGTTGTCGTCGTGCGCCGCCGCAGACTATCAAGGCACCTCGTTCTTGCAAGCCCCAGCTCCGTTCAAAGTAGACAACTGGATTGGAGAGCCTTTGTTTGATACATGTGGAAGTGCCACTACCAACTGCAACGTCGCCTGGGCTCTGCTTATTCAAGCCTCTGACGGCATCTACATCGATGGCACTGGTCTTTACTCGTGGTTTCAGAACTACAACCAGGACTGTGTCGGCAAGAAGAATTGCCAACAGCGACTTGTCAACATTTTCAACTCTGCCAATGTTTTTATTTCACATTTAATTACCATCGGATCTGTCGAGGTAGTGACGCCCGCCATCAGCAACTATTACAACCGCATCATCTACGTGGATGACGCCCTGGAAGCTTCTGCCTATCCCTGGTGGACAGCGGTTGCCAGCTATCTGGACAGCAGCGACAAGATAAATATCACAAGCGGTGCTTACCCCATCAAGAAGGGCTGGGTATCGTTTGGCGACTCATATGCCGCGGGCATTGGTGCTGGTTCTCCATTGGACACGGAGTCAAAATGCTCCCGTGGGAGGGGAGGCCACCCTGCGATCCTGAACCAGATCATCCGACAGTCGCATCAAGTGAGCCCTTCTTGGCAAGTTTATGCGTGCAGTGGAGAGACGGCTGCTCAATTTCATGCAAAGGAAGGCGTAAACCAGCTTGGACGTTGGGTGCCCGACACGTCAGATGTTGCCACAGTCTCGTTTACGGGCAATGATTTTGGATTCGGCGACATCGTCAGTCATTGCATCATGGGATATCCCCGAGGAAGTCAAAACGAAAAATGTGCAATGGACCGTGCACTCACCACGGCCAAGTTGAACGCTGACGGCAAGGTGACGGAACTAGTCCACGACATCCTCGATGACATCTTCAGGAAGAAGGGTGACAACGGCCGATTCATGGTGTACTGGACCGGTTATCCGCAATTCTTTGACTCGTCTGATCATGCGTGCGATCTTGTGCACTTCTCAGCTTGGGGGGGCATCTGGAGAGGTGCAGACCTCACAACGTCGCTGCGTCTCGAACTCAACAGTTTTTCCACGCAGCTCAACGGGCTGATTAAATTCGCCATCCATACCTACAACTACCATCTGCCCTTTCCCAGGGCCAAGTTTGTTGACCTGGATACCAATTCGAACATATATGCCCGTCGTCGTTTTTGCGAGCCGGGCGCAACAGAGCCGCGCAGCACGCACGACAGTCAGAATGCGGTGGCCGTTTTCTACCCCAATGGCTGGGACGACATCCCGAGCGCGAGTGAGAGCTTCTACATGCCTCCCAAGGAAGACGGCGATGCACCAGACAGTTGGTCCATTTCCGTGCAGAGCTCCATGTGCAGCGAGAGCGAAGACGCCAACGAGCCGCTCAGACCGATGCTGTGCGCGGCGGCAAGGCAGGTTGCCAACGGGACCCTGACAATCAGCGACATTGAAAAGACGGGAGACGTGGGCGCCGGCGCCGGCGCGGCGGTCAAGAATTCCGATGGCTCCGTGACCATTACAGCCTACTCCGTGGCCTACTTGAAAATGTTTCACCCCAAGACGCGGGCCAATCTGCATATTGCCCAGGCCGTCCACGACGCCTTGATTTTCAACTGAAATTTGAACATGTATAGTTTTAAATACACGTCCAATCTCTTGATTCGCACGTTATTGCCCTTGCTTTGTTTGTTCTAACGTTAATTCATCCTGCTGTACCGCGCGACCGTGACGAGAGCTGCATCCAAGGCACGCACAGCTGACTGTCTTGGGCGCACGGAGACGACGAGACACTGTTTCCATGATACAAACAAGTCAAGGTAACACGGCTGGACAGACCGAGTTCTGTATCAGTTGGGTAGGTATGCCGTGCAACATGGGCTTCTCGGGCCGTGCACACCGACGAGACCAGCATGGGTGGCGGTCGGACGAGGCGTCGGGTGCGACTCCAGCAGGCTTTTGCGGCGCAGACGGGTACGTGCCGAAGGACAAGGGGGGGCTTTCTTTCTTCAACAAGTCTGAGCGCAGAGCTGGGGAATGTTTCCATCAGGGCAGGGGGGCAATGGGGGCGGGCATTGGCCGCAGATAACGACGCCAGAGCCGAAAGGCGGGACCCTGCATGATTCGTGGACCAAGTATCCTGATTTATTTATTGTTTTGCGGCTGCTGCTCTCGGCATTTTTGCGCATGATGCCGTAGAAGGTGGGTTGACGGGGATCGCGCCGTGTCTCAACTCGTGGTCTGCATGATGACTTGTTCCTTCTGTACATTGCATGAGGATATATATATATATATATATCTATAGATCAGAGGTAGCTTTCGGCAGATGTACAGAGTACTGTGATGAGGGACTTACCAGTAGTTACAAACTAGTTAGTTCAAAGAGGGGGATGGAAATAGGGGTTCAGTGGCGCACTTCCCCATCATCCGGCATTTCTCATTTGACCAACCGACGGAAATTTCCCGGTATCCAAGAAGCTTGCCGTCCATGTCCATGTTCTCTTCTATCCTCTATGGTAGATAGACCCCGCTAGAAGAAAATTCTACTTTATTGCCTGCCTCCCTGTCTGTCTGCCTGCCTGCCGCCTGCCTGCCTGCTAAGTCTGCATAGTTCCGGGCTTTTTGTTTAATTTTTTTTTCGGTGCGCCAGGGGGTGGCCGCTTCGCTATAGCTCCGAAATAGGCAGTTTTCGACGCCCGTCATTCATAAGCCCCCTGCTGCCGCTCGCTAGCCTCGCCCAGGAACATGCAACAGTCCGGTTCCAGTGGTTCCAGTGGTTCGGAACCAACCAACCAACCAAAAGGAAGTCATGCGACGGGTAGATCAGATCAAGGAGGACCTGTCTCGGGCCAAGCTTCAGGCTTTCAAAGGAAAAAACCGTGCGCTTGATTTGCTGCGCAGAGCCTGGCGGCGGGAACCCGGCCGCCCGACTTTCCTGACCGTCTGTGCCATCCCGTTGTGGATTGGCGATGGGCGTCTCAACTCAATAGTTTTAGCTGTGTGGCTTGGCTGGATTTCATTTCCTCGTCGGTCCCCCATTGAAACGCCTCTGACATTCTGGTAGCAGGGGCCGGAGAAGCCCACACACACACGTGGTTGGTTCATCGCGCACGACTCATGGTCGAGTTCGGTCGAGGCACCAAGTAGCTGAAGAAATCCACCCGTCGTATCACTGGTGGCGAGGGGGGCCAGCTGTGACCCCGATTTGATCTGTAAAAGGTCGATCAAGCCCCGAAAGCTTCTTTTCCTGTGTCCTCTCTCCGTCACGAGGCTCTGGCTGCATCGTATCCGACGACATGACAGACGCCAAGGTGGCCGCCGCCATTGCGAGCGGCAAGGTGCCCGAGGGCATCACCGAAGCCTTTCTCAACGAGAGCAAGGACAAGCCTGCCATTATCGCCATTGTCATTGTGGCCGTCCTGACAAGTTGCGTCGTGCTTTGCCGGTTGGCGTCACGAGCCTTCATCGTCAAGCGCGTGGGAGTCGACGATGGTTTAGCCTTGGCATCCCTGGTAATCATCTTCTTTCTCCCTCGAGCCGGTTAGCAGTGCCCTCTATTTTTGCTAACTTGAGCGGCACCAGGCTTGCTTCATTGCATTTGTTGGTCTTACCATTGAGCTGATCCGATTGGGCTCGGGTCGCCACTTTGCATACATCCAGTACACCATGGACAACGACACGATGCTGTTGACACAGCTCATCGACTTCATCGCCCACATCATCTACACCATTGCGCTCCTCCTGTGTCGCGTTTCCGGCTTGGCGTTTTACTGGCGGCTCTGCCATATGCATGACAAGTTCAAACTGACGATTCAAATCGTCTTTGGCTTCCTGGTCGCAGGCTTCCTACCGCAACTCCTGCTCATCATCTTCCACTGCAAACCGGTCACGGGATGGTGGCCCTACGACTTTCAGCCCGAATTTGGCCGGTTCGAATGCTTGCAATGGGGGTTGGTGTATGTCGTGAATTCTTCCGTCTCGTTGCTGTGCGATTTGCTCATCTTTGGTATCCCAATTGCCATGCTGTGGACGCTGGAAATGACGCGCAGAAAGAAGATTCAACTCGGCTCCATCTTGCTACCCGGTATTCTGTACGTGAAGCGCTGGTTGGCAGTTGCTCGTGTTTCAAACTAACAAGGGCGCAGGGTCATTGCCATTTCCATCACACGACTCATTCTGGTCATTCGCGGACAATGGGAGGCGGACATGGTGAGTCGCACGAGTTACAGGGTACCACAGCGCCATCAACGACTAACAGCTACATAGTCATGGGAGTACAATCCGATGCTCGGTGTCGAGGTTGCTGAGATTGGCGCCACCCTGATTGCGCTTTCTGTCCCCGGAGTGAAGCCCATGTACGATAAATTCGTACTGGGCAAGAAGGAGGCCAGTCAATCATCTGCCTCGGCAAGTCGGATGCAGAACAGGAGCGCTGACTCAAACGCGACCAAGCTTGGCACGCTACGGCTGCGGAGCCAGCATCTGGGCAGCCGGGAAGAGATCAACCACCTAAACTACGCGACGGCGGTGAGCGCCAGCCATGCTCCGAGTACGGACGATTCTCACAGCGCCAAGTCGACGGATGGTATCTATGTCAAGGTTGACTTTGACATTCACGAAGGACCAACTCATGCCCGGTGAAGGGGTTGGGCGTTGGGCGGTGGGGTGTAATCTAACGACTGTATTCTTACGACACTGTCAAGGAAGCCTCGGAATCATCTCGAGGCTTTTATTTAATTTCATGTACTCTGTACACTCTAGAGCGAGCCAGGATAGTGTTACCATTAACTAGTTAGTTATTAGCGGCTCTTGATCAAGTGTTGACTCGGTAAAGTTGGACAGGACTTCCGTGACCCGTCCTGTAGCGAGTGCGTCACTCCACCAAAGAGCCCGCAAGGTGCCTGTAATGAAAGAAGCGAGTCATTTGTACTAATTAATAGTTATGTACTCCGTAGTAGCGACGGTTTTGGCAGTGGGGAACATGCTTCCGCCACTTCCAAGGCTCCAAGACCCCAACTGGATACTTGTTCCGCCGCCTCCATCCGAAGGCTGACTGTAGCGTACGCTTGTCTCCGCTAGGCTGGAGCGCGATTTTATTAGTAGTTTATAGTGATTGTTGGCCGAAGTCGAGAAATTACGAAATTGCAGCAAACTAGTGCCGCGGAAACCCAAGTCGTAAGACAATTGGAAGCTTCCCATCTTCTTTCCATCTTCCTGACATCTAGTTTCTAGTTCCTCCCTATGAGACAAGTGATACCCTTGCCACACCCCGCCGAGTATCCAATAGTACGGGCGTGCGACGACTCAGAATATGCCTGCCGCGCAGGGATCGCTACGGGGCCTAATTCGCCGTATATTTGTTGAAGATTGATACACTAACTTCCTAGTAATAACATGCCCCTTATTTACCACACGTGGCAAATGGAGCAACGCCGCGGACAATTAGAACGCGATATATCTACAAGCCTTTGCGCTGCCTTTCCGATCCATCACACAAGCAGCAGAGCAACTGGCATAACTGGTTTGATAGGCACGACGGTCATTGGCAAGCAAGAGCACCCCATTTCCGCCCATCCATACTGTCTCTACCTAATCCACGCCCGCCATCATCATGCGCGCTTCCATTCTGTCGCTTGCGGCGCTCCTCGTCGCTGCGAGCGCGCAGCTGACGCCCCAGCTCATCCCGCTCCTCGCAAATGCCAATTCGGTCGACCTGTTCCCCATGGGCGATTGTCACGGCTTCCAACTGGAAGAGGCCACCATTGACCAGATGCAGGAGGCTATGAACAATGGCAACCTGACGTCGGTGCAGCTGGTGGGATGCTATCTGACCAGAGTGTTTCAGACTCAAGAATACATCAAGTAAGGCACTCCTCTGACATGCGAATTGCACCCCGTTTTCTTTTTTCTTCTGTCGGGAAGCCCTCGCTAACCTAAACACCCTCAATCCAGCTCCGTCCTGCAAGTCAACCCTGACGTCTTCGCCATCGCCGCCGAGCGCGATGCGCAGCGCGCGGCCGGCCAGGCCAAGGATCGTCCTCTGCACGGCATCCCCTTTACCCTCAAGGACAACATTGGCACCAAGGACAACCTGGAGACGACGGCGGGCAGCCTGGCGCTGCTGGGCAGCATCGTGCCCCGCGACGCGCACGTCGTGGCCCGGCTCCGCGAGGCCGGCGCCGTGCTCCTCGCCAAGGCCACGCTCAGCGAGTGGGCCGACATGCGCAGCAGCAACTACTCCGAGGGCTTCTCCGGCCGCGGCGGCCAGTGCCGCAGCTCGTACAACCTGACGGTCAACCCGGGCGGCAGCAGCTCCGGCAGCGCCGTCGGCATCGCCGCCAACGTCGCCGCCTTTTCGCTCGGCACCGAGACTGACGGCAGCGGTACGGGTCATCCCCTCCCCTCTTACCTGGACTTGCTGCCTGACCATGTTATTACGTGTTTGCTAATTCTCTGCCCCCATGGCTAGTCATCAACCCCGCGTCCCGCAATGCCCTGGTCGGCTTGAAGCCTACTGTCGGCCGGACCTCGCGCGCCGGCGTCATCCCGGAGACGGAGCACCAGGACTCGGTGGGCACGTTTGGGCGCACTGTGCGCGACGCCGTGTACGCTTTTGACGCGATCCACGGCGCGGACCCGCGCGACAACTACACGCTCGCCGACGGCATCAAGCCCGCGCCCAAGGGCGGCTACGCCTCGCTGCTGGCCAAGAAGTCGGCGCTCAAGTGCGCGCGGTTCGGGCTGCCGTGGATGAGCTACTGGCGGTTCGCCGACGACGAGCAGCTGGCGGCGCTCACGCGGCTGCTGGACATGATGCGCGCGGCGGGCGCCACCATCATCAACGGGACCGAAATCACCGACCACGAGACCATTGTCAGCCCCAACGGCTGGGACTGGGACTGGGGCGTGACGTCGCGCGGCCGCGCCAACGAGTCGGAGCTGACGTACGTCAAGATCGACTTTTACAACAACATGAACAAGTACCTGAGCGAGCTCACAAACACGAACGTGCGCACCGTCGACGACATTATCCAGTACAACTTTGACAATGACGGCGCCGAGGGCGGCCACCCGTGGCCCCGAGGCCACCCGGCCTACTTCTCGGGCCAGGACGTCTTCCTCGCCTCGCAGGCGACCAAGGGCGTCCAGGACGAGACGTACTTCCAGGCGCTGGGCTACTGCCAGTCGACGGCGCGCAGGGGCATCGACGACGCGCTCCGCCACAACGGCACGCGGCTCAACGGTCTGCTCGTGCCCCCGGCCGTCGGGCAGAGCTACCAGCAGGCCGCGCAGGCCGGCTACCCGGCCATTACGATTCCCGTCGGCGTGAGCTCCGACTCGGGCATGCCCTTTGGTCTCGCCATTTTGCAGACGGCCTGGCGCGAGGACGAGCTGGTCAAGTGGGCGAGCGCCATTGAGGACTTGCAGCTCACTTCCAACACGACGCTCAAGCGCACCCGTCCTACTTGGCGTGGCCATCTTACGCGCAACGTTCCTGTGCCGTTTTGAGACGAGTCATCGGCACTCGATGCAATAATATTGTCTAGTAATACTAAATAGATGTAGATAGAACAAGTTTCAATGGACATGTGTCACATGCTACTGCCCATGGTGGGGGGCCATGTAGTGTCAGCCCGTATTACTCTGGCCAAATTCTTTATTAAACAGTACCCAATCATGTTCAGCGGTGAAGTGTCCAGAGTCAATCCGGCGAGGGAAAAACCCTGGCGCATCGCTTCCAATCCGACCCCCCAAACCAAAGTCGATGAAGATAATCCGCCCAGCTTCGTCCTCCGTAATGTTGTTCCCGCGTATGTCGCCGTGACAGAAGCCTGCAGAATGAAGTCTTTCAAGTGCGTCGTGGATGTCAGACCTTCGTAATAGCAAGGTCGAGCGGCTCATTCCAAACAGACGTTTCATTCGAAAACCGCAGATCTCACCACTGTCTAGGATGGGTTGCTGATCGACTTGGACAACGGGCAAGTCAAGGAGTGCCATGCTCGTAAGGAGAGAGAATTCACGCTGGACCATCTGGATGAATCGCGAAGTTGAGTGCGCCAATTTCAAAATAGGGAAAGGAACGTCCTCCTGTATGCGAACAGATGCACATGAACCGTAACCGAACGCCGTCGATTGTGCCCAGAGGTCTCTCATACTAGCAGTCTGACGGATGGGGTTGACGCTGGCATCGGCAAATGTCGGGAATCCGCTCGGATCGGGACATCGAAACCCGCGTGGCCACGTGATAGAAAACGGCTTCCGGTTGTAATCTACAATAACCTGGAAGTGGCCAGGGACTTCAGCTTTTTGAGGCAGCGTTATAAATTGGGCAACTGCTTGGACTGGTTGCTCCCCCTGAGAGGACATCGTACGTGGGTGGTGTGTACCGCTCGTATTGTGATTTGGAGGCGTTTATTGAAGAAGAGATGCAATCGGTGAGTGACAAGTAGGAACGGACGAAAATAGCAGCAACGATGGCGAAATTTGCTTTGAACGGTGTGCCACCCACAACTCAGGGTAGACAGTGTTGGCCTGCAACCGACCGGCTTTGGACAAGTATAGCGAATGTCCGTTAACAAGCTGCGCATCAACGATAATATCACGAGAATATCCCAAGCAGGATGTCGAGTCTCCAGCAGACTGGTGTAGGTGGAAAGCAAAAAATGTCGTTGGCAATATGTTCATTCCAATGGTGACCGACTTAAGGTGGGGAATGTCTGTGCCTTCTAATACCCTACACTGCACGACTTGGGGGTTTCTTTTTATCTTATTCAAGGAAATAAATAACTACGGCTAGTTACATACAGTAGCTATGGAGGTGATTTCTTCCTTTTCTGGTGATAGGTGATACGGAGCTTTTTATACAGTCTCATGAGGCTCAGCGAGAGCAGCTGGGTGATGGCTATATTTACACATGTCGCCATCCTACGCCGCTGGCAGACGAGATGCGGCTCCGTTATGTGAAATTGCTCTTTGGCACTTATTCTATGAAGATCTTTTACCCCGTAGCTTCCGATGCTAGGCTCCCAGTTCTTTTATTAGTGCAGTTTCTCCACGGTACCAACCAACGCTTCGTGGCTGCTGGCTGCCGCGACGAGCGGTTCCGATTGTTTTTTTTTTCTTTTTTTTTTTTTTAATATTTACCACGCCGGTGCGCTACAGTGGCTGTTTGGGGGATTGCTGAGTTGTAATAAACTGACAAAGTCGAAGGTGTACGAAAATTGCAAGCTGAACTTGTGTCTCTAATATCATCTCTGAGCTTCGTGCAGCTCCCGCGACAAGAAAATAAAGTACACAGCGAACAAGCGAACGGGAACAATACACCTAGTTACAAACAAAAAAGAGTGACAACTGAACCAATAGTTTTAGCTTGTCATCTGCACTACCCACGACCTGTCACTCTTTACTCTTTCTTTCGAATCTGACCAAATCTCCGTTGGTGGCGCTATATATCTGTAGACTCTCCCTTTACAGTCATCTTCCCGCCATCCTCTCCCGCGTTTGCATCCTTCTCCTCGTGTTAGCCATCCCAATTCAATCATAATCCTGGGCCTCTCCCGTCGCGCGCGGGGCATGGTCCTGTGTAAGTGGAATCATGTTGATGGGGACGCATTGTGGCCTGACACACGGCCGCATCGATGGATAGATGCATTGGCTAATGCAGTCTCCTTGATCCAACATGTAAGATATAGTTGAGGATTTATTGAGTATTTACCAATTAGGAGTCTGGACCGCAATACCTTGAGGTATTGCATGTGCAAGCCGGCTGATGCCAATCAATGTTGCCCATCATTTATATGTCGACATGGCTTAGATGACCTACTCGTCAATCTCCCATCCTGGCCATTCGTTTCATCCAAAGTGTTCATCTGAATGTTACGTTGGTACTACAAGCTCAAATCATACCTCGCCCAAGTACAAAGCCAATCCCTGGTCAACTGAGCTCTCCAGAATGACTGTTACTTATGACAGCAAAGCCTCGCAACTGCCGGCCGAAGCCGCGACAGCGGGCAGCACCTCCAACTTTGACGGTCAGCAGACCGTCTTCTACGAGGAGCTTGGCTGCCTCGACGCCGAGACCTTTACTCGTGCCGCCCACCTGGCGCCCAACGTTCCGGAAGCGCCCGCCGCCTGGACGTACCGGTGCGTCGGCCACTGCGGCCTCTCCCCCTCTCTCTGCGTCGCGCACCTGCAGGCCCAAGTCGCCGAGCTGCGCGCCACGGCCGACGACGTGGCAGCCAAGTACAGCCGCGGCGTAGGTCCCATCAACAAGGGCTCCGGCCTGCTCTTCCCGGGCCGGCAGCAGTCGGCCGGCTGCAGCCGCTCGCCCGCGTGGGATGCGCTTGAGTGTCCGAGCCCGTGGTTCCCGGCCGACGGCACCGGGGTGCCAGCGCCCAATTTTTCCGCGCTCTTCAACGTCCGAACCAAGGGCTTCGTGCTGGTGGACCGCTGGGAGAAGACGGACGTGGCCTGGCTCGAGGGCACCGTGTCCCACGCGGCCGTCGGCGCGGCCTGGCGGCTAACAGGCGTCGAGGTCCGGTGCGTCGACAACACGCGGGAGACGGCGCCGTGGGCGGCGCAAACATCACTCGACGGCGGGCACCGGGGCCAGTTCACCTACTGCTGCCAGCTCCCGACGCTGGGCACCGAGCAGGACGCGCTCGCGCAGCAGCTCTTCGCCATTGGCGCGCTGCGCAACGCACGCGTTCTCAGCGCCGTCATGTGCTGCGTGGAGCTGTACCACACGGCCGCTCGGCTCCTCGAGATGCGGGACGCGACGATGGCAAGCGGGCGCGAGACGCGCGTCGGCGGGCTGCGGACGACGACACACGGCGTGGCCTTCTCCGCGGTGGCGCTGCGCGGCGACGCGCTCCCGCCCAAGCTCAGCGGCTACGCGACGTGCCCGACGGCGGCGTTTGCGGCGCTCTGCGCACGCGAGCACGCGACGGGAGCGATGCGCAACACGAGCGTCTTCGCCATGGGGCTCGGCTACGACCGCGGCGTGTACGGCGGCAGCATCGCCGGCCTGTGGGCCCTCATGGACGCCGGCTTCATGTACGACTACTCGACGGGCAGCTTTAGCCGGCGTCTGGGGCAGCGCATCGGCGACGCCTTTGCCGCGGCGCGCGCGCACGACGCGGGCGACGCCGCGCTCAACGCGCACCTGCTTGATGTCGTCACCATCATCGCCTGCAACTTCACCGCCATCAAGGCCAAGGCGGCGCTCGAGGACCGGCGGCGGCTGGCCTCGCGGCCGTGCATGGCCGTGTGGGAGGACCTGGCGGCCGCGGCGCGCTACCGCATGGCCGACGCCGCGTTTGCGCACGTCTGGTACGACAGCCCCAACGACATGCGCAGCCTCGTCATCGGCGGGCTCGGGTGCGCGATGCACGACCTCGTCGACGTCGGGCCCGACGTGGCCTGCGGCGAGGTGAGCAACCTGATCCCGTCGCTGACGGGGGGTGACCTGTCGGCGGGCGCGCTGCGCGGCGTGTACGTCGGGCTCATCGCCACGCTCGAGTGGTACGCCGACCACGACCCGTTCAACACGTCGGCGCTCGCCATCCTGTTCACGCACTGGTGGCAGCTGTGCAACCTGCGACACCGGCTGGTCGCGCTCATGAGCCGTCTCGCGCCGTCGCCCGCCTACGCCGTCTGCCCGGAGAAGCTGGCGGGGGAGCTGACGTTTGCGTGCATCACGCCCGGCCACGGGCTGCGCTTCGCTGAGGGGCAGGCCGTCATAGATGCGCAGCGCGCGGAGCTGGCGCGCATCGAGGCGGAGCTGGCGGCCGCTGGTGTCACGGATCTCGACGGGCTGATCCAGAAGCTCGTGCGCCCGGTGCTGGAGTACGCCGACGGCAAGGAGACGCGCCTGCCGGTCGAGGTGGTGTACTGTGCCGACGTGCTCGAGGCGATGCTGGCGCGCGCCCACTCGGACAAGATCCGCGCGCTCTGGCGGCTCATGCTCGTCATGTGGAAGTGCGGCGCCATGTGGATGGCCGTCCTGGCCAACACGCAGTACGCGCACCAGGGGCTGACCAACTGCGACCGTGGTCGCGACGACTACAACGCGGCGACATGGGGCAAGGCCGAGGCGGCAGAGGCGCGGGACGTCGTAGGGACTGAAGAGCTCGTAAAGGACGGTAGCAACAGTGTCGGTTTCCAGTGGCTACTCTCCAAGGTACGCAGCCTGGCGGAAAGGCTATGGGCTGTCGTAGTATAGGTTGAAATATGACAGTGGAATAGGGAAATATGAAACTACAATTCGGTGTGATTACTTTTTCACATTTTGCACACTACTACCTGTACTTAATCATAATTTTCTACTACACTTATTTATTATTTAATAAAACTAGGCAATATTTTAGCACTAAATCCTCTCCTTCTATCATTAATCACACCTGACTACCTTCTTAGTAGTAGTGACACCTGTTAGCTGATGGACAGTCAATTTAGGGGGAGGGGGATAACAACGCAATTATTCCTTCTTGAAAGAAATCTACAAATACTACATGGCCCTTCTTCTACTAGCGTGTACTCTTATTAAAGGGCGCCTTCTTGGTGGCAACTCTACTGTGGCACGGCAAGGTTTCAAAGCGACATTCGCCGGTCGAGACCAGAACCAGATGGAACTGAGACGTACCGAAAGGCAGACACTATAGTACGTGGAATGCTGGGATTCGAACTTCGGCCGTCTTATGGAAAGTTAATCAGAGTTTCGAGACGATCCGGGCCATCGTTGTAGTTGCATGTCAGTCTTGATGCTCCGAACCACTGCGGCACACACGACTCGTTGTCGCTTATTTCACAAACCCAGCTATTCTGGGCTATACCACTTCCCCCCCGCAGACAACCTCGAATTCGCGCAACGCTCTACGCCCGAGCGTACTCAATCAGATCCCACAGGTTGCCGTACAAGTCCTTGAAGACGGCCACGGTGCCGTAGTCGTGCACCGCAATCGGCCGCGCCCACTCCACGCCCGCGGCCGTCAGCTTGGCGTAGTCGCGCTGGAAGTCGTCGGTGGCGAGGAAGAGAAACACGCGGTCGTCGCCCGTCTGCCGCCCGACGGCCGCGAGCTGGTCGGGCGAGGAGGCGCGCGCGAGCAGGATCGTGGTCGCGCCGGGGGGTGCGTTGGGCGGCGCAATGGTGACCCAGCGCTTGTTTTGCTCGGGAACGGGCCGGTCCTCGACGAGGACGAAGCCGAGCTTGTCAATGTAAAAGGCGAGGGCCTCGTCGTAGTCACGGACGACGACAGAGACGTGGGCGAGATGCGGCATTTGTGTGTATCTGTGTGTGTGTTTGGTTGTAAGTGGGAAAAGGTGAAATGTGTGGAGAAACGCATGGTGGACACCCTCTTGTCCTGGGACGGCACGACGAAAGAGAAAAAGACTGGTCATAGTACACAGTTCTCATTAAATTCAAATCGCTTTTGATATATACCCAGACACACGAAAACAGGCCACCAATGATTCATGAAAAAATGGTACATTACAGCTTCGCAAACAAGCCAGCGCAGGCACCCTTGCCGAGCTGCACTAGTGTGCTCTTCGTGCGCATGTAGGCGCGAATACCTTCCTCGCCATTCTCCAGGCCGATACCGCTCATCTTCCAGCCGCCGACGGGCATCTCGGCGGGAGACTCACCCCAGGTGTTGATCCAGGTGATGCCAGCGTGCAGCTGGCGGATGACGTCCTGGGCGAGGCTGAGGTCCGAGGAGACGACGCCGGCGGCGAGGCCCATGGAAGTGTCGTTGGCACGGCGGACGACGTCGGCGAGCCACTGGTCTTGGGTGCGGCCACGGACAGAGTAGGGTAGGAGACACATGACGGGACCGAAAATTTCCTCGCGGACGACGCGCATGTCGTCGTTGCAGCTGGTGAAGATGACAGGCGGCACCCAGTATCCGTTGGGGGTGGGCTTCTTGCTCTGGGCCTCGGTGGCGCCGTCGTAGAGGACCTTGGCGCGGTCGACGTCCTTGCCGTGCTGGATGTAGGCCTTGACCTTGTCCATGTGCGGGGCGGAGACGAGGGGCCCGAAGTTGGTGGCCTCATCGCGGGGCATGCCCATGCGGATGCCTTCGCGGCAGCGCTTGATCAGGGCCTGCTCAAGGGCGGGCAGGAGGGAGTCGGGGACGAAGACGCGGGTGCCGTTGGTGCAGACCTGGCCAGTGGAGAAGAAGTTGGCCGCCATGGCGACGTCGGCGGCCTCATTGACGTCTGCGTCGGGGAGGATGACAACAGGACTCTTGCCACCGAGTTCCATGGTGATGCCCTTCATGTCCTTGGCGGCTGAGGCGGCGACCTTGCTGCCAGTGCTGACCTGGCCGGTGAAGGAGACCTTGGCGATGCCGGGGTGGGAGACGAGGGGCACGCCGGCGCTGGGGCCATCACCGTAAATGACGTTGAAGACACCAGGCGGTACGCCAGCCTCAAGGTAGATTTGCGCGAGGGTGTTTGCGTGGAGCGGGGTGACCTCACTGGGTTTGTAGACCATGCAGTTGCCGGCGGCGAGGCAAGGAGCCGACTTCCAGAGGGCAATCTGGATGGGGTAGTTCCAGGCGCCGATGCCGGCGCAGACGCCGAGTGGCTCGTGGGTAGTAAGGATGTAGGCGTCGGGGCGGAGGGTGGTGTGCTGTCCTGGCTGGCCGCCGGCGACCATGTGGGCGTAGTACTCGAGGACGTCGGCGCCAGTGACGACGTCGACGGTCGACGTCTCGGACCAGGCCTTGCCCGTGTCGAGCGTCTCGGTCAGGGCGAGGGCATCGTTGCGGGCGCGGAGCAACGCGGCGGCACGGAGAAGGATGGCGGCGCGTTTAGGCGCGGGCGTCTGCGACCAAGTCGGGAAGGCCGCGTGGGCCGAGGCGACGGCGTCGTCGATTTGTTGGCGGGTTGAGGTATAGATGGTGGCAAGGGGCGCGGCGGTACTAGGGTCGATGGATTGGAAGGTGTTGGCGGTGGATGAGGTCTTGGGCTGCGGCTGGCCCGAGTGGAAGGTGTGAATCTCTTGGGCAAAGGTCATGGTGGTGGTGGTGGTGGTCGTGATGGCTTCGTTTGTGGTAGTTGTACGAAGATGGATGTCGTCGAGTGTGACGCAATGTAAATGAGATTGCAGGGCTCACTGTCCGGGGATGGGTGTGTGGATGCAGATTACGACAATGGACACGAGAGTTGTTGCCGAGCAAGGCAGGTGGTCGGCAAGAAACTAACGAATTGAGCTCTGTTGCAGGAGGTGATGATGGGAGCTTGCTGGAGAGAAGCTGGTGACGGAGGGATGCGCGGCGGCCGTTATGGGGCCACGAGCTACAAGGGTAAGAACGTTTTAGCGGCAACTACAGCGATGACAGGACCAAGAGGTACAGAAAGTATTAGTTACAGCAAGTAAGTACAGTGGCAAGGCTGGCAGGTTACAGTGGAGATATGCAGCCATACAAGGTAGGTAGGTAGTAGCCCACAACACCAAGTGCCTGAGCACTGCATTACTCGCGATGCATCAGAGGCAGACGGGGTAAAGTGCTGATTCTGGCAGTCACTTGTACATGAAAAATAAATGGTGAAAGATGGGCCATTTTCGAGAGCATCGCAGAACTGGGATGCGATGTTGGCACGGGAAGGTAATGGGAGGAATGGGAGTACTACGGAGAACAGTACTACTCTTCAGTACCTTGAACAAGCCACTTGTCTTCAAGCCGAGCTGAAGCGGAGACCGCTACGGCCGCAACACGGAGCACGGTCCGATCAGGTGGTTTGTACCCCGGCAGCCGGGGCGGTTGTTGTGTTATCTCAACCGGTACTTCTGTACATATCTGTCGACCGTGACAAGATACGTAGCCGGGCGTGGTTCGGCATTGGCCGCCAGCAACGAGTCGTCGGTCCAGCTCGCCAGCCACGATGGCGCTGAAAGGCAACGTTATCCATGCAAGTAGTTGGACCATGGCGCCACTAACTAACTAGGTAGGTATCGGCCAGGGTCTGGAAAGGCATTGATGGATAGATTGCTGCTTCTCCAAGTCTCTTCGCGACCAACTTGCTTTGCACAACAGGCACAACCCCGGCTCGGCGCCCCTCCTACAGAGGGCCCCCAATCCCCAAAGCGGTCACTAACTAGCATCTGCAGAGGGTAGAGGGTTTCCACTTGGGACTTGCTGATTTTTTCTAACTAACTATAATAAAAGTGAAGAAAGAAAAAAAAGGAAGAGGAAAATTCAACCGTCTTGGCGGGGGTGGACGAACGGGGAAAATGACATCAGCGACCCGCCAAAGCTCCGCCAGGGCCTAGCGGGCGCTGTAAAAGCCTCGAAGCCAGGAAGAAACAGCGCGGCTACAGGGCGCAAAAAGCCTTGCAGCAAGCAAAGAAGCAAAGCAGCAAAGCAAGAGAGTGGGCCACTACACCACTGCACCCCACTGTCCACCTGCATGTACAGGCATGGCAGCGTCGTATTCAACGGGGAAAGGCACAAGAACAAAAGAAGAAAAAGGAAGAAGAAGAAAATTCTCGCTCCTCAGCCAGATGCGTAGGAAATTGTAGGAAAAAGTAAAATTGCCGACCTGATGGCGCCATGCATTACGCTAACTACCTACCTCTTCCCTTTTTCTCCCTCTCCAGCTCCTGTAAGCTGTAAGCCATGGCTGCGGGGGGTGCGACAAGTCCAGCCCCGCCCATCGCGCAAAATCTACACCGTGCATCTAATTGCCAAGTTCGCACTATACCACACCACACAATCATGGCGGTGCCACACAGTGTGTGCAGTGCCTCTCAAAATCTCGTGGTCCCCTCCTTCCTATGTACGTAGTACCCTTGTCCCGGCCATCACCACATCGCGACAAGAACAACCAAGTCGGTGAGACGGACCTCTTCTCTGACCTGACGACCTGACTGACTCTCCCAGAGTGCCAGGGTCCACCCGCTCAGCCAACTCGCGTGATCGCAATTAACAATTCCGATGCTCCGCCTCGCACAATCGCTGCTGTGGGTGGGTGGCCCGGAGCCATGAATAGTAGCGCCGAACTAGTTATCCATCTTGCCATCCTCTTGCCTCGCCTGTAAAGTGTAACTAATAAACTCCCAATATCTTGTCACATTCTTTTTTCGTTTTTAAATATCTACTAACTAGACCTTGCCCTCCAATTCTCAAATCTCCAAAACCCCGTTTCCCCAATTCTCCTCTCCATCTTTTTTTTTGCTATCAACCAACATCCTCTCTTCCCTCCTATCATCACCACGACTCACATATTGCTTCAACATCTCCTTCTCATCAATCCAAGCCGCCAAAAGTGACGTTGAATCGCCTACTTTGAGCTTCCTCTCCTGCTCGCTCCGTGACCCCGACGACGAACAGATCCGCTCCGGTTCCGGTCAAGCCTGCTTCTGCTGCTCCACCTGGACCTTTGTTCCCTGCAACAGCTATTCTCATTTTTGGTACTGCCCGGCTGCGAGACACTCTTTTCCCATTACCAACAAAATCATCGCCAAAATGACGACCCAGGCTCTTCCCGCCTCCGCCGCCACCAGCTTCGACTACATCATCGTCGGTGGCGGCACCGCCGGCTGCGTCCTCGCCGCCCGCCTCGCCAGCTACCTCCCCGAGCGCAAGGTGCTCCTCATCGAGGCAGGCCCGTCCGACTTCAACCTCTCCCAGGTCCTTAACCTGCGCGAGTGGCTCTCTCTCCTCGGCGGCGAGCTGGACTACGACTATCCCACCACGGAGCAGCCCAACGGCAACTCCCACATCCGCCACTCGCGCGCCAAGGTCCTCGGCGGCTGCTCCTCCCACAACACCCTCATCTCCTTTCGTCCCTTCCGCCACGACATGGACCGCTGGGTTGCCCAGGGCTGCACTGGCTGGACCTTTGACAATGTCACCCGCCACATTGACAACCTCCGCAACACCTTCCAGCCCGTCCACACCCGCCACCGCAACCAGCTCTGCAAAGACTGGGTCAACGCCTGCTCCACGGCGCTCGGCATTCCCGTCATTGACAACTTCAACTCGGAGATTCGCGAAAAGGGCCAGCTTGTCGACGGCGCCGGCTTCTTCAACATCTCGTATAACCCAGACGACGGTAAGCGCAGCAGCGCCTCGGTCGCCTACATCCACCCCATCCTCCGTGGTGACGAGCGTCGCCCCAATCTCACCATCCTCACCGAGACTTGGGTCTCCAAGGTCCATGTTGAGAATGACACTGCCACCGGCGTCGACATTGCCTTCAAGTCGGGTCAGAAGATGACTCTCCGTCCACGCAAGGAAATCATCCTCTCGGGCGGTGCCGTCGACACTCCCAAGCTGATGCTGCACTCTGGCCTTGGCCCCCGCGACCAGCTCCAGTCTCTGGGAATCCGCGTCGTCAAGGACATTCCCGGTGTTGGTGAGAACCTGATTGATCACCCCGAGACCATCATCATGTGGGAGCTCAGCAAGCCTGTTCCCCCCAACCAGACCACCATGGACTCGGACGCCGGCGTCTTTATCCGCCGCGATCCCACCAACGCCGCCGGCAACGACGGCGACGCCGCCGACATCATGATGCACTGCTACCAGATCCCCTTTACGCTCAACACGGAGCGTCTGGGCTACCCGCTCATCCCCGACGGCTATGCTTTCTGCATGACGCCCAACATTCCCCGCGCCCGCTCTCGCGGCCGCATCTATCTTACCTCGGCCGACCCCAACGTCAAGCCCGCTCTCGACTTCCGCTACTTTACCGATCCCGAGGGCTACGACGCCTCCATCCTCGTCGACGGCATCAGGGCCGCCCGCAAAATTGCCGAGGAGGCCCCCTTTAAGAACTGGCTCAAACAAGAGGTCGCTCCCGGCCCCAAGGTGCAGACGGATGAGGAAATCAGCGAGTACGCCCGCCGTGCCGCCCACACCGTCTACCACCCCGCCGGCACCACCAAGATGGGTGACATTGCCAAGGACGAATTCGCCGTCGTCGACCCCGAGCTCAGGGTCCGCGGCATCAAGAAGCTCCGCATCGCCGATGCCGGTGTCTTCCCCGAGATGCCCTCCATCAACCCCATGCTTACCGTCCTCGCCATTGGTGAGCGCGCTGCTGAGCTGATTGCCATGGAGGAAGGCTGGAAGCCCGACGCCAACAAGCCCCGCCTGTAGATGCACCTACTTGTCGACTGTACAATTTTTTCCCAACGTGCTCTCACTTTGAACGTGCTTTATTTTTATTTTTGGAAACGGACACAGTTTGGAACATCAAGAACAAAAGACCCCTCGCGTTGGCCAATGAGGGCGCTCAGCCCCCTTGGCCTGCAAGGCACGAGTACAACATGTATATATCAGTCAAGCACATGACATCACTTGGACACGAATATGTAGGCAATTAGTTACGCTAGCAATGACGAAGACGATTATTTTTTTGCAATCGAGGGGCCTGTGTGAGTGCAATACACAAATGGTATTGTGAATGCCAAGAGAACCTATCATGACTCTTATTAAATAGGTTAATGAGTAAAACAAGGACCCATAAACAGAAAAAGAAACAAAGAAAGAAACCATCGCTTATAATGCTCATGCCGAATGCACGCTCTAAATACAATTCAAAATCTTCACAATATCATTCACCAGCTCCTGCGCTGCATCATCCGTGATGAGCGCGTGTGGGCCAAACACGCCCACGTCGAGCCGGCCATTTCGCACGGCGAATTCAACATCCACAGAGTCCTGTTTATCGAGTTAGTGATGGCTTCAACACCACATGATCTGAAAAAAAAACGTACAGGATAATATTCACAGACTGCATTGTTGGCAACAGATGCATCCTGCACAGCACGTTTCACGATTCCGTGTTCTTCATGACGCGTCGATGTGCTTGGCATAAGCCGCAAAGAAGTATCCGCCGATGCGCCAAGCTCTTCCTCTTCGACCGGCAGCGTCAAGAAGTTGACAAACCTGTCCACCTGGACGCCCGTCCACCGCGCCACCTCCCACAGCCCTACCTGCGCGGCGGCGCCGTCGTCGGTGGCCGTGATGCGCTGCAGGTCGGCGTGGACGCGCCGCGCCACGGCCACCACGTCATTCTCGTCGGCGCCTCCGTCGAGCGTAATTCGCAGGGGCACCAGATTGAGCGTGGGCAGGGTCGCGGTGATCCGGTCGTCGGCGCGGCGGGCGAGGTACAGACCGAGCACTATGCTCGACGACGACGCCGGCGGGCGGGCGAGGGACAGTGCGTAGGCAGCGAGGATGATGGACTGCATACTGATACCATTTGTGGCAGCGAGGTTACCCACGCTGGATGTGTCACGGGAAGCGGCTTCTCTGTAGAAGGAAGTTCGGGGCCCAGTCAAGTCAGTCTGCCGTGCAGTAGCATTGGTGCATCCGTCAAGATACTTGGTCCAGAAAGCTTTTCGCGCGGCCTTTTGGTCGTCGCCTTCTCTAGCCACAGCCATGTGCGCCCAGTCATGCATGTCCACCGTGTCGTTGGACCGGCCTGCCCTTAATTGACAGACAAGGGCGTCCATGATGGCAGGGAGACTAACGCCGTCATACAAGACGTGATGGATGCGCAGCCGCAGTACAACAGCATCTGGCGCCTCCATATTCTGCTCAATTGTGAGGCGAGCAAACGGCTGCAAGCCCGCACCCGAGCTGCCCGGCTTGATCAACACCTGAATAAAAGGAAGGTCCTGCTGTCCGGTGGCAAGGAGACATGTGCGGAGCATCGGGAGCTGCGCCACCACGCGCGCCCACGCATGCTGAATGTCCGCGACGGCGTGTGACCCGGAAAGGTGGTAGGAAAATTCCGGGTAGAATAGCTGGCCGTTGGTGTTTTGCCAGGCGCTCATCATGTACACTTGCATGGGCAGTGCGGGCAGGACGTGCTCGACCTGGTCGCGAGGAATGCCAGCGTCGCCCAAGAGGGAGTCGACGTCGACGTCTTCGGGTGCCGTCCACGACTGCCAGCGCAGGTCAGCCGCAGGTATTTCGAGGCGCCGCAACGCGCCGACTTGCTCGGCCATGTGCGCGATGCTGTCGGCGCGCACCAGCTCAGTCGGCCGGAGGATGATGCCCCTCTGTTTGAGTAGCGCCGACACTTTGATGGCGGTGATGGAGTCAAGTCCCAAATGATACAGCGTGCTCGAAGCCTCGATTGCATTCTCTGAGATATTGGAAACTTGACTCAAGACCTCTCTGATGGTTAGTGACGTTGCGTTCCACTCGCAGGGTGTAGTCTTGTCAGTCCGTGGACTTTGGTTGTCGTCGTCTTCCACCAAACGAATAGGCTGGCATCCACAGATTTGCGCGCCCGTATGCGAGAATGTGACGACATCTTCTTCAACATGACTCATGATATACTGGAGAGCAGCGTCTAGCTCAACAAGCAAATCCTCCGAAAATTGTCCTCCATCGACTTGGCCCCGGCAAGCCACCGTCCACTCCAACCCAGCTGCGCCCGCCGCAGCTTCCACACACACGGGATAGTCCACACCCGACGATCCTTCCACAGACTGAAACAAAGACTCGGAGCTGTCTTCGGCTGGAGACTTTTGCAAAAGGAACAAAGAATTGAACAAATTCTTTCCAGCCACCTTGGCAGCCTTGAGGGCTTTGCGTAGAGGGAACATTTGATATGATCGCAGCTCACCGAAATTATCTTCCATGTACTGCAGAAAAGAGCTGATAGATCCATGCAAAATACACCTGATTGCGACAGTATTCATCGTCGGAAATAATACCTCATTCGCCCCTTCAAAATCGCGTCCTGAAAGAATAGAGCCAAAGACAACATCAAGCGAGCGTGTCCTGCGCGCGAGGATGATGGCCCAGCAGGCTTGGCAAAGCGATTGGAGACTAATCTTCTGCTCTCGGCAGAAACGGTTTATATCGCCAAGCCCGATGGAAGAAATAGACTCGACTTTTTCAACATTGGCCGAGTCCGGCTCTGCTTGGGGCACAATTGTCGGGCGCGCCCCTTCCAGGTAATTCCCCCAGAAGCCTTCTGCTTCAGAGGTGAGGGACGTGAGTGACTTGAACAAGAACCGGTCTGGCGATGGTCGGGACACTGTTCCGCCATGGTAAATGGCTCTCAAATCTTGGTGAAGCAACCCCAGAGACCAGCCATCGTACAGAGCGTGCGATATGGAAAGCACGAAAAAGTTCGTCTCCCCAAGGGTGGCACGTACAACGCGGGCGAGGTTGCTAGTGGCTGCGCTCTGACGGGCGCTCGCTCTACTTTGTTCCCGAATGGTCTGTAGCTCGTCCATAGAGGTTATAGTCACTTCGGAAACAGCGGGAGAAGACTTGTAGACGACCTGGGCATAGACTGCAGGCGCTTGTGGGTCGATGAGCTCAACGAAGCCTGTTCGCAGGATTGGGGTCGTCTCGAAAAGCTTGGCCCAAGCAGCCTGGAGCTTGTCAACGTCGATGTCCGGCGCAACCTGGAGTACTTCATGGTTGAAATACCAAGTAAAATCAGATTCAATCATGCCAGACACCATTGTGTCTTGAAGCGGTGATGTTGGAAGGATGTCATCCACTATTGTCATATCAAAGTCAGTCCCCTCGACGTAGTGGCGGAGCTGGGACTTGATTTCTTCCAGTTCGTTCATGTCACTCGATGGAAGGTTAGTTGCCAATTGCGTAGCCGAATTTACTAACGAAGCCATCGAGTGCCCTTTCATGATTGCCGAGGGACTAATGATGAAATTGTGTCTCTTCAGACGAGCGGAGAGCTGGACCGCGTCAATGCTATCCAAACCGAGCTCAAGCCAGGTGGACGAGGGTGCGATGTCAGCCTCTGGAATGTTGGAGAGAGCTCCAACCTCTCGTCTCAAAACTTGGGAATTCAGACTCCAAACCTCTTCTTTATATTCGTTCAGTGGTTTCGCATTCGAACAGTCAAGGAGGGTCGATTCGACTTGAACAGGAATAGAGGCATCCACTTCGATGCTTGCGAGCATGTCTTCAAATACATCCAGCATGTCGTTGAGCGCTCTCTCATTTGTCAGGTAGCTTTTCGCGACGATGAGAAGCTGCATAGTGTCGTCGTAGCGTTTAGTGACTTCCAGCGCCAAGGGATAGTCAGGATTCAGACCGCCATCCTCGATTTTCCATGGCATGTCATTTGGACCTATCTGATCTTCAATCTGGTATGCAAAAAGGGTTTCGAATAGTGGCTGGCCGTTTGTAGCCCACTTCTGTAGCTGCTGCAATGGCACGTGAGGATCTTTGAGCACCGTAGCGTTGAAATCTTGGCATCGCTGAAGAAGGGCGTGCCAGGTTGAAATGGACGAGATTTTGGCAAAGAAGGGAACCGTGTTCAGCAACGGCCCAACGGTCTTCTCAACACCTGGCAGTGTAATTGATCTGCCCGAAACAATGACTCCGGTCGTGATGTTGCCACGGCTTCGCGTCTGAAGAGCCGACACCCAGATAGCCAGTAACAGGGACTGCATAGTGACATTGCTGGCCGATCGGAGGTTCTTGAGTTTCGATAAACTAAGCAGTCGGGTTTGGGCTATGGGGGTATTGCTCTTCCCTTCCTGCGAGAGAAGCAGCGAGGAGCTTGACCAGCCCTCCAGATGCCTCATCCAGGCCTGCTTAGCGTGGTCGTGGTTTCTTAATGGTCCATGAATGAGGGCATCTGCAAACGAGGGGCCGGCTTTCGTTTCAACGTTGTTGCAAAGACTTGCAAGTCTCTTCATCATCAGATCAAAGCTTGCACCATCATATAAACCATGGAAGATGTGCAGCACAATGACTCGAATGTCGGTGCCAGTGACGAGGGTGATTTTGATGGGGGCATGCACGCCGTCGCTGTTGTCGCGTATCCACGATCGTCGCAAAGACTCGACAACGCCGTCAATCGTCTCGTCATCAGCAAGCGAGCGTTCGTCCCATGGTAAGCTAATGTCGCGGCGGGCGACTTGGACATATTCATCAGGAGTGTGCAGGAAAGTCGTCCGAAGAATTGATTCCTGCGCGAAGAGAGAGTTGAACGCTTCTTGTACAGCCTGAACGCCAGTTTCGGGGTTTAAATGAAGCTTGAAAATGTTAAAGTAAGCGCCCTCGGCATCTTCCACCGCAGTCTTTGCGAGCATCCCCTGCTGCAGCGGAGAGCATGGATATATGTACTCAAGATCTGACGGCAGCACATGTAGCTCCCTACAAACCCGAGCTCTATGCTTGTGTTGGAAAGCCTGCACTTTTTGTCTAGTGCGCTTGAATTCCGCCGATGTATCCTGGGAATTGCTGGTTGACAGTGCGACGGCGAGATCAGCCACGATGGGGTTGCGAAGAATCAGCGCTGGTGATGCCGTAGACATTCCCTCGTCCACGAGGAAGGCGGACAGCGATAGAGCCGTAATGGAGTCAATGCCATAGTCAAAAATGCTTGCGGAATCATCCATCTCAGAGCCTTCCAGGTTGCAAAATTGTGCGAGTGAGGAAATGAGCTTCTTGTAGCTGGGGCTGTCCCTGGAAAGGTTGCGCTTCGCTGTAGGCGACCCGAGCCTGACCAGTTCTTCTTGCGAAAGCGCCAAGAAAAGCTTCCGCAGCTGCTTGGCTTCGGCTTTGTTGTTGGGAGAGAGCGGAATAAACGGAAGCTTCAAGAAATACGAGGGAACCATGTATCCAGGGAGTTTGTTTCTGCACATAGCTCTCGCATCCGTGCTGACACCACTGCCGTCGGCAAGAATCTCGAGTAGTGCGCTGCGGTCTTGGTCCTCGACGATAAAAGACACAAGCACATCCTTTCCGCTAAACTTGTGCTTGGTGACGAGAGTAGTCACGTCGTGGATATTCTTGACAGACCGGACGACATGGTCAATCTCGCCGAGCTCCAGCCGCTGGCCGCGAAGCTTCACTTGATCATCTGCGCGGCCCAGAAACTCAAAGCAGCCGTCGTGCAGTATGCGAACCAAGTCACCCGTTCGGTAGATTCTCTCACCAAAGGCCTTGAGAGTCGGAAACTTGTCGGCCGTCAGCTGCGGTCGATTGAGGTAGCCTTTGCCCACGAGCTTGCCGCTGACACAGAGCTCTCCAACAGCGCCTCTGAATACGGGTATCTCCGTGTCTGTATGGAAGACGTATGACCCCACGTTTCTAAACTGTTTGCCGATATTGCTAGGCCGACCGTTCTGAGGCACACGCTGGTAGGTAGTGACGCCAATCGTGGCCTCGGTTGGGCCGTATGCGTTGTAAATGACAGCTTTCGGCCCCCATGTATCCAGAATTTCTTGCTTCAGCTGTTCTCCGCCCGTGATGAAGACACCACGACAAAGACCAGGTACTGTGTCGGGGTGAGTGAGTCGGGCCAGACTCGGTGTCAGATCAATGTGCGTGATGTCGGCATTGTTAATGAAGCCAATGAGATCATCCAGAATCAACTCCTTCTTGGCCGCAACGACTGTGATTCCGACAGACCAGCTCCAGTACTGCTCAAGAACCGAGACGTCGAAATGCAACGCTGCGAATTGGAGCCAGCGAGAGTCATCAGCCCAGTGTCCCCGAAACAGGTCCTGGAAAGCCATCATGCACTGCACCGTGTTCTCATGCGTAATCTCGCATCCTTTCGGCGTGCCAGTCGTTCCGGAAGTATACAGGCAGTAGCAAGTGCTACTAGGAGTGAGACTGCCATTTATCTCGCACGGCGTCTCCGGGTAGTCATTGAGAAGCGCCTCGTCAATGACAATGACAGGGCAAGACACATCAAAGTCAATGGTACTTTCGTCGCTGGTTAGAAGGCAAGGGGGCCTGGCGTCTTGCAAGATGAATTCCTTCCGAGCATTCGGTGCGTTGACGTCTAGCGCAACAAAGGCAGAGCCAGACTTCAAGATGCCGAGCATGGCAAAGTACGCTTCCGGGCATTTGTCAAAGTGAACTGCGATGATGCTGCCAGCATCTGTGTGGCTTGAAAGCATGTTGGCGACTTTGTTGCCGATGGCGTCGAGTTGTGCAAATGTCCATTGCTCGCGAACTGGCTTATTGCCTATGAAGCCACTCACATGTTCCAGTGCAATCTTGGTCGGGTTGGTCTTGGCCTGTACTTGCACAAACTGATGCAAGAGTTGCACGGGTGCATCCATGGCAGGTTCCAGGGGCGGCGAGACAGCAAACATATCGGGGTGGTATTGGTGCAGGTCATGCTGGTGGCCATCCGGATTGATGACGAGATCTTCCAGGCTGGCGTCAAACTGGCGCAGTAGCATCTTGGCCTGCTCGCAAGGCAAAACGTCGCTGAAGTAGGTGATGCGCAAGCGAATACTTCCATGATCGGTAGGCTCTACTTCAAGCGACACGGGAAATTCAGCGGCTGCGTCATCCTGCTTCTGGACCCATGGTCGCTCACTTGTTTCACCTTGAATCTTTTGGTATGCGATCAGAGTGTCAAAGACTGGCGTTGCCGGGTGGCCCATTTCCTTTTGAATGCGGCCCAGAGGGAGATATTGGTGTTGATGAATGTCGGAGACGGCGCGCATCATCTGATCCAGGAGAAGCTTGTTTGACCCAACGTTTTGAGCAACCACAGGCACAGTTGTCAGGCAGGGAATAGGTGTGCTAAGTGTTGCCTCGCACGTTCTACCAGACAGAGTAACACCAAAGACGACTGCCTCTTCTCCAGTATAACTTGCGAGAAGCCGAGTCCACGAAGCCAGGATCGCCGTCTGCACAGAAACCTCGAGGTTGCGGGTCAGTTGGTGCAAGCCAGAGCTTGTCAGGGTCGACGTCAGCTCTTCCACCAGTATAGCTCTCTTCGTTTCTCTCAGCGGCGTGAGAACAGGAAAGCGGTTAATCGTTGCCCGCTCCCCCTGCTGGCGCCAGAATGAGCAGGCCTCTTCCTGCTCCCCGGCGCTGCGCTCTAGCACTGCAGAGAGGCCGGTCACGACATTTTGCACAGGCCGAGCTTCTTGGCCATTAAGCAGTCTCCCAAAGTTGGACAATATTTCTTCCAGTGAAGTTGCGTCGTAGAGGGCGTGGTGGATGATCAAGTGAATATGAACCGCATCATTCACTGTCGTGACGGCCAACCTCCACAGTGGTAGCTCCAACCGCGCCTGCATTTCCCTCGCCGCATTCTCTTTCCAAGCGCGACAATCTGAATTACTGTCTTGTATAGTAATCAATCCTTCGCACTGCACAGCATTGTACTGAATCATGGCGTAGGCAGTGTCGGTACGGCGAACTGAAGCAAAGCCTGTCCGCAGCATAGAATGGACAGAAACCAGCTGTGTCCATTGTTCAATCACCAAGGCACAAGTGATATTTTTATTCATCTCCAGGCTCGTTTCGTTGAGATAATGCACTCCGTCAGAAGACGCAAAGGCTGACAGCATGGCCGACTGCATAGGTGTGCAGGGGAATATTTGGAACGCATCCCCGGGCAGGCTCAGCGTACGACGCATCTCGGTGTCAAATGCGCTCAGGTCATATGATCTCGGCTCTTTTTTCACTTGGTAGCCGTTGTCAAATATTCGCTGGGCAATTTTGAGGCAATTCTGACAGTCAATAACGTCGGATGCCGAGACGGAGTAGCTCTTCTGGCGCAGAAATGCTGCTACCTGAACAGCATTGATACTGTCAAGACCAAGCTTGAACAAACTCGTGGTTTTCTCAATGAGCTGGACAGGTGTCTGAGACAGCTCAGCCAGGACGCCCCGAACAGCCAGCTCCTCGTCGGTCCAGGTGGAGGAGTCGCCGCCATCTCTGTCATATCCCTCGTCATCGTCTTCAAAGGCCCAAGGTTGTCTGAGACGCACTTGATCAAGTAGTGTTTCGGGGATGCTGTATCTATCCAACACTGTATGGGGAGCCTCGAGCATATGCGACAGAATGTGCTTAAACAGTTCCGCAATTCCGGCAGCTAGGGTAAACGGCACCGCAGACATGTCGTAGTGTACGTCGAGCACCAGCGTGTTGAGGTTGGGGCATGGCGTGACTTCGCAGACAAGGGGTAGATCCATGGTACCTGCGTCTTCTTCCAGAGTCCAAACATTGACGTCCATTTCCTGCAGGGGCTGCTGTACGAGAAGCAAAGCGTCAAACAAGGTCCTGGTCTCCTTCGCTGCAAGCTTCTGAACCTGGCGCAGAGGCGTGAATTGATGCTCCAACATGCTCGTATTCAAGTTCAACAAGTTCTTAGCCAGATCAATATTGGACAGCGGATCTGACATGTCCTGGCGTATAGGCACAGTGTTGAAGCACGGCGCCACCAGACGTTCAATGCCCTCGAGTCCAATTGTTCGTCCGCTCATGACATTTCCGAAACAAACATCACTCCTTTGGCCTACAATCGCCAGCACTCGCGCCATGGTAGCCTGGCACAGAGAAAGAAGAGAAATTCCGAGCGACTTGATTTGATGCTGGGTCTTGTCAAGGCATCTCTCAATGGTGAGCGTGTGTGTAACTTGTTGAACAGCAGCCCTTCCGTTAGGCTTTTGAAACAGTAAAGAGGGCTGGAAGTTGGAGAATTGATGCTTCCAAAAAGTTTGGCTAGTACTCGGCAGCTTCACAATCTCGCTGATAAAAGGTCCTTGTGGGATTGGGGGTCTAAGCTGCTCTCCGCGAGCAAGAGCTTCGACCTCGCGCCAGAGACACTCCATTGCAACCCCGTCATACAGTGCATGGTGGCAAACAAATGACAAGAACCGCGTTTCACCATACCGTATCAGAGCCAGCGATAGAGGAGGCGTGTTTGTGTCGAGCGGCTCTGGTACCAGCGCGAGGTGGTCCCGGATCGCGTCCTCGAGGGACGGCTGCGTCACGGTGAATTCATGCCACGGCAACTCCCATTTTGCGAGCGACACTTGAGCAATAGGGTACTTTGAGCTATTGGTAGACACGAAGCATGTACGCAAAATGCTGTGGCGCTCACACATATGCTGCCAGTAACTTCTCATCTCGTAAGGATCGGCACTAAGTCGCAACAACGACTTGTTGTAATAATTTGTCTTTCCACGGGACACCATGGCTTCCTGGAGCGGGGAGCACGGCAGAATCTCGACAACTTTTTTATTCTCTGCGGCAAGCATCACTGTGACAGATTGCTGGAATTTCTCATCGAAATAGTCGCTTGCAATGGCGACGTCGCATCTCTCGTCCCTGGAATGCAGCTTCCTGGCAAGTTGGGCGACTGTCGGGTGCTGTAGAATAGACGAAATTGACACCGTCGTGTTGAACTCTTGCGTAAGACTTTTAGAGACTTGGATGGCTGACAGGGAATCCAGACCCAGAATTGCGAGCGGCGTCCATCTACCGATATCGCTGCGAGAGACCTTAAGCGAGCTGGCCATACGCGAGGCAATGGCTTGTTCCACCTCATTCCATTCTTCGTCGTCCTCTTTGGCGGAATTATGCGCAACAGTTTTGAGATACTCTTTTGAGAGTTTCGCGAATGCAGCCGTGATTTCTCGCTTGTCGACTTTTCCACTGGGCGTGAGTGGGATACGCGAAACAGGAATCAGGTAGGATGGCACCATATATGACGAAAGTTTGGTATACAACTCTGCAAAGACTTGATCTTGTGCAGCTGTATCTGCCTTCAATATGCGGAAATCTTCTGCAGCCTTGTCTTGGACGTAAAATGCCACCAGCCATTCACCCATGGTGTCCTTTTGCTTCAGCACAAGTGTCACGACCGCTGTGGCGGAAGAAACACGCGACACAATACCGTTGATCTCGGCAGCTTCGATGCGCTGGCCTCGTAATTTCACTTGATCATCGATACGGCCCAGAATCACCAAGGACCCATCCGGAAGCATACGACCAAAGTCTCCTGATCGATACAGTCTGCCATAGTTCGGGTGCTGTATAAACTTTTCAGCAGTCAGACGTGGCATATTTAAATATCCAGTAGCGACTTGATCGCCGCCAAAACAGAATTCACCAGCCCAACCAATCGGGAGGGTTGACAAGCCCTTTGGCTCAAGGACGGCAACCGACGTGTTGTCAAATACCGATCCCAGATGTTCAATATAGTCATCTGACGACATCTTTTTGACAGAACAGATATTGGTCGTCTCTGATGGGCCATAACCTTGCCATATCAATTCTTTCCATCGCTCACTGACGGCATTCGTCATGGGTTCACCAGCCGTCACCAGGAACTCGACGCTGGGGACATTGGATGGATCAATGAGCGATGCGATGGTTGGTGTCAAACTCAGGTGCGTAATTCCAAACTTTCGAATAGCCTCTTCAATATCCGCAAATAATACATCATTGGTTGCAACACAAAGGCACATGCCTTTATGCCAAGCGAAAAAGATCTCAAAGACAGAGACATCAAATGCTTGCGAGCAAGCTTGCAGGAAATTTGAATGTCCCTTTCTGGCTTCTGGGTATTCCGCCCCGAGGTAGGCGACGTTGCAAGCAATGTTCTTGTGACTGACCGTGACACCTTTCGGCGTTCCCGTTGTTCCAGATGTGTAGATGACGTAGGCCGCATCACTACTGCTGATGTCGACGGACGTATTATTGTCAGGGTAGTCTTCCATGGACTCTTCATCGATGAGAATCGTGCGGACAGCAGTTGAAAGTGGAACATCCCGCAGAGAGTCCTCATCAGCAAGGCAGAGACGCGATCCTGACTGTTTGAAAATCTCCAATATCCGCGCATTCGGTGTGGAGGGCAGCAGAGGTAGGTAGCCGCATCCTGCTTTTAAAATACCCAGGATGGCCGTATAGAGACGGATAGATTTGTTCATGATGATGGGTATGACCTCGCCAGGTTGAACTTGTTGACTCAAAAGGAAGTGGGCGATGCGATTTGCATTGCGATTCAGGTCTTGGTATGTAGTTGTGACTGTTTTGAACGAGGCATCCGATATCTGGGTAGCAAAAGAAACTGCCAGGCGATGGCCATACCGGGCGGCAGCTTCTTCGACGACCCTAGCAAGGTCATTGGGCTGTGAGTTGCAATTCATCTTTTCCAACCTCATATTATAAGTCGACGTGTCCACCTGCAACGAGCGCGTCGACTCCAACGGCGCATGTGGGTTCTCGATGATGGCCGAGGATATCATGGCAACCTGGCGCAGCAAGCTGTCTACCATACTCGAGGAAAAGTAGTCATCGTGGAAAGTCGCCTGCAGTATGACGCCGTCCTGCACGGGCTGGACCTCGAGAACCAGCTTGGTCTCCAGTCTGTCCAGGTGCGCGACCTCTCTGATAACGCTGTGCGTCTGCTTCCGCTGCTCAAGGGACTCTTGGTAGACAAACAGCACATCGTACAGTTGCTCTGCCCCATACATGTTGACGACTTTCTTGACAGCAAGTTGGGACAGCGTCGAATGCTCCATCATGTGCCGGTTGCTCGATGATATGCTATTGACGACATCATCAATGGTAGTCATGCGCTCCATGTTGACGCGGAGGGGCAATGAGCTGATGCAAGGCCCCATGATATTTTCAACGCCTATTACCGGAATCGTGCGCCCAGAAGTCACAGAACCTATTACGACGTCCTGCAACCCAAGAATACCACTCCACGCCAGAGCGAGGGCAGCCTGGAATGGCACCTGAGGGCTCCCCTTGTACGCCTGCTTGGGCAAACTTGGAAGCACTTGCTTGTATGTTGCGGACTGGATCGTCCCAGATGGTACTGCCCGGGGTATAAGTCGGGGGAAAGGAGGCTTGTTCCATCCAAAGAGATAGTCAGCCCAAAAGATGCGGGCTTTCTCATCATACTGCTCACATTCTTGTGACATGGAGAAAGCAAGGACATGTCGGAATTGATTTCGCAATGGCAATTGTTCGTCGCTAAGAGCTTTTGCAAGATCGGATTTCAACAGATCAAGAGACCAGCCGTCGTAAATTGCGTGGTGCAAGTATAGCCGTATGCTGTACCAATTCTCTTCGGCCAGTCCTGCGACGTGAATTTGCAACGGGCGCAGTAGGCTTGAACTGATACTCGCTACTGTCGCTACTCCTTCTTCACCAGAGACTGTGATGCAATCTGGGTTTATTGCATCGAAAACCACCGCGAAGAATGTAGACTCGTGTTGCACAAAGCCAGTTCGAAGAATTTCGTTTCGCTGAGCAACAGCGTGGATTGCCCGACGTATATCCTCGGCCGTCGCTGTTGTAAACAACTCAAGATGCACCGTATTCCAGTATGCCTCGGCTATGCGTGTTGTTTCAGTGAGCATGGCGATCTGTAGATTGGAGCAGGGGAGAAGGTCTTGCGTAATGCGATGGGAGATCTCAAGCTCAAGTTCCTTGGACTTGATCTTGGCCAGCTTCTCCACGCTGCTGACAGTTGGACGAGTTCTCTCCACATGCCCTTCCTCGTCAATTCTCGTTACGGAAGAAATAAGTTGCCCGATATTCTTCATCTTCAGTAGCGATACAGCTTGTATGTGATAGCCAGCTTGTCGCAATCGGCAAGACAGGCCGATTGCTGTGAGAGAGTCCAGTCCTGCTCGGGCTAGCTCGGTCTGAATACTGAGCTGTGACCCGAAATATCTTTGCAGCGCCTGTACTAACTCAGGCTCTGAAGAATGTGCAATGTCATCAGGTGCGCCTTTCGATGGCTTTGACTGTTCGAACTGCCGTTGCAGTTCCTTCGCATTGACTTTGCCGCTGGGCAGTCTTGGCAGCTCCTCAGAGAGCACAACTTCGCCGGGTATCATGAACTGCGGCAGCCACCGACCGCAGCTCTTCAAAATGTCATCTTCTAAGACGCACGCATCAACAGCACAAAAAAGCACCAGGATCGCGCCAATCACCCTGGCAGTGGCGCCGTGGCATCCGCTCGTTTTCAGCGCTGCATGCTCAATCTCACCGAGCTCAATACGCTGGCCTCGGAGCTTGACCTGCCCATCCGATATACGCCCCAAGCATTCAAGCGTGCCATCTTGATTCATCTTGGCCTTGTCGCCGGTGCGATAGACACGCCCATACGGTGAGCTAATGAAGGCATTGTTCGTTTTTCGCTCATCATTGAGGTAGCCAGCTGCAAGTTGGTGGCCGCCAACCGCAAGTTCGCCGACATGGCCAGTGGGGAGAATTTCAAAGCGTTTCGAGTCAGATTCGTCCTCGGCTGGTTTGATGATGAAACATGATACAGTTTCCAGCGGCGTTCCAATATTCCCAGTCGAGGACTCGGATTGGAAGTCTTGTTGTAATGTACTATTTGCGAGCATGTTAGCGGAGCGCTTTGCCTGTCTTTTCAGAGCGTGTTATTCTTACCAGTGAATCGCTGCCTCGGTCGGCCCATACATTGCCCACAGAATGCTCTTTCTGTCGGCTGCGCCGCCAAACTCCGTCACAACGCGTGGGTTCAACATCTCTCCGATGGTCATCAACAGCTTCAGCTGGGGCGCATTGTCCCTCTTTCTCAACAGGCTTGCCGCCACGGTGGGTGTAAGCTCGCAGGCGTCCACATTCATTTGCCGCAACACCGCGGGCAAGTCGTTGAGCGTTTCTTGCCGGCTGGCGCTGACAAGAGTCTCACCTCGAAAGAGTGGGAAGAAGATCTCAAAGACAGAGACGTCAAAGGTTGGCGCCGCAAACTGGAAAAATCTTGAGAAGCGCGGAATATGAGGGTCGTGCGCCAAGAGAGCTTGCGTAGCGGCGGAGTGGGATATCGCGACACCTTTGGGCGTGCCTGTCGAGCCCGATGTGTACATTACGTAGGCGTAACTCTCTGGTGTTGGCTGCCGTGTCATGGCGCGGTAGTGCGAACCAACAGCTTCATAGCTGTGGGAAGAGTGAAGAATGGTAACTCCCGTGCCTCTTGGTATCCGCGAGGACAGCTCTGGACTAGTAATAACAACCTTGGCACCGACATCTTTGAGGATAAATTGAACTCTTTCTGCGGGAGCATCCAAGTTTAGGGGACAGAATGCGCCTCCCGCTTTAAGAATAGCTAGCAGAGCGATATATAGATCTGGAGACTGTTGTAGAAGAACGGGCACAATCAGCTGGCCTTGGACAGAGTCGCAGGCGAGAGCAATCTGGGATGCCAGTGCATCCGAGGCATCATGGAATGCCTTGTAGGAGAATTTGGTGATTTTCCCCTGACAGAGATGCTCCAGCGCGAGGTTCTCGCCTGGGGTCCGTACGAGGCTGTGCAATAAGGTAGGTCCAGATGCCCGTGCGGGCGACGGGTTGAGGACGGAAAGGCCCAAGGCGGCGTGGTCCATGGCTGCGACAGGCTAGTTTCGTCTGGTGTGGTGTGGTAGGTAGCTAGGTAGGTAGGTAGCTAGGTAGGTAGGTAGTGGTCAGTGAATTTGGCTGGCTTGATTGTTCAAGCTTTCAAAGCCTGAACTGTCTGTTTAAGAGCAAGCCGGTCTTGCGGTGGAGTCTGGGAGGAGAGTAGTTCCTGTGACTTGTCACAAGATGGAGGGACCGCGGAAAAGGTGAAAATTATCATGAAGAAAAGCCACGTCGAATTTCGGACCTGTACGACGACAACGAGTAATAAGCAGTCATCTCAAATCATGCTCTCCTCAGCCGTCAAGTCATGGATCATACCGACTCGTTCGGCACATCTATCCTTGCTCCCCTTGTCGAATAGCTTCGGATCGCAGGGGTGGGCGGATGGACGGTTCGGGCAAATCGGGCAGACTTGCGAACCAGGCAAGTTGGCAACGAAACGAGCCAATAGAAGAGGTGATGATTCAACTATTGTCGCGTCATCACAAATGCAGCGCCATCCGTTCGACGGTTCTCGTCTAGTAGTTTGTGTGGGACCCCGGTCGACGGCGGGCCTCTCGGCGCTCAGCAATTATTCAGCGGCGGGCCGTGATTCACGGAACCAAGGGTCAGGGCTGTCGAAGGTCGAACGACGGATACACTTGACGGAGGGCGGGCAGCAAGGGCAGTCGTATGCGACGCTGGGCCGTTGGCGTTGTTTGCATGCCAGCCTAGGGTACAGAGTAGTTAGTTGGGGTGGAAAGGAAGTCGAAGAGGGTGTGTTGAGAGGAATATAGGCGCAAGGGAACAGAATACCGAGTGAAATAGGTTCAAGGAACGCAGGCAGCAGGCAGCAGGGGGGGGGGGGGGGGGACGGACCAAGAGTGGCACCAACAAGGCAAGGCGTTTCGCGTGGAGCTTCTTAGTTCGGTAGATGCAATCAGCAAGCGGCCGTGGATCCGCCACATGAGCTGTCTGAGATGCAGATCGAGGGATGAGGATGCAGCAGAGAGCGAGGCGCGGCTGAAGCAGTTCCGTGTCATTTCCTTCTGTGTGTGTCTGTGACGGGACTAGGACTGGTTTCCGCATAGCCTCATCACGTATGAAGCTTGCTGGCAAGTCGACGCGACAAAGAACCACCCACGGCCTGCGTAATCGAGCCTGTCCCCCGCTGCCACAGCCATCATCACACGCGCACACCATGGAAGCGGATTTGCATTGTCCATGACGAGGCGATGCGCCCAGTCCAACTAGATAGCCAAGGGGGTGGCACCGTGGTGCCGTTGCATGGACGGCGCCATTCGTACAGGTGATGCGGAGCTTTCGGAGGAGGCAGCCTAAACCGGTCCTTTTTCATCATGACAACAAGGTATTTTTCTTTTTTAATTTCTTTTCCTTCGTTTTTTGTGAGCAAATGACACAAACCAAACGTCGGCGGGTACACGCAACCATTGATTTTGTTGCACAGACACTGGCCGCGTTGCTTGGCTCAAACTTGTCGACGAGTTATAACGCAATAATCGGTCAGCTGGGTGCAATCTCTGGGCATCCAGGCCCCCTCTGAAGGAAGTTGTCATGATGGACAGACCTTTTTTGCCTTTCTTGACCACCACATGTCGAATACCCATACCTAGGTACCTAGGTTTATAGGTATAGGTGGGTACTGGGAGGTACCAGTAGCTTGCTGGTCAAGGTACCTACTAAGGTAGTACATACCTCTCTCCATGCAAGCAACGCGCCATTGTAGAAGAGGAGGCGTTATAATTATGCAGGGAGGAGCCTCTTGACCACACTAGGAAAATTAGTTAGCAGTCAACGAGCCGAATGCAGGACAAAACAAAAGGTCCCACCGCCCCGGCGAGCGGATTTACGTAGCTCCTCTGGTGGACGACGTACCTACTAGGTACATAGTTAGTTGCAACATACCGGTAACTGTTACCTACCGGGTAATAGTACAAGTAGCCTACTAAGGCACCTATTAGTCCACCCGCTTCAAAACCAGCACCAAGGCACTCCCAGCGGCTCAAAATCCCTCTCCCCTCTTCCCAACTTCCTTCACACACAAATACCCTTCTTTTACCATTTGGTGCCGAAGCAATCTATCCGTACCTTGACTGCGGCGCGACCTTGGCCAGATGACTTGTTTCCGAACCAGGGGAGACCTTCAGGTCGTGTGAGTGGGCCATGGAACCGGCACTTGACCACAAAGCTGGTGGGTGCACTGCGTATGGTGCGTATCAACGTCTCACTGTGTGGAGTATAAAACCATTTGCCAATCCCATCATTGTGAGGAAGAATCCTCCAAGAGCAATCGGACCGCTGAAGCAAAAGAGAAGAAGAAAAATTTTCACGCCAGGCGGCGCGCCAGGGGGGGAGAGAGGACCGTGCAAGCCGACTGCTAAGTCGACATTGGCTGTGGCCGTGTGAGTGGTGGGTGACCAGGTTCTGGATCTTATCAGATCCTTTTTTTTATCTGATCATCAGATAAAAATTCGCTCACCCCCCACATGGCGCTCGCAAGCAGGACAATATAACTGTTTCGCGCCCCTCTCGCCAGAATCACAGGCCCTGACAGTTCGGCTCCAGCCTTTAAATTAGCCTTTTTGGGGGTTCGGGTTCCGTTGCGTGTACGCGAATCGGCTTTCCTGGTCCGAGGCGTGTTCACTCTCACTCGCTCTCTCACTCGCTCTCTCACTCGCTCTCTCTCTCCCTCGACTTGGCTGAACCAGCCGCTGCGAGCGAGCTGATTCGCAGACCTGGAGAGAACATACAGCGGGCTCTAGTTACCTTCTCGGTTCAGGTCCCTCGGTTCAGGTCCCCCTGCGGCGCCTGCCGCGGCCAGAGCCGTATTACCAGATCCAAAACAAGCCAGCCGAAGCGTCGCCAATCCCCTCTTTCTCCATCCCCATCCCCCCCCCCCCCCCCTCGGTCTCCCAAGTTCTTCTTACTCTCCAGTCCACGCAGCTGAGCGGCCCAGACAGTTCCGCCAAGCGGCACATGTGGATGTTACACTGCATTTGCGCATCCCAGGGATCCGCTTGCTTGCTTGCTTGGTCTCTCACAGCTTCTCTCATGAGAGAAGTCGCCGTTCTCCGAGCTGTAGCGGAGCGATGGACTATGTCCGAAGGGACTTGCCCAGCCAGGGCGAGTTGGCTCCATTGAACAACCTTGCGTACCTAGACAGCTTGCCCTTCCCGGCTTCTAGGGTTGCGCCGTACAGACCAGACAGAAGCACCGCGCCCTGACAGCTGCGAAAATGACTGGTCCAATGTCACCCTATCTGCAAACTCTAGGCGGAGATTTTAGCCCATGCAGTAGAGTACAGAATGTTTAAACGTACCCGCGTGGGGTTGCTGAATGAATGCCGACCAAACGGGGCCGCCGCTATTGACCTGGTGGTCTAAATGTCGCCTCTCACCGGCACTCACCACGTCTCTTCCCACAAGTAGCTTGTTAGTCCTGGTTAGAGCGTAATAATAGCTGCAAATCCGACTAAAACCAAGCTCCATCCCAGCTCCATGGAGCACCCCAGTTACGGCTGAAATCGGCAGACGCTGCTGCTGCCATGGCATGTTCTCTCGCCAATCCTGCCTACCCGACCGGTGACCGGCGTTCCCATTGCCCATCAGTGGCGTTCCGTCTCAGAGATCCGTAAATATATATGTAGAGGCTTGCCCCTCCATGCAAGCCAATTTGGGCCCCTCCTACATCTCCTTCACCTTGTCTCCCACCACCTGCCACAACCAACGTGTGCCTCGGTGCCAGGCCTCTTTACTAGTTAGCGTGTCGCGGACTTGACCAAGAGACTTTTTTTTTTCTTCCTTCCAGCAACTGCCCTTTTGACATCAGCGAGTCATCATGTCTCCCCATCGAGAAACCAGCGGGGACGAGAGCACCACCACCACCTCTACCACCACCGGCACGCACCAGAACGGCACTAATGGCGCTGCTGCTCCCGAGCTTGTAGCGGCGGTTCCTACCAACGGCAAAGCCACAGCGCCCGAGTCTTTAGCCGTCACGAATGGCGTCAATTCACGCGTTCAGCCTGTTCAGCGCTCGTCTCATCTAGTTGCTGCCGATCTCGACGCCGAATATGACCTCGTCTGCGTCGGCTTCGGTCCCGCCAGTCTCTCCGTCGCCGTGGCTCTTCACGATTCCCTTGACGCAGGCAAGAAACTGCGTCCCGATGGTTCGGCTCCCAAGGTTCTCTTCCTCGAGAAGCAGACCCGTTTCGCCTGGCATGCCGGTATGCTTCTTCCCGGCGCCAAGATGCAAATTTCTTTCGTCAAGGACCTGGCCACCCTTCGTGACCCTCGATCGCATTTCACCTTTCTCAACTACCTTCACCAACACGACCGCCTGGTGGACTTTACCAATCTCGGCACATTTCTCCCAGCTCGCATCGAATATGAAGACTATATGAGATGGTGCTCGTCTCACTTTGAGCATCTCGTTCAGTACGACCACGAGGTTGTGTCGGTAACGCCATCAGTCAAAAAGGCCGATGCTGTCAAGCTCTTCACAGTCGAGGCCCGAAACAATACGACCGGGCAGATCCAAACTTTTAGGGGACGAAACGTTTTGCTCGCCACTGGTGGAAAGCCCAGTTTCCCCAAAAGCTTCCCTGTCAAGCACCCTCGTATCCTACACTCCTCGCAGTACGCCTACATGGTGCCCAAGATTCTTACTGACAAGGATGCCGCCTACAAAGTTGTTGTTGTCGGCGCTGGTCAGAGTGCCGCCGAAATTTTCCACAACATTCAGAACCTATACCCCAACTCAAGTACGCAGCTTGTCATGCGCCAGGAATTCCTGAAGCCAAGCGACGACTCACCTTTGTACGTTTCTCTCCCACCCCAACACACGAACGACTATGTTTCTCACAATCGTCTAGCGTGAATTCCATCTTTAACCCTGAATACATTGATTCCCTGTTCCCCAAGTCGGCCAAGGGTAGAAGCGAGTTCCTCGTTGATGCCCGCGCCACAAACTATGGCGTCGTCCGTCTAGAACTGATTGAAGAACTTTTCGAGCGCATGTACTCGCAGAAGCGTGTGCTGGGCCCGGATGAGCGTAAATGGCCCCATAGAATCATGGGCTGTCGACAGATCAGCAACATTGAACCCAACGGGGAGCGCCTCGAGGTCAAGATTCACAGCCTAGCCGACGGCGTTGTTAACTCTGACGATGAAGAAATCCTTTCAGCCGACCTTATCATTGCGGCTACTGGGTACCAGCGTAATGCGCACATCGATATGCTCAAGAGCACTTGGGATATGCTGCCCAAGGCTGTCCCGGGAACCGCCATGTTTAACAAGGGCGTGACCGGATGGAATGTCGACACGGAGCAGGGTGAGCGGAAGCTGGCCGTTGGCCGTGATTACCGCGTCAAGTACAAACCCGGGGCCGTGGCTGCTGATGCCGGCGTTTGGCTTCAGGGATGCTGCGAGGGAACCCATGGAGTAAGTAAAACACCTGCACTTTTCCATTCTGCGGCCAAGATGCTAATCAAGGTGGTGTAGCTGAGCGATACCCTTTTGTCAGTCCTTGCTACAAGGTCCGGTGAAATTGTTCAGTCCATTTTTGGATCTGAGCAGTGAGTAGGAATACTTTCGGCGCTACGATAAGGCAGAAGAGTAGAATGCCATTTCGAGGAAGCGCCCAGTTTGGAAAAGTAATTGTTCATATTCTTAGCGAAGATGCGAGCGAGACAGCCGCGTCGGATATTTTCTTTGCTTTGGGATTCGATAATTCTCCGTCAGCTACCCATGTTTATGGTGCAAAGGTCATAGAAAGGATAAACGCATCTGATATTTTAGAGTTGATGAATTCATGGCACGATTTTTTGTAATATTGAAAGCTGAAAGTTGGCGAGACTATTCTTCGTGATGTTATATTGGTTGGTTGCGGTCTTGGCACGATTTGTTGTAAAATTCGAGGCGAGGCTGGAGATTGGTTGGGTTGCGCGAGAATCTTTTGGGGTCGATGAGCTCTTGGCAAAAGTTTCCAGTAAATCCGAAGCTCGTGTTCGAATGCCTGAGTGCATGGTGATTTTCTTCTGATTGATTCAAGGACGGGGGTCTGATCCGCACATGTCCGATTGGCGGTGACGGAGTGTGATGCTCCGCTGCATGTCTCTTATGCCTGGTCGTTGACGCAAAAGAACCATGCCAGATCGACATGTCTCATGTGGCCTTGGGTTTTGAGCAGCTGCTGTTTCTGGCAAGGATCTGGTCGCATTGAAGTGGGCAAAGCTGAAGTGGAGACCGCCTTGGAGGCCTAGACGGTGATCGAGCAAGTCCGAGAAACGGACCGGCAAACGGGGTGGCACGCGGATAACGAGATGGCCACTTTCAATGATGGAGAGAAATATAATGAATAGAATTAGAATGGTGGAGAGATCAAGATCATAGATGACTTGATTCGGAAGCTGTAAACTCCAAGCATAACATGTGACTCACCAGTGGTTTGTCTTGTTGTCTGAACCCAGGCAGACTCCACAACGGTCGGCCGTAAAACGAACATGGTGCGAGCGATTGGCGGCCGTTTATCGCTGGCTCGACAGTGCAAAAGCCCGCAATAAATAAACAAGGAGGCGAGAACAATGTCGTGATTCAGGCTGTGCAGAAGGAACCAGCAGAGAATGGGGGGATGGTGCAAACGATGTCTGGCAACTGATCAAGCGGGCATGGCAGCGAGGTGATATTGCCGTAGACTGGTGTGGAGTTTATTACCAAGATATGTAGTACAGGCAGACGTGGAAGGAGATCATCGGAGCGAGTACGGCAACGTTGCGGCCGCGTGGCTCGAGAAGCGAGAGCAGGCTGAGCGGCGCCTTGTAGGGCGAGCCGGGACACCCAGACCAGCAATCAGAAATCAGATCAGTCCTGTAGTGGTGCGTGGACGATTTCGTAGCCCTGTGACGCGGCAGGGCAATCAAGGGCAGAGGACGCGGAGAGGGCGTCAATAGTCCCTCTTTCCAGGGTGGTTGCTGATGACGCTGTTTGTTAGTTGTGAGTCATGAAGCGCTTGCAAATGGACTCATCGATTGGGCAATTGGAGCAGCAAAGTGATTGTGCAAGTCTGGAAGATGGCAGGTGGGTGTTGCGGCGACTTGATGATTCGTTTGTGATGGGCATTGGCAGTCAAGAGTCGCTGGTGGTGCGCATATGATACTTCTCCAATCAACTAGGTACCTCTACAGAGTACTGTAGGGTTGGTTGGAGAGGCTTGCATCTTTTTTTAGCGGCCGCGGGTATTTTTTTGTTGCTGGTGCCCCACCAAATTGAAGGCGGGGGGACGGAGTCAATACTAGAAGCGAGGCTCTATGGCACGAGTCGATTAAATCTCCCGACTTGGCCGACAAGAGTAAATGCCAAAAATCCATGATAAGGGGATATTAATCTGTGCTGCGTACCAGTATGACAAACTGTCTCGGCTATTTAGACATGTCTTGAACTATCCGTATTGTTTAGAGATATGGCTTTGCACCAAGACAGTCTCAACTGGGCTGCCAGTTGCCATGCAGACGCCACCAAGCATGTTCCCGCGTAAAAAGATAGGTGCAAAAAACGAGGGTACAGATCAAGCGAGGTTAGGGAGGATACCTTATCAGAGTATAGAGTAATAATTTTCTAGCCCTACACTTAGGTAAGTTTTTATCTCCTTAATATATTACTAATTCCTTTCTTTTTTTCTCTCTTATAAGCTTTAAGAATTTATTAAAAATAATACTATACTATATTAAATTATTAAAAAAATATTAAAAGATTATTAAAGTATTATTAAAATAATATAAATTTATTATATTATATTATACTATATCTATATACTAGTTAAACCTTACCTATATTAAGTATAAAGTAAGAAAAGATAGTAAAAAATAGCCTAATTTCTCTATATTTATAAAAGAAGTAAGTAATATTTTACTAATTTACTATTAGTTTATTAATAAAATATAAAATAGTATTACTTAAATCTTAGCTAATAAAGTTTTTTATTATATTTAGTTTAATAATAGTATAATATATTCTTTAATAAGTTATTATTAATATATTAATAATATATTATTAACTTATTATTAATAAGATACTATTTAGCTATTAAATAATCTTTAAAACTATATTAAAAATACCTATTAAATTAATATTAATAAAGTATATATTAGCTTTACTTTTATATAAAAGTTAATAGATTTAATTAATATATTATTTATAATATATTTATAATAATATACTAATTAAATAATAAATTACTATTAGAAAGTTATATTTTTTATAAAGAAAAAAATAAAAAACTAGCTTATTACTTTTATTAAATTTAAAGAGTATATAATAAGTTTATTTATAACTAATTAGTAATATATTACTAATATATTATAAAGTTAAAAGGTAAGAAAAAGGCTATTAAGCCTAAGTCTAAGTCTAAAAAAGTCTTAAGAATCTTTTAGCTCTTTAGAGGATAAGGTTAAGCTAATAGATATTACCTTACTTTCTTTATTATAAATTAAGGTAAGTTATTATTAATATATTAATAATATATTATTAATATATTAATAAACTAGTAATATTAAATAAGTAAAAGCTAAGAATAATATTATTAAGGCTAAAAAAGATTATAAAGTATATATAGCTACTTAAATTAGTAAGTTATATATAATTTATTATTAATATATTACTAATATATTACTAGTATACTTCCTATATATACCTACTAATAATACTATATATAAGGTTTAGC